GTATCTCTAGTATACTAATTCTAGTTTACTTAAAGTTTATTATATAAGCTATCTCTCTACTACTTAAAGGTAACACTCTTACTATCTAATAATAAGAGTAAATCTAGAAACTTAGTAAAGCGCGTTAATTAGCTCTTTCGCGCTTATAACACTAGAGGTATAGCTAGCTAGTATATAGAAAGGTAAGAACCTAGAATTAAATTCTCTAGTAGTAACGCGCTTAAATTACGTATAATTAGTATTATAGAGAAATACGTTGCGCGTTAAACTAGTATAGTAGGCTAGTCTCTAGAGTAGATTAATTATACTTATAGTTACTAGATTTTAGCATTCTTTTTAGCTAGAATAGTAGCCTATATTAGATTTTTTACGTATACGTTATCTCTCTTAGCAAGAGCGTTAGTAGTAATCTAGTAATATATATAGATTTATTATTTATATACCTATTATATATATAATTAGCTAACTAATTTATTAATAATTTTAGCTAGCGTTTCTAGAAAGAGCTCTTAAAGCTCTTTAGTAGAGGTAGAGAGTATAAATAAACCTAAGGCTAATAATAGCTCTAGTATTACTAAGCTCTAGCAGAGCCTTGCAAGCTTCTAGTTAAAGTTATTATTTTAATTCTTATTAGTTATTACGTCGTGTTACTAAACAGAGTTTTTATAATAGAAATATTAATTAGTATATTCTACTAGTAGGTTCGCTACTCTAGATTTAAGAACTGTTAGAGTAAAGAGGTATTATAGAGCTAAGGTTCTACCTCTAGACTAGCTTCGCAAGAGTTCTTCTATAGTGTTTAGATTTGTTTAGCTTTTTAATTAAGAAAGAAGCAAAGAGAGGAGGTATTTAGCTACTAGTAGAGCAGCTAGTTATTAGTTCTACTAGCGGTGTAGAGAATTATTAGCTCTATAGATAGTATAGAGAATTATTAGTTTTTCGTAATTTATAAAAGAGGGGGGAAAGTTTTCGCACGTAGAAGTTTTGTAGAAGTTCTTCTATATATAGAGCTCTTAATAGCTCTCTTTAGCTCGCTACTAAAGGTGTTTTTCTACCGCTAACTAGATCTACTAGTAGGTCTTATATAGCGCTAAGAGGTAAGTAATTAATTAGTAACGTTAATAGATTCTTAGAGTAAGTAACTAGGCTCTTATAGCTCTAATTCTTAATATAGCTATTAGTAAACGCTTCTTAATAAGGCTACTTAGTTTAGCTAGATATTATACCGCCGTCTTTAGCTAAAGAAGTATTAACCTTTAAATAATATAAGAGCTAGGTTTGTAGTCTCTACTACTATAAGCGTTCTAGAATACCTAGCTAGGTAGATTAGCTATAGGTAGTACTATCTCTACAAGCTATAAGGCTAAGAGGTGCTAGCAGAGTAGGTTAGGTTAAATTTAGCTATCTAAAGGTAAGAAGTAGAAGAATACTCTAAGAGCTCTCTATATATAGAGGTGCTAAGCGCTAAGACGCTAGGCTAGGTTACGTAACAGGATTACGTAACTCGAGGTTATGTAACCTAAGGTAAATTCTAAACTAGACTATTATATAAGGCTACTTAGTTTAGCCTAATATTATACTACTATCTCTAGCTAAAGAGGTATTAACCTTTAAATAATATAAGAGCTAGGTTCGCGGTCTCTACTACTATAAGCGCCTCTAGAATACCTAGCTAGGTAAGTTAGCTATAGACAGTACTATCTCTATAAGCTATAAGAATAAGAGATGCTAGTAGAGTAGGTTAGGTTAAATTTAGCTATCTAAAGGTAAGAAGTAGAGAAAAGGCTCTAAGAGGCTCTATATACAGAGATACTAAGCGCTAAGGCGCTAGGCTAGATTACGTAATAAGATTACGTAACTTAAGATTATATAACCTAAGGTAAATCTCTAAACTAAACTATTATATTATTAAATAGGTAATTTATAATAATAATATTAGTTTAAGTAACTAGCTAGTAGGTTCTCTACCTAGAATTTAAAAATTATTAAGGTAAAGAGATACTATATAACTAGAGTCTTACTACTAGAGTTACTTTATAAGAGTTTATCTATAGTATTTAGGTAGTTTATCTATAGTATTTAGGTAGTTTATCTATAGTATTTAGGTAGTTTAACTTAGGTATAGCTTCTTATTTAAGAAGTAGAGAGTATTAGCTACTAGCGTAGTAGCTAATTATTAGCTCTACTAGTAAAATAGAGAATTATTAATTTTTAAAATAAGAAAGAGGTTTCTATATATAGAAGTTCTATAGAAGTTCTTCTATATATAGAGCTTTTATAGCTCTCTTTAGCTTACTACTAGTAGTATCTTTTCTACTACCTACTAGATCTACTAGTAGTTTTATATAGCGCTAGAGAGGTAAGTAATTAGAGCTCTTATAGCTTTAATTCTTAGAGTAAGTAACTAGACTCTTATAGCTCTAATTCTTAGTATAGCTATTAGTAAACGCTTCTTATAAGACTACTTAGTTTAGTCTAATATTATACTACTATCTCTAGCTAAAGAGATATTAACCTTTAGATAATATAAGAGCTAGCTTTATAGTCTCTACTACTATAAGCGTCTCTAAATATCTAGCTAGATAAGTTAGCTATAGGTAGTACTATCTCTATAAGCTATAAGAATAAAAGGTGCTAGTAGAGTAGGTTAGATTAAATTTAGCTATCTAAAGGTAAGAAGTAGAAGAATGCTCTAAGAGGCTCTATATACAGAGGTGCTAAGCGCTAAGGCGCTAGGCTAGGTTACGTAACAAGGTTATATAACTTAAGGTAAATCTCTAAACTAGACTATTATAAAGTACGTTATACTTAAGCTCTAGATTATATAATTAATAAGGTTTTCTACGTACTTCTAGGTCTACTTATAATAGATATTAAGAATAGTGTTCTAGCCTTACCTTGGTTGCGTAGAAACTAATAGATACTCTTATGCTAGATAGGTGCTTCGCCTCCGGGTTCGCCCCGATACGAGCTCGGGGAGAAGATGGAAAAGCGCAATAGAAGAGCCTCTGTCGCGAGAACAAAAAAGTGCGACATCGCCTTAGCCTACGCTGTTTATTCGTTAAGAAGAGTGTAGAACAGCGCTCTCGCAGTAAAGATAGCCGAGACTACATGGTTGCGATAGACTTTACGGAGCCTCGTGCTAGTCTTAAGCGCCTGCACTCTTTCCTCCTCTGTTGCGTTTTAGTTAATATAGCGAGCAGGGCAATTTAGTCCTTCTATATCGCTCTACTTATCGCCTACTCTCTCGAGTCGCAATTCTCTCGCAGCCTGCTCGACAAGTCTAATAGCCTCCACATAGGCTCGCTAGCAGCGCAGCTCTATTACCGGGTCGGACTACTTGTCGTAGGTCTGTCCAATGCTATGCAGTTTTCTCACGCTCTTCTAGCGAAGGCATAAAGTCGCCTTTCCATAGACTCTAGCTACTACTCTAGCTACTGCTCTAGATTGCGATTCTATAGTTCCCAAGTACTGCGGTCCGAACCCTACGATGGCTAGGTCGGGAACCGTGGCATTTCGAGTGAGGTAGCTGGTGTCAAGGACAAGTGCGGAGTGTTCGCATACTGGATCGTACTCCAGGAGGGCCATGACGTCGTCGGAGAGAATTAAAGGGAGGCTGCCGTACTGAAGCCTATAGCATAAACAAACCCGATATTGTTTTCGAGCGTACCTTGGCCTTAGAGTGGCCGAATGATGGCGGTGAGACGTTTAATCTTTAGCGAGCGTTCCAGTCTTAGTGGGCTTCTACAAATGGCTTGATTATGCCGAATGCAACGAGCTGCGAGTATGAATCGCTACGGATCTAGGATCCCCGACTATAAAGGTCAAGCAGAAGCTACATAACCGCGTGCTCAAAGTACGATATAGTCAAGGGCTTTACGAGATTATGTGTAACGGTGCTGATGGCGGGTACATTTTACGGGCAGAAGAAGAGGAAAGCGTCATAGGATCATATGAGTGGGCACTTGAAGCCGGAGAGGAGTAACCCACCTATATCGAAGATCTATTGCCGATGCCCAACTCCCATCTATGATAACTGCCAAGACTGTGGTGACCTGATCAATGAACCTGCGGTACGTAGTGAGGATGGGCTTTCTTCCGGCGACGTCGGTCTCGTTGAGTCAGTTCTCCGTTCATCCAGCGATGTGGCCGCCCTGAGGGATTCGACAAGCAAACACATGAGCATGGTCACAATTGAAACTGCGGCTCCGTTTTCTTCTGTACCCTCGGCTGACCTTCCGCGACCCGGCCCCCTCAAGACATCAACTCTTCCCTTTGCCATGATTGGCCGGGATCCCCAAGAACGGAAGGTCGGCAATTGCAGGATCCGGGCCCGACGCTCACGATTTGGGAATGCTATGTGTAGCCTTTCAGCACCCACTCAAACTGGGTCGGGATGTTCCAGAAGCGGCTAGTCGGACGCGAGGTTGATTGATAACCCGGAGCTTAGGGGATCTGCGGGGTACCCCGCATTGCGGAAGCGGAGTGGTCTATAACGCTAAAAGTTCGGATAGTTGCTTGATGGCAGGGTGGTACAACCCCCGGACTGTTTCCGCCTTCACGCGTATGGATGAGCATGGCTCTGGTGAAGATGCTCCCAATCAAAGCTGCGATCTAGTAGGGCGAACGGCCCAAGAGCAGACGGAGGGGCCCGTCTGAAACTTAGGAATTGCAAGGAAAAATTCCAGAGCGTGATTGGACTGGGCTGGGGTGGCCAAGCAATTGGCTGCGTAGGATGCTGCGTCCGGGTAGTCGAGGTGATGTGCAGGAGGGGTCCCGCCGCGTCGTGCTACATATATATATATTTTTGCGAGCTCCGTCATTTTGTGTCGTGCATCAATTAGTTTTTTCTTCTTCTTTTTCATACCGGACTGCGGATTGCCGCCTCGCCACAGTTCATTATGGTTCATTTCCGGACGGACATCGGTGCTGTGAGCCCGCAAGCCACGGGAAGCAATGACACCTACTCCAAAAACCTTAAGACCGATGTTCTGATAGTCGGTGCGGGATTTGGTGGGATATACTTGATGCACAAACTACGCCAACTTGGTTTCCAGTGCAAAATTTACGAAGCTGGCAAGGGCCTAGGCGGAATCTGGCATTGGAATTGCTATCCAGGTGCTCGCGTTGACACCCAGGTTCCGATTTACGAATATTCGCTCCCTGAAGTGTGGAAGGTAAGGGTGCTGTGCGACCATCCTTCGTGTCCACAAGCTGACGGTGATGTTTGCAGGACTGGACATGGTCTGAGCGATATCCTGGCTTCGCGGAACTCCGCAAGTACTTCGAACACGTTGATCAAAAGCTTGGTATCAGGAAGGATGTCGCGTTTGACACCCGGGTGGTAGGCGCCCAGTTCGACAAGCCGTCGGCGAAGTGGATCGTAGAGACGGAAGATGGCCGCACCGCGAAGGCGAGATACTTGCTGCTGGCGACTGGGTTCGCGGCCAAGCGTCACTTCCCAGGCTGGCCAGGCTTGGATAGGTTCAAGGGCGAGATCCACCACTCTTCATTCTGGCCAGACGCAGGTGTTGATGTCAAAGACAAGCGCGTTGCGGTCATCGGAACTGGTTCTACAGGAGTCCAAATTGCGCAAGAGACGGCAAAGACTGCAGGGTCTGTGACGGTCTTTCAGCGAACTCCGAATCTTGCACTTCCCATGCAACAGAAGCCCCTGACGAGGGAAGAGCAGATGGACCGGAAGGCTCAGTATCCCGAGATATACAAGAACCGGATGACAACGTTTGCGGGCTTCCAGTACGATTTCATTGACAAGAACACGTATGACGACACTCCCGAGGCGCGCGAAGCTTTCTACGAGAAGTGCTTTGAGAATGGAGGGTTCGAGTTCTGGCTGGCCAACTATAAGGATCTGCTGTTCGACGCGGAGGCCAACCGCGCGGCGTACGACTTCTGGGCGAAGAAGACTCGTGCAAGGATCTCGGATCCAAGGAAGAGAGATATCCTGGCGCCGGTTGAACCACCGCATGCGTTCGGAACTAAGCGTCCCAGCCTGGAGCAGAACTACTACGAGATGCTTGACAGAGCGGAGAATGACGTGGTTGACATCAAGAAGACGCCGATCGTCGAAGTGACGGAGACGGGCCTAAAGACTGCAGACGGCAAACACCGCGAATTCGACGTTGTTGCACTGGCGACGGGGTTTGATTCGGTGACTGGCGGGATGAAGAACATGGGGCTCAAGGATGTGGATGGCGTTCCGCTGTCGGAGAAGTGGAAGACGGGAACGTGGTCGTATCTGGGCATGACGTGTGCTGGCTTCCCGTGAGTGCTGCGGCTCGACGTGGGAAGGAGCGACTAACGACGGCAGCAACATGTTTTTCCTCTACGGCGCCCAAGGCCCCACAGCCTTTAGCAACGGGCCAAGCTGCGTCGAGTGCCAGGGCGATTGGATCGTTGATGCTATGAAGAAACTGCGGGACGAGGACATCCAGTACTGCGATGCGACGCGGGAGGCCGAGGAGGGGTGGCGCCGCAGGGTCACGGAGCTGTCGGACAAGACGCTGTTCCCGGGCACGTCGTCGTGGTATATGGGTGCCAATGTGCCGGGCAAGCCGCGTGAGCAGCTGAACTACGCGGGCGGCATCCCCTTGTACGAGCAGGAGTGTCGGGAAGCGCTTGACAACGGGTTCCGGGGGTTCGTCACTGCGTAGAGGGCGTCGGCGATACACGCTCGGAGAGGGAGAGGGAGAGGTGCAAAGCAGAGCCTGTTGTGTCGATGTGTGTAGCTAGGTAGTAGCTCGGTGGATTTGTTTCAATGCTGAAGGCTGATGCTGGTGGAGGAGTGATGGATGATGCACGTGCTTGGCATGGGCCTGCTGCACCGCCACATTATTCCCCCCAGCCACCTCACGTAATCGGCCACCCAGCCAATCAATCGCTCCCATTAGGCCTACACTTAATGACGTCTGGGCCGCGGCTTTCTTGCCGGGGCTCAGTCTGGCACGCTCATGAACATGCTGCGCGCCAATTCATCTGCATCTCTACGATGAGGACGGCCTTCTGGCTTGGCCGCCAATGTCTCCGCCAGCACTTCCGCCAATCCTCTGCCTTCGTGCTCCGCCCGTCGACGCGCCCCTTCGCGTCCGGCCGCTCCTCGTTCATCCGCACGCACTTCGCGACCCCTCGCTTTCCTGGCAAGACGATCCTCTGGTCGGGAGCTGGCGCGGCGATCCTGAGCCCGCTCGCGTTTGTGGAGATAAGCCACGAGGAAACGGACAATGGCAAAACGCACGAAGAGGCCATGCTCGACGTGTCGAGGAGGGAGCTAAAAGAGCAGGTTCCGAAAGCGATACAAAACTCCAGCAAGTACCGGCGTTCGCTATACTTCTTCGTTGATCTGTACATAATTGAGCCGATAGCAACCGGTCTGCGCTTCTTGCACCTGGTCATCATCTTCGTGCCCGTGTTGGTTGCCGTGCCGGCGATATGGCTCGGGAGGAGGCAGCCGGCCAGGGACAACGAGAGAAGCGGGACGCTCTGGTGGTACAGCTTCCTCGTGAGATCCATGGAGCGCGCCGGCGCCGCCTACATAAAGGTGAGAGCTTGGGATACGCCGCACGGAGCCCCGCTGATCTTGCATAGCTGGGGCAATGGGCCGCATCTCGCTCCGATGTGTTCCCCACAGAGCTCTGCCGGACCATGTCGACGCTCCATTCCAACGCTCCCGCACATTCGCTCGAGAGGACGAAGGAAACTGTGGAGAGGGCTTTCGATGGCCGGCGCTTTGAGGACATATTTGACGAGTTCGACGAGAAACCACTCGGCGTAGGTGCCATTGCTCAGGTATACAAGGCAAAGCTGAAGCCGGACCTCGCAACCTTGGACCAGGAGCGTCTCGAGCTGGAACCTCCCAACCTGCGACAGAGGATAAGGAAGAACGTCGACGTGACGCTGAAAAATATCCCACACAGGGTGCCGTCGAGCCACGTCGCAGTCAAAGTGTTGCACCCAAAGATCGAGAGGGTGGTGCGCAGAGATTTGCGCATCATGGCTTTCTTTGCTGCGGTCATCAATGCCATCCCCACCATGGAATGGCTGTCTTTCCCTGATGAGGTCAAGCAATTTGGTGAGATGATGAGGCTGCAGCTGGACTTGCGCATTGAAGCTGCCAATTTGACTCTATTCCGACAGCACTTCAAGCACCGAAGCACCGCATGGTTCCCATATCCATATACCGAGTACACGACGCGCAGCGTCCTGATCGAGGAGTTCGCTCAAGGCATACCACTTGAAGACTTCCTGCAGAATGGCGGAGGCCCGTTCCAAGAGGATATTGCCAACGAAGGCCTCAATGCTTTCCTGACCATGGTCCTGATTGACAACTTCATTCATGCCGACCTGCATCCTGGAAACATCATGGTGCGCTTCTACAAGCCTGAGAAGCTAGACGTGTCCATCCTCAGCCGTAAAGAAGACAGGACAACAGGCCCAAAAGATTCACCAGACGTGACCGAAGAGGTGCTTCGAAGATTGCGACCTTACAAGAAGGATCCACAGCAATGGAGAAAGCGGCTCGAGGAGATCGATCATGAGGGATATCGGCCGCAGATCATCTTCATCGATACCGGTCTTGTTACCGAACTCAATGCAACTAACAGGGCGAACTTCCTTGATCTATTTAAAGCAGTTGCTGAGTTTGACGGATACAAGGCCGGCCACCTTATGGTCGAGCGGTGTAGACAGCCTGAGGCGGTCATTGATGCCGAGGTATTCGCTCTCCGCATGCAGCATCTGGTCCTAGGGGTGAAGAGCCGGACGTTCGCGTTGGGCAACATCAAGATTGGAGATATCCTCAACGAGGTTTTGTCCATGGTACGGACGCACCATGTCCGACTTGAGGGCGACTTTGTCAATGTGGTGCTGAGCATCCTGCTACTGGAGGGCATCGGTAGGAGCCTAAACCCAAATTTGGATCTTTTTGCAGGGTAGGTATCCCTGACATGCCATGACACTGGCGTTGCTAACATGATTCAGCGCTCTACCAATCCTGCGGCAACTGGGCGCCCAGAGCGGCGCGGGTATGATCAGAGGTGGTGATTTCTCCATGCTCCGGGTCTGGGCTGGTCTTGAAGCTCGCAGCTTCTTGCAAGCCTCTGTTGAATCGGTGAGTGAAGTGTAATGTACTAATCGGCCATTCTGCTGATATCGACTAGGTCGAACGATGCGTCAAATACGACCAGCTGTCGCCGAACATCTAATCCCAGCTTCAGACATGTTACCCTTTCGCCTCGCAATTTTCATCCATCGTATTCGACTATCCCAATAGGCCTCGGCCGAGACGAACCGAAGCCCTACTCACGCCACTCATCAGATATACATATTTCTCGTGGCATGATATGTACAAGCGGATCCGGCTTCATAGGAGCGACACCCTGCCCTGAGTAACAGGGTCCATTTTACGCAACATGTTTTCGTCAGCCATGGAAGACGGCTCTAAGCTCAATTGGATTGCAGCATTTTTTGGCGTTCGGGCGCTTGAGCGGGCATGATACACATAGAGGTAAAGACGAGAGTACTGTGAGGGGGTTTTTGTCTTCTGGAGACCGAAGTCTTTATTACTTGTTCTCACAGTGCGCCAGTCGGGGCTGCACGTGGTGCTTAGCGGGGTGGTGGTGCAATACGTCATCTTAGCGGGCAAGCTCAGCTCCAGCTCCGTAAGCAGCAATCACACCTCACCTCATACACATAATTGGGCACCAAGTCTCCCCTCCATATCTTACCTCTCATCACCTTTTCCTTTAACAGTTGTTCTGGATCCCTTTTCAGAAGCTTCGCCTCCAATTGCCTGGCCCTCCCACATCACCACAGCACACCATGGAAGCCGCCGCAGGCGTAGCCTACGCCGCCGAGAATCTTCTCTCCGGCGCCGCAGCCCTCATAAAGGGCGTAACACATCCGGCTCTTCCGCTGAAAGCGCACCTCACGCACATTACCTCCTGCCCGCTGCCGCGCGCTCAACACACCCTCTCCGTGGTCAAAGGCCGCGCCTACATCTTCGGCGGCGAAAGCGAACCAGGGAAACTCGCTGACAATGCCATGCACATTGTCATTCTTCCCTCAAGCGGCGTCCTAGAAGCAGACTACACGTCTATCGCCGCGAGACCGGAACAGCCGGACGGAGAGGTACCGGCGCCGCGTAAGGGACACACAAGTGTGGTTATTGGGGATAGTGTATACATCTTTGGTGGCGAGGGCGTGGAGAATGAGAACGGGAGGGTTTGGATATTTCATACGGTGAGGAATTCGTGGACGTATCTAGATCCCGCACCGGATACTCTGTACCCGAGCCATTGTGCGGGGCATGCGTGCGCGAGCTCAGAGTTCCCGGGCCCAAAGGACATAACGTACAAGGAACGCGCACCGCAGCAGCCGGTCGACCCAGCGAAAAATGTCCCAGAGCCCGCTGATCCGGATTCCTGGGGCACCCTCTTCGTCGTCGGCGGAAAGAATCTGCAAACCGGGGAGCTAATGAGCGAATCACTAGCCTTCGACGTGCGGTCACGCACATGGTCCAACATCCCCACTCCCCCAGGCCTACCATGCGAAGGCTCCAGCATGGCGCTCGTAGGCAACATCTTATACCGCTTCGGAGGCAAAGCCGGCGAGGGAGAGATCGCGGGCGCCGACCCCATACGGTATCTCGACGTGTCGCCCGTCTGGAAACACGCAGAGGGCGGCACTACGCCTTTGACCAGCGGCTGGGCTTGGGACGAGATATCGTCTTCGGCTGATAGCTCGGCGAGGCAGGTACGCTCACATGCTGGACTTGAAGGGGTGACGACAGGCCAGGGACGACACTACCTCCTTCTTGTGGGCGGCGAGGGCGAAAACTCGACGTATTATGACGACATATGGGCGTTGCAACTACATCCCAAAAAGGCCAGCGCGGCTGCGACGAAAGATAGCATGAGGAGCAGAATGAAGCGCGATACGCATGAGGAAGAGTGGGCGGAGGTGGGATATAAATACGTGGATGCGAAAGATGACGAGGACAGGGAGGTGGGACTGCCAGAGAAGGGGCTTGGGAAGAGGAGTAGGTTTGCGGTGGCGAAGGGGACGGAGGTTGATGGGGCGAGTGTGGTTGTTTGGGGTGGAGTGGATGCGGAGGGGAAGGTATTGAGAGATGGGTGGCTTGTTACTGTGGAGTGGTAGGGAAGCTGCTCATCGAGAGGATACCTCCGTGCTAGGCCGTGGAACTCGACGATAAGCGTTTAGGATGGGAAAACAATTATGACGACCGTAGCATTTAGCGTGAGGCTCGGGTAGGAAGACCAAATCTACGGGTGCTCGAAACGAGGAAGACGGACACTTCTATTAACATGTCTATAAACGTAGCGCTTATGCAAAAGAACCAACAATGAAGCACGTAGACAAGAACGCCGAGCCAGGACTCTAGCCGTCCAAAGAGCCCTGTTATTACACCATCCTCTGATTCCACCGAGCCGAAAATGCCAGAATCGTATAGAGAGTCAATACCCAAACACGCCCTCATCCAACAGGCTCTGACTAGCCACAAAGCTAAAGCCTCCAAACATATCCTTCTCTATGCAATCTGCTTCAGCGAAGGTGCCCCTCCTGCTCATCACCGGGCTCGGCAAAGCCGCATCCGTAAATTCGGTCGAGAAATTCTCCGCAAGTTCCGGATCCGTGATCAGGGGTTGAATCGGAGGCTCAAGCTCCCTAGTTTCGAGTCTCTTCCAATTGATCTTACGGAAGAAGCGATGGGTCTTAATGGTAGTGAGATCTTTGGGCATGTTGGATCCGAGCCGCTTCTTGGGCTCCTTGCGGAGGAGGCGCGTAAGAAGGTCCTTGGCGTCTTGGCTCATATAGTACGGGAGAGCGAGTTTCTTGCGGAGAATGCCCTCCTCGATCTTAGTGTAATTGTTGCCCGTGAAGGGGGGTGAGCCGGTCAGGAGGTCGTAGCCAAGCGCACCCAGGGACCACCAGTCGACGGCCATACCGTATTCCTTGCCGAGAAGGACTTCTGGTGCCATAAACTCGATGGTTCCGGCAAGGGAGCGGCAGGTAGCATCTTCTTCAATGGCGACTTTGCTCAGGCCGAAGTCAGTGAGGAGAAGGTGGCCTTCGGCGTCTAGCATGCAGTTCTCGGGCTTGAGGTCGCGGTAGACGATGCCGACAGTGCGATGTAGGTAGTCGAGAGCGAGCACCATTTCGGCCATGTAAAACGCGGCAGTATCCTCGGTGAACATACGCTCTGTCGCTAGATGGTGGAAAAGCTCGCCGCCCTGGGCATACTCCAGGATCAAGTAGAGCTTCTCGTGGTCTTGGAAAGCGTAGTACAGGTTGACGATGAACGGGTGTCGGTTGACGCTCTCCAAGATGGAGCGCTCAGTCTTGGCCTGCTCGATGAGCTTCTTGCGCACGGTGATGGAAGCCTTCTTGAACTGCTTCTGCGCGTAGAGGCGGCCGGTGGCTCGCTGCTTCACCAGGAGGACAGTGCCATAACTCCCTTTACCAAGGCAAGTCAGAGTGTCAAAATCGTCTGCGGTCATCTTGCGTGTGACGCTGCTTGTGACCATAGTCGAGGGCTTCGAGCGGACATCGGGACTAACGAAGTCCTCCTCGAGAGGGACCTCGTAACTGTCCATCTCAGTCCGGTCGCTATCGCTTTCGAGGCCAGAAACGCTTGCGTTGCTGGATAATCCGGACCTGAGCAGGCCATTCGACACCCCTCTGACTGGAGAGTCAATGCGCGGACCGATGTTCAGGGCTTCTAGATGCTGCTTGAGGTTGGTGATACCTCCAGCAGCGGACGCCGGCCTCAGGGCCGGGCTGCTGGTAACACTGGGAAGCGCAGAAAGAGAAGCACCAAGACGTGGAGTGGTCGCGACAGAGAAATCGGACTCCTCCCCAGAAGCAACGGGTGTCTCGAAGCCCCGAACCGTGTTCATGGCAGGCGCAGGCTTCAGCCCCTTCTTCTTCTTGCGCTTGTTCTTCTGAGCCTTCTTCATGACGGCGTCGAAATCCAGCTTGTCTGCGTGCCCTGGCTCCTTGGGCTCTGCTTTTGGCTGTACCAGACGCTTCGGCACCGGCGAGGCGATCGTAATAGGCGGGGTACCCGTTTTGAGGGGCGATTTCGGGGAATCGATGGCCATCGCCCCCGCTCCGTTCAGGAAGACGTCCGTGTCTTTCTTCGTAGGGCCGACGCCATTCTGCACGCTCCCTCCCGTGGGGTGCGCCTCATCATGGTCGAAGGTCAAGCGCGCCATGTGCTCGGACGGACCGCCGACGCGTAAAAATAGGTGTGTTGCGCGTGAGATCAAGCCTCCGCTTGCTTCTAGCCCATGCGCGTCAGCAATCGCGAAGCCGGAATGCCCAGAAAAATCGCGCACATCCAAATTCAATATCTGTTGCGTTTACCGGCCGCCCAGTGCTCAAGGCGGCCCTCCCGCCAGTACACTCCACAGCAGCGAGGCAAAGCTCGCGTGGATCTTGGAGAGGCCGAAAGTCAAAACAGCGTTCGGGATCGCGGAGGCAGCCAGGGTGCAGCCCAGGGCAAAGGAAGCGGTCGCGGTGTTGGAAGCAGAGCCCATAGATGGAGATATGACGGTAGGTGCTGGATGCGTGAGGATAGCCAGGCGTCGGTCCTGGCTGGCAGAGTTCAGGAGGTGGTGTGCGAGTGTCAGCGGCGGTGTAAGAAGAAAGGCGGACAAGTTAAGGCCAGAGGGGAGGCTCCGTCCAAGTTTAATTTTAGTGCCTTGGCGTTCGTTCCATGTGAATTGGGCCTTGCCATTTGCGGACGTGTGATTCGCGCCTTCCCCGGATTCCGAGACCCCGGAAAATCATCGCCCACACATTCACGCCTCGCCACTATTGGCATCATCACTGCCGCTCCTCTTCCAACTCTATCAGAAAGGCGATAGTTTTATGCACTGACAATTGGCGTCTCCTGCTATATACTACACACCCATTACCTCAGGCATAGACCGACCATACGAGAATGTCACTTTTACAACCCTCATACGCTCGTCAATTAATAACACACTTCTGTCCCCACGCGCCTCGTGCCATGCAACCTTGGAAACCCCATCACTGAGAACCACGAGCAAAACCGGTTTACGTGCAAGTGCCATATTTAGTCTGGCAGCCCGTTCCGCAGTGCCCAGTCGTAGAACCGCACCATCCGTACTGTGAGCAGCAGTTGCCAAACGTCGAGCCTTTGCACGTCGTGCCGGCCGTGGAGCCGCAGGTACCATCAGTCGACACCTTTGTGCCAGAGGCCGCGGGGGCCGTAGAAGTCTTCGTCGAAGTGGCAGTGCCGCAGGTGCCGAAGGCGGATTGGCACCCGGTGCCGCAGTAAGCGCTGGTGGAGCCGCACCAGCCGTTGACGGAGCAGCAGTTGCCGAAGGCGCCGCCCAAGCAAGTGCTATGCCATGTTAATATCCAGTTGAACGGGGCGGGAGGGAGTAACTCACTATCCGTTGGTGCCGCCGCAAGTAGCATCCGGCGTCACTTTCTTAGTCGCAGTGGAAGCAGGGGCGGAGGAAGTCTTCGTTGTAGTCGCCTTGGTGGAGGAAGCGGGTTTCTTGAGATCCAGAAATGTTAGATCGAGGTTTATGTTAAGCAGACGGTAGGAAAGGTATTGCTTACGGTAGTGGTCGCCCCCCCGCCGGAAGAGGAGCTGCGGTACCAGTTGGAGGACGCGTCGCCGAGGCACTCACCGACCGTGACGGCCTTGTATCCGAGCCCAGTGAGCGTGGAGAGCATGTACTCGGTCAGATTGTACGCCGTCTGGGCGTGGATATCGTGCGAGATAGAAAGCCAGTCACTGCTGGCCGAAGTGGCGCCACCGGCCGTGATGTTGCCCCGGAACCAGTTCTTGGAGTTCTGGATCTTCTTGGGGTCGTCCTGCTCATAGTCATCCGTGTCGACATCAAAGTAGATAACGTGGTAGCCGAGGTTGGCCATGTCAGACTCGCAGCCCGATGGAGAGTCGCAGCTGGAGTACGGCGGGCGCATGTAGGTGGGGAAGAAACCGAGGATGTTGCGCAGGGCCATCTCGTTCTTGTACATCTGGTTTTTGCGGTCGACGGCGCTGATGGCGCTCAGGTCCAGATGGGTCCAGGTGTGCGAGGCGATCTGGTGGCCGTCGGAGTACATGCGCTTAATGGTGGCTGTGAAGTCGGCATCGGTGTCGATTTCGCCCTTGGCAAGGTTGTTGCCGGTGATGAAGAAGGTCGCCTTCGCATTGTACGACTTGAAGATGTCCAAGATGTGGTTCGTATAGTTCTTCTGCGGGCCATCGTCGTATGTAAGAGCTATGGTACCTGGCGTCACGCAACTGTAGATACCAGCTCCGCCGTAGGCAACAGAGCCGAGCTTAGTACGAGCGACGGTTGAGGTGTTGGTTCCAGCAGGCGTTTGGTTCTCAGGGCAGCCCGGGCCGTACTTGTATTGACAGCCAGGAGAATAGCAGTAGTCTGCAGTGTTACCACACCCTATATGGCGTCAGTGATGAGGCACGAAAAGTTGTAGAGTGGAAAGCATACAGCCAGACTCTGAGCAGCAATACCCGGTTGAACACGATCCGAATGAGCCACCACACTGGCCATCGGTGCCTCCCTGACGGGCCTTCAAAGTCTCGCGCTTCTCGTGGGCCTCGCGGGCTTCTTGCTGACTAGCTTCGGCGACGCGGGCCTTCAAATTGCTCAGCATGTCCCGGGATTTCAAGTCCCTCATGTTCAGTCCCTGGATCCTGGGAATGGCGGGACCCTCATGGGCGGCAACGAGCGGCGCAACCGCCGCAACAGCAGCGAGAGCAGCTGAGAAGTGCATATCGGATGCAGTGGAAATATATTACGGATTAGGGGGTACTATATGTAGGGTGAGGGTAAAACGAAAAGCGAATGACTGGTGTGAGCCAAGGGAATGGACTACACACGGAAAGACGTCTTTATGAAGAAAAGCGAGAGTGGGCCACACGGGGAAAGGTGGTGAGGTGCAGAAAGGAAAGGATCACGAGGTGCTGGGCTGCAGAACGTTTAAGAAGGCGTGAGGATCTACCGCGGACAACACCCTGGACGCCGCCAGCTGCTAATCTTGACTCGCTCTGCAGCCTAACGAGAGACGGCGGATGGTGGCCCTTGTCTGGCCCAGGGCCGAGTACCCTAGCTTTTGTGCCCCTTTAGGCTGCGGGCCTGGGGCCTCCACCCACGCCATTCCCGCTACGTATTGCCTGGCCCAGTGGTCGGGATCGCTTCGAGTGGGCCGGGTCCCGGATTGGAGCAGGCCGTCCTCGCAAGGGGCACGGGCACCCGCGAGATGCAGGAACCTGGCATGTTCCAAAGCGCTTTCCGGGCTTGGCAAGGAGAGTTGTGCATGGTTGTCTGACTTGGGAATACTGTGCGTGGATTAAGCCTTATCGCCGAGGAAGTGTAATAGGGGATCGGGCTGCTTGGGCGTTTCGATATTGCTTGGACAGCTTTCCGAAAGCGTCTTGTTGATGAATCCTGGGGAAACATGACGCCGCGGCAAGTAGGCTGTTGAGTGGTCAAACACCCGTCGGTTCCGTGGCCGAGGGCCTCTCATTTCCGTGGGCTTCGTCATTGCCAAAGCCATGCCCTCGCGTTGAGGGACAAAGGAGAAAGCTGCTAGCGTAGCGACGGGCGTGGTAATGGCACCAGTGGCTGACGAGATGGCTTTCTGGCTCGCGAATCCTGCGCGCTATCGACGTAAACAAGCGGTGCCGACACCCGTGGTGCTCACCCCGCGTGGCTCTTGGGGTGCTTGGAGATGCTTGTTGAGCGTGCGGAACCTGGGGATGCCCGACAGGCCTCCTCATGTTTGTTGCCTTGTTCGGCAACTGCGGAGGTTCAAGCATGAAGAATACCGGTACTGTACATACTGTGTGTACGCAGGAGGTGATGTCGCGCATGAGAAGCATCCGAGACCAACACAGCCCCCTCCTTGACCGAATTAAAGCCACACCACTCACCACCGCGCTCGTTTCAGCCCCTGATCCTAGGCCAAAGAAAATCGCTGAGCAGCCCAATTGTTGAGTAACCTTCCACTGCTCGCGAGAAATGGTCGGTGGAGAGCGAACCACGTGTTCCACGAGAAGGGGAGATATCGATACGCCTTTCGTACGAGGTGCCACCTCGTCTACGGTACGAGGCTCCATGCCAGCGATGCCAGCGATACCACCTGCCGTGCTGATCATCAATACAGTACAATGCAAGTCATGCCATCGAACAACCCGCTGGCAATCGGGTGGAGCTAGAAAGCAATATTTCCTTATACACGTATGGCAAGGCGTCCTCGTATTTCCCCTCTTTGGTCGCTTGGTCGCAGGCAAGCGTTCCGCTGACCGGCGATGCGCGAGGCTCCAGTCCAGAAAAGCTTCTGCCCTCCACTCGGCCCATTTGTTGTCGCAAGCTGCAATTTCCCACCTTCCTGGCCTCACACCACCTGGCGCGGAACTTTCGACCGAGGCGTTCATGTCCAGCAATCATAAAGCTTCGCTGTCGACTAGTCAGCCCGCCCAGCCAGCCCCGTGGGGTCGCTTGCATTTTTATTTTAAGCAGCAGGACCAAGTCACACAAGCAAAGCGAAGCGCGAGGATCTGCCGTCTGCTCACTGCTCCGCGGAACACGTTTCGCTGAGACTCTTGAATCATTCGAATCATCACATTCGAAGCATGCGCTTTCTTCAGCTGCGTGGTGCGTCGCACGGCGTCGGAATCGCACTCGGAATCGCACCTGGTGCTCAGGGGTGACACTGCCACTTCTGCCCGGTGAGCGGAATCACACGCGGCTTTCCGAAATCGCATGCCTCTGGTGCAAGAGAATTGAGCTCGAGCTTGAAAGTTGGGTATCGAAAGGAAACACTCGTTACCTCCACCGCTCACCGTCCTACCCTCCCGTTATGTAGCCGTTCCTCCCCGCCATTGCATTGTTGACCGCAATCGCGAGACTCGCAATATCATAGTTCGTTGAAACCGATCTCGGCTTGTCGTAAGGAAACACCACCGATTTATCCCTTATACCAACCGCATCGATATACAGCACGTTCGGGAGGCTCTCCGGCGTGAACGAATTGAATGCATTCACAAACAGATCATCGTAGACCGAAACCGCTAAATTCATAATTGCCTTGTCGAAGTTGAGGACGTCCTCCGCTTGCTGCGTAAGCGTCCATGAGAGCAGGTGGAACTTGTCTTTGCGTTGTCCGGCATTGGCGACCAGGTTGCGCTCTGTTTTCAGCTTGGCCAGTTGATCCTTCTCCATATTCGATACATCGTTAGAGTTAGAATAAGAGTCGTAGACAGGAAAGTTGTCCTGGTTGAAGAAGCCCTGGTTGGCGTAGTCGCCCAGCGAGATGCCGCCTGGCAGCTGTGCGACGATGAAGACGGAGGCGCCGTCGGTGATGAAGTCGCCTAGCACGTGGTTTGAGAAGTCCTCCTTGCCTGGGTTGTTGACTGTGAAACGATTGTTGACGACTTTGAGTGTGTCGAAAAGCTTGTTCCATTGGTCTTGCGTGAGGTCCTTGTAGTCGTTATCCGTGTCTAGCGTGTGGGAGAGGTTGATAATAACGAGCTCCTTATACTGCTTCGTGAAGTCGTTGATCTGTTTAATCATATCGGAAAGGGCTTGTCCATTGCCGCCCAGCCAGACATTTTCAACCTCGCTGTAATGCCCCGCCACCCATTGCCCGCTGGAGATGACGGGACGGATGTCAAAGTAACGGGAACCGGCCATGAGCTGCCCGTATATGTCGAGATACTGGGTCTGACTATTTGCAAAATGAGCGCCGACGGTCCCTGCCTTGAACGTGCCCATTCCCGCGTCGTGCGAGCCGGGCATACAAATCTGCTTGAGCGTCCTGTTGCCCAGAGAGCCCATGCCCTGTTGCATCCAATCGGTCGTCATTCCGCTATTTGACCACCAATCTCCTGCCTCATCCGTGGACATGATCCAATCGACCGCGGCATCATGTCGGAATCCAAGGTCGATATTCGCTCCCTGCTGGCTTTGCTTCGTCGACATGCCATCCAAACTTATCGTGAGCATATAATCAGACGGCTTCCGACCCTTGATTTGGAAGTGATTCACAGTGTCGGCAATGTTATAGTACGCTTCCCCAGCATCATCCCCAGCGTGTCCTTTCGTGCCGAATTCGACGTAGACTCTCGCTGCTTTGCCTGCGCTGATGGTCGGCCAGGTCCAGGCATCCATTTGATAAGAATGCTGTCCGCTCAACGTCCAGTCATGCGGAGACCCATTCAGAAGGGTCAAAGAGCCGCCTACAAAGGATCAGCATATGTCCTCCTCGCGAATCTGGCTCCGAAAAGCATCGAAGCATACCGTAACCCATAGTGACGACGTCGAAAGATGTGTCGCGCAGGGGCTGGCCCCGGTCGTACTCGATCAAATTATACAGTCAAAAGGAAGGAAAGGCAGCACTGCTAACTCCTCCATCTTGCAGGACAATCCCGCTATTTAGAGGGCATCCACCCCGGGGTCCAGAAACCAAGCGCATGATGCACTGTAGCTCCCGCCCGCCTAATCGGTCACACCCGCCGTCCAGCGGCCTCTTCTCCTTCGCTCATTCGCAGGGCGAATCTGCTAAACTTCCCTTAGGATCCGCAGCTTAGAGATTCGTTTCCGGGGTGCAGCTCTCACGAGGCGCGTTGAGTGGAGGGTTTATGGGGTGGTGTTTCGCTCACATGCCTGATTGGGTTAATTGCTGTTTCATGAGATTAAACGGCCATCCAGTCCGAAGTCCGCACGCCTCAAAAGAGAAGGTCGCGAGGCGAAATATCCATGTGATGGCCCAAGAGCGGTGGGTCGCTGCAGCGGCAATTACATGCCTAGAGTGGCGCAGAGGGAGGCTCGTTCGTTATGCGAAACACTCGGAACGGTGATCGAATGCGGCAATGCGGCTGTCAATGTGAAGGCGACTGATAGCTGGCCTGTCAGTCTGACGACCAGTAGAACGGCTGGAAATAGCACCTGAACGGCGCGTGCGCTTGGTGAAATAAGAGGGCAATTGTGTAGAGGTTTCACATGATGCGCGCGCGATATGTGGTGGGTGGGCCGCGAACGAAGAGGAAGGTGCAAGCAAAGTCGTTCGAGGAGGCGCGGGACGCTAGGGCCAATGGCGATCGACTGGTGACGATCTCTCCATGGAGTTTATATTAACCGCTGTCTTTTAGACGTGAACTTGTGGGTATTCATGAGGACTCTAGATGCTGTGATATTCACGTTGCCTCCATGGTTGACTGGCGGCGGTTCGTTTTTCCCGGGTACTACGACGCACTACAACGCACGTTTCTTAGGGTTAGGGCACCCTGCCGTGTAATTGCGCTAGGCAAATCTCCGTCTAGAAGAGTCACTACGTCCCTAGGGGTCCCTAGGGATCAGATCTCACGTCTACCCAAGGTTACGGGGACTGCATGAACCGTCTGTATTGTATTTTCTGCATCGAGCCCCTTAACATTTTGCCCTTCTGCTAAGCTATGCCAGCAATCCTAGATGAGGGTTTGGTTTCCGAGCACGCAATGCAACGAAGGCACTGAACTGATCCCTGCATGCAGGCGTTGAGTGCGAGGGCCCTCTTTCAAACAAATCCTGTAGCTGTTCCGGCCTGACGACAGGCTTGTCGTTCTCAGAATCCTGCCAAAGCCCCTCATTGGCCTCGAATTGCGACAGCGATACCCTCTTTTTCGACACTGTCTGTGTATCATCATCTTCCTCCTTTATATCCACATCCATACCGTCGGCGAGAAGCTGTGGCTCAGGCCCAGGCGGCGGAGTAGGGAGTTGGAGTGCGATGGCTTTTGGACCGATGACGCGAATGCTTGATGCCGAGTCCAGGGCGACATATCCTCTACCTCTCACAGGAGCCAGACCCAGGACGATACCAGGAAGCTTTGTACTCCAGGGTGCTTTTAGGTTGTCGGTGTTGAAAATGTGGACCTTGGCGGATGCTTTCTTGAACCTCTTGGTGTCTCGCGACTTCGACTTGTGGTTCTTCTCGAACTGTGGGACCGAGACCGCAAAAGTGCCGTCCTCTTCATTGACTGCAAGCCGTACGAACGGGGCGCGGTTCTCAATGTCAACACCGGGGGTTTCGACAGGGAAGAAATAAACGAGCTGATCCAACACCATGTCCCACACAATGACGGAGCCGCTAACAGCGACCAGATAGCGACCAATGATCCCAATACCGGACAGTGCACGCATTTCTAGCTCTGTTATCGAACGTCGAATGATGCCTGCTTCCGTGTCAACGATGTGGATTACACCGGATTGACCCTCTGACATCCATGAGACGCCAGCAGCAAGGGCCGAGCCATCCGAAGAGAAGCTTAACCGACAGGTGCGCAAGTCTGACCATTCCTGTGTATCTCCGTTCGTCTCGCCGACGTCGAGCTGACTCGGTATCGTTATCAAGCGGTCAAGAGACCAGGTAACAAGACCTTGGGGTTTGTCGGCTCCACGAACAACGAGACCACCTTGTATTCTCGTCCTAGGCCTCCAGACGCGAATAAATCGGTCTTCACCTACAGTGGCGAAGCCCAGTCCAGAAGGATCCGCAACGAGGTCGAAAACGGAGGCATGCGCCGATAACGCTTCAAGGAAGTGGGGCGCATCAATGCGAGTACCGAGCGACCACTGCGAACTCTTTGCATCCCACAGCCAGAACTTGAGGTAGACTTCTCGGCGGTACGTCCGCTCCTCTTCGTTAAACGCAGGTATGCCTTCCTCGAGGAAGCCCATGTCGGCCCGCGGCGGGATCCACTCGTCAACCGTAGCAAGCCATTTTCCGTCACAACTGACCTGTAGGAACTTGACACTCGGCTCATCTATTCTCCTGCCTTCAGGGCCCATGTTCGGGTCCGTAGCATTGTTCCGGGTGAGAGCCTGCCGTGAGATCGCGCGTTGCGTAGCCATATCAAAGGTTTGAAGGTAGGGTTCAGGAACGAGCCCTGAACGCCGCCGATGACGCGGCTGAGACGATGGCGTGGTAAACAGCACACGTTTTCCGTCCTCTGCATCAATAGCCATAGGAATAGGACCGAAGATCTCAAACGGATATATTCTCGGGTTGGTCTCGCGCGGTAGTTGCTCCAGGTCGATCCTCCGCGACTGAACTCCGACGATGTTCGTCCTCGCCTCCAGTTCCGACGTTGAGAGCACGATTACGGAGTTATTCGCGAGTGAAATGGCATACGATGCGCCGGACGGAGACACCACGATATGCTCAATCGCCGCGGTAAGGTGAGGGAGGTGTTGCTGCTTCCCGGTCGAAAGTTGCCATATCGTGATGACCGTTTCGTTGCCTCCCGAGATCAGGTAGTTACCTGCGTGTGTCAATCACAAGTACCGAAAACTCTGGCGGACTGCTTACCATCTAGTGACCACTTCAGCGAACCCACCGCATCTCTATGCCAGTGAAGACGCTTCGGCCTGAGACTTTCGGGACCGATGCTCTTGTCTTTGCCGCCTTTTTGACTCTTTTCGATCGCAGCAAATGATGCGAGTATATCTTCAAAGAGGTGTATAGCGCCTTCCTCGTCCCCAATGGCAAGATCCAAGTGGTCTCGAGGGTCTTGTTCTAGGTTCTTTCCCTTTAGATTCTCCGGAAGTCGAATGTGAGCATTGAAGGCAGTAATGCGCTTAGACGTCTTGAATTCTTGCCACGTGTACCCCAAATCCTGCAACGCCGTTTTGTGAAGCTTTGTGGGCTTGCCAATCATAATGGAGTCGGCCGAGCTGACGACGACGATCTTTCCTTGGAGGAAAACTTGCAGCCCGGTGATCGGGGAGCTGCTTTTCAGTATGCACTTGAGCTCCGTCGGAGCACTTTGATTCGCTGTGCGGAGGGCATGCACGTTGATGATATGGCTGCCTCCGGCCTCGTAACAGTACAGCAGATCAAGGGCAGACTCCGGCTGGGTGACCACTGCCAAATGTCGCACGTTCCCTCCAATGTCCCAGCGCCCAATCATGGACCTGTTGGTCCAGTTTCGTAGTGTAACGATACCGGCGGAGTCTACAATATAGACATGGTTCGGCTCGGAAGCAGACAGAGCGTAGGCTAAGATCACTGCTGAGCCACGCAAAGGAAGCTCGTTTGCAAGCAACGATGTCTCTGTTGAGTATACCTCCAGGGCTTGCAGTTTGGCCAGAAGAAGGCACTTCTCGTCTCGGGAGAACACAGGATCCTGCGGCAAGAACCAGCCTCCATGGGGGCCGGATATCGACCAGCGATCGGATGATATACCCTTGCTCTTCTTCTCTTTCTTCTTCTTTGAAGGCTGGGCCTCTTTATCGCCATGCCCGCTTGACGCTGCAATAGACTCCTCGGTCCTGCTGTTTTCGGGGACCTTCTCCTTGATTACGTTTTCGCTCTTCCGATTGCGCTCTTTCCATTTTTGCTTCTCGCTCTTTTTCGTCTTAGAGTCTTTAGATGCGCTTTCTGCAGCGACCGCATTTCCACCGACAATTTTCTGCTCCCGTACGGGAGTGGCTTCCGCGGCAGCCTGGTCCTCAACCCTAACTGCTGGTGCATTGGTGATTTCCAGACCATGAGCACCCTTCAATTTGGATTGCTTCCTGTCTTTCCGCGAGCTTGAGGGCGTACCAGCAGCGGACTCGCGCGCACCGTTCGTCTGAGGCTTCTCTGAAAGTCCATGCTTCGCTTTCGGTGTCGGCGTCGGCTTGGGCGTCGGTTTGGCTACCGGCGTAGCAGTTTCCACTTTCCCAGGAGTACCGTTCTGCGCTTCCGCTTCCGCCGCCTTGCTCTTTTCTTCTCTCTTCGCCTTCTTCCTGTGTGGCTCTGCCCCTTCCCTCTTCCTCTTCAAATTTAACGTCTCTGGAGTACCAGCCATTGCGATCACCTTCGCAGCGCAAAGGATCCAGCGCCGGTAGAGTCTCAAAGAGCCGCTGTAAAACTCTGCACGAAGTGCTCTAGAGGTTCGCCAAAAAGTTCGAAAGCTCGAAATAATTTCGACAGACGGAGGTCCGAGCTTTTTACCGCCCGCATACCACCGAGGTTTAGCCGTCGCCGGGGCCCTGAATTTCTTTGAGCGCTCACGACAACTTTCAAGCAAGCTCAAGCGCCCCTCCTCCGACCCTCTTCTCTTGCAGCCAGCGTGCAAACTATTTGATCGCGCGCCTTCATAGAGCATATCAAAGCTAGCACTGCCCCCAAAATGATCATCCCCATCCGCTGCTTCTCCTGCGGCAAGGTACGCGCCCCATGCCCCTCTTTCAACCCATAGCTGACCCTCGTCAGGTCGTCGGCGACCTCTGGGAGAAATACCTCGAGCGCATAGATAGCGGCATGGATGATGCGTAAGCCCTCGCCTGTCCTCTCCGCAACCTTTACCCCGAATCATCTAACTTCCCCGCGATACCAGGGAAGCCATCGACAGCCTCAACCTCCAGCGCTACTGCTGCCGGCGCATGCTGCTCACCCATGTTGACCTTATCGAGAAACTCCTCAAGTACGTGCCTTCCATCGAGCGCGCCGAAATGCGCAAGAAGATGCGCGAGAAAGCGGCCAAGAAGAACGCAGATCTCATGGCCTGAAATACGTCCCGGACAGGGGCTAACGTTGTGCGTTTGCAGGTACAATGCGAGCGAGAGGGAGCAGGCGAGGGCTATGCGGCGGTAGTGAGAGGGCCCTTGCGCCCTTGAAATAATGGAGACCCTCGCCGAGAGGGTGCGGGCTATGATGGCTTGGAGGTTTGCGTGTCAAGGGCATTTTTATGGCGTTATGGTGCGGAAAAGGAATGAAAGCCTGCTTACTCTCTGATACCGAAGCTTTGAATCTATTTGCTGCAAGTCCCACCGGTCCGACCACATAAAGCCTCTTCTCAATCACTAGCCTAGGCGTGGCATCGCAAGTTGCGTAACCGTAAAGCAACAAGGTTCGCAAAACACGTCCACAGCTGTGTAAATGAACTTGAAGCTTTCCGAAGCTTCCCACGGTAGAAACTCCGATTCAAGTCTCTCGGTAGTTGACACTCGCTCCCCGCGGACGCACCACGGTCAGCAAAGTAGTTTATAAAAAGCCTTCTCCTCAAGTTCAGGGGCACCAAGTGTCACAACTAAGTGAGAAACAAGCACAGCACTCTATTATTACAAGTTGGACTATAGCCCGCGCATCCATTCTTAAGACTACGCTGTCCAAGACCTCCATTTTGACATAGCACTGGGGAAACTAGATAGCCAAGTAGATCAAATCCTTCCGTGCCATGAAGAGGGGAAGAAGATAGCGCTATGCAGACCCAGCCGCCCATGCATAATCGCCCATAACGCCAGATAAGCTACCCACCGAAAGGGATACCCAAAAAGACGTCTAGAAAGTAAGGAAGAAACGACAACGGAGGGGTTTAAGGAGGCAGAGAGCTTGTTTACCCCTTCTCGCTAGATTTCACTAGCGAGGATCGAATATTGGCCACCAGCACCGGCCCAGGTGAGCTTGGTGTCTCGTACAGCCGTGTTGTCGATTAGGGTCGGGGTTTCGATGTCGTCCTCTGTGCCTTGTCCAGTTTGGTAGTTGGCGGAGAACCCCCATGAATAAGCCTTGCCGCCCTTAGTGATGACAATGGTGTGTTCAGGCCCGCAAGCGCCAGTAACGACGTCCTTGAGGCCAGGGACGGGAGTTGGCACTATGAGAATCTTAGGCTTGCCGTGGTTCCGCTGGAGCCTAGTCTCGTCGTGAATAGCTTCGATCTGGTCAGGAGGAATTCCGGTTTGGGAGCCGTCACAGCGACCCCAAACGAGTACTGCGCCGCTAGCGGTGATGGCAATGTTGTGATGCGACCCTCCTTCGACAGATATAACGTTCTTTCCCTCGAGGCTATGGACGACGCGGGGTGTCAGGACGGTAGCGCCCTCTGCTCCAGCGTTCTCGGGGTGTCCAGTCTCGCAATAGTTGTTGGCGCCCCAGGTCCAGATATGGCCGTCTTCGCCGATAGCTATACCGTGGTAATCACCGCAGGCAATCTTGACGATTCGCTGGCTCGGTCGCTTAACGGAACTGTCGTGGAAGCCCACGCGATTGGGCAAAAGGGCTTCGATGAGGTTGCGCTCCGTCACGCGGCGGCCCAATTGGTTTTGCTGACCGTTGCCCCAGGCATAGACGTGCTTGTCCTTATCAAGCGTGAGAACGTGGTTGGTTCCGCAGGCGATCTGTGTGACTTTCTTCACACCCTCGATGTAAACAGGTGTATTCGCGGTATTGAGGGTTCGTTCAAAGCCAAGAATACCTTCGTTTTTCTGTACGCCTGTTAGCGCTAATTCTTCGAATACGATGGGAAATACCTACGCGGAAAGTACCCCAGCCATACACAGCGCCCTCGGTTGTCAGCGCAAAGGAACAACTGTCTCCGGCCGCAATGTCCACAAACACTGTATCTTCCGGGAAATGCTCCATGGAAATCGCGGTCGGAGTGGCCTCCTTCTCGTTCAAACCACCCGTCTCGTCTTCTGAGTCAGAGTCGTCATCATCTATGTCCCGCAAGACATCCGCGCCTGATGTGTCGCGTCCCAGAGCGCCGTTGTCGTTGACGCCCCAAGTGAGAATCTGGTTGTCCTTCGTCAACGCGACGACGTGCATGCCCCCCGTCGCAATCCTGACGACACTCATGTTGGTGAGCGCTTCATTGAAGCGCGGCCGCTTCACGTCGATAGCGCGGTTCGTCGCGCCGAGGCCGAGCTCGCCTGAGCTGCCTTCGCCGAAAACAAAGACCTTCAGAGGAACGGTATATCGAATCGCGTTAATCTCGGTCTTCTTGCCGTGGACACGTCGCGGGCCCTTGGGCTGAGGTTTCGGCGGTTCCTTCACTGCCTTTGTCTTTGCCTTCTTCGGTTTGTGTTCTGGCTCGGGCTCGGGCTCGCTCTCTTCGTCTTTCTTGCGCTTCTCGACATGTTTCGGCGCGGGAGCGGGGGTCTCCTCCTTCTTTGTGCGAGCACGGGGAGCGGCTCGAGAGGCGTAAGCACCTGAGCGGAGAACTCGCGACGTGGTCGACTTACCGGCCGCGGCCTTCTTCGCAGGCGGTACCACCGTGCCGTTTACAGCGGGCGTCTCTGACTTCTTCGCGCGACCTCGTCCAGCGCCTAGATGAGTTAGCGATGAAGGCAATGGGTTGTGTGCTAATGACATACCAGTGCCATTGACGGTGACTTCTTTAGGCTCGGGCTTCGCTGGCTTTGCGGCAGCAGCGCGCGTCGTTCCTCGAGGAGCCATTGTTGTGCGGTGGGATGGCGCAGCCGCAACGAGTTGAGAAGAGCCGAAGGAGAGTTGTTGTATTGGCGTGTTGTGGTAGTCCTAAGAAAAAAGAGACCAGGAACGCGATATGAACTCGTCGGGCCCACGCTTATTCGGCAGGGGTGCGTGCCTGCACCAGCCACAGCTGAGTCAGCCAAGACCCATTCACGGCGACTAACGTCACAGTCACCGGAACACTGCAAGCCCGCGTGATAACTGTTTACCTTGGTGGCCGTGGGGCACCGGAGTATATATCTGCTCTAACTCCTCTCTTGTGATTCTCTGTTTGCTTTCACCGCTTCCCCGGGCTGCGTGCCGATAACTCGTCCAGGCACCATTCAGGTGCTCAACGGCAGTGCCTACATTATCTGCCTTGCCCTCAGCTCACACGCACACTGCCTGGCGAAAAGCGGCCGAGAGGGTGGTGATAGCATGCTCGGGGCCTTGTTAACTTCCTTCACTCATTTTGGGGCCGCATTATGCGCGCAGCCGTCAGCCCCGTCTCCCATTGCTGCACCTCTACGCGAGCTGCCATGGGCGCAGTTAAACTTCCTGCACACTACCGACATCCACGGGTGGTGGGGTGGACATTTGCAAGAGTAAAATCCTATCTCAACTCAGTCCGCACGTGATAAAGAGAGCTCGGGCTAACAGCACTTAGACCCTCATACTCGGCTGACTGGGGAGACTACGTATCATTCGCCAAGCACCTGCACGATAAAGCTGATGCAGAAGGTTCAGACCTCCTCCTTATCGACACCGGAGACCGCGTCGAAGGAAACGCAATATACGACTCCTCAAAGCCGCGCGGCAAGTTCACATACGAAATAGCAAAGGAACAGCAGATCGACTTGATATGCTCCGGCAACCATGAGCTCTACAAAGCGCACACGGCAAATGGCGAGTTTTATCATACGGTTCCAGACTTCAAGGGCCACTACCTCGCCTCTAACCTCGATATCTACAACCCTGACACCGGAGAGCGCCAACCCCTTGCACCACGATACAAAAAGTTCAAGACGAAGAACCAAGGGATACGCATCCTCGCTTTCGGCTTCCTCTTCGATTTCACTGGAAACGATAATAACACCGTCGTTATCCCCGTTGAGCAAACAGTAAAAGAAGCTTGGTTTACAGAAGCCCTGAGGGACAAAGATGTCGACCTCATCCTCGTATTTGGCCATGTCGACGTCAGATCACCGGAATACGCACTCCTCTTCTCCACCATCCGGAAAGCGCACTGGGACACGCCGATCCAGTTCTTCGGCGGGCACACGCATATCCGGGACTACAAGATCTTCGACCCCAAATCCGTGGCCCTGGAGAGCGGACGGTATATGGAAACCATCGGCTTCATGTCCATCGAAGGACTTTCCACAGGAGGCTCATCCACCCAGCAGCCAAAATCGCGGAAATCTAAACTTGCGTTCGCCCGACGGTACATCGACAACAACCTCTATTCCTTCCAGCACCACAGCGGAAAGGATAGCCAGACTTTTCTGACAGAACGGGGCCTCAACGTGACCCGCGCCATCATTTCCGCCCGCAAATCCCTCGGCCTCGGCACACGCTACGGCTGCGCGCCCTCCGATCTCTGGGTCAGTCGCCGGCCCTATCCACATCACGAAAGCATCTTCACCTGGCTCGACGAGGAGCTGCTACCCCAGTCCATCGAGCCCGAAGACGGCGGAAAAGCACTCGTCATAACGAACACGGGCGGCATCCGCTTCGACATCTTCAAAGGGCCCTTCACAAAAGACACAAAATTCCTCGTCTCACCGTTTACCTCGGGCATACGGTATATAAAAGACGTACCGTACGCGGCGGCGAAGAGAGTATTGCAGCTGCTGAATAACGAGGGTCCGATACTAGACGCTATGAGTGAACGGGGTGTGTATCTGCAGCCCCCGGAGCACGTTGCTGCGCAGTATCGTCCCGAACTATATACCTATCCTCCTCCTCCTCCTCCTTCTTCTTCTTCTTCTTCCTACCACGAGCCCAATCGGCTCTCCCAGTCTCCCTTGAAAGCTCAAACGAAACCACTACCACCCGGCTACACGACTTGGGACGATGCCGGCGAGGATGGAGATGATACGCTGCACTCGCCGATCCAATTCTACGAGGTGCCGAACTGCGTACAAGCAACGATTGGCTTTAATCCCGAAGAAGACGAAGAGCCGCAGGCGGTGGATGTCATGTACAACGAGTTTATCGAGAAGTGGGTGCTTCTGGCCCTGGAGTACCTGGGTGAGAGTTATAGTGAAGAGGATACGGAATACTATGCGCATGGCAAGAGTTTTACGGATATTATGACGGATTGGGTGAAGGAGCACTGGGATGTGAAAGGGGAGAGCTGTCCAGAATAGATCTGCGCGTAGCACATGTGGGCAGACTAGCTGTACGCTGGGGATATCCTAGACTTGGTGCTTGGGTTGGTTCATATTCTGGGTTTCGCCTCGCATAGCATGCTCTCGGCCAGCTCAAAAGTATGGTATGAGCAGTAGGGACGTCAATAATTGAAGTAGAATCTGCCATCTATTCATCCTCTCCCTCAGGTAACTATATATACATCATTCTCATTCCATTTCGACTCAATCATCCACGTCTCCCGTCTTCGGCGCTTGCCAAGTTGAAGTCTTCCATGAGATCCCACCCTCGCAGATGGGCGCTTAGCGAGGTAAAGCTCGTACTCTCTTCAAGAGGTAGTCCAGTCTTGTAACTGGTTTTGAAAAAGGCAAAGGGAAACATGGACACGCCTAGAAGCGTCTGTCCTCCTGATAGGGGGGTAATCTTGAAAAAGCCATGCTGTAAACAGAGCGAAAGAAATCTCTAAACTCCCCCAAATGCTCCGCTGACAAAGTGCAAAGAATTACATTCAGTTTGAGTCGGAATGGAAATAGAAATCGATGTGATAAGTGCTGGTCTAATAGCCGGCTATGCGATAGGTCGGTTGTTGACTGACATGGTAATGGCAACGGCGAGCATGATCGGCGCTATGAAGAGTCACAGGATGCTGCATGCGTTTCCGGAAGGCCTATAGAACTGTTAGTATCTGGGCGACTAATTACATTATTGAGTCGACGATAAGGGCAGGACAACGCTCGGACCAGGGCCAGGAAGCGGCTGTGGAATTCTCCGGACATAAGTTAACTTTCTCGTCCGCCGCTGTACCGTGTCTCGAGCCAACCCGTTACACAGCAATGCCGATCAACACTGTATGTATATAGTTGGGTCGGTATTGGGTATTGGGGTTTATCCCACATAAACTGCTTTTGTTGGGACTCGAACTTCATTCCGCGGAGGGTTTAGACAATATAAGAGATCTTCTAGGACTCACCATCTCTGGCCTCGTATCCTCCCAATCCACGAGTACACGATCTTCAAGCGCTCGCGGACCCGGTTTGTCCTTAAAAGCACGTACTTCTCTTCTTCGGTAATCGGTAAAACGGATGCGAACCAATAGGGGAACAACGCAGGATCTTCTGGCGGTTCACCGTAGACGCTGACAATTCGCGCACTGAGCCATGGGGCGCTCGCTTGCCTCATCTGCCTGATGAACTCCATGCAACTGTCAAGAAGATTTTGCGTAGAGTGTAGATTCAGCGCAATATCAGCGGGAAGCGCGGCATCTGGGTTTTCGCGCTGGAACTGATCCGCCAGTTCTTGTGCGCTGGTGGTCTCACGTTGTTCCAGCTCTCCCTCTTCAGCGAGCGAGAGATCCTCTACGCGCTCGATGCGACCGACATGATACCCATCCAGCATGCCATGAGCGCAGATCCTGAATCGACCGACGCCTCGCGTTTCTACGAAGCTACGACCGTCGCGCAACAGCTCGAAATTGACAATTTCGAGGAGCGTACCGTATTCAAGAAACTGCGTGGGACCGAGGTCACCTTGCGGAGCCGAGGTCCTGTTGTACATCACCATACCAAACTGCCTGTTACCCTCAACGCAACGCCGCATCATCAAGCGATATCGGGGCTCGAATACGTGGAGGAAGGTTGGCATCGTGGGTAGGGCCAAGGTGCATACGAATAATGGCGTGGTGAGAGTGTCATCACCGGGCTGCTCCTCTGCCTCCGCGGCCGCCGCGCGTGCGGCAACAAGGTCAGGACAGAGCCCGTTGAGCAAAGAGTTCAGCAGGGCATTGCTGCACTTGTTCTGCAACGAGGCTGGGATGTGCAGATCCCGACGGCACACAGGACATATACTGCTGTGATCCATAACCCGGGCAAGACAGCGGCGACAGAATGTGTGGCCGCAGGATGTCGTGGTCGGGTCCATCATCAAAGTGTAGCATACCAGGCAATCTAGCTCCTTGTGCGCCACTTCTCGGAGGCGGTCGAGTAGTGCATTGTCCAGTTGTTGGTAGTCGTCGCCCGTGCTTGACAGGGTGTGGTATACGAGGTCGGAGCCATACTGGAGCTCGCCTATCTCTGCCATTGTGAACGTGGACACCAGTCGACCGCCATGCAGAACCCTCTGGTTACTAATGTCCCGCATCTTCTCCTTCTCTTCCATGGCCATGCTGTCGTCGCATTGTAGAATTTCTTCCAGCTGCGTGGGAGTGGCATGCGTCGAAGGGTTGTGCTTGGTCATCTCGGCCTTGATCAGCTCCACCAGCTTGGACAAGGTCACGTCCACATTGCACTCTGCGGCTGCATGCTCTGCACCGCATTGCGGAAGGGGACAGGCAAGGCCGAAGAGGCGGTCGGGCGTGTTCGGATAGGATATGTTGGCGCGAGGCCGAGGATGGGGCAAGCAGCGGCGGCAGACTGTGTGACCGCATGGCAGCGTCGCCGGAGCGCTAAGGGGCCGCGAGCACTGCGGACATTGCACCAGACGAACCAGCTGTCGTGCATCGCGGTGGGCGGCCAGGGCAACCTGCTCCGGAGACTCTTGCGACGGCACATTGCCGACCATCAAGGACTGCGGAGGCACTGGCGGCTCGAATGACTGCTCTCCGCCGAGGGGGAGAAGAAAGTCTTTCCTCCGTTGCCGATTCATACAGCTGGCTTCTATGTCGTGGTAGCGCTTTCCTCCATGTGCCGCTGCGGCAGCTGCGACTGTGGGCGGGCGGTGGCTTCCCGAGTATGTGTCGCGCTCGGGGTGAAACGGTGGTGGTGGTGGTGGTGGTGGTCGTCGTCGTCGGTTGAGATAAGCGGCGTCGACGTAGGGAGAGGCGGCGGCGGCGGCGACGGCGGCGGACGCAGGTACGGCAGCGGGGGGTCAGAGCAGCAATAGCGGACGGCGTCAAAGGGCAGATAGACTATGGCGGGCAGTGTACAGAACAAGGGCGCGCGTGCGGACGGGGCTATTGTTGCTGGGGGACGAAGGGGAGAAAAGAGTGTATGTACGAGGCTCGTCCGTCCGGCGTGTGCTCGAGTCGAAGAGGTCATCAATTGCAGGCAGATGAGGACTGGCCATGTTTCCGTTTCCGCACGCACGCACGCACGCGCAAGAATGCATGATACGTAGCCGGGGACGGATCGGCGATGGAGTTCTGCGCCAGGTCGACCTGCCGGCGAGCGACGGCCTGCCCCTGCCCCCGATCAGTGTGCCACTTCGTCTCCGCGGCTATCGCACGGCCTGCGCCCATCGGCATGCGCCGCTAGCCCTCCCTGGCGAGTCCAATTCACTCGGCCGCCCGTCTCTGGCCGCGCCTGGTCGCCCACGCCCGTTACAGTGCGCGCAGAGGGCGTGCAGCAACGCACCCGCCACCGCTTCGGCGGATGCAGGCGTGCAAGCGTCATCGACCCAAGTTCATCAAAGCCCACGTCAGCCAATTAGCGCCGGGCCCCGCGCCGTGGTCACTAACAAACGTCTCGTCTGTCAACCACAATCTTACCACATGTGCCACTCCGGCCTCTCTGCCGCCTCGTCCACGCTTCCCCCCCCCGAGACCCTGTGATGCCGACTGCCACGCGCGACGCCTGTTGGAGACATTCGACTCGACATTCTCTTGGCTACAACGTGCAATCTAAGTCCTAGCACCATCGGTTGCCACCGCTGGCCCGCCCACTGCAAGTCCTGTCAACACTGCGGCCGATATGTCGCTGACATCGATTCGACCTCGCTAAAATATTCCCAAACCAGTCCATATTCTGTGGGCCCTCCCAGGCGGGTCCAGAGAACTCCATATGCAACAACGTGAACCCAACCTTGGAACGCCCAAGCCACACATCCTAGTGTACAAAGAACTTCTTGTTACATATCCGAACGCCAACACCAGACCCTGATTTTGCACCCCTGAACGACTCAAGATGCTTTCGGCATGCCGTTTGTACCGGCCTGCTCCACTGCTAGCCCCGAATCACTGCTGTCTTCGTCCTGGTCTTCCTCCTCTAGCACAATTTGCTGAAGCACAGACTTGTCGAACAGGTCCAGAATGAATCGACAAGCCGGCAGCCGGAAGTGGTGGGCTTCGAGTATTTGCATGACCTTGTGGAAGATTGCCGGCTTAGCGAACCCCGGCGCTTTCTTTGCTTTGATCCTGTTGTATATATGTCAGCGTACCACCATTGTACCGAAGAGGGAAGCACTGACGCTTGGAGGTCGTTTGCTGCCTTCTTGGCCAGCACCGTGTTACCCAGGTCGGTCGCAAGCTTCAAAATACGCGCATTCACCGCATCACTGTCGGTAACACCAACCCTGACCTCCGCTTTGCGCCTCCAGCTGATGTTGTCCGCCTTGGCTGCCCACGGCGTCATCTATACTTGTTAGCCCGTGTACCGGCAACATGGACGCGCAAGACAAACCGAGAAGAGCTTCTTGAAATCCAACGGTAGGCAAAACCCCAACGCTTCCCCAGCCTCGTTGACAACGCCGTCCCAACCGTATTCGACCAGGATCTCCTGTCCGTGGAGACTGCGGGAGATCAGCCCAAGCACATAGAACGCTGTGCCCCTGAGCGACATGACTTGGGACGTCTCGGCAATCTGCACGATCCATTTCACGACATCTGAGCTTTCAAGAAATGGAGCTCCGAGCTCCATGGAGCCGACATTCCCGACAGCCCACAAGCACCCTTTGACCTTCAATATGGTTTCAGCGTCTTCGTGCTCCATCGCGAAGTCGCGAATCGTGGCTGCAAACTCGTCGAAGTGCCCTTTCTGCTTGAGAAGCTTGCACCCTTCCTTTGTCCGTGTGAGTTCGCGGTAAAAATGGGGTGGCACAAGGCCGTATTCGGGGTGTTCTGGTGCATCATCGTAGGACAGCTGCGTTGAAGGTTTCTCGGGGATATCAGCAAGAGCCCGAGCCATTGAAGCTTCAATCAACGCGACATAGGTGTCGTTCCGTCCCAGGAACCAGTCGTCCATTTCTCTCGTGATGTAATCCAATCCATCTAAATAGTGGTAGCCTACCGAGGTGGACAGGAAGCGAAGCAGCAGAGGGGCGCCGATTTCGCCTAAGTGGTCCAACGCGGGCCGGCATTTTACAACGTATTCCAATGACTCTGTTTGGTTGCATGCCTCTTCTAGGATCTTAATAGCGACTTCGCAGACTTCAACATCTGGGTCATAGAGCTGCGTTACCAACAGCTTTATTGCCCACTCTGCGACACCTGAAGAGTCCGTAGGTTGCATCGGCTTTGTTGCGTACTTGCGAAGGAGTCTGGTGGAGAACATCCGTATCTCTTTCGAACAGGACGTCATGGCTTTTGAGATGATGATGCGTAGATGTCCGTCCAACGTGTAGTCCATGTTGCTGAGCAATGTGCGAATCAAGTCATCGCGGTCATGGAGTTCTATGATATGATAGAACATATTGAGAACCCTCCAGCGTTCCAGAATCTGACTACCTTTGGCATCCTTGGTCAAGGCACCCAAAAGCGCAAAGTACCCTCCGGTAAGCGTCTCATTCATTCGATCGACTTGGAACATGGGGGATTCGGACGTAAGTCCGCTCATTCGATCAAAGTGAGACAAGCACTCTGCAAGTTGCCGGATGAACTTGCTATCACTGAGATATCGAACGCCTTCTGGGTTCTGTAGCAGGCTGTGCATGAGAGCACAGCCCGCTCGGACATATCGTTGATTTGGTTTGGTGTTCTTGACATCAGAAAATCGATACTTGAATGGGCGATAAAACCCAAGTAAACGGTGAATGAACTTGGTGGCTTTCATGGCTTCGTCGAGCCGCTTCGCGTTGAGCAGAGGTCCCTCGATGATGTTTAGGATGAGATCCCATCTCCACTTTTGGAAAGTGACGGTGTTCAGGACCTGGGTGTCAACCATCATATTTCGGAACGTCGTTTCATCCATCTGCATTGCCGCCTGTGCTTTGGACTGGTCTGTCTGGCGACTTGAAGTAGTACTGTCGTTTGTGGTGGTAGCTTTGCTAGCGTAAAGAGAAGTGGGGCCTGAACGGTATAGAGTCCTGTTGACGCTGTCTACCTGATAGATCGTCCCGATGGCGACGAACCTGTCCTCAGTCTGGAATTTGGAGGCTGACTTCAGAAGTTGAGGAAGCACCTGAAGCTCCGCGCTCCATGAAGGCGGTAACAGTTCATTCGCCATCTTCAGGACCTCGCCAAGCAGGAGAGTAGTCTTCCTCTTTAATGGCAGGGTAAGCGGTTCCTCTTCAGCATGGAGCAAAGCGGGGACTAAGCCAGCATGTAGGAATGCAGCCAGCACAACTGATACATAATGCTCCAACAGATTCCACTTGTTCGCGGGATCAGTGTTAGTGCTCGAAGAGTCCTGGGCCGGCTGACTCTTGAGGTTGGTGACGCGGCCATAGGTGGTCAATCGTCGGCCAGCCAGGAAAGAAGAGGACCATGATGGGGGCTTGATGCGGAGGATGTCGAACAGTAATTCCAGGAGAATATTTCGCACATGCGGGGTCTCGATTTGCAGTGACATGAGAAGAGATCGAATCGGCATGAAATTGTCCATGCAAAGTGCGAGCAAACCGGGCCAACTTCTGAAGAGAGATGCGATCACCTTGGCGTTTGCTTTCAACTTCTCTTCGTGGAGGTGGCCATGAGTTGCGCCAGCGTCCGTAAACATGGCAAAAGGGGATTCGAGCTCGTGCCCAGACCTGAAGAATTGCCGCCTTTGAGGGGTATCTAGCAGGTACACGAAAGCGCTTCCAACGCTCTCCGCTGCATGGTAGTTCCCTTCTCCGAGAGCATCGGTCAGGGTGCCCATACCCCCGGAGGAGACCAGAAGCGCGGGCTTTCGTACGAGGATCTCGGTCAGAGTGAGAATAGCTATATTTCTGAGTCGATCATCACTGTGCTCGGACACAGCGACAATAATGCGGATAACGGCGCGGGAGATCTCCTCCACCCCGTTTTTGACGTCTAGGAAGGCACGTACGAATTTGAGCGCCTGCTCTCTTTCCACGCTGGCTTTGCTTTCCTTCACAAGCGAAAGGATGACCAGATAATCGGTATGCAGCCCGCGAATGACCTGGAGAGATTTGCGGTCTGTGATAGCGTAGCGCATCACTCGATAGGCGGCGGCAACGACCTCTCGGCTTTCGCTTAGAAGCATGGTTTGCATCCGCAAGCCAAATATTGACCAGGCCAGATCGTACTTCAAGGTCGGGTGCCGCTTAAAGAGATCCACCAGCGAATTCGCCCTTTCCACATAGTACTCTGGCTGCATGCCCTCTGCCTCTAGTGCTTGGAGTATCTCGGCCAGAACGAAGGTAGGCGACTCCGTCTCTTCTTCCTCCTCTTCCTCTTTTTGGACGACATGGCGCGAGGGCGATCGAGAAAGATTCCTCCGGAAGAGGTACGAGAGCCGACTCTGCGGGTCTGGAGGCGGAGACTTGACTTCCTTCGCTTTTTGTATTTCAGCCGCCAATCCCGACTTCAACTGTGCCAGCTTCCTGTTCGACAAGTTCAGCTGTTCCTCCACCTGCAACCGCTGGTCTTTGGTGTTCTTTGCATTCTTCGCATTCAATGCCTCCAGCAGATTCTCCGACCCGATCTTGATCTTTGTCTCCTTCTCGATCTGGTCCTGCAGCTCAGCCTGCCTCTGCTCGGTAGTGGTCGAGCTGTCATCGCCCACCGTGATGGCATGCATGTCGAAGTCAGGACGTAAGCGGCCATCATGCGACGTTGTGGGCCTCAACTGCGAGCTGAAGCTGCCCGGCGCCTCCCTGGCGGTCGCGTACGAGGCCTGCCCGCGCGAGCCGGCCATGACGCTGGTCGCAGCTGAGGACAACGAGCGGCCATCTCTACCTCTCGAGGGCGCAAGCAGTGAGACCTGGTCGGCTGGCGCGTCGCCCTGCGCGTTGACGGAGCGCACGGGTGGCGTCATGAGCGTGCCTTAACCATAGGGCTCCCAGCCGCATCGCATGCCTGTATCACGGCGGCGTCCTCCTCTTGCCTCATGAGCTGTTGCGAGCGAATATCAAACGAGATGCAGACGTGCAGTGGCTGCTCAACGGGCGGGGTTGCGGCGGCGATGCAGGGAGCGGGCGTGGGCGTGGCTGCCGTCACTGGCGCGCGGGGGGGGCTAGTGAGCGTGGATTTGCGGAGAGCGACGGGCAGTGAGCGTGTTGCGCGATGCTGCGCAGCGTGTGCATGGGATTGATGGTTAGGGAGATGTCGCGGGCGCCGTCGAAGCCCAGACCCTCTCGCTGCAACGCCAATCCTGGAGGGCTCGACATCGGCCCGGGTTGCACGTGCGAGGAGCGACGCCGGGCTGCGCGCGGCACCACCGCTTCCTCAGGCCCCAGTCCTCCCCGGCAGAGGTCGTCTGATATCTGGCAGAATCTGCCCCGGGTAGCCGGGCGCCTGCTATCAATTTTGCTCTTCGCTGGGCCCCGCAGAGGGAAGCTTTCCTGCATCCGTCACGTGCAGCGCGCGTCCAGCCAATGGCGCCGTCAGCGTCGGAGCTGGCCCTGCCATTCCATCATCGGGCTTCGCCGACAGCCAGCTCCTCCAATGCTTCGAGAGCTCCCAGCGCCATCACTCTCGACTCCACAGATCGAATCGAGAAAAGCAATATCGCCGCATCTCGGCCACCACCGTTCAATGATGATCCGATAAGGCCCCGCCACGAAAATATATCTATCAGTCACCGCTGCCCTCACTTATCATCCACCAGCACCCGCCTCCAGTCCTCACCCCTCAGCCCTCGTTGACACAGCAGCACTGACCAGCTTCCCACTCTTCCACCACAGCTTCATTTCTTACATCTGACACCTTGGTCCTCTTTCAAAAGCTCAATTCATCATGTCTCAGCTCAGCTACGCCCGCTACGGCAAGGACAATATCCGCCTGTACAAGGTCGATAAGAACGACCGGACCGGAGTCCACACCGTCACTGAACAGACCGTCTGCTCTCTGCTCGAGGGAGACATTGAGACCTCGTAAGTCCTATCGAGCCGGCTTCGATTGCACTTTCTAACGTCACAAGCTACACCAAGGCAGACAACTCCGTCGTCGTTGCGACTGACACCCAGAAGCAAACCACCTACATCCTTGCCAAGCAGAACCCCATCAGCACTCCAGAGCACTTCGCCGCCATCCTCGGCAACCACTACATCGAGACCTACCCGCACATCCACGCCGCTCACATCAAGATTATCCAGCACCGATGGACCCGCATGAACATCGACGGCAAGCCGCACCCACACTCCTTCTTCCGCGACGGCGAGGAGATTCGAGTCGTTGAGGCTGTAGCCAGAGAGGGCGAGGGCATCACCATTCGCTCCAAAATTGAGAAGCTGCTGGTGCTCAAGAGCACTGGATCTGCCTTCTACGGCTTCCACCGCGACGAGTACACCCAGCTTCCTGAGACCTGGGACCGCATTCTCAGTACTGAAGTTGAAGCCGGCTGGAAGTGGAAGCTCTTCAAGAACGTTGCGGAAGTTAAGGCCGTTGACTTTGACGCCGCCTGGCAGAAGGCACGCGACATCACTCTCAAGACCTTCGCCACGGACGACAGCGCCAGCGTGCAGGCGACCATGTACAAGATGTGTGACCAGATCCTCGCGGCTGTTCCGCTAGTCGAGGTTGTCGACTATGCTCTCCCCAACAAGCACTACTTCGAAATCGGTAAGCTACACTAAGCACCCCTGAAATAACCCGCCCTAACGCACACCGCAGATCTCAGCTGGCACAAGGGGCTCAAGAACACTGGCAAGGATGCGACTGTGTTCGCTCCCCAGTCCAACCCTAACGGTCTCATCCAGTGCACCGTCACCCGCAAGCCCAAGTCAAAGTTGTAAAATATTCACTTCATCAATCACGACTAATGACTTGTACGATATGGCTGGCCATGTAGCGATCGTTTCTGAGATCTTTTGTACATAGCATCTGTCATTTAATCTGGGGGAGAGCACAGAGAGAGTAGAACAGTAGCCATCATATACCCCGGGGATGACTGCAGAGAGAGTAGAACTAGAGAATATAAAGCTTGCTTTATAATATACCTTTTCCGCTACTCATACTCCATTGTGTTTTGCGAGCAATATTAGCCCCGACACCATTCATGTCAAGCTTACCGGCCTTCTTGATCTGGTAGCTCGGGTGACCTTTTGCTTAGGATGTACCTGGCCACGTCCCGTATTTGTTCGTATATAATTCACTGTAGAGGAGCTACTCTCATGACCGTACATCTGTGGTGTGCTACAATGAACCGCCTCAAGAAGGCATATATGGACTCCACAAGCCATGCACCCTCCACCTAGAAATACATATTCTCACAGACCCTCCTAAGCCTCAACAGCTCAATGGTCGTGAAGCCGGCACTTCCGTATTTTGCTTCGCCTCTGCCAATGCCTTCTTCACGTCTGGATGCTCTGCAATCCCCTGCCCCCCACCCACGCTCACCGTCAACAGATTCTCCGTATACGGATGACTCCTCCCTTCAAATGTCTTCAACCTTGCCAACCTCTCCTTCCTCAGCCTATTTTTCGGCAGCATTCCACTCACCGCCTTCCGCAGCACCTCTCCGCCTCCCCACTTCGCAATCATCCGATCCATACTAATTTCCTTCAAGCTGCCCGGCCGTGTTGTGTGTGTACGGTAGAGCTTCTGGAAGCGCTTTTTGCCGGTGGTGTGCAGGTTCGCGCAGTCAATGGCCACGACATAGTCGCCGCAGTCGGTGGACGGGTCGAAGATGGGCTTGTGTTTCCCCATGAGGGTTAGGGCAATGCTGGAGGCGATGCGACCGAGGGCGCGCGGATCGGAGCCGATGTCGACGAGGTGCCACGAGCGCGCGTAGGCGAGGCGTGTCTGGGGAGTGAGTTAGCGGAGGTGTTTGAAGCCTTGAAGGGCGTATAGCGGAAGTGTTCCGAGGCGTCGAAACTGTGAAGCGGAAGTCCGATCGGAGCGCATACTCTGCCGACTGTTTGAGACATTGTGTAGGAGGCCAATGGCCTGATCAGTCGTGTTCTGACCCTCCTCCGGCAGCTTAGCCTGCCCTAACTATTGACACAACGGCCTAGGGAAAGAGATCGCGGGGGCAGAGCTTGAATGGGTTGTCGTGAGGTCGAGTTTGAGATGCTTGGCAGTAATTTCTGGCCCGGGGTAGGCGTGTCACGTGATTTCGGCCCGTACCAGCTGCCGAACTCGTTCGATTTCAAAGCGAAGTAAAGTGCATATGCGTGGGATCCATGGATGCATGAGAACATTTAAACTCTCACTTCGATACCTTCAATCAAAACACGCCCGCCACAATGACTATACCGCCTTTCGAAACCACCTTCGCGGTGCCTATGACCTGCGAAGCCTGCATCAAAGACATCGAAGGCTCGCTACACCAACTGAGTGGTCAGACCCTAAGCTCGAGGTGTTTATGATCCCTGCATTAACTCTACAGCAGGAATCCAGAAAGTTACCGCCAATCTCAAAGATCAATTAGTCTCTATCGAGGGCACCGCAGCGCCGTCAGCAATCGTCGCAGCGATACAAGCAACGGGCCGTGATGCTATTCTGCGTGGCAGTGGAAAGTCAAACAGTATGTTTACCCAGATGAGGTCTACTTTAGCAGTCACAATAAACTTCTCTTGGCTCGGAGTTTGTCGTACGATATTGACGAGATCTACAGGCGCCGCGGTCTGCATTCTGGAGTCGCACGCCCCTCACGTGGAGAACAAGGTTCGGGGACTGGTGCGCATGGTCCAGGTCGCCCCCAACATGACCATCGTGGACCTCAGTATTAGAGGACTGTCTCCTGGAACCTACCATGCTACAGTCCGAGAGACGGGAGACATCTCGGAGGGGCCCGCATCGACAGGCGGCATCTGGGAGGCTGTCAAGGCGAAGAAGGAAGACACCCCGTGTCGGGGGGTGTTTGGGACCGTCGAAGTGAGCAAAGGTGGCGTCGGTACCGTCTTCTTGGACAGACCGATTCAGATCTGGGAGATGATCGGCCGCAGCATTGTGGTAGCGAGGCAGCAGGACGGAAAGTTTGATAAGAACGATCCTGATACGATTGTGGGCGTAATTGCGCGTTCGGCCGGTGTGTGGGAGAACGTGAGTAGACCCACTGGCTCAGCTAGATCTCCGCTCACGTCTTTCCTCACAGGACAAAACTGTGTGCTCGTGCTCCGGCAAGACAGTATGGCAGGAACGTATAGACGAAGTCGGTCGGGGAATGCTCTGAAGGCTGAAATGCCGAGCAGGATGCGACCCTTGGCAAACTACGTGTTGATGATTAAAAGGCCAAAATGATCAGCCCGGCTTTGCTATACCCTATCGCCTCTGCCGGAGGAGGTAGCAAAGAATGAAATGCCGTTTCGCCTACCATATCTGGCGGCCAATGTACACGGACTGCTCCCTTGAATTCAGGCCGAAACAGTGCCTGCGTGAATAGGCAAGCACAGGACAGATGCCAGTGGCTTCGAAGCCTGATGAACATTATGCGTTCATGCCTGGAAACCCGAGGCGGACACGGTGAGTGGCCGGGCAGAGAGGCGATCACGTGGCTGTCTCATCAGCAAGATTGCCATGTAACAGACCTCAAACGTGGTCGGTGGTCCTCGGAGGGAGGGATAGGGAGCGATGTCCGCCAGTGTGCCGAACTGCTGTCGCCGGTTGCGGAGGAGGCCTAAATTGAAGTCAATAGCGCTTGAGAAAGCCATTTGTTATCCGGCTATCAGATGGCGGTGGTGTCATGGCTTGAATGGGTTGGGTTGACTGTCGCGACGAGCGTCGAAGCGCTGTGGATGCCGGACGGACCGTGCAGATGGCCAATCATCGCGGCCAATGCGGTGTCCGCCAAGTCTCGTTCTCAGACGCGCTGGGACTCAGATTTGGTCTCCCCACTTGCGCCAGCCATCCAACCGCCCGCCAAATCCCTCCTGGTTCCCTGCTGCCCTTGCTGTGCTGTCCTCGACGCCTCTTCCTCCTCCCTCAGACTCCGTATACTGTCCTTAAGAGTCACGCTCCTTACCGTCCCTCTTTTGTGCCTCCCGCCCCTCACGCTCGACACACTATAGTACAGTAATAGCCGAGCAACGACGTCCACGTAATATTATTCGACGGCGCGCACACTCGGAAGCCCCGGCGGCTACGTTATCAATTCTGAGTTAGGGAGAAGAGGAGGAATCCCCAGCTGGGCGCGCTTTAGACGAATATAACCCCTCCACCTAGCGTGGAGCGGTAGGAGCAACTGAACACTGAGGCTTGACGACACCATACTGCCGGGTAACCACTGAGAAACCTTCGTCATGTCTCTGAAGCAGGTACGCGACCATTTGGGAAGGCTCAATTCATTGCGCGTCAATTGCTAAGTGCGGCGCAGGAAATCGAGACCTGGGTGGCAGCCCTGAACCACTACGACAACAACGAGTTCGACGAGGCATTAAAGGCATTCGATGGAATCTCCGACACATCCAAGATTCTGTTCAACTGCGGCGTTATTCACGCCACGCTTGGAGAGCATGAGAAGGCGGTATGTAGGCTGCGCGGGACGACAAAGAGGGTACGTGCTGATGTCTACGCAGGTCGACTGTTACCAGCGCGCTGTGCGGCTGGACCAGTATCTTGCCGTCGCCTACTTCCAGCAGGGCGTGTCGAATTTCCTCATGGGCGATTTCGAAGAAGCGCTTGCCAACTTCAACGATACGCTTCTCTACCTCCGCGGCAACAACAACATCGACTATGAACAATTGGGTCTGAAATTCAAGCTATATTCGTGCGAGGTGCTCTTCAACCGCGGTCTCTGCTACATCTACCTCCAGCAGAAGGATGCGGGTGTGCAGGATCTGTCCTTCGCAGCCAAGGAGAAGGTCGTTCCCGACCATGACGTGATTGACGAGGCTATCAGGGAGGAGGCAGAGGTACAGAAGTCCTTCCTAGTCCGCTTGAATCGTAGCTTACCAAACTTAGGGCTACACAGTCTTCTCCATTCCCGTCGGCATCGTCTACCGCCCCAATGAAGCGAAGGTCAAGAACTTGAAGACAAAGGACTACCTCGGGAAGGCTCGTCTCGTTGCAGCTTCCGACAGGCAAAATGCATTTACTGGGTTCGCCGGCTCAGAGATCAAGAAGATGGCCAACGCAGCCAAGGACGACCGACCGGAAGACAAACTTTCCTACGCCGCCACAAATCTCGTCAAGCCTGAGCTCCAGAGCAGGGTCCGGCAGCAATCTGAGCCGCCCATGACCCGCAATATGTTCCCGCCGACGCCGCCTCCCGAGTCCGACAACAGGAGATCTGCTGGCGAGAAAGGGGGACAAATGTCCCGCGCTCAGTCTGTCCGCGGCGGTGGACCCAAGCCTCAACCCCTCAATCTTGGTCGCGCCGCATTTGATCAGAAGGATGACAGGCGAGATGACGCCCCACCGCAGCGCAGGGGCACTCAGCGATCGGCTTCGGAGCGGCCACCGAACCGCTCCAATACCATGCGCATGCGGGATATGGACCGCCGCGACCGAGACAGGCCCCGTCGCCGTGGATCTGATGATGATGTTGATGACTACGCTGACGATGTATACGACATGTACCAGCCCCGTTCGAATCGCCCCTCTTACAGCCGCTCCCGGCAAGGAAAGACTTCAAGACCCGCATATATCGACGAAGAGGAGGAAGACGATTTCGACGGCAGCGATGTCGATGACGGCGAATTCGAAATGGTGTCCCGCTCAAAGACTAGGAGACGATCCCCCACTCGCTCCGCCACCTCAAGCCGCAGCGGCGGTAACGTAGGCGGCAAGATCCGGGTGAAGGTGCACGCTGGCGATACGCGCTACGTCTTCATAACCCCGAACACGTCGATGCGCGAATTCGTCCAGTCTATCCGCGAGAAGTTTGGCGTCCGCCAGAACTTCAAGGTCGAAATCAAGGACGACGGCGACATGATCACCATGGCGGACGAAGACGACCTGGACATGGCGATCCAAACGGCGCGGCAAATGGCCCGCAAGGAAGGTGGTGACGTAGCGAAGATGGAGGTATGGCTCACCTTTGTCCCATCCTCTGCCCAAAACAAATACCCGCCCTCCAACCCTCCCCTCACCCCCAGCATCGAAATCTCCGAATACTAGAATGTCTAATGGAGTGGGGGCTAATCAAATTGCGCTTTTTAGGTTTGGATAAAAGAAGTATAGAATTAGATACCCCAGCCACGCAACTCTTCTCACGAGGATACCGCACCACGCTTTTTTTCCTTCTTCGTCTCTCTCTGATTCTCTTTTGGATATTCGAGTAGTACCCGCCCCTTGTTGGCAGGCAGGCACGGTCTAGTTCTCTAGGACGCTGCTGCCTTAGCCCTTTGATATAATGTCGATATGTTTATCAGCGAGCATCCGTTCCGTTACTGCCATACTCGTAGCATATTTTGCCTGTACACGCGAGTGGTCGGCGTTTTCCCATAGTTTTTCTTTCACAGCCGGACTGTTGAATGTCCGTGGTAGACTGGGTGGTTCGCAAATACTTAGCGCCGTTTGTCTAGGAGACAACGATTGAGAGCCGTAATTATGTGGTATGAAGCATGTTTTGAATTATCGAGAAGTCGATGTCTCTCCCCACTCCCATGGAGTTTTTGGTGATACGTACTCTACCACACTGAACCACGAATTCCAGTCATTTCAATCCTCCAGCACATCAACACAACCCGCATCCAAACCCAAAATCCGCAGCCCATGGGCCTCACGCCGCACATCCTGCCGCCCTAAAGCCAACAACGCCCAGACGGACACTTCTCGGGGGTAAGTGATAGGACACGGCACTTAACCAAGCCGGCGCCCACAGCGTTCCAGAAAAGAAGGGTTTTGCAGCCAACGCATGCAGCCGCATGTGCTTTGCATCGCCAGCACGCGAACATCAGACCACTATGTTTCGGCGGGTAAATGGGGCGCGCCGATGCGTTTGAGAGGCGTAAGTACAGTAAGCCGGCCCGAGACGAGACGTACGATGCCGGCGTGATTCATGCTCGAAACGTTGATGGCAAGGCAGAGCGTTTCGGACCTTGCCGTTACGGTTGTGTAAGAGGACCGGATGGAGGAGAAAGTGAAGGGAAGGAAAGGGCCAAGCATCTGTCAGTTGGCTTTTGACAGAGCTTGGCTTGACTTGGCGGAGCGAGGTTGGGAAAGGGGCATGGTAGATGGTGAGTTTTGAGGATGCGTTCGTCGGAAGGGGAACGGGTGGTGTTTCAAAGTTGGTGCATGGGGATGTGATGTTACAGCACCCAAATTGTCGAGTACTGTAGCAGGCAAGTGTCGATTCCTCATCATTCAGCTTCCTTAAAAGGCATGTTGGGGATTGTGGAGGTATACACATTCTTACAGCTCGGTCCGACGGTATGTTCAGTCCGAAAACTATAGAGCAGTTACCCGCTGTGCCCTACCCTAGCCTAAACGCCATTCCTATGCATCTCTTCTCCTAGACAAAGAACGTGTCCTCGTGCAAACTCCTCTCGCCTTCGCGCAGTCATCGCAGCGCCTATCCTACACCCGCCTCCTCCTTTCTCGTCCTTCCTCATCCAAATTCATCTCTCTACGCCGGGAGAAGGATCTCAGCCCAGCTGCTGTGCAAAAATGTGACGCCAACCTAACAAACCCCATTGTCAGCGCATAGCCATGTCTCGCGGAGCCTCTTCCTCCTTGTCCTCAACAGCTCACGCCGCAGCGCTTCCGGTCTTAGGAGGTGGCTTACAGCAAAAAGTCCAATCGCAGTAACAACGGAGCGGTTGTCCTTGCTCATTATAGTCTGGTATGCACTGACTGCGAAGTTGGGGTCTTGGGATCCGGCGAGGGTGCGGCCCTTGGGTGCGGCTTTGGGAGGCATCGTTGCGGCGGTGGTTGAGGCTGGAGGTCTGTTAGTGCTGGGTCGAGAAATTCGGGCTTGCGCATACGTGATCAAGGGGTGGAGGACGATTGGAGATGTAGCTATTGGTTCCAGAGCTCGATGCGATAGATGGGAATGATGAAAGCTTCAAGAAACTAAAAAGTCCGAGCGGAAGAATTATTGGCCGGTAAAGTTCACTAGCGCTTACGTAATATAGCCTTCCCCTGCACCGGTTCCTGCTTTCCTACATAACTAGCGGGAGGTTCGGCAGTAAGCAGTGCTCACTAGGTCGATAGGCAAAGTATAGTCACCAGCTGGATCACTTCTCAAGGCATTCATGTCCCACCAGTTCTCTTGTGATTGACGTCTATGTAAGTTCTATTTTCCAACCAAATGCAACGTCTACAGTCGCTCAGTCAACGCACGTATCATGGCCCCTCAGGCCATCTCATGTCCACCTGAGCGAGCTGGGTGACTCTAAGCTTGTTCGTCTCTCTCCATATTACAATCTTCTCGTTCCACCGGCGAAATCGGATTGAGGCCCAGCGGGCCTCCTTCCCTCTTCCGCCCATCCATCCACGCCCCATTAACGTGTACGAACGTCCCCGGAATCGGCGTCGAGATCCTCCCTCTCAATTTGCTCGAATTCGTCTTCTGGATCGAGAGACCCGACAGCGTCGAGCTTCTCTTCACCGTAGAAGTCGTTAGTATAGGCGAAGGCGGGACTCTGGAAGCAGCGGACAAGCTACGTGGTGGTGGAGTCGGCGCATCCCGCATTGGTGTATATGAACGAGACATGTCTGGGGGCTGGATCTGAGACTCAGAGTAGCGACGCGGTGGGGAAAGATCGTTGGCCAGTGATTCGGGAGTTGATGGGGGATGGATAGGTATGGTCGGCATCTCTACCCGGGAGCTCGAAGCTGAGCTGTTGTTCTCGAAGAAGGATTGAACTCTCTGCGGCCCCGGGGCTTGTAACAGCCCTATCTCACTCTTTACCCTCTCAAAGCCCGGTCTCTGGCTCAAAGTCTGCATCTCGGTAATAGGACCAGTCGTTTGCATGCTGATAGAGCTGGCTTCCGTGTTCGGCGTGTCTGCGCTGAAAGCCGAGAAGGGCAAGCGTTTGCTGGGCGAGGGAGGAAGATATCTCTCGGGGTGTTCGAGTGATGTGAGCTCTGGCGAGGATGGGCGGCCTTTTGTGCGGAGAAAGTTAAAGGCACGCCGGAAGAGTGCGGTCCAGGCGGAGACCATGGAGGTACGGAAGAGGAGGATGAAAATTTCGATGCCGACGAGCTGCCTCGTATGTCAGCAAATGCTCATTCTTCAAAATTCTTGGAGGGAAGGAGATAGGATCTTACCGAAGCTAGAATCAGAGACGTAAGGACAGCGGACTGATCCACTGTAAAGTCCTTCACATACCTCCTACACTCATTCTTGTCGCCTTTGCTCAGCGTTTGGCAGATAATCCACGTCTTGACCGGCTTGATATGCTCTGGGTCATTGAACACCGTCCCAATCTTGGAGTCCTGCGTCCAGAACACTATGAAGAAGCTGATGCTCCCAATGATGACGAATATGCTGACCAGTATATTTCGCCATTGCAGCAGGAACAGCCTCTTGACGTTACCCCAATTCTCCACCTTGCGCCGCGCGCGCCCGCGCTCAAAGGAGTTCACCGCCGAGGACCGCCGTTCGCGGCGCAAAGTGCGGATGTAGACGTAAAAGCAGTATGCCGTCGTGACCGTCTGCAGCAGGAAAGCTAGAATAGCAAAGACGACGAGCCAGATCCAGAACGTTACGAGCGCATGCTCACGGTTTGGCAAGCATGTCTGCCCCATGCGATAGCTGAACCCGGTGGCCGCTAAAATAGCGATGAGGAAGACGAATGGGAGCAAATACCCTATCACAAGACTTCCCCATTTGAATCGTTTACCTGGATCCCTGTCCCAGAATATGCGGATGTGGAGCCAGAGACTCCGCAAGAAGACCCATATAACGCAGCCGAGACCACCGAGCGTGACGAGCGAGCCGGTCCAGGCGCAGGAAATGTCGGAGTGCATGTCGTTTGGCGTGATAGCGTCATGGCAAAGGGAAGGCTTGGTGGACACAGGGATGGCGAAGGAGAGCGAGATGAAGAGAACCGGAAAGAGGAGGCCGACGGAGAGGTAATGTCGATGTGTCTGTTCGGAGGGCAGGATGGCGAAGGAGAGAAGGAGGAAGCAGCAAAGAATTACGGAGAGGAGGGAGAGGTAGTTCGGGACGCGGAGCTGGGATTTCCATTCTGTGTTTGGTGGTCAGTGACTTGTACGCAGTATGAAGGTAGAAAGATAGACGGACCTGGTGGATATAGCCAGTCCTGGATGGGACATGGGAAGCAGCATGTTGTCCCATCTTCGAACGAGCCCAGACCGCAGTATCTGCCAGAGGTATCTAACTCTCAGCATCAGCGAGAGTCCCATCCAAGTTGGAATCGTGTATACATACATCCGCCCGTCTTTGAAAACAACGACTCATCCAGCAACGGCGCCGTGCACTTAACTTCCGTTTGGTTCGCAAACGTTCCTAGGGGCATATTGACGGCCTCAAACCTAGAAAGAATCGGCTGGTGGAGATGTATGCATGCGGCTCATTCCCAAGTGCTGGGGCCTCTGGCCATATGGACTTTAGAGCGTAGGCACCACGCACCCGGCCCTTTGTCTGATGATGCCCAGAAATTCGGTGGAACCCCCAGCACGCCGAGGGACTGGTCGACGAGACGTTGCTCCTTTGTTTTCTGCGTATGTGGCGCCAGCGCACGTGGCCCCCGTTTATTCTAGAAGACATGTGGCAGTGGTGCGTTCACAAGATTATAGGAAGACAAAGAAATAGGCGTGCTACGGAGAAGTTTCCCGTTAGGGAAGTGTGATTGTGCTGAGTCGGTAAGGTCGGGCTACACACACCAGAATGCTTCGTCTAGTCTATGTTCAGATACCGAGCTGCGACTAAGAAAGCCGGTCGATGCAGGGCGGGTGATGGTACCTGAGGTGCGGAAGCAGGTTCAAAGAGAGCAAGGGAAGCTTCGCGCGGACAATGAAGGGACCGTTTGAAATACTTGTCTGAGCGTAAGTCTCGTGCCATTTACTATCCGCGGGCGCCAGCCCAACCATTATCTTGGTATCTCTATCTTCAGCCTATAATGCGCTTATTAGGGCTTTTGTTTCAAACCGGAACGCCAGTAAATCCTATTTTGAGTTTCGGGCGCGCGCCATCGACGGCTTCTGAGTGCCATTGACTCTTCCACTCGACCTCGTCATGCTTCGCCTGCAAAAAGGCCTCTCGCTGCTCGGGATTCATCGTCTGGATGTCCTCCTCCTCCAAGTTCGGTAGGCCATTCACCCCAACATCTAAGAAATCGCCATCCGGGCCAGGTAGGCCCAAGCCGGAATACGGAGGTTTCTTCATGTAGGTGTCGACTACGAGGTAGTGCCTGCGAACGAGCGGTGGCACGTCACTCTCTTCTGGAGGGACTTCCTCCCACCGTGCATGAGTTGGCTGCGTAACCTTGGGATAGCACATCAGATTTGTGTGTGGGTCGTAGATACCGTCTAAGTTAGCTCTGCGTAGTGCGGAGAGACTGGAATTGAAGCGGCTGCAAATTGTCAGCATAGGATATACATGCTGAAAGGAATGGGAGGACTTACCTGGCGGATCTGGCATGCTCGAACTGCCAGTTCGCTGATGTAATATTCACCTTCCGCTTTCCAGGTGCCGGTTTACCGTTCGCGGTAGGAACACTTGGAACTCCAGTGTGGTAAACGCTGCTCGCTCCATGCCAAGCGACGTACTGATTCTTGTTGTACGGTTCTCCTGGCGGTGGCAGTTTGTCGTTGGGATCTGCGATCTCGCCCTCAATGTCACCCCTCTCCCTCGCGGCCGTCTCGTAGTAGTCGTCGATGATCCTCTTGCCTCCGATAATGATGCGCGCGCCGAACTCTCGGAAAACCGAGCGTGCGGTGACGACACCGATGGCGCGACCCTTGTAAGAGTGCGGAATGATCTCGCGGTCGATGAGATCCCTCTTCTCCGAGTCGTCGATGATGATCTTGTAGAGTTGCATATGCTTCGTGAAGAACAGGTAGCTGTCTCTGAATCCACAACAACGGGCCGGTTCCGTTGACAGCATGTACAATCTGTCGCCTCTGCCGGTGATCTTAAATACACGCACCCGATAGTCTCGGCCGCCTTGTAGATTTCCCATCTTGTCCACCTTCTTTTCTCCTTCCGGATCCTCAGGTAAGTCAACCTCGTCGTTGATGACATCCATCATGTTCCCCTCCTTGTCAATCGGGACTCGAGTGGTGTGCGAGGGGCCGCCTTTCGGTCGGCCGCGAAAGCCGCCACCAGCAGGCCGTCCACGCTTGCGCTTCACGGGAGTACCGCCCTCAGACGCATTGTCTGGCTCGATCACATTCCAGTCCGGTGGACGGTTCTTCGGTGGGCGACCAAGGCGTTTCTTGCGCGGCAGAACAACGACGGGTGTTGCAGAGCGCTCAGATAGCGCCTTCTCCTCTTCCGACTCTTGAGCGGGGCTATCGGCGTCTTCATCATGTGCGGGCGTCTCGGCGCGCGATGCTGGGGCATCCATCATGTCTTCGTCGTCCAGTTGCGGAGTAGCGCTGCGGGCGGGCGTGCTGCGACGCGCTGCAGCTCGCGAAGGCCGGCCACGCGCCATTGCGTCTGGGCGGTTGATTCTCGGCCGGTGCGCAATTAGTTTACTCCGAGGGGAGAGGTCCGCGATATATCTGAGAGGCAGAGCGAGGGAAGTGAATGGGGCGATGGCGGGGTGGGCAGGAGTGAATGGGATGCGCCTGCGAAGTCGACTGCCCGGACGTGTTGAGCTAGCGAACCTTTGCAGCGCACGGACCCCTTGTCACGTGCCAGTCCCGTCCGCGTCTCGTATGGGGTCGGACTCTCCTGCACTCCCGAAGGCCCCCAACGGGCAATCACTGGAGACATGCGAGTGTCACCTTGTCTAGCCGTTCTTGGGCATTTGGATTGTAATTGCTCCCACATGTACTCCTAGGGCCTGTTACTTCCCGTTACAAGAAACGCCTTTCCGCGCCTCTCACCAACCGTTTCCTCCACCATGGCGTCCATGCAAGGCCGAACCTGCTTGTCAACAAACATGTTTGGCGTAGTCAAGAGCAAAGGAGCGAGCTCAACTCATGGATTTCCGTCCTCCACTTGCAGTTTGCTTGCTTCACTCCGCCCACTGATCCTCCACTGCCGAGCGGTCAACTTGCCGGACCTGGGCAGCATCAGCGATCAGCCATGAGTTTCAAACGACTCGCCATCCAGACCAAGAAGAGCCTTTCCGGGCTCTATTCTTTCGACAATGACCAATACTCCCCAGGGTACGCCTCAGTTCTGTCAGTGCCTCCTAGACTAACATAATCTAGCCCGGAGACCTCCAAGACTCTAACAGCCGCTGCGCAAAGCGGACCCACCGGGTTCGATGAGTTCGGCCTCTCCCAATCCGGCGAGTCTTCCCCAGGTCGAGACAGTCCATCGAGACGTAAGCGGCTGCTGGGATCGCTTCGGAGTATGAGCTCTCTGCGCAACTTGCGGTCCAACCACAGCAACAGCCCCAGCCCCAGCAAGCAATGTGACGACATGCGTGTTCAGCTGGAGAGCCCGCATACGCCCATCCAGCAGAAGCCGTCTCTCATACTCAATTTCGAGGTGTCTCCACCAGATCAGCCGATGTTCGAGCCGACGCGCGAAGCTTCCAGTTCTTCGAGCATAGATGTCCGTCATTCGTCGCCAATCGCAGTGCCAGCGTCGGCTAAGCAAGCCGTATGCAACTTCCATAGCACGCCTCCTGGGCCACCGTTCATAGTTGGAACGATGCCAGACTCGCCAGCCCCGCTGCGGAAACCCTCTGTACAGGAGTCCATCCTCAATCATGCTATAACCGGTACTCCCGATGCAAGCCCGTCCTCGGTCGACGCCGACCGAGCCGTTGACCCGCTACCAACGCCGATGCCCGGGACGACCCTCTCGCTCGAAGACCTCGCAGCACCCAATGCTTCTTCTTCGCCACCGACAGAGCAAAAAGCTGCCCCACAGGACTATTTTGCCAGGACTGCTCCGAAACGGAATGAGAGTATGAAGCATACCGATTGTGTCGCCATTACTGGGAAGCCCTCCGCGCCTCGCAATGCAGATATCGTCACGTCCGCCCGGACTACTGCAGCAGGTGTTGCTGACGACCTCGCGGCTACTCTCCTTCCTGGGAAGCCGGAGCCACTGGGTCCAGGCGAAGCCAACAAAGCAGATGTCCACAATGACCGCTTCATGCTTGATTCGTCCAAGAGGTCAGAGCACGACGAGCTCAGGGCCGACCTTGCATATGTTGTGTGGGACGATCCGGAGATAGCCAGTGAAGACGGGTGCCAGTTGCAGCGCCGCCGAAGCACCTGGGGCCGTCATACCGGCCTTTACGACGGCACTGGTTACGGTGGCGAAACTGCTCCGACAACTCCTCGTCCGTCGATGTCTGACAACACTGAAGACGAAACCGAAGGTACTGACCTGACCGTCCCCGAGGAAGCGGCGCCAGGTGCCGCTGCATTGGAGATAGCCGCGGAGCCAGTCAAAGCATCGGCGGCGTCCGAAGCCGAGTCGGCCGTCGACGGTAAGGAGACACTGCAGGACATCATTCGTGCCTATGCCGGCCCCATGCTCTACCACGAGGAAGCAGAGAATGCGCACGCGGTCGAGTACAGCGGCGACTGCTCCACCGAGGAAGAAGTCGATTCGCTCTACGCATATCCTGCCAGCATGAAGGCGGAGGTCGAGCTCTCGATCAGGGTCATGAATAGGAGCTTGGGAGGATAGCCGGGTGTGCCATTGGAGTAGGGACTAGGTTGCCTAGAAGGTCATGAGAGTATTCTTCCATAGGCAGGAGCGTAGTTGCACAGCAGACTAGTAAATTCAGCACAGCATGCACTCCTCATTTCGCGCTTTCATGGCTCCAGCGCCGGGGCAACGGTTGTTTACTAGCCGCAGATGGCCAAACTTGGTTCGACGTTCTGTGTGTCTGCAAGGTACCGCAGAAACAAGAGAGAGTGTAATACCCACATACAGTGTCAGTTCTGCCTCATTGGTGTGTCAACCTCAGGTCAGGCCATGTTAGTCACGCGCCTGCTTGGCGGCTTCAACGACGCCAAACGGCCGGAAAAACTCGTACGATCACATTGCGTATTTGCCATCATCACCAGCCTTCACCATGGCAGATCGGGCCATTCGTGCACCTGCGCCTTTGTCCTCGCTAAGACAGTTAGATGCAGCTATAACTATCGTTCTCGATCTCGCATCTCCCGCCAATCCTTGAACCTCTGCTCCTTGCCGCGCCCACGATGAGCAACGCGCCAGGCAATACCGTGATTCTCGGAGCGGGCATCGTCGGCCTTTCCACCGCCTACTTCCTCTCGCAGACAGGCAACACGGCGCCGTCGAGCATCCACCTGGTAGATTCGAGCCCGCAGCTGTTCCAATGCGCCTCTGGTCTCGCCGGCGGCTTTCTTGCTCGTGATTGTGAGTGTGCACGCTGCGTCCGATGCCCCTCCATTGGCAGAGCCCCGCCATTGACCGCCCGCAGGGTTCGCACCGTCGAATGCTTCGCTCGGCGCCCTATCCTACCGGCTGCACAAAGAACTCGCCGAAAAGCACAATGGCAGGACGACGTGGGGCTACTGCCAGAGCACCGGCATATCGTTGAGCCAGGACAGCGAGGCTGCGGTCGGAGGCAGCGGCGAAGACTGGCTTCAGGATGGAACGAGCCGAGCTCAGGCTACCAATTCTAAGAGGACTGTGGGCAGCAATGGGCCGGTTTGGCTGAAGCAGACGGAAGACGGCAACCTGGAGGTCATCAGCCAGACCGGCACCACCGCGCAGATGTACGTTCAGCTGCTCGGAAGACGGAAATTGGGCTGACTGGGCTACAGTGATCCTCTGCGCTTCTGCCAATGGCTCCTCGGGCGATGTCTGGAGCGCGGCGTTCAGCTGCACCAGCCTGCGAATGCTATCTCGGTCTTGAAGGACGAAAACGATCAGCTGAACGGAATTCGGCTCAGCAAGAACGGCGAAGAGGCAGACTGTATGCCACGCACAAACCGCAGTCGAGCATCTGCTGACCACCAGTAGTGCCATGCACGCGGCTCCTCATCACCGCGGGAGCTTGGTCACCACGAGTCTTCTCTAAACTTTTCCCGAAATCCACTACCCAACTTCCCATCTCTGCGCTGGCCGGCCACTCCCTCCTCGTGCGGAACCCGTTCTGGGACGTGGAGGAAGAGAACAAGGAGATATGCCACGCCGTGTTCGCTACAGACACTCTCGGATTTTCGCCAGAGTGGTTCTCCCGGATCGGAGGCGAGCTCTATCTGGCAGGCCTTAACAGCACGATGATTCCTCTCCCTGACGTCGCCACGGACGTCGAAATCAACCCCTCTGCAATGGAGCAGCTGAAGGACTGCGCTAAAGCAATGGTGGGAACTGTCGATGGAAAGAACATGGAAGTCATGCGAGAGGCTTTGGTACGAAAGGCACTTCTGGATCGATTTAAGGTTCTGATGCTGACTGACTTTTCAGTGTTTCCGTCCTGTGACGGGAAGTGGCCGCCCCATCGTATGTCGCGTGCCAGACGAGCAGCTCGGTGGTGGCTTGAAGACTCGTGGGGGAGGGGATGGTGGAGTCTTCATTGCGGCCGGCCACGGTGCTTGGGGTATCTCGCAATCGCCTGGCACTGGACTCGTCATGTCCGAATTGATCGAAGGTCGCCCTACGTCCGCGAACCTGTCGGCATTGGTCTTGCCATCCTAATCTGCCTGCCTAGGCCGGGCATATCTGCTTCTTTCTTTTAAAACACGGTATCGGAGCGAATGGGTACGGTATGGGATTGTATGGTTACAGGCAGCATATCGGTTCGGCGCGGGCTGAACTCCTCTTCACTCTACTCCTCGCGAGAGTAGCAGGCGTACCAACATTATAGACCTAGGCATCAATGCACAGAATTATAGACTATCTCAGCAACAGCATATTGTAATCCCAAGTGATAGCTCGCGTCATTTATTGCTCAATCGTGATCAGATGCCCGACCGTACCAGGCATGTTGGGCTGGTGCTTGTGGGTCTGGCAAAAGGCGACGGCATCACCATGACATCACGGCATCGCCATCACTCACGACTTTTTATTTAACACAAACGTACCACAAGCACTCTCAAGACAGCATCAAAAGCAACTCAAGTAAACTCAATCCGCAATTCCACCACGAATACCACCCAATAAAACTTTCAGCACACACGTACCCACACCATGCCTCGACAGGGCGACGGCTCCTCGGACAACGGTCCCATCGAGACCGGTGAGAACCTCATCCACGGCGCAAGCGGCGATGTAAGTCCAGAACTCAATACACAACATATTCGTTTAAGTTTTGCGGAATCCTCTCTTCCATTCCTCAGCGCAACTCGCAGCAGAGGGTTGCTGTGCCGCTGAGAGCGCCCGGGCGCCTCTTTCAAGGCCTGCCCACGTGTTCCTCCATGTGGGAGGCGGGGTATCCAACAAAGAACAGGGATATCAAGGAAGAAAGGCTGTTCCTGTGGTCCCTGATTCTTCCTCTGTTATTTTAATGCTTCCTTACCTGTCCTCAAATGCTCCTCGCCTCCTTTGAGGCCCCGCTCGCCGCTTCCTCTTCCTCCTGCACTTGAGTCCAGACTCACGTGGCGAGAGTGCTGAGCCCCCATTTCGAGGAGGGGTGTGGAGTTCTGGATCAGGAGGAATGAAGCGGGAGTAAGGGCGCGGAGCGATGGAGTCTGCGTGGAGTAACTGAGTTCGGGAAGTCGCGGTCCGCTCAGGCTTGAAGACAACAATCTGGATTTGGGATGCTTTGCCTTACTGCTCCAGTTCCTTTCTCCTCTTGTTATTTTCATTGAACCTGTTCATCCGAGACATGGCGCTAACTGGAAACCAACAGGCCACTATCAAGCGTGCACAGAAGGTCGCTCCCATGCCTGAGCCCGAGAAAGGCGCAGGTGAGTCTCCCTACCACACGTCAAGTGCCCTGAGGAATGCAGCGCTAATTTCTCAACAGCTCTCGAGGGAATGAACGCCTCCGGCGGCGGCTCCGTGGGCATCTCAGGAACGACCGGTCAGGGCCGCCACGCGAACGACTCCAACAAGCCGCCCGTAGTGGACCAGGTCACCAAGGGCTCATCGTGAGGGTGGAAACGCAATTCCTCTCAAGTCTTGGTTGAGTATCCGTGAAAGGGCTCATGCAAGGCGATAGCGTAATTGGAGCAGGACCGCTGCAAGCGTTAGGAATGCATGAGGGAGCAAGGAGTAATTTCCAAAGGTTCCTCAAAAGCCCCCATGGAATGCCTCAATTCCGGCTATAGCTTAATCGAAAGCTTTATGAAGTGATTTGGCAAGCTCATTTGCATGTGCGTGTGCATGTGCTGATGTGCAGGTCCTAATTAGCTTCATTATTCGCGAGCTGATGTGGCAAGAGCTGAGGAAATGTGCTGATCTGCAAAAGCGAGAAACATGCTAGCGCAAGCACGCTGACGCCGAAGACTAGACGCCGAGGTTCCCGTGTAAGCTGAAGTGGATACCGCGATTAGGCCCGGCATTCATGTCAGGCGGTGTGCAGACAAATTTCACTTTGCAAAGGGAGAATAGTAGTACAAGTATGATGCGAAGTTGTAGTTGATTGGCTACATGAAAGGCACCAGCCCTTGGTGTACTGTCTTGTCGGCCATGGAGTTACCCGAACTCTATCCAGGGTAGTCCACCAACCCAGCCCTTCGATTCGATGCTAGTATAACACACAAAGTCCCTTTTCATGACTCCTTCTGACGCCCCGTCCTAAGGTCACCGTCATGAAGCCCCCCGGATTCCAGTGAACTAAGAATCTCTTTCCTCAAAGCAAAACCCTGACGCCTCCCAGTGATTTGTCTAGACCGTAATGAAGACCTCAAACGCCTCCTCGCCGCACCATCGAGTCGGGATCGCCGCGCCGCCACCCTCAGCGACCGACCGACCGACCTGTTGCTAATGCTGCTCCGCTGCGAGAGCCTCGTCGCTAACCAAAGTTGCGCCAGAGGCTGTCTGCAAGTCGAAGTGCTTTGCATCAAGGGGGTCAGAAAGGCCATAAGGGTGGAGGAGGTCGGCTTGGCCGAAGATGGCGCTGCTGAAGAAGACGTCTGTGTCAACCAGGCCAGAAGCGCTGTCCACAACTGTGTTGTTGTTTGTGGTGTCGGGGAACTGGTCGAAGTCGAAAAGAGAGTCAATAGGCTTCTCGTCAAGGGTAGTGTGAGGTTGAAGAGAGTAAGGAAAGCCCAGATCGCTGGAAGTTGTGGTCGGAGCGGTTGCGGGGAGCGGCAGACCGCCAAAGCCTTCGACTGACACTGCAGGTCGCACAATATCTCTGCAGGATATCGTGTCTGGTCGAAGTCGGCGGCGGTCTCGCTGAAGTCGGGCGTCTCGGGCTGGCACGAGGAGTCGCGAGGCGAGTCCATCGAGTCCATGGTCATGGAGACGGGGCTGGGGAAGGATGTCGATGTCGTCTGAGCGGGGTTGACGGTGTCCGAGGTGGCGCTCAGGAACGAGTCGTACTCGCTCACGGGCGTGAGGTGCTCGAAGGTGGATTCGGGCACTTCGCCGGGATACTTCTGGCGGTAGACGTTGAGCTCAGCGGTCATGCGGGCCATGGCCAGCCGCGCCGTCTTGAGGTCGTGCTCGAGCTTGTCCTTCTCGGCCTGGAGCGTCTCGTACTCCTGCCGCTTGCGCTCGCGCGAGTTGTGGGCGGCCAGGCGGTTGCGCTTGACACGCTCGATGCGGCGCTGCTCCTTCTCGTCCTCTGTCTTGGCGCGCTTCCGCGGGGGCAGGTTGGTCTTTGGCTCGGGGAGCACCTGGCCCCACGACTTGCGCTTCTTGGCCTGCCTGCCCTCTGGGGCAGGGGAGCCGGCCGACGATGCGTTGGACGGCGGCGGGGCGGGGGTGTCGAAGGCGGCCTGGAGGTCCTCCATCTTGATGGTGGTGGACGCCGGGTCTATTGTGGGCGGCGGGGTGGAGAGCTGGTGTGACGAGGGCATGGCAGGCGTGCTGATTGCTTGTGCGAACTGGGTGGTGTAGAGGTGGTCCATCCCCGTGGTGGTGCGGATTGTCGATGCGAGGGCGTGCTGGGCATCTGGAGGGGAGGAGGGGAGCGGAGGGGATGATATCGGGCTGGGTGCGTGAGGACAGCTGTCCTTTATGCTCGCCCACCTGGGCACGGATGCAGGGGGCGCAGTCGCGCTTTCCGGATCCGGTGTAGTCCCATCTAATTTAGAAGCGACCCATCCGTTTACCCCGATCGGCCCGTGCAGCATCCCTGGCCTCCCCTGGCCTCCTCGTAAAGCACTCTCAGTGCATTCTGCCATCGTGTGAGTCGACTGTTTTGGGCACCAAATTCGACGACATCTGCTGGAATAATTTAGGCACCTCTTTTATATCGTATCCGCCGGCTGGACTGTTGCTGTCCCAGGCCTCCTGAACCGCAAAGGGCGCCGAACTCGATGGAAACGCAAGCGTCAGGGCCGCGGCCCGCCAACTGCGTTTCACAGTCGGTCTCCGCGTTGCGCGAGGGACATCCAGGGGGGATTCTGCCCAGGGGGGATTCTGCTGCATTCCCGCCGAATTTCCATCTTTGTGCCGCGCCAGTGTTGGAATCCCTCGCCGCTTCGTTTCGTCTCTGCTCCTGCCTTCTATTCCTTCTGGCGGCGCCGCTGGCAGGCTGAGTACGCTTCAAACAAAGGCAAAAACGGGCGCTCCAAGCATGCGCGCAGATCAGGCCAGCCCAGCGTAACCCAGCCGTCGCTGAGGATCCGCAGGGTGGCGTTGCGAATCACAGCTGTGTGTCGTCAGACAATGACCCAATGAGGCACCCGGAGTACGCGAATGCCACCACCATCGACATCCAATATGCATCGCTGAACCCACCCACCAGCCCTCGTTATTTCCAAGTATTTTTTCTCTCTCGCAGTCACGCTCCCCAATAACGGCCATCTAAGTTAATATGGCTCCACGCATACACGCAGAGCGGGAAGTCTTCTCGAACGATCCGGGGTGCATGGAATTCATCTATTTTTTCCGGGCTAGCGATATCAATCGCCGCACTTCAATCTCCCCGCATTTTCTTCGCAATATACACACATCGGCTCTGCACACGAGACTACTACCGAAGCGACCCTGCACGGAAGCACAAAAGAACATGAAAGAAGGGTTAGCTTCCTTCGTACCGTTGTGTCACACGAGGAGCATGGTATCTGTTCGACGGAATTTTCGTTACTGCGTTTGACATGAGAATCTCGCCTGGACATGACTTCCGCCGACGGCGGAACTATGGCGAGCCGGTGGAACAACGTTTCTCGGAGCCGGTCTCAGTCAGGCAGCTCTTCTATTTCATGACCGCCCGGTTCCGAATTGTTTCTGCCTGCCTCGCGTTGAGAGGTCTAGCTTGTTCCGTCGCCGCAAGTTGATGGCGGACTTTCACATTCAATAATAGCGTACGTAAGTGTCTCATACTTGTTTCTTCATCTCGGGTCGTTTTCTTTCAGTTTTGGTCCGGCGCCAAAATCAATGATATGTCGCCATCGTCGCCATTCAAGGCAACACAATTCGGACCAATCACGACACCAGAAATGAAGATGCCTGGATACTCCATAACCCCACAACAACTCATCAGGACTGAAGACGCGCGTTCATAATGGAACAAGATGCGAACCACACGATCAGTAGAGATCATGACGAGAGGTGGCCTTCCACGCCTTCCAGCTTTTGCGCACGCGCGAGCCAAACTACACGACCTTCGGTCGATGACACCTACCTGGGACCATTGCCTTCCCTCGGCTCCATTGGCTCTGGCCTGGTTTGTGACAGACAACTCGTACATGACGATGCGGCAGCAGACTGTTGGCCGAAAATTCGTACAAATATCTAAAACAAGGCTGCCTACCGCGGCACGGACAAGGGAACCGGCCTGTACCTCGGACGGGCCGGAAGCTTCTGAGAATTTCAAGGCGCAGACTCGTACTCCGACCATAATCGAACCCTCTTGTGGGTCGTTTCTTTACGCCGGGGTAGCCGAGACCATCTCCACACATACTCTCGAAAGCTGTAGTCCTACAAATGGACAGCCCGGTGATACAGCTCGAAAGCAGAAGATGGAAGGACCACGAAATGAAGGTCTTCACGCTAGCTTGTAACTCTTGTACATAACATTCGCGATCGCTTCCAGGGAGAGTCCAAACCCGATCACAATGACAAGCGCCTTCATCCCCGGGCCCCGCTCAGTTGTCATAGGTCTGGTATTTGGCGGTCTTGCTTTCTATTTCCTCCCTTCATCTTCCAGTACTCCAATCTGTGTATGCGTCGGTAAGGAAAGAGCAAGACAAACGCCGAACACAGTCACCGTACCTTGCTTCTCACTTCACGATATCAACGACTTTTGCGAAGCCGTAACACAGTCTCAACCGTATCAACGAGGCCCGATGTCCATTGGATGATTCCACGACGAGTAATTAAAAGGCGTTCCTGGCATTCACTTCGCTGTCCCACCAAGAGGCGAATGAACGCGATTAATTCATTCTCTTTGCTAACACTTATCACGGGAATGCCTCTCCGCGCACATAGCTATCAAAGCCATCCAATCGTTTCGATGCCATATGAGAGGAGGCGCTAAGGAAGTGACTGGTGGTGCACGGGGTCATCTCCCATCGCTAACAACGCTGAAGTTTGAATCGGCTTGAACAATGTCGGAGGGCATAGGGGTACAAAATGCTAGCAGGCGGTTAGTCCCGACGAATTCCGGACAACCCATCTCATCCGCATAATCTCTTCACTGGAACTAACTTCGAAAATTCAAACCTGGACGTCGGGTATGGCTTCGCACCGTAGCATGAATCGCTTCCAAGGTTTCCCGGCAACGACAAGATCTCGGTCGCTCCGCGGCCTCCCAGGTCATCGTCCGCTGTTGCTCTGGCGGATTGTATCACTGGAGACCAGAAGCCTTCTCCTTCTCCTGATCGTGTTGAGCGTCGGGAACTCCAGCACATAGACGCCGCGCCTGGCCGACACCGCACTACGCTCGCTCGTAGAAGTGCAACACGCCGTTGGGCTGCTAGCCCTCCCGATTTGCCAGAGTTTTCGGGGACCCTTCTGATAAACCAGGCTGCTCTACAAGCTCAAGGTAGGCGCCGAGTGCAGGGACAGCCACCGAGCTCTCCGCATCAGTACCAGCCATATCGTCCAGTCGATCCTACTGCACTGCTTGAAATGCGGACTGAGTCAGCTGAACCGTGTAGTTGTCGAGCAGAGGTGCCACATGCTCAAATCAGTCGCCCAGAGCTACTGACACTGAGTTCAGCTTATACAGCGCGCTTGCAAGCACGCTCATCCCCTCATCCTGCTCCCGCTCCGACTAACGAGCCAGAACCCGCGGCTACGGATCCTCGTCGCCTTTCAGAGCGGTCGGAGGAGTTCAAACATCCATCGCGTACCTTGACCAGCCTGCTTCGAGATTGTTTTAGGGATATGCTTTGTGGTGAAAAGTGATGAGGAATAGCCAGCATCTAGTCTCCTTGAACCATCGATATTATGTTGAGCTTTGCGAGAGCTCTCTGTTGCTTTATGTGATAAATCGAGTGCTTGCCTGCTCCAAATAATGGACAGTGTCACATTGCATTGAATAGTAAGTCGATCGATACGCATCTGCGAGAAGCCCTATAGTAATTGAAACGTCCATTTGCTTGTCTGCTAAGTGTATTTATCGACCTAATACATTTCTTAAACGGCTCAAATTTTCACAGCCGTTTTATGCTGATGTCTGAACTCCTCTACCCGCTCTTTCCACAGCATTGTGCACATACCCGTCAAACCTCAACACCCTCCGGTCCCGTCATGCCATACATTGTGCACCACACAATACCCGTCATCCTCACAATCTCCCAGCTTCATGCTAAATTCGCGCCCGGCAAATTTCTAGTCGTCCTTCTTAAACGCCACTGCTCCTTCCCACAATTCTGCCGGAGCTCAATTCCCTACCTAACCAGCAGAAGCACATCAAGACCGTGTTTGTCAATGTCTAGTACTACTCTAACTTATCGAATGTCTGAAGAAAAGGATGGCCATGGCTCGGCAACAGGTCGCTGGATCCGTAATCTGCATGCTGAGTACGGTGTTCCTGATACAACCGAGAATGCGTATCAGGGCGGGACACCGCCATACGAGTACATCTACTCGTCTTCCACTGCGCTCGCTACTAGACCACATCAGACCAAGACAGCAGCAGGCCCACAACTTCGCGCACCTACCTCAACATCCCATCCGCCATCACCCACCCCGTCTACCGCCGTACCTTATCAAGCACCGTGAGAGACCTACCCTGTACCCCTCACGGACCTGGACGCTAATGTAGCAGCGGCGTGCATGCGTGGTTATCATGCCCAACTACGTCGCGGAGTCCTGACGCAGTCGCGATTCGACGCACTCACAGCGAATTTGCGAGCCCCCTCTCACTGCTCCGAACCAGACACCTTCGCGCGCTCCTTCACTCTCCTAACCACAGATACTCGGCGTTCAGAACGTGCATATAGTGAGCAGTTAACTACACTCTATGAATCGCGAGGCTGTACCGTCCTACAGTCCGCCCAACTGGACGCAGCTGCATCAGAACTGCCGCCCCAAGATCGAACCGAGCCGGATCTGTACGCTTACCCTTGCGCTATTTTAATAGCCGACTTTGACGAGCTTGACCCTGCTCCGGGGGTACAAGCTGGTCGGGATCGTGAGTGGAAAGATGCATATGTGGGTTGTCGCGGGCTTGTCAAGTCCGTCTGTAAGGGGTTTATCCATAAATTGCGTTCGAGCGTCGGTATGGTACTGGTGTAACTGATTGAGTTCTGGACGTAGTGCTAGCGCAGAGGATAGAAGGGAGGGTATGCAGACCTGGCAACTCACTCAGTCGAGAAGTACAGGCGCTCAATGCGCGCCTTAGTAGCGTGGAGAAATGAATAGCAATGGAAACAAACAAAGCAGACTCTTGGCCCAACAAGTGATGTAGAACTCATGCCCATGCAACTCCATGGTTACTTTTCTATTACTACGTTCATATGCAAACCCGATACACCCCGTCTGGAATCTAGGCACGTCTATCTTCTTTTCGTGTTAAAAGCGCTGACGATAGCCACCCACCCAATGCAACCATCTAAGCCGATCTAACTGTCCAGAGACAGCCCGGGCGGAGTGACCAGCTCCGTGTCCGTGCCTTCCTTCGTGGCTTTGACTCCTTCCTTCTCTTTGCCCTTGCCGTTAGCCCTCCGCTCGTCAAAAGCATCGGGGACTTTCTCGCTCAGGTTGATGGCGACGAAACTCTTTGGTAACTTGACACTAAAGTATCTGTTAGTCCCATGCCGGGGTAATGAAACAAGGGCGAAAACATACTTGTGGAACTTTGCGCGAAGGGTCTCTAGAACCTCCTTCCAGTCGTGGTGTGCTGTGAGACTGCGACGGGGTGAGAAACCAATCATGTGGCGAGAATCGAGTTGTCTTTGAAAGAGTCAGTATATGCGTTCCAAGTCTCAAAAGGGCTGAGCAGACTTACACATCAAGCGGTGCGAAAGCGTGACAACCTGGCGACAATGTGATACGAATGCTGTAGTTGAAAGTGTTCGGTTCATCATCTTGCGTGGCATTCTCTGACTCATACAACTCGAATCCGATCTGCGAGAGGTAGTCTAGCTCGGGAATAGCATTGCGCGCAATCTTCGTTTTGATACCGCCCTCAAGGATACAGTTGAGAAGCGTGTAGATGTGTGATTCCTTGGTGAAATAGAAGAAGGACTTCGGGGTATCGGACGCTTGAAGCTCTTCTAAATCTTCGACGATCTCTCTCAGAAGAGGGAGGGACGTGAGGAGACCGATCTCCAGCTTCTCCTCATTGTCGATGCCGTATTCTTGCGGGCCAATGTAGTCGAAAAGGACTTTGGAAAGATGGTACATTTCGCGAAGCTTCACAAGTCGGGCGTCCACTTGAGCTTTCGATACAGCGTTGCCAACGCCCGTGTAAAGCTTGAAGTAGGACTCGTGCGCGTAGGTGGGGGGTGCAACAGGCTTGACAACAATCTCAGACCGCCTCCTAAAACCCATACGGTGCGCAATGTTCCCGCGCTCCGCAGGCTTCTCTGTGTGGTTTTCTTTCGCGTCCGCCTTTGGCTGGATATCAGCGGGAGCTGGCGCTGGTCTGGCCTGGCTGTTGTCGGTTGATGGGTGCCTGGAGCCGTTCACGATGGCTTCCTCTTCGAGGAAGCCGGCGTCCGGCGTGAAAACCCACTCGAGGAACTGGCGATTATGAAGGGCATCGAACTTCATGGAGTCGTACAGCTCGGAGATCTTGCTCGGATCGACCTTGTCAGCATCTCCGAACTCTTTAAACAGCTTCTCCCAGCGCTCCTTGAACAGCTCTGGTCCTTCGTTACAGCACCAACGGGGCTGGATCTGGTTCACATTGGTAAGATGAGACAACGCCCCAGGGGAAGTCACGTCTCCTGGGCCGCCTGCAATAGCGTTCAGGGACAAGACAGCGGCGGAATCCAGCTTCTTGAAGTTGTGGTTCATGACGCGCTGGTGAAACTTCATCAAGTCGACGACCTGTCTGACCACGATGTAGGGCTCTGGTACGTCTTTCGGCCAAGCAAACTGCGGAGGTGCTTTATCGCCAGCTCGAAGCAGCGTCTTAAGTTTCTTCTTCACCTTGTCCATGATGTCTTTCGCCGCGTTAGAATCATCTAAGAGGTCTTTGCGCACCTCAATGTTCTCAGACGGATATTGATCCTTTTCGAGGAAGGATGCCGCAAAGATCTGAGCGCTTGTGGTGACGCGCCGTTCAGAGCTGCTGAAAATGGAGACATCGTCGAGGACTTCCCTGTTCATAAGCAACAGGTCGTTCCGGAAGTTGGCACCCATATCCTGGGTCTGGTGGCGGGCAGAATGCGTCGGCTCGCCTCCCCACTTGATGATCAATTGCAGCTTGTCAAGGATAAGATTGTTCTCGGCGGCGGAAATCCTGGAGAGGGTGAGACCCGACATGGAGTCGCTACGTTTCGCGGCGGATCGGGCGGCATCAGCACCATCGCCAGACGCCGACCCAGCCCTTTTCCGTTCCGGAGAGTCTTCAGCTGTCTCCCCAGGGAGAAGTTCCTCTTTCCGCCTCTTCCGGAACATTGGCTTGATCTGGACTTTAGTTCCCGGCCAAGCTCCCTTCTTGTTCAGATAAATCTGCAACTCGCGGAGCTTCTTAGGGTCCTCGACGCCGTCCTCCATTGCCAGCTTGACAGCGTCACTCACACTCTGTAATGCTGCTTCGCCGATCAGCAGGACCTCCTCCTGGTGTCCTTTGAGCAGGTCGACGAAAGGCTTCGTGTGGAACGTGTACTTGAATTTTTGCTTAGGCGTACGATCGGCGTGCCGAATAACGGACACAACACCTTTGAGTTTCCATTGCGCTTTGGAAGCTGGAGGCGGCACGATCACTTGTTCGTCTGAGTGTGACTTTTCGATGCCGAGCTGTAGATTCTTGTCGCGCGGGCCCGGCGGCGATAGGAGATCTGGCTCCGATTTAAGCGCGGCAGGAGTAGTGCTTGGAACTACGGTGCTTAAAGGCTTTTCAAAACTCGGAGAAGCTGTAAGTGGGGTCGTGCTTAGTGAAGCCTCAGGAGAAGAGGGCACGGTGCCCGAATGGCGGATATGGGGAAGGTGGGGGTGATTGTTAGCCAATTTTGACATACTAGGAGACTTGAACAATCCTTTCAGCGCTTGGCGGTGACTCCCACTCTTCCTCGACGTCGCCGACGAGGACGGCCCTTCCAGGACTTCAGAGGCGGCCTGTTGGACCTCTTTTCGTTCTCTGCGCGCGATCTCCTGTATAAATAGGTCCTTGAGGATCTTGGAAGCTTTCTCGTAGTAGTCTTGGTTGTCTTTGACGAAGCTCCAACCATTGACGTCGATAACGTAGCTGCGATCTCCGGTGCGAAGGAGGTCAAATCCGCAGACTCTCTGACCGAACCCTTCCGAGATCTTGGCTGCCATGGCTGCTTCCGTTTCGCTGAGCTTAGTCACGTACCGGACTTCTTTACCGCTTGGGTTTCGTTTTACCAGACCGTCGACAACTGGTGACTTTCTTGTCTCAGCATGGCAGAAGTTCGGCCCCACGGTGTACGCTTTGACGTCCTCTGAGTTCTCTACTTGTAGAAACTGCTCGTAGATGTAGCTGTTCTTAGGCTCGGTGATGCATCTCGGAACGTCTAGGGTGTCGTCCTTTTCCGAGCTCTTGTTGTTCACTTTGCGGAACAGCCTTCGGCCACCGCCACCGTCCTTTTTGTGATAATAAATGTTAATATTATGATCTTCGCCGCTCACAGGCTTCTCCACAAAAGGCTTGGTAAGCGTGACACCGTCAACCCGAATGCTATTTCCGTCATCGACGAGCTCGACCTTCTTCGGCGGTAGAGCGCCACCTCCAGTTCCATCGGGAGGACCTGGCAGGGTCACTCTCGTCCTGTCTTTCAGGGCTTTCGCGAACTCTGATGAATGCAATCTGGGCCCACCATCCCGATTGACTTCAACCCGTTTCGGCGTCGGCACATCCAGCTTGTCGAGGATGGCTAGGCAGAGCCGTCTGTCCCAGAGGACTTGCTGCATGGGGAGATCATTGACGCAGAAAGGCTTGCGCAAGCGTGCATATGCAATTGCTTTGTCGAGCGGAAAGCCATCGGAGAAGAAGGAGATCAGGAAGTCGCAGATGGGCCAATTCTCCACGTCCTCGTCTAGTATGATCTTGTCTCCGAAGATCTTGACCTCAAAGTCGTCAACCAGCTTGCCAAAAATATTGCGAGCTGGCTTGCTTCGCGCCTTCGACTCCAGCGCGCAGACACCAATGATGCCTTTTGTCGGCTTCTTCGGCTCCCTCATGTCTCTGCTGCCCGGGCTGCTGCTCGCGCCCGTGCTCCCACTAATGCGTCTTTGGGCGGTGGTGCGGCTCCGTGAGCGGCGAGCATTGCCTTGCGGGTTCGAGGTTGGCTGCGAGCCCGGCGACGGTGCGGTAGCGGCGTGGGTGGGGCCCGGGGACGGGCTTGGCTGGTTTCCGTTGGGATTGTGGTTGTGGCTCGCAGGCTCTTTGGAGAAGAGGTGTTGGGTGGGCGAGAGCTTGGGTCCCAGACTGCCATTCTGGCTCGACGTAGTTATTGACAGCGAGGACGTGGCGGTCGTCGTGCCATGCGGCGGGCCTTCCACTTTCACTATTATTGTTAGCCGTGCGCCCACGCCGGTGCCTCGCAAATGGCGACTCACGCTCCGCCTCGGAGCCTGCTACGGACCCAGGCCCACTCATTCCTCTTGTGTTTGGGTATATTGCCGAGCCTATGGAGTAGAGGGACGAAAAGGACATGCGGTTCGACTCTGCGTCGGCTTCAGATCTCGGCGGGCGGTACGCATCCGGCAGCGTCAGCGTTGACGCGAGGCTCCCGCCGCGGGAAGCCTCTAGGGTCGGCGTCGCATTGTCGAGGTCGTCGATGGCGGAGCCATTTCTGGCGGCGCCCAGGCAGTCGAGGAGGCTGCTGTCGGACGCTTTCGAGGGCCGTCGCGATGGGAACTGCCTCGCAATGGGCTTCGAGCCCGGTGGCGGCATAGAAACGCTCGCGCGTTCGACATTGCTTCCAATGGTCTCCGGCTCCGAAGACCGCGCCTTTCTGCTGGCGGCGGATGAGCTGCTCCCCGAGGCCAGGAGGTGTGGTGTCGTCCGTGAGCGCGCGCTCTCAGCACTGACCGTGCGAGACAGCTGCTCCATCAGGCGTAATCCCGCGCTGACGGAGTTTATGGGTGGGATCCAGATGTGCTTTTTTTTCGGCAAGCGGCAAATTGTTACGGCCAAGGTGCCATGACGTCGATCGGCGAGAAGCGCACCGCTACATTTCTTCAGGAACAGGAACAAGAGCAGGACTTCTCACCAGATGATCAAGCAGTCCAACAGTACGACCTTATACGAGCATGTTGGCACGTTGGCACGTTGGCGGCGGAAAGCAAGATAGGCGCACCGCTTTGAGTGGGCGCGCCTGTGCCTGCGTCACCCTGCAGCAGCGCGTCGCCATGGCTCATGCGATAGCAGATACAGCAGAACCCGTTGAGGAATTCGTTTTCAAAAGCCAAAGCGACACACATCGAAGAGATGAGCGGAAGTCCGTGGAGACGGGTCCTCGAGGGCGTGAACCCGCGCACCAACCTTGGAACAAACCCATGGGCTTCGGCCAGATAGCACTCCTTTTGTTCAACACACGTCTTACCGTGGTAGTAGTGCGCTCACAGCGAAGCCCCCTCCAAGCTGGAGGTACATGCGCGGGATCCCGCCGAGAGGTGCTTCCGCTGTCACTTCCATCGAAGGATCTCACCGCGAGAGGGACCCCCCTGCGCAGATCGTCTTGGCGCGGGGTGTCCGTCTAATCTCCGCAAGAAATTTTGTCCGCCGGCGTGCGTACGGTGCACCGTCTCGAACAACATCGTCGCTCCTTTGCCGGCAAACGAACTGCCAGTCTCCACAGGCGATGCCGGGCCCTAAGCTGCCAGATAATGTCTCCGGTGGCCGCGTTGCGAAGCGACAGAAGCTCCAAGCTGGTCACGAGAAAAGCTCAGCGGCGGTCGTCCGCAAGTCGAAAATCTTCGCCCCGTTCAGAGTAAGCCCGCTTGAATTGAAGTGATGCCCTCAGGAGGCCTCTAACAGAGTCCTTCAGACGGTCGGCCTTGTGTCTCCCACCCATGTCCCGTTCACCTCCCTCCCGCTCGGCAAAACGACCTTCCAGATTACCACCTCCGTCGGGCGATCGCTGCAGACCTACGACCTCAAAGGAGGGCTGAATCTCGTCTTCCTTACCCGCCCGCAGACGCCAGAAAGCATTACAGCCACACTAGCGTGGAAAAAGGTCGTGCTTGCTGCATGGGGCGGTCCGACAGCAAATTCTTCGCGAGGTGTCTGGGTGTTCCAGCGGGGAAAACAGGTGGGCGAGCTGGAGCTGCCTCGAGGAGCACGAGAGAACATCACGCGGTTGCTGGCTTTTGGCGAGTGGATAGTCGGATGCGGCGCCACTAGCATCCAAGTATGGAAGTCCTCTACCTTTGAGCACTACACCACTCTGCAGAGCGCTTCCTCAAGCGCTCTGTCGGGCTCCCTCTGCAACATGCCGACGTACCTGAATAAGATATTTGTAGGAAGGAAAGATGGCTCCGTGGAAATTTGGAACGTGAGCACGGGCAAATTGCTCTATACTCTCCTTCCCCCAGCAGCCGACTTCGGGCCTGTGACAGCGCTGCAGCCGACACCGGCGGTGTCTCTCCTCGCCATTGCATATGAGTCAGGTCCCATCACGATCCACGATATACGCGCCGATAGAGAGATTTTGCGACTCAATACAGGCGGCTCGAAGAAGATACCGATTACTACGATATCCTTCAGGACGGATGGGCTGGGTGCCGGCGATGAAGGTCGCGAGGATGGCGTCATGGCAACTGCTAGCAGATTTAGCAGTGACATTACCTTCTGGGATCTTAACAAAATGGGCCGCAAGATGGCCACCCTAAGTGGGGCGCACAATCCTCCTCCATCCGTCAAAGATGGCATCGGAGGTGGCATTAATAAGATTGAGTTCCTGCCAGGTCAAGCGGTGATCGTCTCAAGTGGACTGGATAACTCCCTCAAGAGCTGGATATTTGACGAAGCGCCATTCTCGCCCACTCCTCGCATCCTTCATTCTCGTGGCGGCCATGCAGCACCGATCTCTACGCTTAAATTCCTACCCTCAAATTCAGACGGCTCCGGTGACATGGGAAAGTGGCTACTCAGCGCGAGCAAAGACCGAAGCCTCTGGGGTTGGAGTCTACGCCGGGACGGGCAAAGCACCGAACTCAGCCAAGGTGCAATTCAGAAGAAAGCTAAGAAGATGGGTCTACTCAACGGTACTGAGCCGAATTCTAGGCATTATACTACGCTAGATAATCTTAAGGCTCCACCCATCACATGCCTAGCATGCTCCCTTAACCGCGACGGTGGGATGGGTGCTATGCCTGGAGTTACAGGGATCTGGAATAATTCCTCCAAAGTTAAAGGGGACAAGAAAGCTCCAGAGGTCAATATGACGGGGTGGGAGAGCATTGTCACCGGCCACGCGGGAAATAAGACAGCCAGAACATGGTTCTGGGGTCGAAAGCGAGCCGGCCGGTGGACTTTCGACACTGGGGACGGCACTGAAGTCAAGGTAGGCGAACTGCACCAGCCCTCGGCAAACTTCGTTAACAAAGTATAGAGTGTTGCAGTGTCTCCATGCGGTACATTTGCTCTGGTCGGATCGGTGGGTGGGGCTATCGACATGTATAACCTTCAATCTGGCCAACATCGACGGAGGTTCCCCGCCCGCCTAACTCCAGCTGAAGCAAAGAAGTTCAAGCTTCAACAATTGCAGGCCGAGGACGGAGCTCTGGATGCCAACACCCACGCCTCTCCAAAATTTGCGAAGGGCCAAGGACGACACAAAGGAGCCGTAACCGGACTCGCCGTTGACAGCTTGAATCGGATTGTAATCAGCTGTGGAGATGATGGTAAAGTGAAGGTGCGTTCAATCTTCTCCAGTTTCAGTAACCTTCTACTAACATCGAGAGTAGTTCTGGGACTTCGCAACTGGAATTCTCCGGCACGAAATCGATTGGTACCCGATGACAAAAGTCGTTGGCTTGCGATATCACCGTAACAGCGACCTGATAGCTCTTAGCTGTGATGATGGGTCCATTCGCGTGGTCGACATTGAAACGAAGAAACTCATCCGAGAGTTGTGGGCTTCACGCATTCACGCCGAGCTGCTGATCATCGATTATATCTTCTCAAGTGACGGCCGATGGATTATTGCGGCCGCGTCTGATTCAACGGTCAGAGTGTGGGACCTTCCTACTGGCCATCTCATCGACGCTATGAAGCTCCCGGGACAATGCACTGCCGTGTCCTTCTCCCCTTCTGGGGAATTCCTCGCAACGGCGCTGGACGGCGAGGTGGGCGTCCATATCTGGACCAACCGCACGCTATTCACACATGTCTCCACAAGGCAAATATCGGAAGACGAAATCGCTACCATCAGCGCACCTACGTCATCCGGCGAAGGAGGAGAGGCCCTCATCGACGCAGCCGCTGAGGAGGAATTTGAAAACGAGCCAGACGAGACTGTAGTCCCCATCATGGACCAACTCAGCGACCAGATCACGACTCTAAGTCTTGTCCCCAAGTCACGATGGCAGACTCTCCTCCACCTCGACATAATTCGCGCTCGCAACAAGCCCAAGGAGCCGCCCAAAGCGCCGGAGAACGCTCCGTTCTTCCTACCTTCTCTCTCCCAGAATCCGGCTTCAAATGTTGGTTCAAATGCCCTCGCGCCTTTGGATCCGGAACCTGCATCGCGTATATCCAGCTCCGCCTTAGCATCAAAGTCCTCAGCCGCTACGTCCACAAACGAATTCACGCGACGCCTCGCCCACGCTGCCGAGACCTCCGAATACACTGCTATGTTATCGTATCTCTCGTCCCTGCCGCCCTCAGCTGCCGATATCGCAATTCGCACGCTAGAGACCGTACCGCCGTACACGGAGCTGCAGACATTCATCGAAGGGCTGACGGCGAGGCTAATGGAGAGGAGGGACTACGAGCTCGTCCAGGCGTGGATGAGCGTATTCTTGAGACTGCATGGGGATGTTGTAGTCAGGGACGAGGGGCTGGTGGGCCTACTGAGGAAGTGGCAGGAGGAGGCAAAGAGGGAGAGGGAGAGAGTAGGTGGCTTGGTCGGATATAGTGTTGGTGTGGTCGGATGGGTGAGGAGTGCGAGGTGATTAGAGGTGTCTCATGTCTCTTCAGCTGGACGAATCGAGCCCTGGTGGCTCACAAGTCATCAAGATTCCAAAGGGGCCGGCAGCTGGCACATCGAATTACTTGCTTATAGGGCTTTGCTAACTCGGTTGTGGGTAGGGATAGAGGGGCCCATTTGTGTGACGACAGTTCATTGAGGGTGCAGCCTTCCCCGCGTGGCTCTGGGGCGCGCAAAGTGGTTCGTCAAACGGGTCGGTATGCGGACGCTGTGCAAGCGCCACGAACCGATACATACAGTAGTATATCTGAAGACCCCTGAAGAGTACAGTCCCAGTTGCACGAGCTTGCGCGTGAGCAGCTAGCGGGTCTGGTCATCTAGCACAGCTTGGGGTAAAGATAGCTCAAGCGCTTGCCAATGCGGTTAGCCCGAGCGCACGGCCGTCTGCTGCTCCCCACGTTAAAGGGCCGCAGATGCGCCGTCCAACTATGGGCTTCCCTTTTGGACTTCATATACCACACAGCCTGTACAGACGCCACTTACAGCGCTGCACGCCTCTCGTTCGTTCATCACCCTACTGGCCAAACGCGCCAAGGACTACCCAGCACTCGTTACGGCAGGACGACATGCACGCGCACCATGGACTCTCGTGGCAGCCAAGATAGCGGCCCCGTCCGCAGTCGCAGATCCACAAAGCAGCCAATGCAATTCATGTTCATTGATTCGACCGACCATGGCGTGAACGCAAAGCCCGACAAGGCCGTGAGGTCGTTTGTCATGAAGACGGCCCGCCGCCAGAAGCCTTGGAGCACGCGACAGAAAAGCCCCAAGACGGAAGCGGAACTAGAGGAAAACTCACAGCCAAGGTCTCAACAGTCGTCAACACGGACCTATGACGGGGCTGACGAGCATGATCCTGCCAGTCCTGGATCCTGGCAAGAGTTCGCACCGACACCGAGTGCGCGGTATGCCCGGTCTCGCGGATCAGCTGTAAGCAGCAGAAACGGCACTTTCTCTAGGCGCCCCAGCAGCCACCTTCACCTCCTTCCGCCATCAAGCCGTGTCAGCGTGTGCGACTTCCCACATTGTACCGGGGATTCTTGCGGCCAACCCCATGAAGCCCCCACGGCGCTTGGGCGTCGATGTGGCTTCGACGTAGGCTTCAGGGCGTCGTTCGACTGTTTGCCCGTGCAGATGGATGAGAAAATGCGAGACTTGCTTGAAAACTGTGAGTGTACCGATACCCGTTAATGGCGCAGAGTATTGAACGTAGCCTTGCAGTTGTGAACGCGCATTCTGCACTTCTAATACCGTTGGACCGGCACCAGGCATCAAAGCCGTTGACTACCGAATGGGTGGCAAACTCGATACTGAGTGCATCGGGCGCACCCTTCATTTATGCGGTTCTCACCTCCAGTGCTCTCTACTCGCAAGCCACTGGCGCTGCTAATCCCTTGGATGTACTACACTACAAGACAGAGACCATACGGGAAATCCACACGCTTTTCGACAACCCAAGAAGAAGAGTTGACGACAGCAACATTGCTGCCGTCTTCATGCTACTGTGCCTGGAAGAGAGTCAGCTTGTCGGGCGAGAAGACCAAGAGGACGCCGAGTGGAGTGAGCTGCAGCGGAGAAAGCACCTCAACGGCCTCAAGAAAATGATAGAGCTAAGAGGCGGTCTTGCAGCGCTTGGAAGGAACCGGTGCCTGCAAACCTTTATTCTCATGTGGGTCTCACCGATTTTCTGCATATGCATATTGGAGCCCCGTCACTCCATTTATATTTCATCTATCTCGTATTCATCTACTCGAGCACATCTTTGCCTGCATGGCCTCTGACCAAACTTCCCTATTGGACGTCATCTGCGGTTTCTGGTTTGCCTCTTGCCTTTCCGATCGTGCTTGCCCAAAACAGACAGGTAGTTTCCAAGGTTGTTCGCTGTTCACGTCCCTGCATCCCCGCTTCACATCTCCGCAGACACGTGGAGGACCCCAGTACAATCTTACTCACATCCAGGCCGCATACACGATCGGGGTTCGCTAACAAGCGGATAGGCACAGCATCGCTCACGCAGTAACGACCTTTGAACGGCCGTACACCACACTTGTCGATGCAACCGGCCAGACGCAGCAATACGACATTCCCTCCTTCCGGAGCCGGCCCTCGTCAGGTCGCACACTCCGTTTGTTTCAAGCGCTCAAGCTTGAACCAGCCCTCTTCGACATCGTTTCTAACGCGGTAGTCTTTATCGGGGACCTAACATGTTGGTTCGAAGAGGGGAAATCCCCCGTGAGCCCACTTGAGCTGCAGAAGCATGTATGCCTGCTTATGTACCGACTATTCGACTGGTACAAGCAGGGCGAAGAGGATCGGGGCATCCAGAGAAACCCGGTGGATCAGAGTATTTGCCTAGCATTGCTGATCTTCCTCGTGAGGGCATATGAGGACTCCTACCTGGGAATGGTTCACACCGCTGGCAGCAAACTAGAAGTTTGTCTTGGGAGATGCGTACTGCGATGGGGCAAAGCACCCGACCTCCTCATGTGGACACTTACCATGGGGGCTTTGGCGACGCAAGGAACCACTGAGTTCGCCTTCTTCAAGCGGTATTGTGGCGTCGCTTTTGCGGACCAGGGCTTCAACGAGTTTACGAATGCGGAAGAATTACTGGACCGGATGAGGAAGTGCCTATGGCTCCCCAAACTAGACGAAGAGGTAAAGAGGCTTTGGGCACACATTGGCTTCTGCAAGGGGGAGGAGGTCATGGAGACGATTGAAACGGGGCCGACATCACCGAAGGGCATCAAGGATAACGAGGTTGTCGGATCCTTGACCAGCAATCGGTTCTTTGGAAGGAGGAGCGACAGTCAGTGAGTGGGTTAGAAAAAAGGAGTGTATTGGACTATCTCGGTATTTCATTCATGGGAAAAGGGACTCCGGAACTGGGTACAGGTCTCAAAAGGTTTTTGGGTCTTAGTCTGGGTCTCCATGGAACGGGACAAGGTGTACCGGACGGACTGGAAATGCTTCGGCATCACTTAATCTTGTATTTGTAGTCGATAGTGGTAGATATTTCGAGCTTGGATACCCTGAATGACAGCGCTACCAAGGAGTGGTCCGTCAAGTCCTCTTACAATCGAATGCGATGGAGCCCTTTCAACTTTAACTGTCTTGGATGTGAGGCATACAGATCACGATCTCCGCCTCTTGAAAGAACCCGCAGAACCAGGTAAAGTGACGTAGACTCTAATAGTGCATCTCAACAAAGCTGTCATGCTGCCAAAACACCATGTCGTCAACCACTCATCACTCACCTCTGCATTGCGGAGAAAACTCCTTCTCGCCATGCCCTGAGGGCCGCGCACAACCTGCACACTGCGTCATCATCATCATCATCATTATAGGTGAGTTCTCGCTCATTAAAAAAGTCTCGAACACACCCATGTCATCACTGTCCCCTTCATTACCTCACTCAACCGCAACTTTCCGCGACCCCCCTCAACGCCGCAGATCCCGCGTCTCGATGCCGCAGCACCCGAACCCCTCAACACCACATGCATGCAGTCCCCTCCGGAACAGGAAACTCACGATGCCGAACATCGGCCCATGGTTCGACCTCGGACACCCCTGAGGCAGCGAAAGAAAAGAAAAATCGAACCATGGCGCGATATTCCCCCTTCCCTATCTACTATCCATCCTGTGTGCGATTGCGTCAACGGCATTAACATTTTTTTTGGGGGGGCCGCGCTAGGCTCGCTCGCCCTTCTGGACTGGGTTTTCTTTGATGAGCATGAGGAAGGTTCGCGCACTTCGGTGCCGGTTCGGCGCGGAGGCGGAGGCCGCAAAATAATCCCTCTTCGCCGGCCACCGGCCGACCGTCCGACCGAGCGCGAGGCGCCGCGATCGCAGGCGCCGCGATGATCGCCTATCCTGGGGCTTGTTTTGGGTTAGTGGATCGGCGGCGCATCATGATGCCCCATGGAAAGAGTCGGAATGAATTCGGAAAGAAAAAGTGCGGATATGTATCCGCTGCGAGCCATTATTTCTTGCAAAGCGAGGGCGGTTGCGGCGGAAGCTACCTCCGGAGGTAGGCTGGATGGATAGGCGTTCGGCCGAAGAGGAAGGGAGGTAGGTCATGGGGGTTGGCTTGGATGATGGGTACGGTGTGGATGATCTATGGGATTAGGGGGGGGTGAGCGGAGTGATTCAAAACTGACCGATTTCGACTCATCGCTGCTGAGTGGAGGCTTGCTTGCTTCCAAGGTTGCCAGGTGCACACGCTGCGCATGTGAGTCTTGGGGTGCTGCTCAGCAAGCGCCCACGCCCATCACCATGCTCATTAGTAGTCACAGACCGATCGGTGTATGCGAGCTTAACAATTGCAGACGACCCTTACTATTCCCCATGATTATTCAGACACAGAACTGTAGCAGCCTAAATAGCCCAGGTCGGGACAGCCATACGAGATGGAATGGTGATTGGACAGCCTGGCACTTTGAGTGAGCAAGCGACAGGGTTGTCCACCGTCCACGTGTATTACTCATCGCTAGGCTTATTGCGGTAACTCTTTGCTAGAAAGCGATGCAGCCGGACGAGCAACATGGTTGCTTCGCCCGGACAGGCATGAAGGGGAGTTGAGGGGTGCGAAACCGTTGCTGGATGCAGAAAGCGCTGGGTGTCCGGGTACTTCTTCAGCTTCGAGTTCGTCCGTCTACGCCTCAAATCAGCACCCCGCCCACGCACGGTGCCGCCAACATCAGCAATAACAAGCCCGAGAATATCTGATCCATGAGCTTTAGTAGAGCCACGTTCTTAAGCTCGAGCACTCGAGCACGGGGCCAGGTACAAGCCCTAGCCCACCTGTCAAGGCTGACGCTGGGGCCAAGACAGCTCTGAGCTGGTACTTTTGAGGCTGCCTGAGGATTGCTTCATTTGCTGCTTTGGGCGAATTTTGGATCCATAGGATAGGGAGGCCCTTCTCAGCACAGCACTTCTCAGCGCTACCCCACAAAGCCGCCGCCCCAAATACCAGGACACAGCTGCCAACGGGGGGCCAGAAGGCCAGAATCTCAAATAATGGGTTTGCTTTACCCGTGCCGTCCTCACCTCATCTTGAGCTTCCAGCCAGCGCATCAGCAAAAGCAATAAACAACGTGGCTCTCGGACAAGACAAGGCAGGCCCTTTCGCGAAACAAAAAGGAAACAATTCCAATTTACCCCTGCCCTCGCCTATTGAGGTGCTGCTATGCGGCGTAGGGCGTAGCTTGCTGCCTTCCACCTGGGGCCGGCATCCCAGGAGAAAGCTGAGATGCTGGCCAGGTACGTACCCGTTTCACAGCCCCAGATCCTATAAATTTCGCTCGCCGAAACGCACACGTGGTGCTTTGCCTTGTTGCGCATGAAAAGTGGAGGATGAGGACCAGAGTAAACGAAACGGAGCGATGTGGAGTGGATGGAATTTGAAACTGCGGTCGTTTAACTTCGGGGTTGCGAATCTTCTGCTTGATGGGGTTGCGAATCTATTGGAGGGAAATGAAAACGCGATGCTTGGAGGCGCAATCCAACTCCGCAATCAATGTGAAAGTACATGGCGTGTTTTGAAGCTTGGAAGGGTGAAGGCAGGAGTGTTGGTAATGCCCGGTATCGCACGAGATGCCGAGGAGAATGTGCGATGCCGTTGAGAAGGCGGTCGAACCGCACGTAAGGCACTCACTCGCGAGATCGTCGCTAGAGCGTCCTGCACGCTGCGCCGTGATCATCACTCACCCCTCAAACAAGCTCCCCAAGTTCCTCCGCGCGCATCCATACGCAGCCGGACATGTTTCGCACGTAAAGGCCCACGGGTGGTAAAAGCGGCTCGACTGGCTGCCTGGTCCGGTCACATTACCTCTGCCTCGCTCGTGAGGCCGAGCGGAGGCATTCAAACCCCGAGCGCCCCCGTCGCGCAGCCAAAAGCCTAGACCATCCGTGGGGTGCCCGCGGTGGGTGGGCTCGGAAGACTGACGACGCCGAGTTGCTCAAAGCCTGCGTGTCTGCCAACTGCTGCGTGCCCGGCCGGCTGCACCGGGAAGCTTGGAAACGCGGACCAGTGTGGCATTCCAAGGCAGCCATGGCTCGGCTTTGCGTATGCCTCGCCGCTGCAGGAGACGTAACGCCGTTTCGCAATGCTCGTACAAGCGTACGTCGACCGGCTCGCATTGAGGTTCGCGAAAGACTGCGCATGTGAGCGTGAGCGTGAGCGTGACAGACAGAGCGCGGGCGAGGCCGGTCAACCGATGGCGCTCGCTCCCTTCAGCCTTGCGACGACGCCGAGCGCGCAAGCCCCCCTTGTCCACGGATCCGCCGCGCTGGCACTGCACGGCAGGCGCACGGCCCCCGCCAGATCAAAATGGCGGTCAGATGAGAAATTTCCCATGTTCATGCCATGCACGTGTGCGCGATAGGAAATATTGCTGTTACGCTGCCGATGTGGTGTCACCATCCAGGTCTCGAACAAAGCGGGAATGCACAGTGGAGAAAGCGCGTTTTTGGTAGAATGATCATGTTTGATTGTTTGCCTACTGCAGTGGGGGGAGTCTCGACCATCGAATGTGTGGGAGAGCTCGTACCAGCCTTGATCCATCATCCATCCTGTTCCGTCCAAAGAGACCTGAGTAGAGTGGTGCATCGCAGCCAAGGTTTTTGCTGCGGAATCCGAAAAAAAAGTGCCAACCCATGAGACAAATGAAAAGTGATATCATGCTTTCCCGAGGCGCCATGCTGAAAGGACTCGCTCGCTAAAATGCTGCATCAAAGACAAATCAAAAGGTCGCGCGGTGTTGGCCTAATAACTTGTGATGAGCGGAGCGGTCGATTCGGGTATGAACAGGTCGTCCTCGAAGTAGGACGCCTGCGGCTTTCCGTCGTAGAAGGATGTTGTGAGCATGGCTTCCTTCTCGGAGAACTCCATGGTAGGTTGCGGCGGCGAGACTGGCGGTGATTCGTCGTCCGAGTCCTCGTCGTGGACAAGCTCGGGCGGCGATTGTGATTGCGATGGCACGCGAGCGAGAGCAAGGTCGGCGTCGTCCTCGAGGTCGTCGTACTGGTCCTCGTCGTCCTCCTCGTCAATCTCGGTGGTGGTGATTTGCACCGGCGCCTGGCGGAGATGGCGGGGCAGGTTGACCATGTCGAAGTCGCCGTCCTCGTCGTACAAGTCTGAATCAGAGTCGGAGTCGGAGTCGGAGTCCTCTTCGGGCTCCTCCTCGATGGTGTCAGCCCATTGGATGTGTCGGGGCTCCTCCGACTTCTGAGCCTTCGCGACGGTGTTCTGGAACCAGGCCTCCTGCTGCCTCTCGGCGTCCTGGAGCTCGATCATGAGGGAGTCGAGGAGGTTGGCGTGGCCGACGAGCAGGCGGAGGTCGTGGTCGGCGCGGCAGGCCTCCTTGCCCAGCTTGGAGCGGGCAGAGGCGGCGATGTAGTAGGTCTGGGTGAGCGACATCTTCTGCTTCTTCTGCGGTGGTGAAGCGAAGTAGTGGCTGCGAGTCGTCTCGGCGGAGATGGGCTCGAAGGAGGACTGTATTCTGAGGTGCGATGAGGAAGGCATCTTTGTTATGTAGGCAGAAAAATGATTGCCTGAGGTGAGTCAGTAAATGGTTGGTGACTGGAAGGGCGGAGGCTACGAACCTAAAGCAGCAGCCAATAGCAGCGGGCGGCGATCCGAGGGTCAAGGGTCGGAAGCGTTGAGGTCAACGGCCGTTGTCGATACTGTGTGTATTGACGGTGGACTGGTGTCAAGGAAGAAAGTTTGCTTGACTGGTGGTGTGCTGCTGGTGTGTGAAGCTGGTGGAGGAGTGCAAGCGGCGCGGGCCTGTCTTTCTTATGTTTCTCTGACGCTGAGGATGACCATGCAACGGGAGGCTCGGGCTTGTCCATAATTCCGACTCACCGCAGACCGCTCCAAGCTTTTCGGCGTCTTTGACTGAGTGACGGACAGGGATGCGGGCGGGCAGGGGTGGTGCCATCCGTTTAGCTCCGTCCGCGGCACGCACCATTAATCATCGGCCGACGAGCGTCTTCCGCTTCGGGCTTTACGCTGGCCTAGAGATAAGTCAGGCCTGATGAATCATAGCTAGGTAGCGACGGCGTCCTCCACGGGTGCATAATGCGCTTTGCTCGGATTTTGCAGTTCTACGCACCGGCGCCCGCTACGCGCGAAGAATGAATGACTGGGCCACTGGGCCGCCCGCTGCTCCCCTGGTTGACTCACCGGCCGCGCTGCTCGTTCTCGTTCTGCAGTGCGTGGCCTCGCACTTTCTCGCCCAGGTGGCATGAGAGAAGCGAGTGCGAGATTGAGCAGCCTCGTCGCGGCCAGATTGCTGCCTCACCGCGATGTGCTGGCGTACGCTGCCTGGCCTCAGCCTCCGCGTGCTGCGAATCAGCGCGCCAGCTGATGTGGCTTCTGTCACCGCCCTCCAAAAGGCCCTGCGCTCGCGTACCTAGCCATATCTGGCGTTTCATCGCGACGTGATCGCGCTCCCCAGCGGCTCTGCAAGGCTGGCTGGGACGCGTCTCCACCATCGGCCTCGCCTGCGCTGCGGAATAATGGCTGGCGGTGCCATTTGGGTGCGGTGCTTGCGACGGACCAATCCATGGAGCCGCACGCTTTTTGGGAGAGTCATCCACCTGGGCACTCCTCTGCCACTCTCGGACGAAACCAGCAGTCGCAGGCCGTGGGAAGCGAACGTCTCTCGGCGTCCTGCGCTCCTCCGGGCGAACACCAGCGGTCCAGTCCAGGCCCCCGTCACACGCTTTCGGCCGCCAAACGTGGGGAAACGTCATGCCCAACTGATCACAAACCCATCGTCCACAAATCGCTGCCTCGAGCACGCCTTGCCCTTGATTACCAGGGCCGTGTCGAGATTACTAACTGCCATCTCCGCGCTGCACTTGTGCGTCGCCGCTGATTGGACCAGGCCGCATTCTTTGTTGCGCATGCTGAACAATCTCCTCTGACAAATGATCCCGCATTCGCGCCCTCCTCCAATCACCGCTGTGCTTGCAACAACGTTAAGGTGATGATACCATCATGCCAGGCTTCATCTTTCGGGCCTTCGTTCACGGCCTGGACGCCGACTGAGCACCGAGCGTCTCCCGTCATTTCGACATCGCGGCCAGGCAAGAGTGGAGGCTTCATTGACCTGGCTATTTTCCATTTCGCGTTCCGACGCCTTTCGACGCCACGTCCCAAGAGCAAGCCTCAAAAGGCGGAGGCAGATCCCGTACGCCGTCCCCCCGCCAACCTTCCACTGCGCCGGTCCCTCGCAAAGGCGCAAGCAGGCGTTCGCAAGGGCTGAGCTTCCGCAAGCAGCAACTTTATTAAGCCGGCGCTCACTCAGCTTTCGCTTCGCATACCGTATCCTGCGAGCAGCGTCCACTCAGACGCTGCTCGCAGATACCTTGCACAGCCCTACGGTGCCATCGCTTCGTCCAGCGTAGTACCATCTGCAACAAGTTAATTAAGCGTATGACACGATCCCTTCTTCTGGCAACTGCTCGCAGCGCACACCGCTGGACCTGTGCGAGCTTCAACCCTCACCGCAGCCTCACCGCCAGCGTCCATGAACGCATCCACATATATGCAACGCGCAGTACCAGGCGAATGTGACTCTGCATACCTGCCAGCCTGCCACAGCGCCTCTGCGAGATGAGTCTGCGAGATGAGTCGGCGACCCGTTGACCGCAAGGAGATTTTGACAGTGTACAACTTCTACTCATAATTCATCCATTCCAGTCATACTGCGACATCGCACACCTCGACAGCGCATCAAGAGTTGGCAAGCTCATTGGAGTTCTGCCTCTCGCTAATCATTGCTCATCCCACCTCACGTTGTTGCACGCAATGCCCACACCAGGAACAACCTCTCGCAGATGCACTTTCTCCGCGGCCTCCATGCTCGGCAATGCTTTCGAGGCGCGCGCGGTTATCGGCATCACGATTGCCAACGGCTATGCTACTGCTCTGCGTTAACATCCGTTATCCTGCATATCTACCGAAATCTTGACTGATGAGAAAGCAGAACGCATCGCATCGCAGCAACACCAAACGCACAGAGATTTCAAAATCCATTCCACCAATCCACAGCGCGGAATTATCTTCTACCATAAACGTACCGCTACCCTTTCCACGTCTTCGTAATCAGACCGCCAGACCCTGTTCGCATTCGCTAAGCGAGCGACTTCCTCACCATTGGCTCCTTTGTGCAGAGCACAATTCGGCCTGCGAACGTACGCCATGCCATCACCGACAGCCGTCACGGCATCGTGGAGTCTGGCCCCAGGTTCTTTGATGTGGAGAACGTGTGGAGTCGGGCGGGACCGAAAGCTTGGGAAAGCTTAACGGGGAGATCTCTGCATGTCTCGCGATATCACACCACCAGGAGACCGGATGCCAACGGCGTGCACATGTTTCTCCAGGGCGGCCTGGCTATCTTTCCGGTGCCGATGTCTCGTGCCGGCACGCGAGTAATGGGTTGTCACGACAGTCCATGGAGGATCGGAGCTTCGAGATGACCCTCCGCTACGCGACGTTCCGCCTGAGACCAATTTTGCAGCCACGCGTGCTGCTTTTCCAGCCATGCGGCTACTAGGCCAAGACAGCATTTCGTTTGATAGAATGCGATGGTGGATGTAATGTTGCGAGCACGTCCAAGATCCTATCACTGATATCTCGCGACAGTGTAAGCCATCTCTATACCTTCAATATTTTGAAAAGAATTAACATTTTCTTCTTTGATCCTTTTCTATGATGTATTATCTGATCAGTCATTTGTCTCATTTCAAGTTATAGCTACGTGAGTCTGAGAGATGATATCTTTGTGCTACCTAGACGTGCCATTGTACCTACCTGCGAAGGCTTCCATGGTAGTTTCCTTACGTGCATCGTTATACCCAGAGAATTCCGCACCTTGAGAGCCTGACCATAAGGGAGTACATGTTTTTTGAACTCGTTCTGCCGTACTAAATGTGGGCAGCCACTACGGCGTTCTGCCCCGGGGTCGTATGGGCTGTATAACTTCTAGCAAACACAAACCCTCCTCGCGTTTATAGTCCTTGTTCCCTTCTCTCGTGGCTTCCATGGTGGGTACTCTGCGCGCTGCTTTCCTCTTAGTCTTCTCAGAACCGTCTACGATACTTAGTTCCGTATTAGTGTCCGAGAGCGATTGCCATTGTCGATGCCGACCTCTCTGATGAAGATGTGGCTGAGATTGCCCTCGGCGTTGATATTGAGAGCACTAACCGTTTGTTCTCTATCATTCGGCTACGTTGATGCACTTCGCTATCTCGCCCTTTGCAACATACAGATCCTCCAGACAGTTACTCTTCTGCCTACGCCGTACGCATTCCAGTTGGTCCGCATAACGGGTTACTCCCTAGTGCGTGGTTCTCCCCTAGCACTGCCGCATCACTCTTCAACCATCATCCTTCTACCAAGCGCTGCCGTCTAGGGCCTACTCTTGCCCATGCAACGACTGCGCAGTCTTGCTCGTCTTCTATCTTTCATTCTGGCGGCTAGGCTTTCCAGATTCCATCGTCCTGTATCTCACTGTTTAGCTCTCTAATCGGAGTAAGTTCTAGTCTAGCTAACTATTGCAATCATGTTGGTATGCATCATTGCGCGCAAGTCGGGAGGTAGGGGTCTCTTGCGGTAGGGAATTCCTTGGATTTAAGGGCTCGACGCGCAGATAATAAGATTGCTTGTGTAGCTAACTATACGTGCTATTACTATACGCACAAACCTGCAAAGGCCTCTAGGGTAGCTGTTACGGTGCGTTGTTAATTCTGGAGAATTCCACGCCGTGAAGGGTGGCGCTCTTACTTCCTTTCGCGGCGACATCTTGATTGGAGGAAAGACCTGTCTCTGCCACCTCACATAACACAGGCACGTTTCCCACGCGCTCTCTTCCTCCACATCCTCTCTGAGCGAGCTCACGTCATCTATAATGGACCGGCCTACTATTTCGAAACGTATGCGGAATTGACTCCACGTGCGCACGAACCGTACCTGAATAGTAACGGCATGGGCAAGTAGAGCCTGCTTCAGCCTTTCCGACCAACGCCAATTCTACAGCGTCCAGGAACAGCGCACTTGGTATCAACGAGAGGGAAAAAATTTCGAAGACACGAGAACTGGGCGTGCACGACGACGGATGAAGGCAACACAGGGCTTATGAACCTGGTTGTCTTGCTCGCGCGGGATGTTTGAGTCAAGCCCTTCGGCTTCTGCTCTGTCCCGCAGGAGCCTTTGTATGCGCGTTTTTACGGTTCGACGAGGGTTAGCCAAATGCAATGGACTTCAGAGGGATTGATGAGATGTAGGGGTTGCATTTGTGTACGAGCGGATCCTACAAACCAACGCTTCCTCCCCAACATATTGGAAGACTCGAAACGCTGCCGAAGCGGGATGGGCATGGCTCATTCGGCCCGTTTTACTCCTCGTCGTCATCTTCAGCGGCAACGACGGGGACCGGCTCGTCAGCTTTTGTCGTCTTGACTTTCCGGTCCTTCTCAGCTCCCGGAGCCTTCTTCACAGAGCCATTCGCGTCTTCCTTGGCGCTGTCCTCTTCCTCGGGTTCAGGCTCAGGCTCATCCTCTTCTTCCTCCTCCGGTTCGGGCTCCTCTTCCTCTTCTTCCTCGTCCTCGTCCTCGTCCTTCTTCTTGGAGATGCGAGTCTTCTTCTTGGGCGCTATTCCCTCTACATCAGCCAAAGAGGGATGGAAACCTGGCGCAAGCACTTACGAGGGGCTTCCACTTCAGAGTCATCCTCTTCGTCATCGAAATCGGAACCCTCAGACTCTTCGTACCTGCGACGTCCAGGCGTCAGCCTTGTGGTCTGGGGCAAGCATCAAACCACACAAAGGAACTAATCGCGCAAGATCATTCATATCAAAGACGTGGAGCACAGGAAGGTAAGGACACAATTGACCAGGAAGGCATCGAAAACCACCCGATCACGCGAGAGTCGTCTCTCGTCGACCAGGCTGACTGCAGCTGAAAGGCAGCTGCGCAGCGACAACGAAGCGCGACAGTGCAAAACAAAATCATCAATCCGAAAAAGCAACGGAAGGCGACCGCAATGGAGACGGTTTCGCGCATTTGCGACGAGGTTGGTGCAATGGGATGACGTCAAGGAGGCGCTCACTTACTCCTCTTCCTCGTCACTTTCGTCGCTGGGAAGAGCTTGAAGCTCTTCCTCGGCCTCGGCCTCCTGCTTTCTCTTGCGCGTGGACATGGTGCGTGTTGTGATGGAGGTTGTGATGGATAAGGGGGGAAGTGTTGGAGTGAGGTTGGGCTGGGAGGTGAGCTCGGGAGGAGGTAGGTGGGGACCGGATGGACGACGTATCTTTGGCGACCCAGCCACCCAGCCCAGAGCAAGGGACGTCGGTGTGCTAAAATGAGAGCATCATCCAGCCAATCAAATAGCCGGGGAGATGCCCGCAGCTATCACCCGCAGGTGTCGAGGCTGCAGGAACAGGTGCAGGAGAGCCCGGCCAGGCATTGCGGCGCTTTCTGCGATCTCTCACTCCGCGCACCGAGCGGGGAGAGGAAGCCTTCGCGCCAACCAAAAGTGACAGTCTAGGGAGTGTTGGATTTCTCCAGCAATTACATGATCCAGCCGTTTCGAACTGCCTCTCGTCGTCATCGGTTCGGCTGGCCAGGTACAGAGCTCCCGATCCCAAAGGAGTCTAGTGCTGTCAGCTCGGTCTTGGCGCACCCCACTTCCAAGGTTCCGCCGAAGCTCCGAAATCCTCAACTTTTGTTTCTGCGCATCTTTTGACTCAACCCACAGTCGAACGCGACGCCTCACACTCCCAGGCTCGCGCAGCCGCTACAATGGCGGGTCCTGCGAATGCGCCGCGGCGTGAGCGACTCACCTCTCTCACCGACAAAAATACCAATACCTACCGAGCGAAACGAAACACCCCGCCGGCGCCTGCTCGCAGAGCACAGGCACCGGTGCGGAAATGCTGCGACAATCCGAATGTCAGTTTCGAGGAGGGATCACAAATCTGCTACAACTGTGGTGCTGTGCTAGATGAAAGCGACATCGTCGCCGAGGTCACATTCGGGGAAAATGCTGCTGGCGCTGCTATCGTCCAAGGTGGCTTTGTTGGAGAAAGCCAGCGACACGCCAACACCATGGGTGGAACCATGCGGGGCCTCGGCGGCATAGCAAGCAGAGAACAAACCGAATACAATGGGCGAGACGAGATCAGAAAGCTCTGCGGAGCTCTGAATCTGCCGACGCGAATCGAAGAGCAGGCGTTCGGCTGGTATAAGCTGGCGCTCAACCACAACTTTGTCCAGGGCCGCCGCATTCGGAACGTCGCTGCCGTATCAATCTATCTCGCGGCGCGAAAGCAACCCGCGAATACCCTGCTGCTCATGGACCTGTCGGAAAAGGTTCATGTCAACGTCTGGGCCCTCGGTGACACGTACAAGCAATTTTGCAGGACAATCATGGAGACGGATCCCGCGCAAATTTCCGGCAGTACGACCGTTCAAGAGATCGAACCGCTAATGTTGAAGTTCTGCCGCAAACTCGAATTCGACTCGGACTCGCACAGAGTCGCGGACGACGCCTGCAAGCTCTTGAAGCGTATGAAGCGCGACTGGATGGTACAAGTACGCTTGCACTCCTCTTTACTATGATCACAGGTTAACATTATCAAGGGCCGCAACCCCGCAGGTCTCTGTGGAGCGTGCATTATCCTCGCTGCGCGAATGAACAACTTCCGCCGTACTGTTCGAGAAGTCGTATATGTGGTCAAGGTCGCAGATACCACCATCAACCAACGTTTGTACGAGTATAAGCGCACGCCGAGCTCCGCCTTAACAGTAAACCAATTCCGAGAATTTGGACAGCGATTGAAAGTCAAAAGCCTTCCACCTGCGGTCTGGAGGCGCGAGGAGAAAGAGCGGCGGCTCGAAGAGCGAAAACGGAAGGCTCAAGAAGGGGGCGAAGGTGAAGATGGCTCACCAGACGTTGAAGCCCAGGACGGCGCGGCTCGAGGAGAGGGAAGCTCAAGACAGGTTGCATCCGGCACCCCGAAGCGATCGACGAGGGCGACGAAGAAACGAAAGACGAACGACGGCAAAGGCAAAGCAGTAGCGTCACGGTCAGACTCAGGCAGCGCGACCCAGGCCAATGCGGACAATGCTGAAGCTACCGAGACCATTGACGTCGACGCGCTCGAAGGAGACGCCGAGGCTAGTCTAGACTCTGCTGCACGCGCATTCACTAGCGATATGGATGTAGATGAGGAAGAGATTGTTATCCCGAAAAAGCGCGGCAGACCACCTAAGAAGCGAGAGCCTATCATCATTCCACAGGAGGATTTGGAAATCGAGGCGGAGCTTGAACAGGAGATCAACGAGACCATCCGGGACTGGGAATCGACATTCAAGCAATTCGAAGAGAATGAAAATCACGAGGTGCTCGTCCGAGCGGTGCACACCGCGCGTCAGCTGGCTCAGAAGCACATGCCCAACCAGGGTATTAGCGACGATCCTGATCTTGCTGAGGACGAATTTGAGGATGATCCGGACGTTGCAACCTGTGTACTAGCGCCGCACGAAGTGAGAATGAAGGAACGCGTTTGGATCACGGTCAACGAAGACTGGCTCCGCGAACAGCAGGCTAAGATGCTCGCCAAAGCCCTCGAAGAAGCGCAAGGCAAACCAAAGAAGCCAAAGCAGAAACGAAAGCACCACCAGATGGGCGACGGAAGCGTGCTCGAAGGCCAACCCGCTGCTAGCGCCGCTGAAGCGGCGCAGAAAATGCTTAACAAGCGCGCGAAGCATTTCAGCAGTCACATTAACTACGAAAGGCTCAAAGAGCTGTTCCCCGGTCAAAGCTCCACTGAAGATACAACCCCTGAGGGCAGCGGACAGGGGGCAAGTCCCGGGGTTTCTGGCAGCGAGCAACGGCCAACACAACCTCCTCCATCGATCCAGATTGCGAATGCTGATGCTGATGCTGAAGCCGAGAACGAGGAGGAGGATGCGGAAGGCGAATATGAGGAAGAGTATCCAGAGGACGAGGAAGATCTCGAGCATCAGTATCTGGACGACGAAGACGAAGGATTCAACGACGAGGAGGACTATGGGTGGTCTTAATCTCTTTCACACGGATTACATTTCCAAGAGTTCATACCAGCGGCGAGCGCGGTTTTGGGTGGCTTTGCAGCTTTCACAGCATCTTTCGGCTGCCTATTTCTTTTATGTCTCTGCTCTCGCGTTTTCGAGGGATAGGATGGTTGGGGTAGGCCGCCTTTGCCATCTATCCGCCTCCGCGCTGCTTTATCGCGGCTTGAGATTTTCCAAATGGGTTGCAGGCCGTCACGGGCCTCCCCGTTGGATATCGACACAGCCAGGTGAAGGGGTGGGTTGCAGGCGAGGCATTGTGCTGCTCGATCTTCGTGCTATCCTGAATGTTCGACTGGGACGTCTCTTCATCTGGTTGGGGAGTCGATTTTTAGGAGTCATTTTCACAAGGGGGCTTAGATTCAGCAAGTGCGCGACATTTACAGGCGCAGATAGAGCGGACTTTTCTTCAGCATTTGAGCGTGGGCGGACAGAGTTTTCGGGCATTTCAGTTTCAAGTTACTCTCGGCGTCTCTGTATAGCATTATATACCCTAGCATGGAATGGAGTTCAAGGACGGCTGCTCAAGCTGAGGTCTCGCACTGCTCGTAGCGGTTCCGATCGTGGTGTTCACTTGTTGTGCGGACTGAACGGTGAAATAGTTGATTAACAGAATGATGGCTTCAGGCTCGTCTCTTTTCCGGTGAGAAGACTATCATTATGCTCCCAGTATCCAGGATCATCGTCTTCCGTCCGGACGCCGTTGCCATGGATCCAATATCTGAACGTGTTGGTCTACCATCTCACAGCGAGAAGCGGACCTTTTTAACCACTTTTCTTTCTCGACCCAGCTTCTCCAATTCCTCATCTGCTATTTCCGAGAGCTCGCTCTCGCTCTCGCTCCTTCGTCCTGCCTTGAGTCTTTCCAAGCCCTCCTCCGCCATCTCAGACAGCTCACTCGACCCACGCTCGTCTCCACCTCGCTTCTTCGTAGCCTCCTAAGCTTTGCCGCCCTCGACCCCTTCCATCGCCTCCCCCAGCCCATTCAACGTGCCATCCGCGCCTAGCCCCGTCCCATCGCCCTTCCACCCATGACTGAACACCTCAAAATTATCGTCAATCATCCACTGCAGATCCTCGCTCTCTGGCCTGAGTGTTCTCGCGAGTCCGTTTCCAGCCTTTGGATAGTGTGCTGGGGGATCGGTGTCGTATTCCTCGTCGTATTCGTCCAGCTGCTGCTCTCCACTGCCTGTGTTGGCAGCAGTAGCAGCAGCGGCGGCAGATGTTTGAGCTTGGGGTTTTGCGGGAGATGGCTGGGTTTGGTGCGAGCGCCGGATTTCGCCGAGGAGCTGGGCTTCTGCAGGATCCATTTCTGAGCTATCGGTTGCGATGTGTTGGGAGCGAGGGGTGCCGCCTGTAGAGCCGCCGTGGCCGTTGGGCGGGGAGGTTACGGATTGGGTCACGAGAGCTTGGGGAGTTGGGGGTTGCTGTGCGGCGGTCTGGGGTGTTGATTTGGTCCTCGATCCTGTGGGTTGCTCGGGGATTAGATCGTGGACGTTTGGTGGAAAGAGAGGGAGTTCGGGGTGGCGGATTGTGGCGTGCAGGAGGAGGGATACTAGATGGGCTTGAGGGAGAGTGGCGAAGTATGCGCGTTTCTATGGCATGTTAGTGTTTGTGCGATCATGTGGCAAGTCATGGGCGTACGTCTTCTATCGATAGGCCCACTGCAGTAGCGAGGCCGTCCGTTCCCTCGATGACGTTTTGCTTCGACCTCTCGCAAGGCCCACATAGCCACTCCTTCTCCAGCACGTTGACCACCTCATTGTCAATTGGCGGATCATGGCAGTATTGATGATATGCAGTATTACACACGTCGCAAAAGACAATGCGATTATTGCCCGGTTCGGTAGCTCGGTGACAGATCTTGCACTGCGCCGCAAGTATGGTCTTGGTCGATCTCCGTCGCTTGACGCCTGGTGTGGGCTCCGGGAGTGTCGGCACGAATGCGACGGGCTTGTTCACATTGCGACCAGACTTCGTTCGCGTCGGTAGTGGCGTGTATGAGGATGAGATATCCGAGTCGTCCTACCGCATGTCAGAACGCCGGTGCCGAAAGGTGGACGTGAAGTCCATAACTTACATCACTGTCCACGCTCTCAGCCCTCTTCCGCTTTCCACCTCTTCCGCCACCTCTTCCCCGTCCCCTTCCCCTCCCAGAGCCCCTTCCAGACGCGGGCGTCGAGCCAGAAGAGCCAGCGCCAGCCTCCGTCTTCAGCGGCGTCCCTACTCTCCCACCTCCTCTTCCTCTCCGCCCGGTATTCGCAATTGGAGGAGGCGTCGGCAGCTTATCGCTCGTAACATAATTCTGCAGCACCTCCGCTCTCTTAGCCTCGAAGGCCGGCGTCCCTGTCGCATTTTCCTGACTCGCCTGCAATCGCTTCAGGATCTCCGCTGTGGCCGCTGAGAATTGGGGGAAGTGGGGGCTTCCACCGGCTTGCACGTGGAAGGTGCTGGTCTGCGCTGCCCATGGTGACGGCTGTAGAGGCGCTTTCGGTGCGGATTGCAGAGTCGATGCGGAGAGGCTGGGCCGTGATCCGCTCGGGGCATTGGGTACGGGATTGGCCACTGCTGGGCGATTTACTTGGGATTTCGAGGGATCCATTAGGCAAAGCGATCGTTTGCGACCGGGTTGGTATCAATGAATGGATTGTTTGCGCTCGAGAGCGGCTTGTACAGGAGGAATAGTTGGTTCGATCACCTCGCAGCGAGGTGATCGGAAGTCTCGCCGGGTTTGCTAAGCGGCCTGTGCACCGCCACCAATGGAAGGAAGCAAGACCACATCCTATGCTTCAGCTACGGTCTGCCCTCAAATCCGGCTGGATGATGGTTTCAGTCGTCATGAGGGTTATGCCGGATCTATATTACTTCTATGCTACAACACCTTCGCTCCGAAGGCTCTCTATGTCTGCCTCACTCATGCCCAATGTGCCCTGCAAGATCTCGCCCGTATGCTGTCCAAGCGAGGGCGGCGGCGTTCGGATGCCAGGATTCGAATATGAGTACTTCACCGGAGTGTTTACTAGCTTGATAGGTCCGCAAGAGGGGTGGTCGACTTCCTGGACCATGCCTCGAGCAACCACTGCCACATATTAGCATCATCCAAACTTTCCAACGCTACACTTAGACGTACCGTGTTCGTGGTTTAGTGTTGCCTGAATGTCGTTGATGGCAGCGTAGGCTGGTATAGTCGGTCAGTGGAGCTATCTATTGACATTCCCGGATTAACTCACGCATGCCACAGCCCTCCAGAATATCCAGCCATTCTTTCGTGGTCTTCTTCCTTGTCTCGTTCTCGATGAGCTCTTCTAGAGTATCCCGGTTCTTAACTCGTAGAGCATTGGTTTTGAACCTCTCGTCTGCTATCCACTCTGGCTTTTCGATCTTCGTGCATAGGATGCCGTAAAGGCGGTCGTTTCCGCCTCCGAGGAGAATGTCTCCGTCGGAAGTCTTAAAAGCTTTGTACGGTACAATAGATGCTACCTCGTGTTACTAAACGTACAGTAGCAAAAGGAAATAGAGACTTACGATGCGATGTACCCCATCTGCCAGAGTCCTTCTGACCGCTGATGAGCGCGGAGCTGGCGATGTTCGCAAGTGTCGCAACTTGACAGTCGCTGAGCGCAACGTCGATATGCTGGCCTTTGCCAGACTTTATGCGCCCGAGAAGCGCTGCCATGATTGAATTTGATGTGTAAAGGCCGGTTGTGAGGTCAGTGACCGCTACGCCCACTTTGACTGGAGGGCCATCTCGAGCGCCGGTGATGTGCATCAGGCCCATCTCACTGTCACATGTCAGCCTCTTTTAGACATATGACTCCCGAAGTCATACGCTTCGACCATCACATCGTAACCGGCCCGATCCCTATATGGCCCTGTTTGGCCGTATCCTGTGATGCTCGCATAGATCAAACCGGGATTGATCTTGGATACGGTCGCGTAGTCCATGGCATATTTGCTTAATGATCCAGGGAGGTAGTTCTCTACAAGGACGTCGCATTCCTTTACTAACCTATGGAGGATATCGACGCCGGCGGGATGAGCGAAGGAGAGGCCTAGTGATCGTTTGTTACGGTTGACCTGTGCACTTCAGCTTGAATTCGGCAACAAGTGGATAAGCAGCAACTTACCGCAAGATAGTAAGCGCTTTCTCCTGGTCCATCTGAATGTTCTCCTTGCACGTATTTGGCGTATGGGGGCCCCCAAGCTCGGGTATCGTCTATATTCCCTTTGTCAAGATCCCTCCCCAGAGGATGCTATTCTTGCTGTCTTACCTCCTCGTATAGGGTGCTCAATCTTGATAACGTCGGCTCTGCCACGTTGTCAACTACGTCCTTGGAGCTGCCAACCTCGGTTCGTTGGTCCGTACAGGGTGATCCATTCGCGTACCCAAGGTCTCCCAATATTTGCGTGCAATAGGGCTACGTCCTTGTCAGAGCACGAATCTCAGTCGATTTACGTTTAACGTACCCCAGCAAGCACTCTAGTCATGTCCAGGACCTTGATGCCCGCTAGGGGCAAGGAGTCGGCATCTCCGCTTGATGTTGCCGTCGCGAAGCGTCTCTTCGAGCCGTTGATGGGCCAATTGGGCCTGCGGCTCCGTAATGAAGCCTGTAGAGCGCGTGTCGAGGGCCTAAGAAGGAGTTCTGCCATGGTGGGCGTAGAATGTGAGAATGTCGTAGTCTCCGAGAGGGCCCCGCGATTTAAAGCTACTTTTGTAGAGCCCCAGACCGAGGCAACCCCGCCATAACTAGGCAGATCGTCGGCCCACTTCTCTCCCGCCGTACAACGCCTGACAATGTTTACCGGCCTCGTCGAGACAATCGGGAGTAGGATTCATCCTTGCCATTAGTTTCCATTGCGCGGCTTAGCTGACAATGGCTAGCTGTTGCGGCTCTCGAGGAGCTCGACCAGACGGCCAGCGGAGGTGGCGGCACGTCATTGACAATTGCGGATGCGCAAGACATTCTTGGGGACGCGAACTTGGGCGACAGCATCAGTGTCAATGGTTTGTCTGCATTATGCGATGCCGATACCCCGTCTAATGGCCGGCTAGGAACATGTTTAACTGTAACGGAATTCGAGAAGTCGTCCTTCAAAGTCGGTGTCGCCCCCGAAACACTCCGCCGGACGAACCTAGGCTCTCTCAAACTCGGCTCAAAGGTCAATCTTGAGCGCGCAGTTTCCGCTTCCACCCGCATGGGCGGTCACTTCGTACAAGGCCATGTCGATACCATCGCAACCATACAATCCGTAAACCCCGACGGCAACGCGCTCACGTTTCGCTTCAAGCCGCGAGACACCGCCGTCCTGCGATACATTGTCGAAAAGGGATACGTTACAATCGATGGAGCAAGCTTGACGGTTACCAAAGTCCAAGACGGCGCAGAGGGATGGTGGGAGGTGATGCTGATTGCCTATACGCAGGAGAAGGTGGTGACAGCCGCTAAGAAGGCTGGTGAAGATGTGAATGTGGAAGTGGATCAAGTGGGCAAGTACGTGGAGAAGAGCGTGGCAGGATATTTCGAGGGAGCTGCGCATGGCGAGTTTGCTATTCTCGAGAAGATGGTTTCCAGACTGGTAGATGAGAGGCTCAGGGCGCTAGGAAAGTAGACGTTACGTCTGTAAACGCTCTGGATGCGCGTTCAAGCAAAGATTGGTGACTCAGAACCTCTCTGGACACGTTGCAAGGACATGTTGCAAGGACATAACTCGTCCTGACTAGGACAGAATCCAGTTTTGTGCCTCAGAGTTTGTTTGATGCCTGAACGGCCCCGGGGATTATCAGGGTGGTTGGGTGACTACCTCGAGTGGGATGGCGCGAGGAAAGTGAGGCGCAGCCCTACGCTTTGCTCACATTATAAAGCCCCTGCTCGTCGACAAACATTTCATCAAAACTCACTTTCTCCGAAGTGTGTCGAGAATTCCGTCTTTCCGACATCCAAGACGGTCAAGAGATCTCGCGACTGTCGAAGGTTGATGCCTAGCGGATGCATGATGCATCTCGGCTTCCACCCAATTACGGGCGGTTGAGAGCGCAAGTCGCACGCTCGAATGTCATCGAAGCAGCTCTTTGATGAGTTGTTCTTCAACTTCTGGATCCTTTCTTCGCTTACCGTGCAGAACTAAGCTCGCCCGATGCACTGCAGCGCACTGTGTAGGCAGAAGCTCGTTCGCATCAGCAGCCAGCAGCCCGAAGAGCTTGACGACAGCGATGCAGCAGCGCCTCGGCAATAGCTGCACAGGTATGGCTGGATGTCACGGACAATATGTGATGCAGAATGCGCTCATCGAAACCGTGCCGCACGCGGTGGGCGTTCTCCCGAGCGTGCTAAATTGGTCTCGCTTCCAGCCCTCGGAAAAGACTCTCCCCTTCGTCTCGAATTACGACCGACACGCATGAAAAAGTGGCCCAAAGGACGGTGAAAATCTGCACATTTGGGGGCCAAATCCGACCGACGACCGGATCGTGAAGAGAAGGAAGGACGGCTGCAGAGGAGGTGCAGATTTATACAGGGTTTTCGCCGGCACAATCTATTGGTTTGTCGCGGCTTGCCTGCCGTTGCTGCTGAACACGTCAAGGCCGGCCGACCCTCACTCCAAGGCGCGCAACGCCAGACCGACACCAGACGCTCGTTATCCAGCCTTGCCGCTGACCCGCCTTTCTTTCCTTCATTTCCGCCGTCCTCTTTGCACCACAGCATGCGTGCGGCGTAGCTGCTTCCCTCCGTCGAAGGTACCTCGTCACGCGATCCACTATGGACTGGCGGCTGCTCGACTACGCCAAAGAGGCTGAAGAGACGGCTTCCGGCCTCCACGTCTTCCAGAGCGAGGTTCCACAGTATTCCAAGGATATTAGCGGAGACAACGCCGAGCTCTTCGCCATATCGAACGCGCTCCACGTGCTCCACGAGGACCTTGATCTATCGCGTCTTGGAAGATATTCCGGCCGCATCCTCAGAGACCTGGAAATATGTCTTCCCAGCTTAGGCTATACGCTCGACGATGTCCGCAATATGTTCAGCAAATCGAAGCGCAACAGCCGACAACACCCGGGCGCTTTTCCTGGCACCCCGCCATATGCGCAGATCTGGGAGGACGCTTGCGCCGATTTGAGGGCTCAAGGAATCAGTCTGCCCATGCGTCTCGAGATGTATAGGACGTATTTGCAGGGAATGCATGACATCTTGAAGAGGTGAGCCGTTGCCAGCCGTTCTGAACCCGTCTTTAACCTCGAGCAGTGACGAAGAAGACGATGATATCAACCATATCCGGGCACGTCTGTCAAAGCTGCTGAGAAAGCAGGAGCCGATAGACGATTACTTCAGCAGGATTACGGTGGATCCCCGTGCTGGTATGATGACTTTCCGTTTCCAATCTGCCTGTAGCATACATTAGCAGCCTCTCGGACAAGCTCCTGTGTTGTACTCCTCAGTACTGTGGCGGGCCCCTTTGTTCGCGCGATCGATTCTCGCACTGCATCACAGGAATGATGTAGCCGCGTCTGAAGCCGTTCCATTCCATTTCACATCTGAGTTGTGCTATTACTTGGATGTTTGAATCTCGAGCATGCAGCTAATCTTTTGACTAGCGCCACGAACACCAAGACCGCATTCTCCCGCAGTCGCGAGACCGCACATTGAGCGCTACCAGACGTATCCTACGTATCCTCATCCGCCGCCGCCACCTCCGCTTCCACCCCGACCCCCACACTCGCCCATTCCGGGATACGGGGACATACCATATATCCCGCCGCCAGTGCCCGATATTCCCCAATCACCAACTTATTCAACTGCCTCCTCGCAGACATATTCGACTCATTCCAATGATTCAGGTGGTCCCGTAGCCCATTGGGCCATGAGGATCTTCGACGGCAGACATTCCTCTACACCATTTCAATTACTTGCTCAAGCGTATGGGGTTCCCTGCTATTCGATCAGCAATTCGACTGACGTCTTGCAGTACCAAATGCCTCGGTCGAGACGAACCCAAAGCGCTCGAACTCTTGGAGAATGATGGTTTCCAGAAGGTGCTCGAGCTGTATGTCCCCAACTCCCGTATTTCGATGTTGACTGACCCCTTCCAGGCCTTTCGAAGCAACGAACGTGTGGGTCAGACTTTACTGGAGGTCTGATGACAATCGAGCTAGAATTCTCTTCCTGACGCTAGATGCGAACAGCGGTCGGCGAATGAGATACTGTTTCCCACTTACCGGATTGAGAGTCCTGCGGACGGAGTCTTGCCTGCAACTTTGCCGCGTCAATCGGCAAGACGGACAACTTGACCTTTGGGCAAACTTGAGGTTCACACTTTACGAGCGTAAGCATCGCGGAGTACAAATAGCGTGACAATGCTAACATAACCAGGAATGGTCTTGTTTTATTGCACTCTTGTCGCGATGAAACGTCAGGATAACGTACCAACTCCACAGGGCCTGGAAGATTTCTTCCAACCAGGGGAGAAAGAAGAATTCGGAGGGTGAGGAGTAGCAGTGTTCGTATTTCAAAGCTAGCAGCGCTAACATGTCACAGGGAGATCCAGGATGAATCATACCTTCACGCGTTCCGTATATTCCGAGATCGAGACTCTGGAGGCGTCCGATTCGAAGCTACTCCTCGCCGTGGACCTCTAAAAACACTCCCAATCTGGACGGCATTCGTCACGCAGTACGTTGGACACAGAAGTTGGATGAAGCGCGTTGGGCATTGTACCGTTCAGTTCCGCGAGCTACACCCCTATATGTTCTGCGAGAATTATAAGTTGCCGAAAGGGCCTTCGGGCAGGTATCAGTTGACGTTTACGACACCAGAGGGTAGGACTCCGCTCTTGATAGTTGCAGGCTTGTCACTGACTTTCCCGACAGATACGAGGTCGTTCATGGAGGTATTCCACCAGATTAGGACTCGGTAACGCGCATGGTCGACCACATTGCTTTACGCTTTCCTTTCCATTTTGCCTCAAAGACGACAGCCCTAGAGGGTTCATTTGGCCTGCTGCCGAAAAGTTGGTACGAGGTTTAGATGTCTGCTTCCTTGGAACGAACGACAGGACGATAACGAAGGAATGATTACGACTGATATGACTGAATGACTGAATGAGGGAGGGCAATCTGCTTTTGCAAAGATATACCCCTCTCAGGATATTCTCTACTCTTGTTGTTGAGATTGTTTCCGCTTGGCTTTTGGATTCCTATTTCGCCTTGGCTTGATGTTATTTGACCTGATTATCTGTTTGCGGAATGTTACAGTAAGCGCTCTCATTGCCTATAATACACCTCGGTACAGACAATATTGGCATTGCTTCACATCTGCGGCTTGAAACTCTCGTATGGCCACGTCCAAACACGGTTAGACTCGTGTAGCGGGGCGTGAACTGCGATGCGGCCCGTGCGCCTTCCGAAACTAAAATTTCCGGGATCCTCTCAGCCTCTTCAGCGGCAGGAGCTTCGGCCTTGACCTTTCCACCTTTCCCACGCAGAAAATTGTGTTTCCTCGATTTTCTCTCCGTTCAGATATGGCAAACAACGCTGTGTCCTCGCAGCCCCCGCTCAAAGCGGACCCGCTTTCGGAAATGGCGCATTCGGAGGCGCATTACTTCAACAGGTGGGCTGCTCCACAACAGGCATACACAAGGCCAGACAACAGGAACAATGGCTAACGCCACCGCGATACAGCTACAACCACCATGGTCGGTCCCATGGCCTTCCCTGCTGCTGAGAACCGTACTAATGCGCCCCTCAAGGTATCCATGAGGAGATGTTGGTGCGTACCTAGTCCTGCTGTGAGAGCTTCCACAGAAACGCCCGACTGACGAGCAGGATGTATAGAAAGATGAAGTCCGGACCAGGAGCTATCGCGACGCAATATACCAGAACGGGCACCTGTTCAAGGACAAGGTTGTCCTTGATGTCGGATGCGGTACATCCATCCTCAGCATGTCTGACAACCCTGACCAGTTCCCTGGCCCTAGCCACACGAGCAGGCGCTGATACATGCGCTATAGGTTCGCTGTGCGCGCCGGCGCAAAGCACGTCATCGGAGTCGATATGTCGACCATCATCGAGAAGGCAAAGGAAATCGTCGAGCGGAACGGCATGTCGTCGAAGATCACACTATTACAAGGTAAGATGGAGGAAGTGAAGCTGCCCTACGACAAGGTGGATATCATAATATCGGAGTGGATGGGGTATTTCCTGCTGTATGAGAGCATGCTGGATACGGTGCTGTATGCGCGGGACAAGTACCTGAAGAAGGACGGCTTGATCTTCCCGGACAAGGCTACCATCTTCATGGCGGGTATCGAGGACGGCGAGTACAAGGAGGAGAAGATTGGCTGTAAGCACCCTTTCCCTCTGCACGGAGCCTCTTCTGGCTCCAAAGCTCAGATTCTAACCGAACAGTCTGGGACAATGTCTGGGGCTTCGACTACACGCCCCTCAAAGAGACCGCCATGACCGAACCCCTCGTCGATACCGTCGATCTAAAAGCCGTCTGCACGGACCCGGCTTCCGTCATAACCTTCGATCTCTACACCGTCCAGCCCTCTGACCTCGCCTTCCACCTCCCCTACACGCTCAAAGTGCGCCGCTCCGACTTCATCCACGCCATCATCGCGTGGTTTGACATCGAGTTCTCCGCCTGCCACAAGCCGATCCGCTTCTCCACGGGCCCGCATACGAAATACACGCACTGGAAACAAACCGTGTTCTATCTGCAGGATGTGCTGACGGTCGAGGAGGGCGAGACGATCACGGGCGAGCTGGAGAATAAGCCGAGTGAGAAGAATCATCGCGATCTGGACATCAAGATCACGTATAAGCTGAATACAGAGGATATGCATAGGCAGGCCAGCGGCGAGGGGAAGTATAAGATGTGCTGATGCCGATGTTGAGTCCGCATCTCGAGCCGAGCGAGACGGGTCCGGAGACATGACTGGTGGATTTCGCATCCGCACGCCATTGCGGACGAGGAGGTGTTTGATTCTCGATTAGACCATTTGATGAAGCGGGTTGGCGTTCGGTCCGGCTTGGACTAGAGGCTACGAAAAGTGCTGCTCCTGTGCAAGCGGATTGCAAAAATATCTAGGGTAGCAGAACACGACTTATGAAGAAGGGACCAAGATCACGATTGGGAATTCCTCCCCTAAACAAAAGCATAAACTCTCAGCCGATTCTAGGGCATGACTCACTCAATAATAGGGCCTTGTCGAACTCAGAAGTCGAACATAAGCTGACATTCTCTAGACCACGAACAGCCCTATTATAGACAATGATCGCTATTCAACAGATCGCTAACGCAGAGATAGAAATGCCATCCCACTCCGTCCAAGAAACACCACTGAAACGCCGGCCATGCGTTCGTCATCACAAATCGATCATGGACAGGACTACTAATCGCTGTCCAGCCCCAACTTCAACGTACTCTCTGGGTCCTGCCACCTCTTCGCCTTAAGCACCCTCATCTTCTTCACCGGGCTCGCACTCCTACCCTGCGCCTCGCGTTCCATAGCTTCCACCCTCGCCCTCAGCACCTCGTTCTCGCGCTCCAACTCATCCACCCTCTCTTGCAACTCCGGATCCGGGTCCTCGTACACTTTCACCTCCTGAGAGCACATCTGCGCCTTGGTCGCCCGGATCACCACGTCGATTTTAGAATCAAGATGCGCTTGCTGGTTGTCCTGCTCGTTGTCGAGCGCAGCCTGCCAGCGGTGGCGTTCGGCTTCCACGGCAGCTTCAGTCTCGAGGTAGCATTCGTCGCGGATTTCTTGCTCCAGGTCGGCCATGTGGTCTTCTGCGGCGCGCCAGCTAGCTTCTGCTGCTTTTCTCCTGGCCGTCTCTTCTGTGAGGCGTAGGGCGAAGACTTCGACTTCGGCAGTGAGACGGGCGATCTCTGCGTTTGCGATTTCGAGTTCTTCGAGGACGGCAGAGGGCGTGGTGCGACCGGAGGCTGTAGTGGTGAAGGACGGGGATTTAAGGGGCGTACCGGAGAGGATGGTGGACGTTGTGGAGGGGATTCGGGGGACGGTTACCTCGCGGGCGAGGGCGGAGTAGCGCAAGATTTGGGACGTTGCGTTGAAGTCGCCTTTGGGGTCGGCGGTGACGATCATGATGGATTTCTGCGGGTGGTGGTAATGTGTGTGGCGGGTGGAGGAGGGGAAGGAGTTGGAGAAGAGGAGTTCGGTGAGTTTGCATTGGCGGAAGGGGACAACGTTCTGGGGGACATGTTAGCTGATAGCCAGATTTCGTCGACGCAAAGTACGTACCTTGGAGCCATCTTGGTTGTCAGACTGCATCTGCATGCACTGACCGAGATACATCAGGGACTCGTTGATTTTGCCAGCCTCCGCGAGCGTAGCACCGGCCGTCTTTGCATTTCGAGCACGTTCGGATCCGGCCAAGTCGACGATAGTGAGAGTGCTGCTCGACCACGGTCCCTTTCGTTGAGCATCTCGCTTCTTGACTTCAATGCAGAAGAAGCCATGGCTCCTTGAGCTCACAGCATTGCTGCCCGTTCCAGCAACCTTGCGCTCTATCAGGCCAGTTTCCAGAACCATGAGCGCCTCTTCAAAGCTTCCACAAATAATCTTGGTGAGGCCAGCCACGACCTTCCGCTCTGGGCTCTGTTCAGTGCTCTTGAACAACAGCGCGCGGCGCTTCGTGTTGGGGTGCTTGTTCTTCGTAGCAGAGCCACCCAGAAGATCGAAGATGCGGTCATTGTAGACTTCATACATGGAGATAACAATCGCATATTCGGCGCTAGTGTCGACAGGGATGTTGATATCGTGCACACTCGGAGTCTGAGGGAGAGCCGATGGTCGCGGGATCTTGTTCGACCTAGAGCCTCCGGTGGTGATAAACGAACTACAGTCCTTTTTCTCGGGTGAGCATGCGTTCGCAACAGACCGAGTTATGCTGGATAGTGCTCCAGTCACAGGACGGATAGAATGAATGGCTGCGCTCGGCCGGCTGGAGAAAGTAGACTTGAGGATGGGATACAGGTTCTCCGACGAAGGGAGATGAGAAGGTGAAGACAAAGGAGAGTCAGATAGGAGGTCATCAGCGGAGGGGTAAGGAGATGCACTAACCGGCATGGGTGTCTGCGCTCGCGACGGAAAGCGCTCAGACTGATTGTCGCCGTACATGGTGTCCAGGAAAGCGGTCGCCGTAAACATATGTGCTTCCGACACATCGGCTACTGCAAGAGATGAAAAGGCTGGGGCCCCATAGAAAGATTGCACCAGCTGTTCTCCAGTGCTCTGGAAGAGTACCTCGAGGGCCATCTGGGTAAGGCCGCGCTGGGTCTTTGTTCCCAGAATCGTGTGACTCTGCGCCCGAATCAGTATACAGTTCCCTCTCATCCCAAACCATACGCCATACCTTTCCTGAGCCAGTAACACCCAGTGTCGCAAGCAATCCATCTCGTCCATGGTGTCCATTTGCGCCCAGCACTCCCTCAATCATTGAAATCGCCCCCGTCCCCCTGAACAGCTCCAATTGTTTCGCATCCTCCTCGAACACTTGCGTAAACGCGAATCGCTCGACTGCACGCTTGCGGATGTTCGTGGGGGGCTCGATGGTGATGTGCGTCGGGTGTGTTGCCCCGTTCTCTTCGACGGTGAGGAAACGCACATTGGCAACGTTTGACGGGCGCAGGCGCAGGTAGACGTCGAAGAGCGAGCTCGACGGTCGCGGCGGTGGTTCCATGGCCATTTGGGCTGCACGGAGCGGAGATGCAGGTTCGGTGGTAGTCTGCGATGGAGTACCGACTTTGGTGAGGCGGACCACGAGCGCGTTGTTGATCAACAGCCACTTGGGCGCGGTTGCCCTGACGACAGGACTTCGCCCGCTGCGCCACCCCACGATGCGAGCGCCACATTTCGCAGGCTTCGGCTTCCATCTCGACTCTCTCGAGTCTAGCAGTAGTAGGCCTATACCCGGATTCCAGGCGGTTGTACTCCATCGACCGCTTATCCTCAGCATCCTTCCAGCTCTCGATGAACTCGCAGCCCCGTTGTTCTCAACGTCCACCGATTGGCTTCATCAACGGCGAGAATATAATCCGGCTGTATAGCCCCCAATATGCCCGACGATGGCAGCGCGACCCTTTGCGCACGGTAGCCGTTCGCGGTTGCACGTTCGGCGGGCGACGAAACCTCCATACGCCTGCCCAGGCAGTCGTGGTACGGCAGTAGACTGCCCTCGCTGTTCAGCTGCCTGGAGCGACGCTGGAGAGCTCCTTGCGGCGAACACAGCCCCAGAGTTTTGGTTTGAGTCCCTCCGTTCCATAATCACAGGGATCGCGGCTCTATGTCTTACTGTTCGATCCGGAGCCTGGAATCGGAGGGAAAATGCCGGCCGACTCGGGAGACATGGTACTGGCCGATTGCCATGTACATACACACGCCATGTACACGCCATGTACACACGCCACGTACACACGATGCCCCAGAGGCCGTGCATCTGCGTCTGAGACACCGGGAGATGAAGCAGGGCACTCTTGGTTCAAAGGATCTTTCGAAAACCATCTTCCAGCGGCGCTTCGTCCCAGTCAACTCCGCACGGTGAGAAAGGTATAATCTCTGTCGCTGCTTCGTCGCATGCTTGTATTCTTGAGTTGCGATTTCTTTCCGAGTGCTGGAATTGGTAATTCGCAAAATCGATCGTCGCAAGGATGCATATCCAAGATCTCCATCATGGATGATGGATGTGGCTGATGCACGCACCAATGACGCAATGAGCAGTGCAGTTGCGTCCGTTCACCTCGTCTTTAATACGCAAACGAACCTCGTCTCTCTTTTCCTCTTCCTACCCACCCCTACCCTCAATATCCTCCAACACAATGGCCACCGGAGGAGCGGTGTACAAGGATCTACTCCCCGTGCCAGGACAAGATCCGCGACAGGAGGAAGACAAGACGACGACATTGACCGATGTACCGACTAAAAGCCATGCCTTGGCCATGGAAGCAGCCAAGGCGCCGGAGGAGAGGGGAGCGGCGCAGGTCGAACATGAGGAGGAAGTGGTGAACCTGGGTTGGAACGAGCCCGAGTCGCACATTGAAAGCCCACTTGTTGGAGGGTTGTCCAATGAAGACCTCTGGGTCCTGATTCGGAGGTTCAACAAGGTAAGGTGCGCACCAGCTTGTACAGTCATGTCACTAATAGATTCCCTAGCAAATGTACCATGTCAAAGAGATCCCGAATCCACCTCCAGGTGGTTTGGATCTGAACATCGCCGACGAGGAGGAGTTTTCTCCCGACAAGCTTAGGAGCAATATCGAGCGCTTGTACATGACCATCGTAAGTCCATGAGCAGTAAGCAATAACCACACACTTACCATGCGTAGGGTGTCGGTCTGATGAGCTTCGCCAAGCATATTGTTCGACTGCGATCGTGGCGGGAGGCAAGACGAACGGCCTGGTTCTGCACCGTATATTTTCTGGCTTGGATCTTCGACTTGATCGTCCCGGCTATATCACTAACGCTTATTACGTTGATCGCTTACCCGTCTGCTCGGCCGATCATGTTCCCACCGGCTCCTATCGCATTGGTCTCCAGTAAGACCGGGGGCGTCCAAAAGCCGAAGGCTGGCACTTTGGGCAGCCATGATAGTGCCACCGGAGCTCCAGAGAACCACAAGGGCGAGGCTGTCGAGCAGGAAGCGAGCAACTTTGTCAACGGAATTGCTTCCGTCGCGCTCTCAAGTGCCACTGGCAAGCATCCTCAAGGGGAACCATCTTCGGAAGACGGTGCGCCAGCCGACTCAGTACCCGACCCTACATCCATCGCAGTGGGGGCCGCTGATGCAAAGGACAAGGCAGCTGGTAGTACACCAACCAAGGAGCATGATAAGACAAAGGTGCCCATGGAGACGGCCATGTGGACAAAAATGCGGCCTATCATGCATGGCTTGGCTGATGTGACAGACACGTGGGAGCGGTTCGCCAAGTATGTTCCGTAACTCTCTTGGTTCCATCAGTATACTGATTAGCACAGCGCTCTTTCTCCTACACCTCCCTTCCCCCGCAACCGATATCATCTCCGCCTTGCCGCTCTCATTGTCCCCCTCCTCATAACCTCCCTCTTCGTAACCTCATACATGTTCATGAAAGGCGTAACCTTCGGCATCGGCTTCGGATTCTTCGGTGATCCCATCATTCAGCGCGGCCTTGACCTCATGAACCGCAAATTCCCCAACTGGCAGAAACTTCTGGAGCTCCGTAACACCGTCCTCAAAGGTGTTCCCACCAACGCCCAACTTACTATCACACTCCTCCGCATCGGCGAAGCAAACAAAGCTCCCCTCCCACCACCCCCACATGTTTCCACTCCACCGCCCGAAGAGCCCGCCGAGATCAGCGAGAAGGATCTACGTGCCACGGGCGCCGACTATCCGCTCAACGCCACCGAGGAAGAGCTCGACGAAGCCATGGCACACGATCCTACCACCGCCCATGAAACTGGCGGCTCTGATATCGACGCTTCCAAGGACTCTAAGCACGGCAAAAAAAGCAGCAAAATCCTCGGCTTCTTCAAAGGCACCGTGAAAGGCGGCGTCGAAACCGCCATCGGCACTGACAAACTCAAAGCAAAAACAGGCAGTACACACGCCAAAAACCGGCTCGGCGCCGTGCCGCCCAAGAATGTCGATCTCACCTCCGGACCCATCGAATTCAAAGCAAGGTACCAAGGCAAAAAGGGACACGTGTATATCACCACAAAAGCCACAATTCCCTGCGTCGCGTTCTCCACTGACAACACCATCGAGAAGATCGGAAGTCAGGAGAGAGAGGACTTGCATCCAATCTGGAGTATTCCGGTCGGGGAAATCAAGGAGATCCGGAAGGTAGGCGGGTATGGCTGGAAAGCCAAGCTTGTTGTGGGGTGGGCGATGGGCAGGGAGGTGGCGGATGGGCTGGAGATCGTGACGAGGGAGAGTAAGGTTAAGGGCGAGGGGGAGAAGAAATTCAAGATTATGGCGATGCCGTTGAGGGACGAGCTTTTTAATCGGCTGGTGGCGATGGGTGGGCAGAAGTGGGAATGCTGGTAGTGGTATGCGTGGATTGACTGAATTTGGGTTGAGTGGGACTACTGGCTGGTATATACCCTTTGATGGATTCTAATTGGGATGCCCCGGATGGATGAGTATATGACGGAATGAAATTATCTTTATCCTCATAGCCTATCTCAACCTCTGCTAATGGGAGGCAACAAAAAGTCAGCACATGCACTTGAGCATAGATCGCGTGCGAAGGGGTTAGCGAGGCGCATTCCCCAGTCATTTGCCTGAACACAAGAAGTAGCAGTTAGGAGACTCTGCAGATAGATTGCTATCCCTGTTCACACCTGCCCAGCATCGCAAGAATGCTAATCAGCTAGTATAAAACAAAGCTTTTCGATCCAAAGCCCCAGGCACAATTCCACTTGTGCCTGCCATATCCCCAACCTGAAATGGAAGAAAGCGCATTGAAGGCCTCCAGACGCTGTGATACATGCCCCAACTTATGGTCAAAGGAAACCACAGTGAAGGCCTCCAGGGGCCGGAACACATCGCCGTACCCATGATCATGCATGAAGCTGCTAGGCAGCTGTCATCTATCCGGCGTGCTCGGTATCGTCAGTTCGCTCGCCAAATTAAATAGGGCTGACCATTACATACCTTGGCATCCGCATCCTCCATGTCATCGTCATCATCCCCACCCTCGCCGTCCGCATCCTCACCGTCCTCATCGGACATCTCATAGTTCTTCGCCGTAGCGAGCGCGAGCTGGTACAGCATCTGCGTCTTCGTCCCGACATTGAGGCCCTTCGAGCGGCAGAGCTTCCTAAGGCCCTCGACGCTGTACTTATCATCATTGTCCTTCAGACGCTGGACGAGTACTTCTTTGGACTTTCCGCGTGTGGACATACCGTGGCCCTTGCAGATAGCCTTGAGGTCGTCGATGGAGAGGCGGAGACGCGGGTCCGGCGTGTCTTCCGTGATGTCGTCGAGGCTCGTGGTGCGGATGGTGAGGGTAGAGGTGTTGTTCTGGTTTGCCTCGCGCTTCTTGCGCTCTCTCTCGTCCTTTTCGGCTTGGATACGGGCGGCGCGCTGCTCGCGAGCGAGTTTATTGGCTTCAGAGCGTTGAGCGCGTTCCTGTGCTTTGGCAGCGCGCTTCGCGGCCCGCTCAGCCTTCTTCTGGTTTGCCTCCGCGCGGCGGGCTGCCGTAGCGGCTGCCTTCTCTGACTGGCGCGCCTTAGCTTCCTCCTTGACCTTGCACTCGGCGGCCTCTTTCTTCGCCTTCTCAGCTTCTTCGGCCTCGCGTGCGCGCTGGCGCTCTAGGATGAAAGCGTTGCGCTCTGCGATGCGCGCCTCAGGGTTGTCGTCCAGCTCGATAGGGATCTTGGCTGTGCCGTCGACGAGGCCGGCGTAGCGCTCGCGGCAGGCGTTGGCACTGAACATGCAGCCCTTGTTCAGGTGGCGCATGAACTCTGCTACTTTTCGGAAGCGCCAGGCACGGATGCGCTCGATTTCCTCACGGATGGACATGTCGGCGAGGTCGTAGGCGCGCACGAGGAGTTGATCCTGTGGCGGAGAGCATTAACGGTGCATTCAATGGGGTAATTAAATCAGGGATTAGATAACTTACATCTTCCAAAGTCCACTCCATTAGTCCCTCCTGCAAAAGCCAGTCCATCCGCTCAGCCTGCGCGTTCTTGATACGACCGATACGCGTAGAGATGGACTTCGGGTCATAGCGAGCACGACCATCCTTGGCGAGCTTGTCAGAGATCTGGCGGTCGCTGTAGCCCTTGTCGCGCATGGCCATCATGAGCTCATCGTCCGAGTCGAGCTCCCAAGACACCTTCTTGTGGTAGGCTGGTAAGGTGCTGCCCTTTTCACGGTTGGCACGGCCAAAGCCGCTTCGAACTTTGGACGTATTGGAAAAGAGGAAGTTATCGCCTTCGTCGATAATGAAAGTCTCGCTCTCCTCGGCCTTGGTGCGACGAGCGGAGCGCTCAACGGCTTTGGTAGTGCGGTCGAAGAAGGCGGGTCGTGCGCGCTTGGTGGGCGAGGGCATGAGATAGTGGTCATCTACGCCGCCGGGATTGAGATCTTGGAAGCCTTCGAGAGTGAACTCGTCCTGTAAAGCGTTAATAAGTACCCGAGAATGAGTGGAATGGCGCAGCTTGCCCCCGAGACTTCTCCACCACCCAGAGCCTCGTCGTTGATGCTCATATCACCGAGGATGTCGGCGCCTAAGTTGTCGGCTCCGCAATTCTTCTGCATAGAAGCGGCTTCAATGTCTTGCATCTATAAGCGGAAGTAGGTTGTAGGGTTGTTGTATCAATTACCAAAGTCGATATAGAAGGTCTCAGCTTTTGAGTGGTCTTACGCTTATTAGTGAAAGCTAGATGGAATATGTGGCGGTGCAATTCTTACCCTTGCCCGGAAGAATGATGGTCTCCGCTTCCGAGTTGCCTTGGAATTGTTAGTGGGGGCCAGTTGTATATTCACGCCGTGCTTACTGCCCATATGACGATTGAGATTGTCGTCGGCCATGATGAAATCGGGTACTGTCGCTTATGCTTGTGTTTGACTGGAGAAGCAATCTGCGAAAGAGTAGAGAGTTTAGCAGAGTTCAGAGTAGCGCAAAGAGAAAGTGGTGTGAGGCAATATAACAGAAGCAAGAGAAATGTTTGGGTGACGAGCCCAAGGCTGAGAGAAAGCTGCTTGGTTAGTAGTTGCCCCAGACACGAGCTCCGGCTACAGAAAGAAGAAGTAGGAGTGCCTAACGAAGGCGAACCACCTCTGCCACAGACAAAGCTGTGACTGAGAGAATCTGAGGTGGGGGTGTAGAGAAAGAAAGAGGAAGAGGTGAACGAGGAGTAGGTGAGAAAGAGGGCTGGCTTGGAGACGAAGATAACGTTTCTTTAGCAACCGCTCGCTAGGCTCGGTGAAGATGAGGTGGCTGAGTTAAATGAGGAGCCGCGGAAATTTTGATTCTGAGGTGAGTGAAAGAGAAGTGTGATCTCGTTTTGGTGGTAAATGCAACTTTGGGGGTACGTGCAAGGGGCAACCTTTGCGCCCATGCGTCTATTCTTGATGGGCCTGCCATCTTCTTGAGCACTCTTACACCGACGGAGTGCTGTGCATCTCTCTTAACGAGCAGAAAATCGCATCTGCAAGGAGTTCCTAATTCCACAGTGAGGTCGGCCACTAGGAAGTCGGCAGCAGTCTGACGCTGTCGAGAGATCACAATTTGATCATGCCGGTATCTTGGTAACCGGCGCGTTGGTAGACTCTATTTCGGGCTTCAAGTGGAGCAATGAAGGTTTAAGTGATGAACGTAGTGGAACTCAATGTTGACGAGCGACATGTGGTCTGGTGTGGCTTGATGTTGTGGCGCGAGCTCCAAGACCCGGAATCCCTGCTTAATGACGCAACAGCGATCATCGACGAACAAACTGGTAGGAAGGCAACGATAAAACGCTTACAACGGATCGTCATGCGTAGCACATCAGTATAGTCTCGCCCTGATCCTTCCTCGAATCTTCCTTCCTCAAATCTCACTACACCCTGTTCCGAACCGTATCCACTTAAGGCCACCAACCGACAACGGTCCATGGCTCTCTCATACTTCAACGTAAAGAAGCTGCGGCGGCAATCCAAGCAGCACGACACGCATGGACCCGAGACGTCTCCACCTGCCCCCGCTGTGAGCACGCCCACTGAAGAACCGGCTGTGTCGCCTATACTTGATGAGGAAGACCAGAAGTTCCTCGAGCGCCTCGCTGCTATTGCACAAGAGCCTGAAGGTACTCCTCCACCGCTGCCCACACGTCCAGCGCAAGCCGTCGAGAACGGAGAGGTGAAGATTGGCAAGGATGCACAGGAGGCGATATTGGCTGGCGCGGACAAAATCCCACTGCCTATGAGCCCGCCCGAGGTCATAGTAGAGGACACGGATACAGAGAAAGACAAGGCGAAGGACGGGGGTCTTGGACGGAAGAAGAGCGTCATGTCATACTTTGCGCTTGCGCAGTCCAAATTCAAGAAGGCTGCAGACAAGGATAAGGACAAGGACCGCAAGGACCATAAGGAGAAGGATAAGAGGAAGGACAAAGTCACAGAAAAGGACAAGCAGAAAGCAGCCGATGACCTGCACTCTGCCGCCGAAGCCGCAAAATCCGCCGAGCAGAAAGAAGCAGAGAAAGAACAAGCAGACATAACGCAGATCCTCGATCAACTCAACCTCTCCGCCGTCAACAACCGCGTCTTCTCCTTCTCCAAGGAATCGGAAGAACTCCTCAATAAATTCAAGCTCGTACTAAAGGACATCGTCAATGGCGCACCCACCGCCTATAACGATCTCGAGAAGCTCTTCACAGATTACGAGGGCCAGCTGAAGAAGCTGTACGGCAACCTGCCGCCTTTCTTGCAGAACCTCGTCAAGAGTTTGCCTGCAAAGCTCACCGCCACCCTGGGACCCGAGCTCATGGCCGCACAAGCCGAAAAGCCCGGCTTCGACGCTAAACAGCGTATGTCGGCATCAGGCATGAAATCCAAGGCTAAGCGGGCTAAAGTCCCGTCGCTCAAGAGCCTGCTGTCTGCCGAAGGCGCAATAGCCACGATGCTGAGGAGCATCCTCAACTTCTTGAAACTGCGCTTCCCGGTTGCCATGACGGGCACCAATATCCTGTTGAGTCTCGCCGTATTCCGTAAGTTCACCATTCCGCTCTATTGCCCTCTGGATTTGCTAACTGCGCCCAGTACTCATGTTTGTCCTATGGTACTGCCACCGACGTGGCCGCGACACGCGTCTAGAGAAGGAGCGTCTCGCAGCCGAAGAAGCGGACTCCGCAATGGCGAGCAGTGCGTCCTCGGTCGATGATGATGGCGACTCTGTTTTCGGTGTCAAAGCCAATGCTCAGGCGGAGAGCAGTAAGGCGAAGGAGAAATCCACACCGCCGCTCATCATTTCGGACGGCAAGGAAGGTGAGCCGGAGAAGCCGCGCGCAAACCTCGAAGACATGCCGAGCGTCACGCATCTACCTGACCCCAGCGAGGAGAGGGCAAAGGAGGAGCCGCTCAGTGTTCCCAAGTGAGATGTAATGATAGAAAGACAGTGGTGTTCTTTTTGGCTTCAGAATGATATCCCCTTTGCGCAATAGGTTTTGTAATTGAGCCTGACGGGGTCGAAAGACTCCAGGAATAGCAACGGCTAGCAACGACAATTTAATGGCACGAAATACGAGCGAAATATTGGCTTATGATATTAACATATCGGGCATCAGATCCTTTGTACTTCATATTGTCTATTAGGGCGAGACGAATGGAGGCACTAGGCTCGCATCCTATCATCCAGAGCCGAATCGCCCCTCTCGTTATACAGCGCCATATTCGCGAGCTCGACCTGCACCCTCAAACTCTCATTCTCGCTATTCTTCTCTTCGACCTCCTTCGTCCGCTGCGCAAGCGCCTTCCGTAGCTCTGCCACTTCCCTCTTTAATCTATCGACCTCGCTTTCTTCCTGTCGCGGCATGTTGTTGAGCGCGGAGTTGCACTGCGCGATGAGCGTCGGATCGATCTGAGAATAGTTCCGGTCGTTCCCGTCACCCTCATGATTCTCATCTTGGCCTGGCGGTCGTTGCTGGTTGCTGTTAGGCTGACCGTCTTGATCTTGCGTTTCCTCTTCACCTTCGTTGTCGCTGTCGTCTAGGCCCTCGCCTAGCTGCTCGCCTGCGGCTTTGCGTGCGCGCTTGATCTGGGCACGGATGTTGTAGACGTCGCGCTTGAAGATGTGGATGCCGGGCAAGCGCTCCTCGAGGATCTTAACAGTGCGTCCGACTCCACGATCCCTTCCTTGGCCGGGTCCTCCCTTTCGTAGCATTTCTTGCTCGACGATCTTCCAGACTAGACCGCCGCTCTCAAGGCTGTGGCTTGCCTTCCTAGGCTGGACAGGACTGTCGGCCTTTTCTTCCAGAGCCGCCTCTTCTTGGTTCGAGGGTTGTCCGTTATCGATGCTGGTCAGCCTCTCCTTCTCCTCCTTCGCCGTGACACCACCAACGCCCACCCTCCCACCTTGCACACCCCACGTCCGCTTTCTCTGTACCGCCCATCCCTCCACCGCGCGCCCCGGATGATTATGCATAGGCTCCCCAACCCGCAGCGCCCAAAGTCCATCATCCTGCTTCTTGCCCTCTATCCACATCTTACACCCTGTTTTATAGCTCACTCTGTTCTTCCGCACCCTCGTCTCCGGCGTGAGCTTATGCGTATTCTTGGGCGCGCCGTAGCAGACGCAAGCGAGCTTTATGCGAGAGCGATTCTTCGCCGTAGTATTGATGCTGAGGGCGTAGCCATGCTCTGAGGCATGCGATTGCGCGTATTCATGGAGAGCCTGCCATGAGGGATGCGTGCTAGCCGGTGGAGGCAGCATGTCGAAGTGGCCCGGCGGTGCAGAATTAGCTATTATGGGCGGTATTGGAGGGATTGGCGCGCTCTGAGCCCTGGGTGGCGTCGAGGGCGGGAAGTCATTCTGCTGCTGGACGGGCGAAGAGTTAGGCAGGCTTGGGCGGCCAATTGCGGGCCCCTCGGACGACAGGTTCGGATCGAAGTGCAAGCCATTGTGCTCTAAGTGTTCGTGCTGCGTATGCGGAGCTTGATGCTCCCCAGGCGATGGCACGCCATATCTGGAAATAGCATGGTCGTTTGCGGGGTCGACCGAGGGTGCAAAAGCGGGATAGGCGGGCGCGGAAGCCTCGATATCTGTAGGTAGCGGGCCGTATATGGGACCGTCTTGTTCAATGATGTGAGAATGGAGAGCAGGTCGGATCATGGTCACAATGGGGCCGAGAAGCTGCTCCGAATCACGATATGGAGCATTGGTGTTGAACCTTGGAAGATTGATTGCGCTAAGGATCTGTGCGTTCACGCTAAAACGGGTCGTGGCCACGTGCTTACAACTCTCCGGTGCTCACTCCTGCAAACTCCTGCAACCCAACCAGCCAAAGCAACCATATTAATTGGGCATCGCAATATACTCGTATAAGTAAGGAAAAGCCATCTACAGAAGAGAGGGCCCGCTATCATGACCTCTCCGTAACGTCTACCCACATATTTTTAATCTCCCACAGACCAAGCGAATTGTACAGCTCCCACGGCTTGAAAGGGTCCTTGAGCGCAAAGTCAAAGTTCCTTAGCAACTCAAAGATCGTCTTGTGGAGCTCGATCAACGCAACTACTCGTCCTAGGCAGACCCATCCCCCATATCCGAAGATCAGGTCGTTAACCCGGTACATTCGAGTCAGTCTTTCCTTCTCCTCGGGGATGCTCTCATCGACGAACCACCGTTCGGGGCGGAACACGTCGGCGTCTTCCCCGTAGAGAGACTTGTTGTTCCTATGCATGCTCCAAGCGGAATAGCCGACCATTGTGCCGCCGGGGATGAAGTATTCTTTGCCGTCTACGGTAACGGCGTCGCCTTCCCGCGGAGCGATTCGAGAGAAGAGATTGACCACGGGCGGATGGACACGCATGCCCTCACGTATAACCGCGCTGAGATAGGGGAGACGGCGCGCTTCAGTATCGGCGATGATCTCCGGCGAATCCGGCGCGATTTCGGCCTTGACAGCTCCGTCAATCTCAGCTTGCAATTTGGCGTATACGCGCGGATGGCTCATGACATAGAGCATGATGATTCGGATAGACGCTGCGGTAGTGTCTGACCCTGCAAGGATCTGCTCGAAGACTTCCTGGAACAAGTCGTCCCCGCTTACTCCGTGTCGGACGAAGGAGGCAAACATGTCGGACTTCTCTTCGGTCCCTTTCATGCTCCGCTCCCGGACGACCCTGCGCGCCTCTGCCATCATACGGCCGAATCCTGATGCATCTTTCTCTGATGGGCTGATCGCGGGTCCAATAATAGGGAGGTCGCGCAGGAATGAAGTGCCTAGACCGAACGAAATGTTGCCGATCTTGAGACCCTCTTCCGAAGCCTTGAGATAGCCGTTCATGTCCCCGTCAGCCTTGAGATCACCGAATGCTTGACCCAGCGCGACATCGCTGATGACGTCTATCGTAAGGTATTGAATTTTACTGGCCATATCCATGGGTTTTGAGGCTTTGGTGGAGGCTGCTGGGCTGGCATACTTTGACCGTACCAAATGCACCAGCTCTTTCACGTGGGTGTCAACCGATGACTCTAGCCCTGGGTTCTCCTTTCCAGCATACTGGCAGCTCGATTAGACATATTCACGCGATCAAAGAACGTGCGCCTCTTACGCCGGAAGCCATCTTCTTTCTCCGAGCATCGTGCTTCTCGGTATCACATTCCGTGAACACATTGTCTTTGCCAGGCTCAAAACGGGCGCAATGATAGTACCACTCGGCGCGCTTGTACGGAGATCGAACGGCACTGATATGCATCCATAGCTCAGGCGACGACGTGATTAGGTGGTTTGGCCCTATACGCGCAAGCGGTCCTTCTCAGATTTCAGCAACAGTCTCCATCTCACCCCACGTAACGCATTGACTCACCATACTTCTCCGTGACATCTCCATACCACCTCTGTGCCTCTCCGCTGAGGACGGCTCTGGAATGCCACCACCACGAGACGCCCGTCGTACGGGGACCCTTGAAGTGCCTCAACCGCCAGAACTGGCGCAAGCGACCCAGCACCGCGTAAGCAATGGCTGCGAAAACGGCGAGAAAGAGCCGGCGTAGCACGACGTTGATGATGTTCGAGTCCATCGTGAGCGGTCGTGACGGGAAACGGCTATCGAGGGCGGGAGCTAGGAACGTCAGTCATCCGGCGGGGCACCCATATAACCCTGAGGAGGCTGCCGCGGGACATGGGCCTCCTCGTACGCTACATATGGCAACATTCAATAGGAGCAACGCCCTGCGTGATAATCGATGCAGAGTTGCGGGCCTACGAGTGAAGTCGGCATACGGCTCGGCTACTGGCGACTCACAGACAGCAGAGGAGCGTTCGGGCTACCAGAACGTGCATATCGATCGCTAGCCGCCGCAATCCCAAGCCGCTTGACGATAGACTAGCGGGGGGACGATGGGTGTCCAGAACCGCGATGCAGAGCTCCCGCTATCGTCGTGCTTTGCTCGGTGTGGATGTGGCTGCAGGAACTGTGGAGCGGAACCACATGGTGACCCTCATCGTACGGATCATGCCGATGACGCCTTTCCCCTTTCGTGTCGTTGCGTCAGCCATCTCTCGCGGCAAGTCGTAGAGATTTGGAGTTATCATTGCTAATAAGGATATCGTTTCCTCGAATCAAGCCCTGGATTTCCTTGATCTTCCTCGTCTTCCTCTGAGCCCTGAACAAAGAGCTCTCTGCGCCGTTGCCGACGCTTACCGGGTCACCTGACCATCTCAACCTCTATTTGACCGGGGAGCGCCAAAGAGCTGGGAATACGTGCTTGTGCTCCAATCGCAATATCACGCCTCCGCGATTGCATTAGCTTCATCAGCCATGTCGACGGATGGTCGCGAGGCTGGGGTTGGCCCTCCATCCGCGGAACCACCCCAACCAACGGCAGCAGCAACAACACAGCAGGACGCTCCAAGCCCAGAACTATTCGAAGACCTAAACATCCCGGTAGTGCGTCACTCCTCCGATCCTCTAACCCAAACATCCGACCAACATCCTCACCACCACAGGCCGACTACGACCCTGACGCCTCCGACTCAGCCTACGACGACGATGACTTCCTGTCTGACACCACTTCCATCCCGTCTACCATCATGCGACACCGCTGGGAAAACGGCCGCCGCTACCACAAGTTCCGTGAAGGCGAGTACTGGGGTCCCAACGACGACATCCAAAACGACCAGCTCGACATAGCGCACCAAATGTTCCTCATCATGCTGCACAACAAACTGCATCTGGCTCCAATAGGTACCTGCAAGCCCCCATTAGCCCCTGTCTACTAAACACTCAATAGCCCGGCCTCATCATACTTCCCTCCCCCAAGTTCTACCACCCACCTATCCCCTTGACCCAGATAGCAAGCAAGCAGCATCCAGTGACTGACTAACCCTCCACGCACCCCAGAACCACCCCAAAGAGTCCTCGACCTCGGCTGCGGCACGGGCATCTGGTGCATCGACATAGCAGACGAGCACCCGGCCGCCGAAGTAACGGGGATCGACCTCTCCCCCATCCAGCCCACCTTCGCGCCGCCCAACTGCCGCTTCGAAATCGACGACGTCACGGCACCGTGGACATTACCACCCTCGCACTTCGACTTCATCAACATCCGCGCGCTGTACGGCAGCATCGCCGACTGGCCCGCACTCTACGCCCAGATCTACGCCCACCTGCTGCCGGGCGGCTGGCTGCACCAGCTTGAAATGAGCATCCAGATGAAGAGCGACGACGGCTCGCTGGCGCCCGACCACATCCTCAGCCAGTGGAGCGACGTGTTCCACGAGGCGGGCGAAAAGTTCGGCAAGAGCTTTCGCGCCGTGTATTCGCTGCGCGACTGGGTGAAAGCCGCGGGCTTCGAAGACGTGCACGAGGTGTGGTACAAGCTGCCCATCGGCGGGTGGTCGTCAGACGCGCATTTGAAGGAGCTAGGGCGGTGGAATCTGCTGCATTGTACGCAGGGCGCTGAAGGCTGGGGACTGTTTCTGCTGACGAAGGTTATGGGGTGGAGTGTTGAGGAGGCGCAGGTTTTTATTGCGAAGTTTAGGAGCGGACTGAGGGATAAGGGTGTGCATGCTTATTTTGAGGCGTGAGTTGATTTTCTTTTTAACTTTCTCTTATACGCCGTTTTTGGGTTGAGGATGGTGAACCGGAATGGCTGACTTGCTGTGGTTAGGGTTGTGATATACGGTCGAAAGCCGCTGGAGAAAGGTGGTAGTAAGTAAGTAGGGCATTAGGGGAAAGGTAAGAGGAGAGGATGCGGTGCGATCGCTAGATAATATGGCATGTAGGCCTCGCAAAATGACATGGAGACTGGAAGAACAAAGTGGAGGAATACCATGGAAATAAATTTATGATACCCCAGGCTGGAAAACCAAATCAAAGCGCAGTCTCTATCCTACCACAACTAACATGGTATCTCGTACTATCTAACCCATAGCTTCTCCTCAACTCCCGCCGAAAATATCCAAAGACGGTTGAAGAGAAGACGAAGAGTCCGATGAAAATGGAATACCCAACGCATCAAGGGCCCCAACGCCAGTCATGATCATTATGTGACAGTTCATCTCATCCAAACATCGTCAACCAACCCTGAAGCTCAACGAAGCCCAAGAAGCGCCGAATTTACGACTCCGCAGCCTCCTCAGCATCGCCCAGTTCCTCCTCGCAGCTGCGCTCGACTTCATCGGCGATGAACTGCTCGTACTCCTCGAGCGACCGCTGGATGTGCAGCTTGAAGCGGACGATGTCGTCGAGCATACGTTCGATTTCCGTATGCAGTTCTTCGCGGAGAGTGTTGGCGCGGAGCTGGAGCTGCTCATACCTATCTTTTCGTTAGTACTTCCTCGCTTTGGGTGTATGTTGGATGACGGAGGGGACCCACTCGATGTTTACCGCCATCTCGCGCTGTACCATAAGCTGGACACTCTCGCCAAGGTTGCTCCGCATACGACCCAGCTCCTTTTCCATCTTCTCGATCTGCGCATCTGACGCCGTCTTCTGGGTACTCGTGATTTCGCGCAGCTTTTCGAGCTCCTCCTCCGCCTGTGCAACACGATGACCGAGGGCTTCGACTTCCGCCTGCTTATCATCCATAGCCTCTTTGCTCTTATCCAGCAGATCATGGATACCCATGTCCGCCTCCAGGGCCGCATTCCTCCGCTCCGCAATCTCCTTGCGGAGCATAAGGATGTTAGATTTGACGGTGCCGCGGAGGTCGAGATTGAGCAGGTGGTGCGGTGAGTAGCCGGTTCCGGCATCTGCAAGCAGGCGTTCCGAGGAGTCTTGTGTGGAGGCGCCCATCTGTGAGCCAGAGAAGTTAGGACCGTCGTTGACGGTGAGGACCAGCTCGTAATCTTGGCCTTTGGCGTTGGGGGCGGTGCTGGGGATGACCCCGATTTGGTAGCCCAGATTGTTATATCGCTCGATGGTTTGTTCTAACTCATCTAGCTTCCGTGATGCAGCCAGTTCCTTTTCTGCGAGTCGCTTTTTTGATTCTTCGGCGCGGACAGAGGCGGCTTGTAGCGCAGCGTCGAGGCGTTCCTTCTCAGAAGCCATACGGTCGATATCTGCAATAGTCATGCCTCTGCCGTCGATGATGGCTTGCAGTTCCTGTCTCTCCTTCTCAGATGCCTCCAGCTCTGCTTCGATCTCCTCAATCGACTTCTCCAGGAAGCCGCAGCGATCAGTGTACTTCTTGACCTTTGCATCCATCGAATTATTATAATTCTCGAACTTGACACGGTCCTCCTCGAGAACCTTGTTCTGCTCTTCAAGCCTCTGGATCCGTGGCCCTGACTTGGAAAGCTCTTCGATCTGTTCCTGCAGGGCCTTGTACTCTGCTTCCAGCAGCTCAACTTGTTCGTTATGCTGTGCATTGGCTTCATCAAATCGCTTCGCCATGGCATTCACGTGTGGTTGCATGAGCTTTGCCTGCGCCTCTTCGTCGTCTTCGTCGTCTTCGGCGGATAACCAGGTGCTGTACGCATCGGACAAGAAATCGAAGATAATGCGGTCGCCAGATACATCGTGTCCTGCCTCAAAGCAAGCATCGTCGTAGGCTCCTTGCTCGTAGGCGCCCATCATCTTAGCGACCTGCATCATCCAATGTAGGAGGCCGAGGAAAGTGGACCAGTTGTTCCCGCCGACGGCTGCGATCTGAGACTTCATGATGGACTTCTCGAACGGGTAGCGCATCTGCTTCAGCAGGACCGGGACCTCCTGGTCAATCGACTTCTGGAAGCGGTAGGAAGGATCGATGCGATGGTAGAGCCACTGGAACATGCAGTTGAAGTCCTTCTGTGTCGGCGATGTCATGCACTTGGGCGAAAGCACATGCTTCGACTCCATCTCGAAGTTGTTCTGAGACAGGTATTCCATCAGTTCCCGGCCCATTTCCGCTCGGGTGCTCGCATCCTTCAATCGCCGTGGGTCGGTTGGGACACCTGCTGGGACAGGTGCGGTCTGGAAGAATGACTGTTTTACGCCTATTTGACCGGGACCATGTGATGATTTCGTCTTGAAGACGCTGCTACGTCGCTGTGTGCTCTGCTCGAAGTTTGGCGCGGATGCTGGGGTTTGAAAGATTGAGGCCCCAGGGGCGAAACTCTTCCTGGCGCCGCCCGCGCTGCCCGTGCCGAAGACATTGCTCGTGGAATTGCGGTGGACGGACTGGAAACCTGCGTCTGCGAGATTCGTGCCGGATGAGGAGCGCTGGAAGAGGGGCTGGCTGGGGCGGCCCGGCGCGAGCGACATCCGGGAGCCGGACAGCGAGCGCGCATGGTTCGTGGTGAAGGGGCCGGCGGCCTGTTGCATGTTTGAAATGGAGCTCGAGCGCTTCATGGCGGACGACGGCATGGGGATGGACGAGATGTTGTTGTTCACTGGCGCCAATGTCTGCGCGCATTGTTAGCAAGAGCTTCGAGTTGCGACGGCAAAGCTGCGCGCGATAGCGTACTGACCTGGCGGCGGACCGAGAAGAGGCCCGGTTCTTGGGCCATGGGGGGTAGAGTTTGTCGCGATGGGACTGCGAAGATATGCTGGAGGTAAGGGTGGGTAGATGAAGAGAGAGCGGTCGCGATATGCGCTGTAGCGGTGCAGTGGTGGTGAGGATGCGCCAGGGCAAAGGCGTGTTTGTTGTTGTGTACAGACCAGATTCGCGCTAGCTCCGTAGCAACCACACGAGCGCTGATTGGCCGGCAGCGCACGCGGCATGTCTTCACCACTTCCAAGGTTGACATCATTCAAACCTGTCATCGTTGGCAGCCGATCGCGGGTAAAATGGGCACGCGCGCAATACAGCAATCTGCCAGCGCGGAGGGCGAAGCTGAGAATGGGTCGACAAAGGAGATCAAGATTTCTGCTGCCGCAGCGGAGAAGACTCCGACAGAGGAAGACAATATACATAGAAGCGGGAAAGGGAATGCTGTCAAGCGTGATGTAAAAAGGGAGTATTGAAATGCTCCAATCCTTTCCGCGTCCCCTCATCTTCTCCTCCCACACCCGATATCTTTCCAAAAGATACAACCGCAAACCAGCCTCGTCCGCCGCTGTCCTGCTTTCTCCGATTGGGAAGCGAAGCAGGAGGGTATCGTGTGCATGCAAAAAAGGAACTATCCACAATCTGTTTAACTCCCAACCGTGTCCAGCGCATATGCACCAAAGAAGAGACAAAGCGCCATTAAACTTGGTCCGTCAGAATCCATCGTAACCGTCCTTCCTTCCCGCTTGCCCTTTTGTTTTCACCTTTACTTTATGTTCTTGAACATGTCGTCGACCTCCATGCTCAGCGCATCGTCGCTGACGCCGAAAGCTTTGAGGTCAGGCAGCGCTGGTGGCGGCGGCCCTTTCTTCTTCGGCGGGCTTGTAGGCGCGGGTTTCGCGCTTGCGCCGTTGGCCTGAGGCGTGTGATTTTCCTTCCCTTCAGGTACCGATCCGATGACGAATGTGCTCTTCCTCTTGCTGAACCAACTGCTGCTCTTCTTTCTGCTCAGACTCGGCTGGCTGCTCAGTGTTGCCGGAGATCCCGGCCGGTCGGAATTGAGGCTGTCCTGCGACGACAGGGTACGGAGGCCTAAGAATTTGCGCACCGAAGACGGGCGCTTGCCCGATGGGCTTGTGGGAGACAGCGTGCTCGCGCCATCGTTGGTCGACGTCTGGTGAAGGTGCGCCGAATCTGTCGAATCTTTCGGAGGTGGCGAGCCTTCGTGCTGTGGGAAGACAGCAGACTTCGGCGTAGGGTGAGAGGATAGCGGTCCCTTGCCAGGCGTCGGAGGGCGGGGGGTGTCGGGAGGAGAATCGGGCGGCGCGGGAATCGCGGTGCCCTCGGTGAGGGAGAAGTTTATGGGAGTAAGGGTGAGAGGCTGGTATTTGCCCACGGCCATGATGGATGTCCTGCGGAAGCTGTCCTGGCCGCGCGGCAGTCAACGATGAAGAACTGGGTTCGTCGGACGAGCAATGGCCTGCAGCGAGCGACAGAGCGAGACGAGCGAGCGTCGCGGTCCGCAGTCGGGCGATGTAGCTCAGGAGCTAAACCGGTGCGGAGTGTCTGACAAGGTTGCGAACACGACGACGGAGGCGAGGACAGAACAGGTGCTGCGCCGCGCGGGACGATAACGATGCGGAGACAGCTTCACTGTCATGGAAAGGCGCAAATAATACGGCGCCGCAAAACAAACGTACCCGTTGAAGAAAACGGGTGTTGGTGGTTTCTTTTACACAACGTCGCGGAGGGCTGCTGCAGGGGCGCACGGAGCCTAGCGTGCCGCCCATCACCAATCAGGAAGCTGCATCTTCCGTCCCGAGTCAGGGTCCATCAAGCGATCTGGAGTGAATTCCCTGTCACGGGGATTTGCCATTCGCTATCTAATCGTGGAGCTATCGTGATGCCAGTCATAAGATTCGTCTCACCCGCCCTGGATCCTCATGCCCGCGAGCCGGGGAAGGCTCAAGATCAAGGCGAAACGCGTCAGAAACACGCCACACCAGCATGCTTGCTTCTGCAAATGAGCCTCGTGAACTCCTGCAAGCCCGTTGTCTGGCAAGCAACCGGGCCACCACTCATCTCGTCTTCCGTTGCTGAATTTCGTCCAATTCAGCAATCTCATCTAACAATTGAACCGTTTCTGCCGGATTCGCAATCCATGCCGTCGTGCAGGCCAGCCGTGCTTTGAAGTCATTCGCTCCAGCGGACAGAAACTGGTCGCCAATGTGCAATGTCTTTCCGCCTTCAATGCCGTCGAAAAAGCGTTGGCAGGCCAGCACCCCCCAGGATTTGTCACCGATGTCCACAAACACATCATTACCACCTAGGCCTTAAGTCAGCATGAAGGGTTACAGGGACGGTACTAATAGCGCCCCACCATTGAAGGCGCAGAAAGGCAAACGGCGCCCAACTTCGGACAATTCCTGCTTCAGTCAGCTATCTGTAGCTGGGTAAGTCGGAATTGACTTACCAATATCTTCTGGGTTATCAACACCGTCTCCTCGAGCGTCTCGCGGCAGAATTTATAGCCCGGTTTCGGTATGATGCCAACAGCCCTCTCTTTGCGGACTAGGATCGCTTCCATGCGCATGTTCTTGACCGTGTCCCTTAAGGATGCCTCCGCGATGTCAAGGAGCTCCGTAATGTCCGATTCTTCCCAAAGCACCATCTCCTTGAGCAGCCATTCCTGCCGTGGTACCAGTTTCAGCAGGTCTGGACTGTCCCCAGCGTACTTGAAGCAGAAGTTGCTCTCCCCTCCAAGTACTACGAGATTCTCCTTGGTAGAGTCCGGAAGAGCTGAAGTATAGATCGCGTCGAGCAGTCCGTAGAGTCTCTCGTAGTAACGACGCGCTTCTGTATAACCGGCGGCTGTCACGATTCCAATCTTGGAACCCGTACGCATGAGTCGCAAAATGCGCGGAATAACGGGGTTGTCTGGTGAGAGGGATTGACCATCGTCGTACAAGGTAACGTCTCCATCGAAGGTGACTAGCTCCAAAGGGCCGCTGCGGACGAGGCTCATGACCTGGGCGGTGTTGAGGACCAGTCTAATATCGTTGAATGACGGGGGTACGAAACGGCGATAACTGATGAACCGCCGTTGATCTTGCCAGATAAACGCATCGTGGAGAGCCAATGGTGTGAAGAAGTTGGCTACCGATGGGACCAGTAGTTTGAGCTTTGACCGATTCTGCGTGCCAGCTTTTTGATGAGCAACTGCGGGCAGTATTTTAGTTTCTGCTTTGAGATGTCGACCCTTGACACCTAATTCTGATAACCACAGCCAAAGCTTGGCCAAGAGGCTTTAGAGATGGGCTGACTTACTGTGATCGTTGACTATCTCTTCCACGTCCCTCATGATCTCAGCGTAGCGTCGTTGGGCTGTCATGGCCATGTGGTCCACGGACTCCACAGTAGGTTCCCATACGGCCGTGGGCTGTGAGTGCAAGACGAATGGAACCGCTAGAAGGCCCTGGTGGAGTTTTAGTCTTTGCCTCCCGCCTGTTTCTTATCCGTAGGGAGAAATATACCTTGATCCATTCAATCTTTAGAAGAAGTGAGCAAACTTATGTCACATTGCGGTTCCTGGGGTACATACCAGTTGGTCCCGACGATGGGTCTGATTCTCAGCAAGATTCGAGCTTTGGGGAGCGGAGGACGCACCTTGAGAGCATCTAAGGCACAGTTAGCGGAATATATTCTCTCCCGTAGGGAAGACGATGGGGAGATCAGGACGAGGCTAGGGCGGCTTTAACTTACATTCTACACGGTATCTGGTTGTCATGTTGAATTGATCGAGTAATGGAAAGGAAGCTGGATGCCACCAAGCTCGAGTGAGCTGTCAAGATGTCTGACCATGACACAGGGACACCGCGGCTAACCGAAGAGGGAAAGGGAAGGAGCACGTGGAGAGATGGCTTTTACTCGTGCGCAGAGTGCAATTGGATCGTGAAATGGCTGTCAATCGCACGTAATTGGCTTTCTGGACGATTGGTGAATGGCCCAATTCTTTCCCTGCGCGTGGACAGGATGTGAAAGTGCCTTGCAGGGGGTAGCTCTAATCGATAACGCGCCCACGCTAGCGGTCCGCGGCTTTGTCCCAGAAAATCAGCTGGGCAGCACCCACAACCGCGTCACCTGCCTCGCGCGACTGACCTCGAATATGTCCGGGGCCGAGACGATGGCAAGTGTGGCCCTGCGGCCGTGGCCGGCTTCGGCCAGAGACGCGCTGAGCAAAGAGGACCTCTACCAGCAAATAGCCCAGCTCACGACCGAACGTGGACACCTGCGGGGCATCACCGAGAAAGCTCTCCAGGATGAGATCGACGCTGGCAAGGAGCTCCCGGAAGATGTCATGGAGGCCGTGGAGCAGGAGAAGAAGGAGGAAGCTCCGACAGCCAGGGACAAGCTTGAGGAAATCCACCGCGTGCGGAACGAAATGGCAACGAAGCTAGAGTAAGTCACAGGCCGGATCTGCACATCCCATTCTATAGCTAACAGTATGGTAGATGGGCTACCTTCTCTGCTGCCAACGCGCTCGACCTCGTTGCGATCATCCTGTCCAAAGACCCCTCGAAAAATCTCGAGAGTGCGTACAGCCACAAATTCAAGCAACAAGGTGTTCCGCCCGGATCGTTTGGGCTCGACAAGACCGATCCTCCAGAACGACCTGCGGATCGACAGAGGCTCGCTGATACTGCGATGAGGCAGCAGCTTGTGATGAAGGGCTCGCGAATGGAGGCTCTTGACTGGGCAACAGACAACCTGCTCAAGGCGGCTACGAAGCTGGAGACTGAAGTCCGTAAAGAGACTAAGTACTGGGAGGAGACACTCTCAATATCTAAGAAGGGATGGTCTATACAGCGAACTCGGAAGGATGGGCGGCATGCTCCGTTCGCTGTGCGCTATGGACTCCCCGAAGGTAAGGCTCGTGGACTCCCTTCTACGGAATGGCGGTGCTAATGTTCCTATAGCCGGCAATCACTTCAAAGCCCGCGGCCTTGCCCCTCTGCGCATGGACAAAGACGGCAGCATCATCTTAGACCCAGCGCTTGCACTGAAGCCAAAGACTCTCCGCGTAAGGATTAGCGACAACGGGAAGATCACAGGGGCTTCGAACCTTCCTACACAAAGTGATGTCGATGAATCAGCCATTGAAAAGTCAATACAGCTTGCTCGGGATTCTCTGTTCGAAGAAGAGGTGTTCCACGAGATGTCCATGGAGACCCGCCAACTGCTCGCATACGGAGTCGAGCTGCGGAACTCGGTTATTCAACTTGCAGCCCCAGGCCCAAGCGATCGATCAAAGCATCGGAAGATTCTGATCGATTGTATAGCCCGCGATGATAACATTCCGCTCGGCCAGGACGGATCTCAGGATTGGTTGGCCCAGAATATCGCAGAGTTCCTGCGCCTTCTTCTGACTCACGAGCACCACATGCGACTGCATCGGAGATCGCAGATCCCTCCCCCTCTGACGCAGCACAAGCGGCAACAGTCAACTCCACCTCTTTTACGGACTTTGCTCAGCATCTCTAGCCACCTTGACGCCATCGACTCACTACATGCGTACCTGAATGTGGTCGCGAGAACTCTAAAAAGTGCCGGTCTGGAGTTAGCTTTAGAAGCTTCCCGCGAGACTTCTTGGGTTAAGTTGACAGACATCATCAAGGAATCCCATCGGAAGGACCTCTCCGCGATAGATCAGCTTTTGCAGACCTTCACCCGACCTTTTGAGGGCACTACTGCACTCTCGCTTCCTTCCTCAAATGGGGCACAATCAGAGCACATTACAGTATCTACGCGGACATATATCGGGCAACCCCATTTTGGCACAGAGCACAAGCTCACTCTACCGCCTTCCCTGATTTCGGTGCTGAACCTTTCCAACGACCAACAGCGCCAGTTTAAGATGTCATCCACCGAAGACGTGAAGTCGTACTTGGACTGGAACCTGTCCTTGGACATCTCTCATACCGTCCTCTCCAAGGAGTATCCTGGAAGGACTGTTATCAAGAGCAAGGATCCCCGGGTCTGCATCCTCTCCAACGGAAGCAAGAAAGGGTCACATAAAGAATATGCCGTATCCATCCAACTAGAGAACGGAATATTGAAGGCCACAGCTAGTAATAATATGCATCTGGTGACGGGGGCGATTGCGGAGTCGTTTGTCTGGAATGGCAGTCCGGGACACCCGTCTCTGAGGGAGAAGGTCAAGAGCTGGGTCGACCGGTATCCATGAATGTTCCAGCAGAGTACCCATATTTGAACCGCTGAGTTGATTCATGAGCAAGTCCAGGAAAGGAATGACAGCTCCTCAAATCAATTTTCCACGCGAAGCGCGTTCTCGATTTGAGGCCGTCACGCTTGGCTTAGTGATCCGATGCGTCCAGAGTGGTTCGGACCTGCATCCGCGGCACGCCACACCACGAGGTTGGCGATCATACCCCGGTTGTCAAAATGTCCGCAGCGGGGTAGCTTCCCTAAGCTCCCGACCGCTTTAGCTCAACCTCCGAATTGGACCAGACACTACCCGGATACAGTAATTCCCTGCTTGCTTCGCCATGGAGTGCTCATAATGACGTGAAGACTCCTCATTCTTGCAATAAGAGTACCAGGTACCATGGCGGTGGTTATTGACGTTGTCAACCAACCGGATTTAATGACAAAACGGAAACTTCTCTGCAGTTTTCCGATTTACCACGCGTCTGCTCTCTCCAGCCTCACTCATCATGGTTTTGGCGAAGAAATTTGGTCTCCTCGGCTTAGTGACGGCGTTCTCGAGCGCACAGCAACTCCGCTCCGATCCTGGCGTCGCGGGACCTCCTCTTGAAGTAGTTCATCTGTACAATGACCAGTGGCCGACAGGTACCCGCTCGTGGCTCCTTCCGTGCATTTGCGCTGATTGTATGTAGGAGTCACTGTGTCGAAGGATGGAAGGAAATTCTCGAACTATCCTCCTGGCCTTGACGCGAACAACACGAATGATGGCAGCAATGGGAAATACACGGTTGCGGAGTTAATAGGAAATAACACTGAGCGGCCCTATCCGAGTGCTCAAATCAACAATCCGCCTGGAGGCTCAATCAACTATTCCACTTCTCCCGCCTGTACGCTTTCCTTGATCTTCTCCGCAGGGAACAAGTTCCTACCCAATACGCACGATCCCCACTGAAAGCCATGCAAAACTAATCCCTCCCTCACAGCCGGCGCAAACTACCCGAACTACCTCATCGGCGTGCAATCTGTCGTCCTCGACCCCCTCGACCCCCTCGACCGCCTCTGGATCCTCGACACAGGCCGCGCCCTCACCCAAAACAGCACTCTCGTCCCCGCCTCCCCTGGCGGCCCCAAACTCCTCTGCGTCTCCCTCTCCACCGACTCCGTTATCCAGACCATCGTCTTCCCTCCCATGGTCGCATATCCAGACTCGTACCTCAACGACATCCGTTTTGATCTGCGGCCTGAAAATACGGCAAGCGGCGGCGGCGTGGCGTATATCACGGACAGTAGTTCAGAGGGCAGAAATGGGATTATTGTGGTCGATTTGGGCGCGGGCGTGAGCTGGAGGCATTTGAACGGCATAACGGAGGTTAGGGCCGAGAGGAGCTTTGTGCCGTATGTTTGGGGCACACCACTATACTACATCCCCGGGTCCGGTCTCCCACTCACTACTGTACCCCTCGGCTCCGACGGCATTCCCATATCCGCAGATGGAAATGAGCTTTTCTGGGGTCCCGTGGGCGGCCGATACCTTTACTCCATCCCGACTGAACGCCTTCGCCATCAGAGTCTGAACTCGGAGCTGCTGGCGCAGGCGGCGGTGCAAAATCGCGGTCAAAGAGGCGTGAGTGATGGGTTTGAGACGGACACAAATGGCTTTATCTACGCGGGGAATATGGAGCAGAACGGCATCTCGTTTTACAACCCCGCCAATGCTTCTACGACCCTCTTCGTTCGCGATCCGAGGATCAACTGGGTCGATACTAGTAAGTCTCCCTCCCCCTTGCGAAGTGTGAGGAACAGTCAGTGTTGACGGACGGGAATTAGTGTCCGTGGGGAGTGATGGATATCTGTACTTCACAGTCAACCAGTTGTGCTTTACGCCAGGGTTCTATCCGGGCACGGATAGGAGGGAGAGACCTTTCGTGCTGTTTCGAGCAAAGCTTCCCGGGAACGGGACGAGAGTGTCGCTGCAATAGGCTGGATTTTACTTCCGGTATACAACAGAAAACACAGACAATCTGGAACGAATAAAAAGCGGTCGAAGAAGAGAGAGGGTGCTTCCCTCCTCCCCATCATATAGTCTATCTACAAACCATGGTATCTTACCCGAGCAGATCAAAGCTCACGTCTTCCCAAAAACAAACACCCCTTTGCCTTCCCGATATCCCTCCAGCGTGTCCTTCACCTTCGCAATCAACTCCTCCCCCTTCGTCTCCCACTCCCACTTGATCTCATCCACCGGAGTATCCTTGAATTGCCCCGTGCGCGTGAGGTCCAGCACATCCGCCACCGTCTTCTTCTTCTCCTCCGGGTTCTGCGCCGCCCATCTGCTGACCCAGAAGCCGTGGAAGTGTATGTTCTTGAAGATCAGCATCGACGCGGGGATAGTGAGCGGTTGCTTCGACATAGCGCCATAGGTGACGAAATGCGCATCGCTCGCGAGCAGCTTGGCCATCGCAGTCGCAGGCTTCCCGTTTACGCAGTTCAGCGCCAGCCGGATGGGTTCGCGGCCACCATTCGTCCACTCCTTCGCCATATCTTTTATGCCTTGTGACTGCAGCTCCGCATCCGTAACCACGACATCGGCCCCAATACTCCTCAACTCCTCCTTCAACTTCCCTTCCGCCGCCTTATCCTCCCTGCCCCGAATAACATTCACGCTCTTATACCCCCAGCGCCGGCCCAACTGTATCGCCGCGCGACCCACGCCGCTATTCGCCCCGTTCTGAATGAACCACTCGCCCTCCTTCAGCTCCGTGAAGTCGCGCAGCATGCGGTACGCCGTGCACGGATTGATACTCACGGTCCCCGCCTGCACCACACTGATGCCCTCGCGCATCTCCTCCTCCAGCTTGACAACCTGCTCGCCCGTCGCGCTCGCATGCGTGCGCCACGTGCCGAAGCCCGGCGCCTTCATGAGCACCCAATCGTCCTTTTTAAACCCCTCGCCCCGCGCCTTGTCCCCCAGAGCAATGATCTCCGCGACGCCCTCGTTCCCCGCGACGGCGATGGGATGCGCGGTGCCCAGCGCGGTGGTGAACGTCGGTTTCGACGGGTACACGCCCTGGATCTGGTTGATGTCTGCGGGGTTGATGGGCGAGGCGAGGAAGCGCAGCGTCATGAGGGAGCCGTGGGGCGGGGCGATGGAGTGGCTGTGCAGGGAGAGGACGGCGGGGGGTTCGCCATAGGATGAGAATGCGAGCGCTTTGGCTTGCTCGTAGCCGTAGGCGGAGATGCAGCGGCGTTGTTGGTGGGGAGCGAGGGGGGATTGTATGGGTCGGGGGCGGTGGAGGCATTGGAGAGTTTTTGGCCTTGATGCGCTTGAGAGGCGGGGAGCTGGAGAGAGGAGTTTTGTTGCCATTGTGGGTGATTTGGGTGTTTGGACGGCTGATGTGTTGGATTATCGACGGTATCAGGTCAGGTAGGAAAGTTCGTGAGCTTTGGGAGCTATGACGTTTACAGCCGAGGTTGGTGGGGACGTCAGTATGAAGTCTGACACGAGAAGTTTCCTGTGCATCTTACTTGCGGGAAGAATTGAGAGCATACAAGATTTTATGGATGCATAAATGCACATCAAGTCATACCATCGGAGAGATCTCATGCTTGGAAATGCTACCCTGAGCGATCTACTCTTGACCTGCTATGCTATCGGTGCCCCTAATCCTCGCATGCTGTACATTTCTTTATCACTCATGATTCCATCGAAGCATCCATGGCCACACGCTTCTTGTCGGGCAAACTACGTTGGATTCCCTTATAGTCTGCACTGTCGTGGTGACGCAGCCTACTCCGCCATCCTTATCGGAGTGCCCTGCTTGGGCTTGCCGGCCGGCGTCTCGATTCCCGGCCTTACGTTTGGCGACCCTGGCCGTCCGCTTAGAATATCCACAATCTCCTTGAGGTTCATCCAGAACTCATGCTTTGGCCGGCGACGGTGCCAGTCCGTCTCCTATTCCAGTGTTAGCTTACGCGCGTAGATGGCTGTGTTTGAGGACGAGAGCATACCTTCTTCTCGATGGTCTCCATGGGCGAGAACAAGACTTTAGCGCCCTTGATACCGATTACAGACGTGCTCATGGGATCGTCCTCGATTTCGTCGCGCGATTTGCCGGCGAAGGATTCGAGGTGCTCCATCGAGCGGAAGGCGAAACGGACGGCGCGGACGCGGTCCATCGGAGAAGGCTAGTTGTACAGGATCAGATTCGTTGTCCAAAAACATCTGATTTTCACTTACTGTCGTGCCCTGCTGGAAATGGCCCGGAACACCATGTCGGGACTCAAACTTGCCCTTGCCAGCCTCGGCGATCATATCTGCGATGATCTGCACGCTGTATGTCTTTGATGCCTTCTCGTTGACGAGGATGATCTTTCCGGCACGGTTTTGGCCCTTGTCTAGAAGGAAGACATCGCGGAGGTGGTCGATGTCGTGGTCTAGCATCTTAAGGCTGATACCATCTTCCGGTGTGTAGACGGCAAGGGCGCCAATGGACAATCCGGCGATCGTAGCGATATAGCCAGACTCTCCGCCCTGGGTCTCGATAACAAAGACTCTCCTCCTGGAAGCCGAAGCGGACTGTCGGCAGGCGTCACAGTATTGGATCAGCGCGTTCAAGCACGTATCGGATCCGATGGAGTACTCAGTTCCTGGGACATTGTTCGAGATGGTTGCCGGGAGGATAACCTAAAACAAGTCAGCGAAAGGACGCTCCCAAACTCAGCTACAGATGTGCCTACCATGGGAATTTTGAAAGCCTTGTAATGCTCGCGTCCCCTGCGCAGTTCACTAACTGCTGTGAACGCCTCGAAACCTCCGACCACGAAGAGGGCCTGGATGCTGTACTTCTTGAAGACGAAGGCTACTGTCTCGAGATCCTCGCTTGGAAGACCACGGTTCGTACCGATTTCTGAACCACCCTTGTTGGCCCAGCCTTCAGCGTCGATCCACTTAATCTCTCGCACCGCTCCGAGGGGCTCGTCGGAGTGGTGTCGGATGAGACCGGGGAAACCGTTGTGGAGTGCGATCGGAGTATGTCCTCTCGCCAAGCAATAGGCAACGGCAGCACGCGTCGCAGCGTTCATACCGCCTAGAATATATATATTAGCTTTAAAACCTCGAGAAAAGCTAGATATACCTACCGGCCGGCGCTCCTACGTGGATAATTCCGATCCGCATTCGCTCTTTCTCGGGCAGCAGGAGCTCAGGCTGATCCGCCGCTGTGGTGATCTGATATGACCTGAAGTATTCAGCGAACTCTGCATCTCGCAGGCGCATAGCCTTGTCAAAGTCCTTGTCTTCGATTGCTTTGGCAACCTCCTTCGTCTGTGCAACTGCTTCAAGGAGCGGTCGGCGCACGATTTTGTTCTCGATCATACAGATAACTGGTGAGGGCGTCTCGGGAGTCGCTTCCAGAACGGCCTTGACGGCCTCGACACCTTGAAGCGTGGACAGCATCCTGTCATACGCCGCAGGCTGCCCTCCTCTCTGTACGTGCCCAAGCGTTGTGATCCTCGTATCCAAACCTGCGCCCGAAAGGATGTCTTTGATCTGTTGAGGGGTAACCTTGTTGAGCTCGGTGTCGATGGCACCCTCAGCGACGATGACGATGGTTTTCCGCTTGCCCATGGCGCGATGCTTCTTGACGATAGTGAGCATGTTCTCTTGCCACCCTGGTTCGGCGGGCTTCTCTGGGATGAAGATGAAGTCGCTTCCGGTTGCTACGCCAGCCATGAGCGTGAGCCAACCGCAGTGCCTTCCCATGGTCTCCACGACGAAAGCACGCTGGTGGCTCGTAGCGGTGGTGTCCACGGAGTCAATGGCTTCGCAAATTCTGGCGAGAGAGCTGTAGCATCCGATGGTGGCGTCTGTCATGCTGAGGTCGTTGTCTATGGAGCCGACGAGTCCGACAATGTTTAGGTGCTTGAACGGGGCCACCTGCTCGGGTTTGAGCTCCTTCTTCTCTACCAGCTCTTCCAGCAGGCTCGGCCACTCTGCTCTAAACTTGTCTGCTCCGGTCAAACTGCCGTCACCACCGCAAATGACTAGAGCATCTATGCCCTTCAGAATCATGTTCTTGGCTGCGGTCCTCCGTCCGTCGCGCTCCATGAACTCCTTGCAGCGCGCCGTGCCGATGAGCGTGCCGCCCTCGGAAAGAAAGCCTCGAACATCTTCCCACTTCATCTCCTTGATCATGTCTCCGCCCTTGACCAGGCCGTCGTAGCCTTCGTAGATTGCGTAGGCCTCGCAATTGTTGTGGATGGCCATGCGGACCACGGCCCGTACGCTGCCGTTCATGCCTGGGGCGTCTCCTCCGGAAGTCATGACTCCAATTCTGCGCTTCTTGCCCTCGAGGGGCGGTGGAACACTCGTCGGCGCCATGTCGGGGTGGTGTGATGAAAGGAACGTAAGGCGTGGGAGAAGAGGTGGAGGAGTGGTGGAGGGGTAGGAGGAGGGTTTCGGTCTTGCTATGAGATAATCGGATCTAGGAGCTAGATAAGAGTGAAGGGCGCGTGAGTGAGGTGTACAGTGAGGGCGTAGAAGCGGGCGCCTGGGAGTGTTGGGAAGCTTCGCCTGCAGCGGGACCTGGGCTGTGTACCAAGCTCGCTCTTTACGGGAGGGTCAGGCGGGGGTGCAATTGATACTGCCACGACAAAGCTCGAGGCTGGAACTGGCTTCGTATATAGGGCGGCCGCAAGATAAGATTTGCTTCGTCTGGCGGGCGAGCGTGCAGGTGCACCATGACGTGGGGTCCTTGGAAAAAGAAAGCGACGGAGCTCCCCCGGTCAGCGTCGGGCAAGGCGGGGCACACACATGGAAGCGCGGGCGGGTGAGCGGCCATTCTCTGCTGCCTCGGCGACACTTGCGCACAAATCTTCTGGCCGCTCTGCCTTGTCGGAGGAGCTTCAGTCTCGCCGGCTCTTCCCCATGTCTTAGCACCGAACTACATGCGGCCGTCGCGACGGGTCCAGTGCGGTTCGGCGGTGGGCGGCTCCAGGGCTACCCCACGTTGGCAGCCTGCGGTTTTTCTCCATCGTCTTGCTCCATATGAGATGCCTAACGTATCTCCAGGGCTTGCTCGCAGCGCCGGCCAGGCGGATCGACCCATGGATGCCCCAAGCCCCGAGCATCTCGAGGTGGGCGAAGCAATTCGCAATTCGGATGCCATTCCCATGGTCCCGCCCCGCCCAGCGGTCAACAGAATTTTTCTTCACGTCAGCCATCCCGGCCAGCGCAAAATGCACTCAATCAATCACCGACACTGTCAAGCTCGCTACGAGTAGCACTCTAGGGACGAACGTGCATCCGCCCTGTCTTTTTCCTTTCGCGGGCCAAGTCACCTCTCTCAGCACCTCCAGGACGCGACGTCGGCACGTGAGAGCGTTCCCGAGAAGTTCTTGGCGGCTACCTTGGGTCCTCCGAGTCCTCTTCACGCCTCCACAATAGCTCGACAATAGCCCCGGCTTCACATCCACTTTCTGGCCTTCAATTGCACACGTCGTCTCGCTCAGTTTCCTCTATTACTACTTGCATCTCCTTTGTGCCACGCTTGCTATACTCTTTCATTTGCTTCTGCCATATTCCTATGGCTGCCGCAGCCAAACTTCCACAGCCAGACGCAGGCGCAGGCTGGGACGAAGCACAATGCATAGCAGCCCTCGCGCAGCTTGAGCGACTCAAAACCCAGGTACACACGCCGGATCACATTCCCGCAGCCTTGCTGACAGATCTCCCAGCTCGATGATCTCCGTCTTGCCATTCCTCGCGTCGTCGAACCCTTCTATTCACCTCCCACGCCAGCAATGTTTCGCGCCTTTAAGCAAGGAGTGATCGGGTCACAGAACGAAATCAAGAGCTTTCGTAATCAGTGGCATGACCAGGACACTCAAGCGATATTCGACCATGCCAGGAAAAGCATGGGCCAAAACCCGGACCTGAGTGCCAGCGCTCAAGTGCAGCAATATGGCTGGATAGAGAAGGAGTCGAGAGAAAAAGAGGCCGCGTTACTACGAAAAGATGGTGCGCAAGAGGCGGAAGAAGCCCAGGTTGCCCTCACCCAAGAAGACATATCCCGCATCCTCGACGACTTCCACAAGACTTACCCCAATCTCAACCTCACCACAGAGAACGGCAATCACAATATCATGGTACGTGCCGCATGTCATCTGCTATACGATCCGCTTATAGTATTCAGATACAATTTGTCTCCACATCCGCATCCGCAGCCTCCAGGCTCAGATTCCGCGTCATCATCGAACAAAAAGCAAACGGCCAGCACAAACTGAATGCGGAATGTTTGGGCACAGCAGACCCTTCCCCAGCTATCACTAGGTGCATTGCGTCACGGCCACAGGCAAACGACTTGAAGTATCTGTTGGTATGTTCAACTGTCCATGGCTATTGTACAGTAACGGTTGGATATTGACGCCTCCCAGGATATGATCGCTGCGTACAAGACAGTCAAAGGAACATCTTGCGCAAAATGTAAGAAAATGTTCGATAATGAGATGATAGCTCCGGCGGCGAGGCGCAGCAAGCAGGTGACGGACGCAAATGAAACCTCGGAGACCGTTTGGGAAGCTTTCCACGAAGGCTGCCTCGATTGAGATACCGTACGGTTGGTGATAGCCGGAAGCGCATGTGCATGTCTCCCTTCAGAAGGTATCTTGGTACCAGTTTCCTCGCATATCCCTGACGGCATCCGGAAATACACCGTCGTTGGAGCCTTGGTATATGGCATCCGTACACATCCACCAGTGCGGTTTGCGATACTGCCGCGTCCAATGATCGTACTTCTTCCTGGAGTCGCGTCCACCCAACAATCCGCTCTCCACCCATGGCAGCCGGTACTTCAGGGCGCCGTCAGGGCCACGATCATCAAGCGCAGTGTGCTTGGCCCATCGCGCCCTCCGCTGGCGATTGTGCATATAGTCCCGCTTGTCTGCACTGATCGTAACGTGGATATCCGGACCGGTTCCCCGAAGGATGTCCTTCATACGACCCCACTTGCTCCCATTCCTGCCGTCCTTCGGCCAGATGAAATGGTACTTTGGCTTCTTGACGGTCCGTGGAAGGCCGTTTTGAAACCACCCGTTGTGCTGGAATGCGCCGCCATAGACATACTCAGCAGGCCGCTGTCTCCAAGGATGAGGGGTGTCCAGGTATATCGGGAGGTGGGCCATGATGAATAGCCGGGTTCGAATGTTCGAATTGTGCGCCGCTTGGGAGGATGGGTTCGTTTTGGATGGTAAGAGGAGTCCCGACCGTACTCATGTTTTATGCTCGGATCTCTTGGTTTGCTAGATGTAGCTGGACGGTGGACGTTCGAATGGATTTGCTTGCGAACGTAGGTCAGCAGCACACTATTTGCGCAAATTTGCTGCCACGAATGTCTTAGCCCCACTCTTACTGGCAATTTGACCCGTTCAAGAGTATACGCAATTGCTCAAGCTCAAACGGAATTACCGCCTTCACTGTGACGACCACGCTGTGTGCCTGACTAGCCGCGCGGATAAGCTTGTGGTGGTCCGTGCGCGAGCTCCCAGAACGCGCTCTCCGTTTTTGTTTTCTACTGCGCAGCGCAATCAACACCGCCAGCGCAACGCACAACGCCCAAATGTCGCTCTTCGCCAATCTCGGAACCGGCCAGCCCGCTTCTAGCGGCGCATCGACCTCGGGCACGCCAGCCTTCAAGCCGCTGTTTGGCGGAACTACCACCACGTCCTCCGGCACCTCGCCCAGCTTGTTTTCCGGCCTTGGGGCCTCCACCGGCGCGCCGTCTGGCACATCGCAACCCACGCCTTCAGGCGGATTGGGAGGAAGTTTGTTTGGCAATCTGGGCGGAGCAAAGACGGCAGCGCCCGCGCCGGCATCCACATCTGCTTTCTCTCTAGGCGGCGCGACCTCCCAGCCGCAATCCACTGGCTTTGGCGGCCTGTTCTCGAAACCGGCTGGTCAGCAGCCGCAGCAATCGACGACGACAAATCCACTATCCAACCCACAACAAACCAGCGGATTCGGGCCGTCCTCGTTTTTGGGTGGTGCCTCGACACAACAGCAACAACCGCAAGCTGGTGGCCCTCTGTCGCAGTCGCAGGCAGCCGCGGGCCGATCAGCGCACTTCGATCATCTGCTTGAGCGGGGCCGCAAACGCAATGCTGGCGAGAATGGGCTCAGCAACTTCGAGGAATTGCCTGCTCTGCAGCTTGGGCTGGGCGACATTGCGCGCAAGGTGCGCAATCTGGGTGCTGGCGGTCCTTCGGCGGACCAGGCGCAAGATCGTGCTGCGTAGGTTGTTTTCACGCGCGCCATGCCGTCGTGTACTGATTGCCTCTAGGCACTATCTGCTATCCGCCTCTGGCGTGAAGATGGGCAGCACCCTCCGTGATCTCAATCAGTTCTCTACGCAAGCGGGCCTGAGCACCACCGGTTCAGCAGCCAATGTTCTAGATACGGACGTTGACAGCTACATCTCGAACCTCCACTCGCAATCCACCTTAGCTCTGATCCAGGAAGGCTTGGAGCAGTCTAAGCGCGACTTCGATGCCTTCCTGGAGGACAATGTCCAGATCGAATGGGATAAACAGCGGCAAAGGATATACGAGCACTTCGGCCTCGGCAGGCAGAGCGAAGAGATGGCAGCTTCGCAGAGCACGTTTGGTAGCACAACCGCTCGCGGGGCGTTTGGGAGGTCCACACGCAAAGGCCGCTCGACTGGTGCAAAGGGTGCATCGGTGAACGGCGGATCGTTTGCCGCCTCTGCTGGGCCGCCCGTCATTGGGTCCGTCATGTCGCCATACCAAAAGAGAGGGCTCAATGGTGACTCTCCGGACAAGTCTATGCTTGCTGGGCAAACCGGTCCCGGCGATCGTCACACACGCGACAAACAGGAAAAGTTCATGGAGACTGTCAAGAAGCTTAATGAGACTAGGCTTCAAGAACGCCCCTTTCCCGTCCTCCATGAGTTCGCCGCGGTGGAGAAGGTTGCACGTGGAGAGAATTCGGATTACTTCATCAATGCGTACAGAGCGCTAGCCTCTATCACGGGTGAGAAGGAGGAATCAGATACTCCAGGGATCGACAACCCCAAGGAACGTTGCTTCGCCGCCGAGTACCTGGATGAACAACCGAATTCGGTCAGGAGCGTGCGGATGCGCAAACGCATTCTTGACGGCTCCCGCCAATTTTTGGAGAAGAAGTTTATGGATAACGTTCAAGAGGTGCTGGAGAAGAATGCACAGGACGCCAGGCCTGGCGGCGAGCCATCCAGAATAAATAAGATCCGAGGATTTGTCAGGGCCAAGATAGCACAGAAAGAGCTGGGAGCAGAGATAGAGCATCTGCAGAAGATTGGTGGCGACGGCGATGAATTCCCTTGGGTCATCATGTTCTACCTCCTGCGTGCCGGCCTGACGCAAGAAGCCTCGGACTACGTGCGAGAGAAGAGAAACTTCTTCCAGAACAACGACAGGAATTTTCAGGCCGCAGTATCGTACTATGCCACCGATCCAGATCGCCGGTTGAGCCCTGAATTGCAACAAAAGATCAATCATGTACATGCACAGCGTGCTCGGATAGCGCCAACGAACGACCCTTACCGCATGGCCTGCTACAAGATCATCGGCCGTTGTGAGATGAGCCGCCGGAATCTTGACACAATAAAAGAGAGCATGGACGATTGGGTATGGCTGCAGTTCAACCTGGCTCGAGAAGGGAACCGTGCCGAGGAGAATGCTGGCGAAATCTTCGGACTGGACGAGATACGCGCGACCATCAGTGAAATAGGCCAGCGCCATTTCATGAATGATGATGCTGAATCCGCAGGTGGATATGGAGTTTATTTCTACCTTGCTACGCTTGCTGGTATGTTTGAGCAGGCAGTCAATTTCCTCTACCAGAACCACTATGTCTCGGCGGTGCATTTCGCGATTGCCCTGGACTACTACGGACTGTTGCGGGTATCGGATTGGAACACCGCGGGCATGGAGATTCTCACCTACACGACGCGGCAACAGCCACAGCTCAACTTTGGAAGAGTGGTTGGCTTCTATACTGGCGACTTCCGGGCAGCTCGAGCCGACGCCGCGGCAGAGTATCTCATCCTGATCTGCTTGAATGCGGATCTACCTGGTGAAGCGGGCAAGCAACAAGCGGAACTTTCTCACGAAGCCCTCCGCGAGCTCGTTCTCGAGACACGGGAGTTCTCAACGCTACTAGGTGACGTCAAGTCTAATGGACAGACTACATCAGGTCTTATCCAGGAGCGCGTACCGTTGATCAAGCTGATCGGCGAGACTGCTCTGGTGAACGCTATCACACGCGAGGCAGCGAGGATGGCGGACGACAACGGACGCACCAACGACGCTGTTCTACTGAACCATCTTGCAGGAGAATACGACAGCGTCGTGTCGATCCTCAATCGTGCCCTGTCCGAGGCTCTCTCTGTTGAGCTCGGTCAGGAGCCGCTACGGCTCGAGCCACTAAAACCCCGATTAGCGACCGTGCAGCCGCAACAAACCCAGGATCTAACGTCTAGCCTTAGTATGCTCGGGACCGATGACCCGGTCGAGCTGGCGCACAAAGTCATCGTGCTGTACGATGCAAACAGCTTGTGGTGGAGAAAAGTCTCGCAAACGAATCGCGAATCACTTGGTATCTTGTACTCCCTCAACACGGCAAAGAAAGTCATCGAAGCCCGCTCCTACATGGAAGCCCTTGGTGTAAGTCCCATCCCTTTCCCATCGTTTTGTCATCATCAGTTCGCTAACATTCCATCTTTGTAGCAAATCGAGTCCCTCCGCATCTTGCCTTTAACTTCCGGCGGCAACCTCTCCGACATCCGCGCCCACGCCAATTCTTTCTCCACCTACCCGCCCGAAATCGCGCGCAACATCGGCAACGTGCTGCTCTGGTGCATCGGCTGCTGTAGCCGCCACCGCGAAGTGCTACTAAGCGGGCAGTACGAAGATCCAACGAGGAGGAGCTTAGCAGATCAGCTGCTTCAGAAGGCGAAGGATCTCATGGTCTTTGCGGGCTTGATTCGGTACAAGCTGCCGCCGAGGGTGTTCGAGACGCTTGCGCGGGAGGGACAGGAGGTTGGCGCTTATTAGCAAAGCAGGGAAGGGTGATAGGGTGAGGAAAATGAGGGGACGAGGAAGATGAGATGTTTGGGGGTATGATATGTGAGATTTGGTTTTGGACGATGCGTTGGAGTGCGCAATTCTGCCATAGAGCATCGTTCCCCGACATTCTTGCGTAGAATATATATCCTTTGGGCACTGCTGCACCAGAGAAGCGGTGGCCCTGAAAAAGAAACGAAGAGTATCAGTTTCGAAGCGTGTATTCCGATGCCTTTGTTGGTGAATATAGATAGAGCCTTTGATCGGGGGATTGAAGATTGCTTAGGAATGGATACGATGATAGGGGTAGGTTGTCAACGACGATCCCGGCTCATGCAGTGAATAATGGGATACCATTAGCAGATAAGATTCATCAGATGTTGCAGCAACGTTGCTTCTCAATACATCTTCCTAAAGGACGTGCTGAATGGAGTGGGTGGGTTGTAGAAAGGAACGGAGAATGAAGAGGGAAGGGAAATATTAGGTATATGAGTAAGCAAGACATTACATTAGTGTGAAGGAAACTACGGTACTACTACTGAGAACTAGTCCAACGCTGGACCCTGAGGGGGTATCGAACCACATACTCCATTACGACAACGCATAACCCATCCACGCACCCACCAACTCACTTTTTTTTCCGAGATGCCTATAGTAGTTGTTAGTTGGCTCAGCGGTTGCAAGTTGCACCGAGGCGAGAGCAAAGGGAAGGAGGGGGGAATGGGGGGAAGACACACCAAATTACACCCACCCGAAAACGCCATGTAGACCTAAATATCCGACTAGGCTTGGGTCCCGTTCACCGCCTGATGGATCCTGAGCATCCTCCTCTTCCAGAATGAGTCCTCCTCGGACGACGGCGAAGCGCAGGCACCATGCACCTGGCATTTGTACTCCTCTCGAGAAGTATACGGCCAGTAGCCGGGGCACTGCGGCGTGTTGTCGGGGAAGGAATCAGGCCAGAGGTATGGTTGGGTCGTCGAGTAGCAGAGGCAATCCGGATCGTAGCAGATAGTCCCGGACGGGTAGTCGGGAGGTGGCGGATAGGTTGGCGGCTGCTGGAACATTGGGGGCTGCGGGAGCGCTGGCAGTGCTGGTGTTGGTGGTGGCGGCGGCGGCGGCGGCGGCGGCGGCGACGGCGACGGCGACGGAGGCAGAGGAGGGTAAAGAGGGATCCAGGGCTGAAGTTCGTCATCGTCAACGACGTGGGTCTTCGGGGCAGCGAGATGGGTGCAGGTCTCAAAGAGGATGTCGTGCCCGATGTCGCAGCGAAACGAAGGCTCGTTGTGCCAGCTCCCATGATCCAGATACGTTCTCTCGCATCCCAGACCCGGCAAGCACTGAGCAACAGGGCAAAAAGCCGGATCCGCACCAGGGACCCACATCTTGACTCCGCCCTGGGAGAATGGGCAGTAGTCTGGGCTGTCGGGCGGGGCTGCCTTGTTGCAGTCGATGGCGCTGAAGTCGTACCAGATGCTATGGGTGGCGGGCTCGAACTTGTACTCTGCCTGGAGGATACCAGCGGGGGCGACGGCGTAGCGGGGGACGTCGCGCATCTTGAGGCTGATGCCACCGCCGGTGCCTGTGGTGTCGATCATGCCGTGGATGACGCTACCGTGATTGCCGGGGACGATGATGTGCTGTTCGTCGAGGACATGCCAGCCGGGGCCGACGACCCAGAAGAAGAGATCGTAGGGGCAGTGGTTCACGATCTTGACGGTGTTGGCGGCACGGGCAATGCCTGCGAAGAGGCATGCAAGGAGGCATGCCGCAGTGACGAACCAGCGCATAACGCCGATTGGGAAAGTGAATTAGTGAAAAATTAAGAGAAGGGGAGTGAATGCTGGTGTTTTCAAACCGAAGTAGGAAGTCTAGGTCATGTGAAGCCCCTGAGTACGGGAGCATGAAGTTCAAACGAATGCGGCGAGACCTGGGGCCATGCGAGCAAGAGAGCCACCAGGCGTTTATAGACCTCCATGAGCCTCTCCCACTGCGCAACACAGCATCGCTATGCTATTGGGTGTGCCGGAGGGAAGCCATGGGTACAGATAATTGGAATCGGTCCTCAAATTGCAATTAGTAGTGTCGAACCCATCGTCGAAGCCCAGCGTGGGCGATGTGTGCAAACGAACACACAGGAATAGATTACCGCAGTCAATTAGGTGTTGGGTATACTCGCGGTGCTCGGGACGGAGAACCGCTCGCAGTCACGAAAGCCAACCAAGCCTGAGCGGTCCTGATTCGCTAACAATCAACAGGCGGCAGCAAGAATCATGGCAATTGACGAAGCTAGACGTACTGTGCTATCATGTTTTAGCTGATACCCGAATGATTGCCTGGACAACGAGGTCATTGACGTACCGATGGGTGAGGTGGGAGTCGAACTGGAAGTTAGCTAAGCGTGCATTAGCTAGGTAAACTCCCGCCCTGATATCGGCTCTAGGTTCTCAACAGTGCAGTAGAACACGATTGCGTCGAACAGTGGTAGCGATATGGATAAGGAGCTCGAAGTATGGTGCTGAATCGGAGTCGCCGGTGCATACGAACATGTCGCCATCTTGGCCCCGGAAAGCCTCTCGCTTGTTTGCAGCGCTGTACTCCGGATCAGCCACTGAGCTGTTGTCGGGGAAAGGGAGGCGCCGACCGAGAAGAGCACTTACCAAGGTACGCTCATACTACCCGCGGTTCATGGTCACATACGCCGAGGATGGATGTTCAACGTTTGGGCTTCTTCTTCGTGGTAAGGGTCGGCAGGCAGCGATTATGCGCTTCATGCAGGGGACGGAAGTCGCAATCAGAAAACTCCGGTAAAGGGGGAAGCCGCGCCTCAGAGGCACTACGCACCCGTGGACCTGCGTAGGGCTCGAGTTAGTGCAGATTTCTGCTGAAGGCTTCCACCTGGGCAGTCAGATCAACCCCGAGGCATGCATGGCGAAACAGATTATCGCCCGAAGGCAATTTTTTGATTTTCTGTTTGAGGTCTTAACGTCAAAAAGTAAATCTATCAGTGGCAGTCAGCCTAGGGGTATAAAGAAGCTCAGCTCGTGACTTAGACCGCCAACGCCACCCATGCAACCCGCTAGAAAGGTGTATAAACGCATGACCCGGTAATGCAAATTATCCCAAAACCCGACCATCATTGACGGTTCTTTCACTCTTCGTTCAGCCTTGGTACACTCGCCAGACCACGCCACGCAATTCCGCTGTGGCTCTAAGCAGGCGGGATTCTGCTCATGTCTCCGCCCCTCTCCAGCCACTTCGGATCGATGATCTTATTGAGAGCTTGATGGATAAGCTTGTAGGCGGTGCGGATGGTGCCATCGCTGACATCGACGGCGGCACCAATCTCTTTAGGCGTCTTCGGCTGGCCCTACGGTGTGGTGTAATTAGCATGTGTCTCCTTTAGTATTCGTACCGCGGCGTTGGCTTACCATGAGGTGAGCGACCAAGAAAATGCATGCGCCAGTGATGGAGAGCGGAGAGCGACCGGCGGCAACACCCAAATCGGTAACCTTCGTTGCACATTCTTGAGCAATCAATCCCGCCGTATTGTCCAGTCCGAGCTTGCTGCAGGCTCGAATGATCAGTTCAGCAGCGCTAGTGGCCTTGGTGGCTTTGAAGGAGCTGTTGCTGAGCACGGCGCCGCTACCAGCCACCTTGGGGCCACTAGCCTCCTTCTTGAGCACCGTGTGCAAATAACCCTCAAGAACTTTGAATGTGCGTCCAATCTCCTTTTTCGAAACTTTGGTCAACTTGTAGATCTCGCGGAACGAGCGGCCCATGTCCTAAAGTGTCAGTACGGTTAGCATATGTCTTTGAATGGTATTTGTAGGCGTAACTGGCGGCTTACATGCTGCCGACAGGCAATGAAGATGCAGCCTGCGATGACGGCGTCTTGCGACTTGCCCTTGAAGATCTTGCCGTCGTCGGTAATCTTGTAGAGCAACTTAGCTGTCTCGGCCACCGGCTTCGGAATCTGAAAGGACTCGCATAACGCCGATATTTGACCATACGCAGCTTGGAGCGACTTGTTGGTCTTGTCGTGGTTGGACTTATTCTGGGCACGCGACAATTCCCGCGTTCGAGCGCTCGCATCACCAAAGGCGATCTCTGTCTGTAGCTGGGACCCGTGCAGCAAGGGATTCGCAGCGTCTCCGACACGGGAGGGGTCATCGTTGCCCTGGTCGTCGTTGGAGAAAGTCCGCCACTCGGATCGATAGTCGAGGTTTCGTTCGGAGAGTACACGCCCGCAGCTTCCACAGATCGTATCTGCATTGTTCTTAGCATCACGCTCTCTCAGTGCAGCTCGGCATAAATACCGCCAACTGAAAAGTTCTCTACAAGGTTCGGCGGATTTTCTCTGCAATCGGCTGAGAAGTTAGTTAGCAAACGTATCAGATCAGGCCTCCGCGCCCTGAACAGACGTACGGCATATGAGAATCACCTAACATGGCGGTATGATTAGCATTTGTCTCCGTTTGGAATTTGTACCACGAAGACGGCTCGGCTCACATTGAGGTCTTCCTGCCATTCTTGCGGTGCTGCGACTGCGGGCGCGTCCTCATACACCTCGCCCGGGCTCAGCAGACGTCCGTCCGGAGCGTATGACATTTTGCACTTGTGGATATCACGTATATGGAGATAGTGGGTATGCGGACTCGTTGGGAGGCTGCGGGCAGTCCGTTGGGGACAGCGCTTTCAGGCAGACGGGACGGAGCTGCGCCGGGTCGACTTCTTAGACCTTTCGGCAGGGCGCCGTCGACGACTGGAGAGATCGCGAATTGTCTATTGCTATCAACGAGCGGATACCGGTGCCTGCGGGAGGTGTCGCAGGTGGTGGTAGTGAGATGGTCTGCGAGAGGCAAAAAGAGGTTGTCCGGCCTTTGAAGAGCGCCTGGGGCTGAGCTAAGCGCCAAGCCCATGTTCCACGCTAGCCACTTTGAGACGTTGCGGTTGGGACGTTGCGGCTCACCTGCAGCAGCTTTTCTTCACCCTCTCCAACAGCTCCTCCGCCCCTCCATACCCGACACAATGCTTGCGCAATCCATCAGGGCATCGGTATGCGCGTCTCTACTACCTGCTCCAGGCAATTGCTGACCCATTGCAGCGCCAGACGCTCGCACGCGTCGCCCGGCAGCAATCTGCCTTCGTGGCCCGCCGCACATTCATCGTCCCGACGGCCGTCCGACAAGGTGAATCATCCCCAGTCGTACAGGGAAGGAACCCACTGACGCAATTGATGCACCACAGCCGATCTAGTCCAGGAAATGTACCTGCGGGAGCTGAAGAGCTACAAGCCCCTGCAAGTCAAGGCGTCCGATGCCGAAGGCCACGTCCAGAAGTTCGCCGTCCCGAAGCCCCCGCCATCCCCTGAAGAGGGCGACCTCGCGAGCGAGTTGAAGGCATACGAGACACAACAGGTTGAGCTTGAGGGTGCAGCAACCGGGGAGGAGGGTGCCGCCCCGGTAGAGGAGGACTGGTTCGTGGAGGAAGAGGAGGAAACTGCTACGGCTGCTCATTAGGCAGCAACCAGCTGCATCACAACGACTTGTACTAAAACATCCGACTGTGTCAATATTGGGCAATGAACAGCTAGTTCCATGTCTCCGGCTCCGACAACCAAGTCACGTGATTGTGACTCTACCTAGGTATCCGTGAATGCATCCATGTTCAGCAACGTGCAAGAACGAGCACGCTCGATTGCTGTCTAGGGAAGCACACACTGTACGATGGGAGCCTCCACCCGTTTCCTCGTGCTTTCAGCGGCGCAACGAGCTTTCGTCTATCCATCGAGATCTCTTGTGCAGATGTCGGCGGCCAAGCCATGGCTACGGAAACATCGGGAGGTAAGCTCACAGTATGCGCGGATACAGTGGGACCGCTTGGAGTACGAGACCTGTGCAAACGAAACGAGGCGTAGTGGCGCCGGCTGTACTCCTACAGTACCCACATGGTAACGCCCGGAAGCGTACAGGACTCATCATGCTCGGGATGATTGTTGAGACAACAGATAACAGTAGCGTGATTAGCGTAGAGACGTCTGGAGAATACGTCATGCACCGTGAAGCGCGCATTATGTGGGTGTCATAAGGCTGGGGACAGGCAACTGGAGATTAACGGTGAAAGAGGATGCTACCACAGCGGTACCAAGACTCACTATCAGGATTTCACACGCGTCCATACAAGCGGAGACATTGGCATCTCGCACGAGCCACGTTCTCAATGTGAAGCACGCCTGCCTGACCAGGTCACTATGCAATGCAGCAACCCGGAAGCGGCCCCTCGAGAGGTCCCTCGACCCAGCAGTTCGTCGGCGCTGCAACGGTGCGTGAACGGCTGCTAGTGAGTGCCGACGAAGCGTCCCGGCGGTGGGTGCAGCGGCGACAGCAGGATGCACTTTAATATAGAAAAACCCCCGACCGCAGAGAGATTTGCCAGGCCAAAATTAAATCTTGATCGCTGCGAGGCGAAGCCACCCGAGATCAAACCTGCTCGTGATCCTTGCTAGTCTTCCGGGCCTGCTTGTCGCCTGCGCTTCTGCGACGCCAGGCGAATTTGCCGAAATCAGCGTCAACGCTCGCTCAGCTCGCTCTCGAGACACTCCCCCAGCGTGCAGCCAGCCTGCGTGCCTTTGTAACCGTCCTCGTCAGTCGCTACCTTGCCGCTCCACCACGCTCGCTGCCTCACCGCCTCGCCGCCTCGCCGCCAGAATCCACCACAGCCGCCCGTTCCGTCGTTGACCCTCACCAGACCTCAGGCCCCACTGACATCCACACCTCGTCTTTGAGACCGCGAACATTGCAAGCTCGGAACCCTCTAGGAGCCGGTTGCCCCTCGATTCGAAACCGATTCCGTATTGGTTGCTAAATATGAGCCCGTAGAGTGTCGGTACCGAACCGCTGAGAGGCAGCCCATGGGGGAGAAGCTGCCGCGAACACCCACCACCTTTCACCGACTATGCAGGCCGTAGCCCCGGCCCACCGCGGCCACAATGCGCTCGCCAGCACGCCTCGAGGCCGCACCCGTGCTGTCTCGGACGTCTATCCGCCGCCCGAGCGAGCGCCGGAGCTCACGCAGCTGCCCAAGGCTGCCTCGTACACCTACTTTCCCCGCGTGAAAGACCTCGCAGACGAGCCGCCGGTGCTGGAGCTGAAGGGCACGATATCAGAAGAGGAGCTGAAAAGCGGCACAAGCGGAGATGGGACGTCCTACTCGTCTTCGGGCGGCTCGAGCCCTGAGTCGGAGGACGGCCCCCACGTGGTGCAGATGCCGCAATTGCGACCCAGCCTCTCGCGCCGGTCGTCGAGATTCCTGCCCTTCTCCAACAAGAGCCGGGACCCCTCCGCAGAGCCAAAGCCCGACCGCAGCCGCAACGAGAGCGTGAAGCAGGCCGATTCCTCGAGTTCGAGCTCGCCCGTGCGGTCGCTGACAAAGCTGCGGAGGAAGAGCTGGGTGTCGTCACAGTCAAGGCCGTCGTCACCCACGAAGGAGACGCCAAAAGAGACAACCAGCCCCGTGAAGGTGGAGGAGCCAAGGAAGAATTCATTGAGCGTGGAGGCTACCAAGCGGAGGTCCTTGACGGCCGCGCTCAGCATTCCTGAGAAGTCTAGAGCGAGGGATTCCACCGAGAGCCCAACAACTCCCAAGAACCGCGTGCTCACCAAGAAGTCGAAGAGGCTCAGCGGCCTCTTCAACGCTTCCACCGAACCCGCGCCTGTACCCATTTCAAATATTCCTGCGATTCCGCCCGTGCCCAAGTCCTTCTCCACCGAGAAGTTCCCATTATACGTGCAATCTCCAACGAGCCCGACCCACATTCCTCCGCTCCCGCGTAATATCTCCTCAGACAAGCTCAAAGGTGCAAAGACGGAGCCCCGCAAGAAAGACGAGCTCTGGACGGTGTTCCGGACGCTCGAGGGGGACCTCCGCAAGTAAGCTAAAGTGTTCATCTTCATCTGCCTTACTGACCTTGCTCCCAGATTTCATTCCAAGTCCATAGCTTTGAAGGCAAATGTTGTGCGAACGACCCTCCTGCCTTTCCTGCGCACGTATGCCGCACACTCGTCAAACCAAAGGCTCCGACCTGAGGATCTGGATCGGCGCGCTAATATTCTGAACGGGTGGTGGACTGGACTACTGGAGCTCCTGGCAGGGCGGAACAATCAATCAATCTCGGGAACAGACCGCCCAGCTATATTAGAAGGCATCGCGGGAGTCATGGAGCGACCAGAGTGGCGGCTGTCGCCCTCGCCCTTCTGCGCTCTCGCAGACCGTGCCGAGACACTGTCTACGACAACTGTGAAGTCCTCCGGCTCAAACTCTTCCAGCTCCTCGGATTTCCTCGCCGAATCCGTCTTCCACAACGTTCGGAACATCTTCACGCAGAATCTCCTTTCGCAGATGACTTTCGTCGTCGACAAGATGTCACTCCGAAACGCGGCCGCAAGCCTGGTGACCTTTTGCGGAAAGACGTGCGCCTACGCATTTTGCTTCTGCCCAGGAATCGCGGATGTCTTGGTGCGCCTGTGGAATCCAACGCTGGAACCGATGAAGCGCGTTCTTGAGGAGTCGGGTATCACAAGGCTAGATAGGCTTGACGCCACTTCGGACCGCATTGTCGCAGCTTTCCCGCCTATGCTCCACTCGCTGAAGTTCCAATCCTTGCCCAAGCTCGTGCGCTTGTTGCGCCGCCCAGCAACTCTGCCCCTCGGGACCGCTAATTTGGACTGGTATGGCACCTGGGTGAAGCGCTGGTCTGGTGCCGAGAGTGATTTGTTTTACGTTTTCGTGAAGCACTATCACATCCTCGTGACTGAATTTCTGCCTCGGAAACCAACCAATGCAGAGCGTGTCTGTGTGCCTGGACTCGTCATGGTGCATGCCCAGGTCCTGGTTAATCTAGATGCAACTATCAACCGTCATGCTACTCCGCAGCAACCCGAAGAGCCGGGAAACGGAGCAGCTGCAATCACTTTCGATGATGTTCTGGGCGATCCCGATACCTCAGCGTCTACGCTACCCATACCTCCGGCGAATGCGACCCGGCAGATGGCGGAAAACCGGCTCATCATGCTCATTCGAGACTTTCTATCTGAGAGGAACGGGCATATTTCCACAGCACGACGGATATTTGCGGAGTGCTTTGGGTGCCTCCTGCAAGCAGCTGCTCGTAGAGTCTCCATATACGACAACAACGCCTGTTATACGCTGTGCGATTTCCTAGAGGAAGCTTTCGTAATATTAGTTCGCTACGAATCCCTCGACGATCGACAACACCTAATCCTGCACCGGCCTTTCTGGCTTTCGGTGTTCAAGCAGATGACTGCAAGCCACAATACCGCAACCGAGATCAAGTTGTTCGCTTTCTTGTACAGCACTTGGCCGACTCTAATTACTAATGAGCAGTGGAAGGCGAGCCTATGTTTGGATTTCCTACTGGAACCGGAGTTTTTCGAGAGCAGGTTTAATCACTGGTGTCCTATGGTTCGATCATACTTCATGCGGCTGCTGTGTTGGCGGGTCGCCCGTTTCGATGAAGCGGAGTCTGCAACGGAAGTGTATGTTCTCACTGTAAGACTTTACTCGCAATATACTAACACTTTCCCAGGAACATTATGAGAGCTTTGAGCGATCGCTTACGCTCCGTTTGGTCTCACTACCTTTGGCTCCTGGAGCAAGCCCAGGAGACGGACACCATGCTACCATCGACTACGGCTTGCAATCCCGCCCCCGGCCGACGTTTCCTCATCATACGTAATGATAATCCTATGGTGACCAATGCTGGTCCTTTCCTCTCATTCGATGGTGTCGTCCAGTCACCTATGTCAAAGAGACTCTCATCACCTCTGAATCCCGTACCGGAAGCCGACGCTCGGCCGCTTTCAGCTGCGTCAACTGACTCGCAAGACTTCCCGGAAGAAAACGCTAGTACCAAAGGCCGCTGGAACATTCTGCGTAGCTTCATTAGCGGTGCTCCAAAGTCGAAGAGCCCTGACCCGCCCCGCAAAGACAAGGAGAATGCGAAGAGCTCCAACACCAGCAGCTCCAAGAGTGCTAATGAAACGGCAACGAATGGCAAGAATGCAAACGGTGACATGTCTTCCCCGCCCGCCCCTACACATCGCAGCTACAGCTTCCGCTTCTCCCTCGAGTGGGTGGATAAACGCTTCGGGCAGTACCAGCCAATGCGTCTCTATCCGCCACGCCTTCCTCTCCCGGCCCAGGTACTCTTACAGTCAAGGGGCATCAACATCGCCGCAGTGGACAGCTCGCGACCTACGGGTCCTGCGGTAACGTCCAGTCGTTACGCTGGCAGGGCGCTCGCAGAATGGACGTTCGTTTCGCACGAGTGCCAGAACTTCTTCGACCGTCGGAAGAACGAGGGGGTGCCGAGCAACAAGCTGGTCGAAACTCCTACCTTGGCCGTCGAGGCTTTCAGACGTCCTGGATAACGAATGTTTGGATCCGATTTCAATATTTTACCTCACCTACACCGCGCCGCTACTATTCACAACCACGTTGTCTCCATCTTTACCTGTACACTGTACGAGCATCTTCGACGTCTCCCTTATTGGACGTCGATATATAATTTCCCTCCTTTCGGTGATCGGCAGGACTGATACCATATTCGCATGTTGCATACAGGGCTCATCATCGTATCAGTTTCTCGAGCTCTTACGGCGTTTGTCATGGACTTTAGTTCTACTATTGGGTTCGACCTAGCCCTTTTGCATGCATGGCAGTGCGCTTTTTCTTGCATGAACTCGATCCTTTGCTTTTGGGAATACATAGGTTTTTTGGTATTCGGGAGCAATGGATGGATAGGGACGGAATGGATTGGTGGCATGGATGTATAAGTCTTAGGCACGTTGGTTGCATATAGAATATACTTTGCTTCTTCTTTTGTGCTTTGCTGTCATTCCCCCGCCTAGCTAGCACTGGGCTGCTTATCTCAAGCCCCAGGAGCCTTGAAGAGATCTCCGGCATTCACCCCGGACCAAGACTGGTGCAAGCGAAGTTAGTTCTTTGTACTCTCCCGAGCTCTGATATCATAACGAAACTCCGCAGCTAAGCGGGGCTTGGCCGTAATAGGAAGCCATTTCCCCACGCACATGCGTTTGTAGCGTCTACCGTTGCCCAACACCACGTAAATTGCACGCCCTATGTGGTTATTCGGTCTAGGCGAGTGATTGACTCACTACCTGCAGGGTGGATTGTATGTATACTTGAGGAACCTGATCCTCGCTTCCACACAAAAGCATCTTGAAGCATCATCCATCGATCGCGAAAATGGCACATGTTGACCTTATTAAAGGTCCACAGCCATGGGCGATACTGTTAATTGGAATTGCATTTGCGATGTACGCCTTGCGAAAGCGATGGAAACAGCAGAAGGCCAAGGTGAGGAGTGAGCCTCAGTGCACACTCATCCATATATGTTCAACTGCGTCTGCATCTATTTCTAACGCACGCACACATAGGCATCCGTCTCACAGCCGATCTCTGCCAGGGAGGACAACAAGGAGAAGAAGAACTCAGAATACTCAAAAGCCACATACTACCACATCGAACCCCTCCCACACTTCAACCTCGCAGAAGAAGAGCCCATCAAAATAAGACCTTTCAAGCCGAAATACCATCTAACTATGGGTAAGTGAGTACTGTGCGCACTTCCTCCACTCCACTCCATTCCACCCCATCCCAGCGCTCTTGAGGACATTACACTACATATCGTCCATCCATCTAACCATGTTACATAGCCATCGAGAACACCACACCCTCCGACCTCCTCGCCATGGACAAAACGTACCCACAGCGCATCCACCTGCGCCGCGCCCTGCTGCGCGACAGACAGCCCGACGTGCTCGCCCATAATCCCGCCATCGAGCCCGCAGTGCGCGAATTCTACGCCTGGCTCACTAACACGTATCTCCCGTCGCGTTTCCCCACGCTCTTCACGCGCGAAGCCGACACCGACGCCCTGCGGAACCACGCCACGGACGAGCTTCTGCCGCTACATGTTTCCCCCGGCGCCGGCGGCGCGGAACAAGCACTGCAGCTCATCGGCGCCAATATCGACACCGATTTTCTCTTCCTTCTGCCCATCCCCCCGGAAGGCCTTTCTTCTCCTCATGCAGCCGCCACCACGACGACCACCAAGTACCGCCTCGAAGGCTTCGTCACCTGCTTCCCGAGCGGGTTCGACACACGACGCAAGCTCAACCTGGCGCTCGCGGACATCCACGCGCCGGTGCCGGGCTACGGCGCGAAGCTGGAGCGCAGCATGGATCGCTTCTTCGCGGCGCTTCCGGTGGGGCGCGTCGTGAAGCGGTGTAATTGGAGTGTTACGACAAATCGGGAGCTTTTTGCTCTGAGGGGGAATCATTTGAGCGAGGAGGAGTTAGCGGCGAGAGCGGGGAAGGGAAAGGAAGAGGAAGTAGATTTGGACGAGTGCGTGTTGAGGTGTGAACGGCAGACGCTGCATCGGCTGCCCGAAAGCAAAGCGTTGGTGTTCGCATTTAAAACATATCAATACGCGCTGCAAGAGATCAAAGACGAAGGAAACGGCGAAGCGCTAGCCAGCGCGATCGAAGGCCTTGGCCAAGGCAGCGTACCAGGGATGCGGGTGTACAAGAGAGAAGTCATTTGGGGGAAGAAAGTCAAAGCCTTCTTACGAGGACAAGAGAATCGAAACTGACGAACTGTTGTCGTCGCTGCATTGATGCGTATATGTATGTGTCCCTGAAATCCTTCAATTCAGTACGGCAAGCACACCGTCCTCTTCATGCGCTGCCGCTCTGATATCTGCGTTGCGCCTAGAAAATCGAAAAGTGTGCAGAGCTTCGCTTGATGCGCTATCCTCGGACTGACAGTGTCCTGCGAGGTGAGTCGTAGGGAGCGGAGGTCTGTCGGTTGCCCGTAGGCTCGAAGGACGCGATCGATAGAGGATGCTGTGTGGGATATCAGTATAAAAGCATCACATAGCTTGCTTGAAGTGCTTTGACGAGACGTACGATCCATGGCCCGAATCTCCTCCACTGTCTTAGGCACTCTGAACTCAGGCGGAAACTTCGCATCAACAGTCATCTTCGGTTGCACCTGGCAATACCGCGCTGTCGGAGGGACTTGACAATTCACAAACTGAACCATGAGGTTCGTTCTGCGAGGTAATCAGCACGTATCACATGCGCAGTCGTCGCAATATCTCACCTCCGCACCACGTCGTCGACATAATGCTGAGCGCCGCCCATCCCCATCATGGTCTCGGGATCAAAACCAGGTGGGAAGGGGCCTCCGTGTGCTCGGCTCCCAAATGGCCCTATGCCCATCGCCGAGAAATAGTCGGGCCCGTCCATTTCCAGCCGCGATTCAAACGGCGCGGTCATCATGCGAGGGTCCATGCGCGGGTCTCGGGGGTCTCGAGGGTCTCGAGGGTCCATGTCGAAAGGGGATGTCGGCAACGATCGGTGCAGAGGATTGTCCATAGGCATCGGCATTTGCATTGACGGTCGAAGAGGAGGCGCAGTTGACATTGTGGGCGGACGAGGACGGAAGGGTAGTCTCCCTGTTTCTGGAAAGTTGAAGGGCTTCATGCCTGGGTGTTCAATCCAAGTTATATGCCGACGAGTGGTTCAAACTCAGCAAACTTCGCATGCAGTCTTCGCCGCAGAAGGAAAGTCGAGGACAAAAGTGGAACTGGATGCAGATTCTAAGAATCGTGTTGATATTTGTGGAGAGAGATGTTATCGCCTTCGCAACCCGGCGGGTGAACGTTTGATCTGTGCTGAAGCTGCGTTACTGTGTTCAAAACATGAATGGCTACTACTCAAACTAGTTGTGCCCAACGAACGAAGCGGTGAGAGTTGAGGTCAGGCTGTGACACTTGACAGATAAGGTGATACGGAAGAGCAAACAACCGCACTGGATCGCAGTGGAAGATGGAAACAGGAGTGTGAAGGCCTCCAAGGCGGAAAGACGTTAAGTGTGGCGTTGATTGGACGGGATCTGCTATCCTAAGTTGTGTAGATAGTGTTTAGCAGGTTATATAAAGGACACCGATCTGCCACTGATCATCCGCCCCATGGCACGCTGCTGTTAACTGTAGAAATACTCGATAGATGAAGCCGACACTATGGCGTTCGGTCTGTAGGAATGAGCCCTGTAAACACAGAGCAGTGGGATCGCATTCCAACTATGTAGGTGCTGAAGTTGATATGGAAGACAGCCGGCTACAGCTAGCACCGCAGGTTGATTGTGGAAGAACGCAACAGGCTGATCTGACCGGTGATGGAGGGTGCAATGCTGGCGCGTGTCGCAAGGCCTCAAAGCATGGACACGAGTGCCCATGGTTCGTCCCGAACCCCAGGAACAAGCGGGAGTCTCCGTCTCCTAGTCTAGTCGCCGAAGACGAAGATGACGGATCGAGTGCAAAGCAAGCTTCGCAATGGCTCGAATTGCATGTGTCCGTACTCGGAACGACGACTCTTTCTAAGAGCGCACTGCTGGGGTTCAACCGGGAAGATAAGTCGGTGTAGAACGCGGCTAGCCGCCCGGCTTGGCCGAATGTTTGGAATAGCAAACGTCCTGCGTGTCCTGCTATCCAGACGATCGGCTGAGATTGAAGGCCTGAGGGCCATGCTGTGTTCCTGCGGTACTTCCCGCTCTGCAATCGTGACCTCAGAACGCTCACGCAACACTCCTTCCAGCTCAGGCCACCTACTCGAATGCTGAAGTATCCTCGGTAGTATAGTCATCGGTTTCCTCTTGGATTTCTCTCCAGCGCGGATCGGACGCATTCAATTTGAGGTCAGCACCGCTTTGCGCTGCCGGCTGGGGGCGTCGAGCAAGGCTAAATCGCCGGCGATGGCCGCCGGGACGCTCAGTCAGGCTGGGGGCGCGAGGCCGAGCCTTTCCGCGAGCTCGGCCGCCGACAAAGGGTATCTCGTGGTTGATTGCGCGGGCGACGTAGAGCAGGAAGTCATAGATGAGGAGGAAGGCCCAGGGACCGATCATTAGGAGGCCCATCAGGAACTGCAAGCACGCAATTAGCCACGGCGGAGCAGTGAAACTGGCCAATACGTACAAAAAGCCGCTTGAGCCATGTTTCCACGAAAGCGTAGTCCTCCGGGAGGATGGACAGCAGACCCATGGTCAGGAGAGCGGCAGTGGGGACGCACGAACGATGGCCGAACGATTGACTGAAAAGCAGACAAAGGAAGGGGGCGAGTTGACGGCGAAAGGGCGACTCAAATACAGGAGCGCGGCATTCGGTGGAGTGGGTGCATCTGTCTCGGGGTCGGGCTTGTTGAGGAATTTGGTTGAAGGCGCGACACGGCCCTGCGTCAGATGCGCCTTCCAGTAGTGGAGTAGAGCTCCCGAGGTCCGTGTGGCGTGCGGCATGTGGCGTGTGGCGTGTGGCGCAGGCTCCACTTAGGTAAGCCCCCGCCGGCACGTGCAACCCACTCACCGAACATCACCTCGCCCACCTGGAAACGGCCCCAGGCGTCTATCGGGGGCTATCACCACGCCCGCCGCCACTCGCTGCACGTCTCGTGCCCCCAGGTGCTGCAGCCCAATAGGGAGCGCTGCAAGGGCGCGGCCCCAGATGCTTTGCATCGGCACGCCAGCCAATGTAGCCTTGTTGAACCCCGCCATGTGTGAGACGTCCATCATAGCTGGAGTCACCTTCACAGCTCAGAACGCTCAGCCGCGTCTCTGTCACCGCATTTACACCGCCTGGGCTTCAACAGCGTCTGAAGCATACCTGCCCGACTCCGCCTGCTCACCGGCTGCCCGTTAGCCGGTAGCGGCATCGCTTCACTCTCTGTCTACTACAGATCAGCTGCAGCCTAGTCGAGGGAGCATTGGCCAATTGCGCTGTCTTCAGCCCTGAGGCCGCCTCATTACTTCTCGCAGCCGGGTCTGACCTTTGATCTTTGACCTCATCGCTGGCCTTCACCTTCACCTGCTCCTGTCTCTAACTCTACGCCCCGAGTCTCTGCGTCGCACCCTCTGGATATCGTTTGCGCCCGGCCCTCTGGGCCACAGCTCACCTCGCCACCATGGACGACCTTGACTTCCTTACTCAAGTTGCCGGCGGAGATGCCACAGCTACGCTCATGGTGCTGCTGCCTGATAGCACCGTCACCCAAATTCGCAACGTCAGCCCGTTCAGAATCCTCGAGAAATGCGCGCTCCTGTACCACGCCTTCGAGTTCGGCGCTCACTCCGTACGTCAAGCGAGCATAGAGGCGACGTCGAGGCGCGCCGTCGTATCACTACTTCGATTCCTGTACACCGGCAACTACCTCGCAGCAGAGCAACAGTGTTCTCTCCTAACCCACGCAGAAGCCTTCAAGGTCGGCGAGGACTACGACGTCCCGGAGCTCCAGGTCTCTGCCTATGTCAACTTCACCCGGGAGACCGAGTTCTCGTGCTCTCTGTCCACTCCACCACCGGACCTATGCGACACCGTTCGCTTCCTCTACAAGTACTTCGCGGACCAACAGTGGCGTCAGCAGCAATCTCTCCTCGATACCCTCTTGAACTACTGCCTGGCCACATTCAAATACCAAGGGCTCGGTGAGCGCGAGGACTTCCGCCAGGTCGTTTTCGACACGCCAGCCTTCCACCGAGACCTCTGTCGGACTAGCATGAACAGGGACTTCCAGGACGAGGGTAGGTGGTTATTCATTACATCATACAAAACGGCTTGATTTCGGTCAAGTTCTGATCCCTCGTAGGTGCTCTGGATATCGTGCGTATGCCTGTCAGCAACCCGACTCCCTATTCTCGAGATAAGTTGAGCAAGCGAGCCCTCGGAGACTTTCAATTCGAACTTTGGGCCGACAAGGATGAGCCCACCCCAGACTCCAGCAGCGATGCCGGAGAGAACACCCCCAAGCGGCGCAAGTCCGACATCGACGATGCCTTTACGCTCGTCCACCGACCGAAGGAGCCTCATGAAATGCCGACCTTTTCCGAGAGCGAAGCCGAGTCATCGGGCGATGAAGATGGCTTCACCCTCGTGCATCGTCCCAAGGTCAGCGTGGATACCACCGAATCGGTCGGATCACCCGCCAGCACAGCCTCATCGAGCCCGGAGTCTGTGTCGGCCGTTACCGCCACCGTCAAGTGCGAATCTCAGCACGACAGCCCTACCAAGGCCTCGGCCGAGGAGGACTGGGCTTTTGTCTAATTCGAAAGGTAAGAGACCGCTTCTCACATCTTCTCCAATGTTCACAGTTCAAGATCGGTGGTCGGTTTCTGGAAGAGCTCCGGAACATTCTGGACTGGAACGGCGTTAATGGGGGACTACTAATGGCATCATTTGCAAAAGCGCGGCGTGCATGGAATGGACCGGATACCTGAGAGGCGCTTGAAGGCGCCATGGCTTCTTACGGCCACATCGTGTTAACTTACACATCGAGAATCTTACGTGTAACGTATCCCGTCCACGGGTATCCCCAATTTAGTGCGCTCTGCTGCTCGAACATCAGGTCATTGAGAAACTACCAATAGGGTTTAAATCAGGCTTGCGAACGAGACAGCAACCATAAACCAACGTCCCGAAAATACAGGCAGGGAGCAGCCGACGTTGTAGATTGTCCCTGATCTATATCTAAGTCCAACTGTGGCCCCCTGCCAAACCAATCCAATAAGCCAGATGTCGCGGTACCGTAGCTAGCAGGCAGGTGGTCGCCAGGTCTAGCTCTCATTAGCCCGAACCACTTTCGCCAGAGTTATATCCGTTTGGCAAGCACTCGACCCGCACCTTCCTCACCCGTCTGTCTTGTCCCCTCTCCTACGCTACTCCACAATGTTTGCATTTGACTTTGCTTGCCGTTTGCACAGCTTTAGCCCCGTCTCTCCCATCCTTCGACCGCCCTCCTCCGCATATCCTCGCACGTCATCCACTACTCACATCCGCTATTCTTCTCATGTCTGCACCGCATACCGCTCGGATGCAACATCCTCCGCTCATGACCTCCCACGAACCTGTGACGACAACAAGACGAAAGACTCTCAAGAGGCGGGTTTCTAACTTCTTCAGGCATGTCAAGAGCGCTTGTGGACTACTCTATGCTAATGAGCTCCAGTCGCGCCGAACCTCATCGTTCGTCCTCGATTCCCATTCTCAGACGACCGACTCTGCGGCGACCGACTCTTCGACGGAGCGCTACGAAGCACGATTTAGAGAGGCTTCGAGAGCCCACGGCCTACCCACGTGAGCCGCCACCGTCATACTCAATACTCGACCCTCCAGATCGGCTTGTTGTAGCCCATCCGCCGCCATCATCTTGCTCGAGCGTCAGCGTGCCCTCTTCTCGTGAGACGCTGCAAACTCCGCGCCCCACAACCCCAGCTTCTCGCAGACCGTCTCCCAGCGTATATCCTGCAGGTTCGGAAGGAATCCGGCCCTTAACTGTGTGCCTTGCGACAGCTGTGCCCGCCCGGAGTTCGTCTCTCGCTTGCGTCAATGGATCCGACAGTCGAATCTCTACCATGGACCTCACGAGGCCAGCTACTTCACCTGCGGAGGATTTGACGTCTCCAAGCGCCCTCATTCGAGCCCTCTACCATGAAGATGCGCGACAGCTCGAGCAAGCACATTTCACAAGGGACGACGCCGATTACGCCTACGCGCTCCAACTGCAGCTGCAGGAAGAGCATGAGCGAGAAGAGGAAGCACTGCGTGCAGCGCAAAGATTATACGATCTTGAGGTGCGGCAAAATACGCAACCTTCAGACCGGTCGCAGTTTCGTCGAAAATGCTTCGTCTGTCAGCAGCGACTGAACCTGCTCGAATTCCCGTCTTTCACGCCTACGGAGTCGTGTCAACACGTCAGCGAGGCGTGCACTCACTGCTTGCAAGGATGGATCGCGAGTTCTTTGCAGACTGGAGGCTGGGCCAGCGTCACTTGCCCCCAGTGCCGGACGTCTCTTTCTCCAAGAGACATCCGCCGCTGCCTGCTCCTCAATACCTAGCTAGGTGTTGGTAAATAATAGCGACTCACTATTTCTAGTCTGCTTTGAATATTCCCTTGCCCATCCACTATCCTTATCCACAGCTAACTCTTACGCACGTTCCAAGATGCTCGCCAACCTCCCGAAAAGCCGAGGCTAACATTCGGCTGTTCCGCACCCAGAAGAGCATGAGCTACAACAGATGGCGACCCGACGTGACTCCTACGGGCTCCGCGACCCGCCGGCAGTGCAGCGTGCGCTTCTTCAAGTCCGTCAGCCCCCACGCGAGCTCTCTTGTCCGCGGAACCTCTAGGAGAAGTTCATCAAACCAAAATTTCTCAACTTCTGGTTCTGGGTCGTGTTTTGCGCCGTGGTCGTTGCTACTGCCGTTATTTGTGTGGTCTTGAGTAAGCGGCTCCGCTGAATTTGTACGGCACCCTGAAGCACCTCATCCTGATCTATTTACATGCTGACGGGGTTTAGGCCATCCATCGATTCATGTTTCTACGGCGTTCGATTGCGGGGTTCGGGTATGGGAAGTCGCTCGCGCTGAGTGCTGGGTGATTATCGTCAGAGCTATCCTCAAGTGGGAGTAATACATTGGATTCGGATTACATCTGCGTAGCTCAACGTGAACTGCTTCAGATGGTGATGCTGCCTCGGGTATGATGTCGATGACCACCACTACCACCAGGGCACTCTCGATGACGCATAGCCTCACTTCTCAATCGCTCGCCTAGGAATCTCGGGACAGACGGCCTGCCCAGCATATTGCTCCTCGAGGAGTTTTTTATCTGCGAGCAAAAGAGGTACGGGACGAGCAAGCATGATCCACCACCAAACTCCTTTTTTAGAAGGCCCAAAGTCCCTATCGAGACGCTGCAAGCTCACTTGTAGTCCCTGAGAGCTGTAAGATGCACAGAAGAAAAAGCCCACGAGTTTGGTTGGTACACGGCTTATATACCATACCTCAGCTGGACGTGATGGCTGTAGCAGAATCGGAATGGGAAGACGTCTCTAAAGGAGGAGTGTGTCTGAGGGGGAAGTGCTGGACACTTCTATCGGACCTGCTGTCTTGCCCTGCCGGCACTTCCGGACAGACATAAAGAGCTGGATAATGGGCTTCGGGACAGCATCCTTCGTTTCCTCCATATCAGGGGATTGCTATCTTGGTTTGGTGGTCATGTATCCCTTGTAGTCCCATTTGGGTATGGTGGCGTTTGGTGTGGGGAGCTCTGTGTTCTCGGAGTGGGCTGGGGTTCTGGGAGAGGAACAACATTATATTAGACGCGCTTCCCACAGGTTTTCTGCTGGATCGGTTTTGGAGAAAGCGGCTCGCTGGATGGGAGCATAGGGCGTCAGTGATAGGAGTTTTGATAGGTAGGTAGGGAGGTGAGAGGGCTAGCAGTGACATCGTCGAGATAGCTTAAGAGCTTTACACCGAGGGAAACGAGAAACCATGACGCTCAGGGGATGCTTGTTTGAAGCGACGCAGCCTTTGTGTTTGAAGGAGAGAGTAGACACTCCTGCATGATGCAGGTTACATTTCCTTTTTAGAGTCGTGGAATAGAGAGGAGGAGAGGGGAGGGGGGCCAGGTCCGGATATGCGAATTTGGTGTTTCTCTTTTCTTGGACCACCAGGCCGGCCTGGTCATAGGCGGTTAGTGTTTTTGTTTGTAGTGGATGGCTGGCTGGCTGGCTGCCTAGGTCTCCGGGCTTTTTGGAGAGGACTCCCGATGGTTCGCATTGCCGGGTTCACTGCTTGATCGGCTCGTTTTGGATCGCTGGGAAGGTTGGAGTATGGCGAAACAAAGGATACTGGAGATTTGATGTTGCTTTGGACCGCAGGGGAAGCCATGGGATGACTGCTCGTTTTTAGGACTTGCGGCTTTTTGCTTTGGGGTAGGAGTTTAGTGCTTGTATAGGTTGTTTTGTGAGCGGGCTTTGCATCTGTGAGGACTGGGAAGGGGAGACGGCCAGGCAGGGCAGAGCATAGTTGCTGACCGATGTGGTTTTTGGATACGAGGGGAGGCCGTCATGCATGAGCCCTCGGATGCATTTTATTCCTCCCTTGTGGAGTAGTACGTGTGAGGAGTGCAGGTATGGAGGGTAAAGGAGGAGCAGGCTTATATAGAGTAAGGTAGAGTAGAGTTATCTGATCTCGGAGATCGTGCTTATGTAGGATGTGATGGCGTGTTTGAGAGCGGATTTCATCGGAGCGGTGACACTCACTCGCTTTCTACATCGTTGTCGTCATCATTATCTTTGGTTTCTACGAGAAGATTGCTTGGTTCTAGCATGGGCCTCTGCTCTGGTCCGTCGGGGTTTGCCTCCGTGTGCGGAGAGGAGAGGACGGTCTGAGAGAGACATAACAACGGCATGGGTGCATTTTTGACAGGCGTGCGGAAAGTCATCGGATGGGGCAATATCGCTTTTCGTTCCTCTGGAGTGCTGCGCGTGGAGCAGAGGAAGCGAGAAAACTGGGAGTGCTTTATATGGATGAGACTTGTGTGTGTGTGTGTGTGTGTGTGCGCTGAGGAAGCCCATGCTTCCATGCTTCCCAGGCTTGAGAGCGGATTTCATGGTAGACTTTGCGTTCGCTCTCCGCATGTATCCCAGCTGTTTGTACCTCAGGAGCGGGGATGCTACTTCTACATGCATGAGGCCTCTAGCATCTAGATTCTTCAGCGCTAGGAGGTGCCGAAGGGCCAGTACGGGCATAGGCATTGTGTTCTTCCACTTTTTGGAGAGGCGCAGAAGCCATGATATGCTGAATAAAGTCTTTTAGTCTCTACTAGAGAGATATGTGTGAAGAAAGAAAAGGCTTAAGGCCGCAAGGAGGGGCTTATATAGCTAGGTTCGTCCGACCAAGGTACTTCCATACTGGAGATTCCAGGCTGACTTCGATGACTGGAAAGGGCTGCTCCGTCCGTGCAGCTCGTCACGAACTAGATGACTTGTTTTTTGAGCCAGGCCCCAACTTCCACACCAACATTCTCCCATTCGCACTTGGTTTGGTGGTAGTCCGAGAAAGAGGAGGCCAGACGAAGGTATTTTTTCTTTTGGATGGTGGAGTTAAGGCGGGCAGAGCGACCATGGCGCAAACATGTATCGGTTTTAGTCCCCAGTGAAGGCATTTGCTGTGGGGAAGGAAAGGATAGGGTCGGAAGAGGCGATTATATAGATGAGAGACGCCTCATCGCAGAGACTGCTTGTGTTAACTCCTAAAGGTCTCCGGCTTTGGCTTCTCACTGCCGGATCTTTCGTGAATAAATTTTCTGTGCGATTGGATGTGCGCCAAAGGGGAACACCGCTCTCATGTTCTTCATCACTGCCTTTTTATTCACAGCCCGAGGTTCAGCCTCACACATCCGGCATTGAAGTGATTGCTTTTCTTCATGAGCCCAGAGCTGCAGGGAAAGGAAAGCATAGTAGGCGCACAAAGAGTATTTCAAGGAGAAATTTGGAGTTCTCGCGCGAAACGTATTGTGGTTGCCAGCAAAGAAATACCGCGGCGCCGGGGGGAGGGTTCCATGTTCATAAGTATTATAGACTTTGGATCATTGGTTAGAAGCCTGGAGACCAAAGGGACATGAGGTCCAGCACGGACTTCTTTTGGACATACCCGAAGCGCGTTCTCCCTACCTCGCGCTCTTTTAGTCTTTCGCGAGAAGGTGTAGTATAGAGAGGAAAGGAAGTCAGGGAGTGAGGTGCAGTGGCCTTTATATCAGTTGCCATCGTCTCATTTCAGCCTCGAAGAGCAGTATACGCCAGAGGCGTACGTAGATGGGGCGAAACCGGAGACGAGACAACCTTTTCGGCCGGCCACGAGATGCTGGGTTATTGCTCATACCTTATCCGGGTACGCTCCATGTCGCTTTGTCTTGACTTTTCTTTCCAGTCCATAACATCCTTGAAACTGGGGACATTACAAAGCCTTTATGCAAGCTTCCAGATCCAGGGGTTTGTATGAGCTGGAGTTGATGTCTTTTGATTGTGGAAACGGTGGTGGCACTGGCCTCCATGACTTCTTTCCCGGGGCGTTTTCAATGACGTCGCCAGGAGAGCACCAGGCACAAATACTCGCCTCCGGTGTGGTTTTAGTCGCCGCAGTAAAGAGTGTGGAGAATAGGAAAGTGGGTGAGGCTTCGAGAGCCTTTATATCCAACGGGCAGAAACACAGAAGTGCGAAGGCGTGGAGGGTCTAGTAACGAAAGGATCGAGCATAGGAGTGGTAGTTGCGCGTACGCGATGTACAGAACCGCGGCCCTACACTGTTGGTACCGAATTTTCCCCTCTGCAGATGCAAATCTGTGCATCGATTAAATTCCTAAGCTGGACACCCCAGAGTGCAAGGCTATTGACGCCCTTTGCCCTCTTCACTCATAAGAGGCCATCGCGTAGGTTTTAGCATCGCCATCTCTCCAAAACCATGGTCGGAGTAGATACCTTTTTCGATATACAGTAGGCCCCCTTATAAGATTCTCCAGGCTTGAGTCCTCGTCCTAAATAATTCATGGTAGGTCTCGTCGCGGGATTTTCGTATCTAAGCTTAGAGACTGGAAGAGATCCCACGCACACATTGGGTCCTCCCATATTGGTTTTTGAAGTTAGGTAGACTACTCATGGGAAGCTCGGTCCGCAGCTTTTAGTGGCTCCGAGGAATTTGTGTCGTGAGAAGATGCATTGGGAGGGAGGGAGGGAGGGAGGGAGGAGGCCTTGATAGCCCAGTGGGAGTCAAAGGTGACTGCGTGATCAAGGAGAACGGTGCGTGGCGAAGCCACAGGAGGAAGCTCTCATGCAGAGCGGCAGATTAATTTCTCGAAAGGCCCAGGACCGCGTGAAGTCGGCGCATGTATGTTTCTGAAGAAGCTTTCAGTGCTCTGTTGTATGAGATAGCTTCTATCCGCTCATCGGTATATTCCTCAAGGGCTTGGACATTGCTCGGACTCCCAGCTCTCCCCGGCACGCAATCGATGGCCTTGTCCTGTTTCCTCTTGGAACTTCCATGTATGCTTGAGTTCGTTGTTTGGGTGTCCGTCGAGCACAAGACATAGTCGACCAAACAGGCGTTCTCGCGACCTCCCATCACACACAACACCGTTGATCTAGACACCACCCGAGCAGTCCCCGCAATCTGTCGATGGAGTGCTTTAATTTTGGAACTTTGCATCTTCGTGCTTGTCTTCGTTTTCGAAACGCACCGGGAATAATTGGCTAGGAAGCCGTGCTCCGACGCCTCTCCCATACCACAGCACGAGCGTACCTTCCCCGTCTCTTGCAAATGAAAGTCATGGAGTAGGAGAGCCTGTCATGTCTCTCTTGGAGGAGAATTTCTTTTTGAATGGGTCGCGGAAGCATCCAGACAACATTGCCCAGTGACCAACTAGCTTTTCGTTCGACGGTGCTGCATGGGAACCTGCGATGTCCATTTTCGAACAGGCAGTGGATTCCCCCGTGACGTAGAGTACTCCGCTTTTGAGACAAGCGGCGCACGCAAGTCCATCGTATGCCGGAGCATTCTCATCTTCTTAGTCCCGAATTTCCACAGCCATTCCTCCTTCAGCTCTTTCTTTTCAACTCTAGCAACCCAGGCATTTTCGCTTCATCGGAAAGTTTATGGTTCCCCTCCCTATTTCCGACTCCGACTCCGACCCCATTTTCTTTCCCGTATACATTTTTTGGAGAGCTCCCAGCAGCCGTCGCCTGCCAGAAGTATTTTTCTGGAACTCGGCGCCCCACACATGCGAACGACAGCCCTTATTTTTAGTCCGCGGTCGAGCAGAGGAAACTCGTGAAGAGAGAAAGGCGTCGATGCAGGATAGGGGATTATATACCCCAACGCGCCCCTCTACCGTAGTCCAGAAGCAGTCGAAATTTGGCGGTCCAGACATCACCTTCTTCCAGTCATGTTTCCGACTACAGAGCGGTGCAACCATTTTGTGAATTTTCCTTCTTCTTTGATCTTCTATCTTGACTGGGAGTGCCGCTTCCCCAAGCCCATGCTGTCCCGACAAGCTGGATTTTGAAGCTCCACAGGACATGACTAGTGACGAAAGGGTTCTAGAGTCCAAAGGACATGCAGACCTTCTTCATTCTTTCGGAGCCCAGTCCCAGGAGAGAGGGAGTGAGGAGAGAAGGGAGGCTGAAAAGGGGTCCGAGAGTTCGCTTTCCCAAGCCCATCTCCGTCTGGATTCCAAGCTTTTGGAGGTCCACAGAACATTCCTTGTGTTCCTAGACAATTTTAGAGTTCGAAGGGCATGCAGGGATTGTTACTCTTTTTAGAGCCCCGCCCACGATAGAAGAAGTAAGGAAAGAAAGAAGGGCGTAACCCGGTACTTATACCCTCCGCGCATCCCAACCAAGAAAAGTCGATGAAGCAGAGGCGTCCAACCGAGAATCTCGACCCATGTGTGCCGTAGGGATGGAATTTGACACATCCACTCGACGGTGCGATTCTATCTCCCATGGCGAAGATGCTGCGGAAGTTTCAGAGGTCTGTAAGACATTGTTCACGAGCGTCAGTGATTTTAGAGACGACAGGACATGTTCTTCTGCTTCGGTTCTTCTAGAGCTCAAGCGCGGTTGGGTAGTGGTGTGGAGGAGATCAGAAGCAGCGGGAAGGGAGGTATTTATACCTCTTTAACTCTAGATCTAGCTTCAGATGAAGAATTGGAGCAATGATAAAATGACTGGAAAGGACAAAAGAAAGGTTCACGCGGAATGTAAACCGCACGTGGACATGTACGTAATAGAATACCTGATTGAGAACGAGGGAAAGACGCACGGCACGAAAGGAACGAAAAGGCGAGAAGAGGGAGTTTTTGAGAAGTTAGAGTTTTGGAGAAGTTCATTCTATGATTCAGACGCGTCCCGTCAAGGTCGTCCCCTAGTGGGAGTATCGCATCCATATGCCAGAGTTATTTCAGCACTGTAAGCTGCTAAGCCTACAGGCTGCCCGTGGCATGCGCCCCCGGAGTCTGCGGTACCTACGCGGGTCAGATCAGCGGGGCTAAACTCTCGTACCACAAGATGTTCATACCATTCTGCAAAACGCCGTTCCCAATGCATACACACTAAGCAGTCATGCCATGGTATCATTCCGCAGTGAAGTAATCTGCCATACCCTTCCAACGCCGAGCCAGCAACGCCCTATCCCTACTCATTTCTTCCCAATACTAAACCCCCTCGTCATATAATCCGCACTATTCCCCATACTCGGACCCTTCTCGCCCTTCGAAAACAAACTCTTCACATTCTCGTTCTGCTGCAGCTTCCTCCTCTTATTCCTCTCCTGCTGCTCCTCCAGCACCTTCTTCGTCAGATACGCCGTTGACGCGTTCTTGATACCGTTGTTGGCGCTTGCAGCGTGTTTGTCTTTCTTCTCCTTGTCTTCTTCGGAAGTGCTGGAGTTGGTTTTGGCGGATCCGTTGGCGGAGGGTTCGCCGTTCGTCGCCTTCTCGGCGCCCTTCTTCCGCTTCTTGCTGCCGGGCGCTTTCTTGAGCGCGTGGGTGAGGCCTTTTTCTTTTAGGGTCTTGATGCGTAGGTTTAGGCGTGCTATGTCGGCTGGTGCGGTGGGTAGGATGGGTATAACGTCGTTCTCGGCATATGGTTCGTTGCACTACGATCACATTAGCTTTTCCCATTCCTTCGCCACTTGGTATAGTATGGACCCCGACTTACCTGCACACAATTTCTCTCCGCTACCTCCCTCACCACGCTCCCCGCAAACGCATGCCCACACGGCACCAAATAAACCGCCTTCGCCTGTGGCCCCATCTCCTCCCTCGTAACGGGACACACCCAGCGCTCTCTCCTCCCCGTCCCAATCTTCCTCTCTCCTTCCTCTTCTACCTTAAACTTGACCTCCACCACATCCCTCAGACCCTTGACCCTTCCCTCAAGCACTTTCTCCTGCTCCGCATCCTTCTCCTCCGCGAGCAGATACTCAATAATAGAGTCCTTATTGTATAGCGTGCCGCCGGAGTCCGATACTACGGGGGAAGAAAGTGGTTTACGGGTTAAGGGATCGTGGTTCCACGCATGTTCTTGCGATTCGGCTTGCGCTTCTTTGATTTGGGTCGCTGTGGGCGCTTTGGCGGCTTCTTTGACGAGTTCGCGCCGTGTGGGGATGCTGCCGCCGTCGTTTCCCATGTCTGTGATTTCGTACGAGCGAATGTAGAGGTGGAAGTTGAGATGTGGTGGCGTTGGAGGGAGGCGGCGGTTGATCTACGAGAACTTGCTTGGCATCAAAGCTTGGACCACTTGCCTATCTGGGTTGTAAGGACAACCTCCTCTTTCACTGACACGCTGGTCTGGGAGCTTTAGTTGACGCTCGTCGAATATAGCATTCTAATCATATTTATAAGGACACCGAATAGAAAAGTATACCCCTCCTGGTGATTCTTCCTCGACCAAATTCCAACTACATAGAAGGGCAGGTCTATAGTATGATACAACATCTATATAGTACAACAAGCTGTTCCTTTATGCTCGCCTTGCCCACCTCTCCCAAGCAACGCCTAAGTCCTACACATAATCCAATGACTGTACAATACCATACACCCAAAGCGGCCTCGACTAGACGGCCTCACTCGCACTCCGCGATGAAAACCATGGTCTCCGCTTCTCCACAGGCAGCGCATTACGCGCCCGCCAACCTCCGCCCTTTCTATTACTCTCTTCTCCACCCTCTTTCTTTCCCTCGCCCTCCTCAGGGGCCGCATCAGCTTCGGCACCCAGCGCCTCCTTCGCTAGCTCCCACTTCCGATTCCCATCCTTGAACATCATCCTGTTAATGAACGCAGACAGCCTCGCCTTCTCGGCCTTGAACGGCGCCTTCTGCTCCTCGGCGATGAGGTTGGAGTTAATCAGCTTATCGTAGATACCGCAGATCTTCCTCAGAGCAGCGATGGCATCTTGTCTCTCGGCTCCGGTCAAGTATACTGCGCCCACCTTGCCATACTTGCGCTCCCCGCCCACGCTGAGCTGGAGTCGGATATTCTTGATGACGGGTTGAAGGAAGGTAAGCGCATCGACAAGATCCTCGCCTTTGGCAAGTGGGAAAGTGAGAGTGAGCTCGGCGTACATGGTGGCGGTTTTTGGATCGGCGTCTGGGAGCGTCATCATCATGAGGTGCAGAATCCGACTGGCGTGCTTGAGCGAGTTATGGTTGTTTTTGTCGCGGACGCAAGTGCTCATCGCTATCCTGAAGGTTCCAGGCTTGGGCTCAATGCCTTTTCCAACGAAGTCTCTCTTGAGGAGCTCGGCGGCGTTAGCTGATGCGCGGTTCTGGCGAAGGACTCGTAGGCGCATGTGGAGGTTGTTGATATCCGGCACGACGCCATACGTCGTTGGGTCGGTCAGGAGATTCCAGTACTCTTCTGCGGCTTTGTTGGCCACGATCTTCTGACAGGCTTCCTGTATCATGGATAGGGTGTTGTTGGACGGCGTCGCATATGTAAGAGGATTTGATACAGCGCTCCCAATACCTTGTGGCGTCAAGGCGAGGAACTCCTGTCCGCGCATAGAGCCCTTATTAGGACTCAGATGGGCATCATCGAACCTGTACTCCTCAGGGGTATTCTCTGCGCGGAGACGGGGCAGACCAGCATTCTGGCGCTCAGCGGTCCCGAGCCGGGGTACCAGCCGTGGGATATCCATAGTCTGTTCGACCAAAGACAGTACATCATCCCAGTCTCGCGGTCGGCTTCCAATGAGTAGCAGCCTGCCCATAGCGCACACCAACTCCTCTTCAACAACCATATCCGCATTCCTCCATTTGCCGATAACATCCTCCCAAACTCGTCTGCCTTCTACGATACCGCGTTCCCGTCTCGCCGCAACCTCTTCCTCGTTTTCTCCCTTTGGCGCATCTACAAGGAGACTCTGCCTAATCGCGTTGAGAATCGTGGTAAAGGTGGTAGGGTTCGCTGCAGCAGGCCCGGAATCCGGTATCTTTGCTGCAACGCCCCAGAGTGCGTCCATATCTAATGCCCGGGCACATACGCGCAAGACGGCATTAGTGTGAATGATCGTCGGCTCGACTCTGGAGTTCGGGGCGGACATGGAGTGGTATACGGCTAGGGCTTTGCTGAGGGCTCCCGACTTGTGTGCGTTGATCGACAGCCCTCGCAGGAGAATGGTATACGTATATGAGTCGGGAAACTGTGCTCGCTTCTTCATCTATACGGGGTTAGTTTTGCGACTCCTGAGTTGGCCCACAGACGCACCTCATTATAAACTTTCAAAGCGTCCGACACCCTCTCCTTAGCTAGCAAGTGGTCGATGATGTGATTCCAGCTGACAATGCACTGCATAGAATGGCTAGCCATGCGCACCAGCTGCAGCATCTCCGTGCTCTTGTCCTTGCCCAGCTCCTTCCTGACGAAGGTCGCCAGCTCCAGGGGATCTTTGAGATACTGGAGTTCCCTCTTCCGTCTATTCCAGTCCTTTGCCGATACCCTTGGATCCCGCTTCCCTAACCACATCAAATCGCCAGTAACTTCGTTGTGAGCCCGATCATGGGCGGGCTTCTGTCTCAGCGCAGCCCGCTCCTTCTTCTTCTGACTGAGCGCTTGCGGTGATTTCTTCCATGGCTCGTCTTCCGATCTCGAAAGTTCCTCGACCTTGGCGAGGTTCGTTGGCCGGGCATCTACTTTGCGAATCGCATTCGTCGTGGTTCGAAGAGACCTCCGCTGGTCCCTAAAGAGCGTCGAAGCTACATCATGACGGAGGCGGTGCGGCTGAGAAGCGGATGTATCGAGCGCTCGGATGCATCGCCAGAGGCATATGCGACAATTGAGCATGGGGAGAGGCGCGTGGAGGTGTTTGACGAATGGTTGCAGAGGCTGTCAAAAAAGAAGTTCCAGCGGTCGGCAGGAGGAGTGAGACTCGGCCCGACCTATCACGTGAGTTGCCGAAACACAAATGCCATCCCGAAGCAGAAGCGCGACCACCAGACGTCAAGCCGCCTGTAGCACATCAAACGGTATTTTTGCAAGCCATACTCTAACTAGATCGCGCGAGTATCACGCCATCCCAGCGGCCAGGAAAAACGTTGCACCCTAATCTAACGTCGGCGGACTCTCCAGCCTCGCAAACGGGCCCGTTCCTCTCTCGGCCGCCAGCATCAGGCTGATGCCCCCCGAACGACCGCGCCGTTAACGAACCCGGGCTGCTGGGTGCGGCGGCGCAGACCAGGGCACGGAGATTCGCAGATAGCCAGCGGGCAGCATGGCTAGCGCCAGACATATCCTCCGCTACGACCCAGACCGGTAACGGCATAGCACCGCTCACCGCGCCGCTTGCTCGCAGCCCATCCCTCCGGTGGTGCCAATCCACCCCATCCTCCCGCCAACGTGGCGGGACAAGCTGGCTGATTACTGTCGTACAGAGGGGATCCAAGACGCTGGTACGCGAGACGCATGAAATGATGGTGTGCTTTGCCTTACACGAAGCCTGGTGCGAGGGACGGGCGTCGATCATGGCTTCGACCGTTATTGCTGGCGCCGGTCGTACAGGCTGGAGAAGGACGTTTGTGTGTTGCGTGAGCGAGAGCGCGGGACCAGACGATACAGCTTTGTAGCACCGGGAAGGGTGGTAAGCTGCGTTATCGTTACAGCTGCCAGTGACTTGCTGTCTCTGCTCCCTCCCGCCGACATGTGTTGCTTTTCGGCCCGCATTCCCAATCCCCTCTGCTCGAGCCTTGCCAGCGGCGGGCGGCAAGCCTCAATCGGGTTCCCGACGGGCTCCCACAGCCAAGCGTTCCGGTTCTCTGCACGGAGCCGAATCCTCCTGCCGTGTAACCCACCGGTCCACGCTTCTTGCCAGGTTAAGGCTCGCATGCACGTTAGTCTCCGCCGTCAGTCAGGGCCGGCCGTTTGTTTGTCATCCGCCGCCCGGCTCTTCAGTTCCGTCCTAAGACGCAACGAGTAACACTCTGGTGGCCGTGGTTAAATCTGGTGATGAGCCGCTAAGGGCGATCTCGCATCTCTACCAGATCCTAGTCCGATATCTTAATATCTGAATTTAGACAAATATTCGATATGTTTGTTCGGCGATGAGGCTGGCCGACGGAATCTGACAAATGCTTAGTTGGCCGCTGACTTTTTCCGTCTCGAGGAGCGGAATGATGTTGCCATTGCCCCTCCTTCACGAGCGAGCTGGATACCGAATGCGACCTCGGACCAACCCTGTCCCCAGCCCACTCTCGCAGAAAGGCATCATCGAGGCAGGCGATGCGAGCAGAGGAGCAATCTCAGCAGAGGCGCATGACCAGCCCACAAAGCAAGGACATGAATCGTCGTGCGAAAGACTGGCAGCGAGTAACAGGCCAGCCCCTCTATTGCCCTCATGGATGGGACGGATGGGCATCCACCGCCATCACCGCCTCTTCGTCCCACGTCTCTCTCATGCATACCACCGCTATCTCCGGCTGCTGCTGGGCTTGTGTGCTCCCACTGTGCGTCATCAAATACTTCCACATCCCTCCCTCAGCCGTCTCATTGGCTCTGAATAGAAAGATTTTTCAACGGCATCCATGTCGCGGGCAATCACAATCAAGAAAGCAAAAGTCGTACGTCGTTGCGAGCAAGGCTCTTGCTCTTGGTGCCACCGCTCACAGATCCATGACATTCCCGATGCTGCAGTGACGATTGGTTCGGGCTACGCACACCGATGTGGTAAAAGGAGCATGTGCATTACATACACTCGCATGTGGTGGCGACGAGGCGCCAAAGTGAGCGAATGGGCGGCCTGTATGCCCGTCATTAGGCCGCCCAGCTTGTGTGCTCGAGGACGAGATATCGCCAAGGGCTTCCATACGTCCCCATACGACGTTGTGCGTGTATCTCACCATGGCACATTTGTTTCCGCTGCTTACAGCTGGGGTTCATTTATCCAGACAGCCGACGGGAGCGAGTCCCACACGCCTCCGCTTCCTTCTTGGGATGCTGGAAGCGGCATATGAGGTTCGCCTCGCTGATATCAAGGTTTCAATATTCGGAGGGGTGCGGAAACTGCCATCTCGTGTATGGCATGACTGCTTGCTGCCGTGAGTCCTCGCATCGCTGATCCCCTCACCTCGCACCCCCATGCACTTCAATATTGGGGTGGTGGGCCACATAGGGTGGGCCGCATGGAAACGAGGGTTTGAGGTAACCAGGCCCTTCGCCGTCGTTCGTTCCACGTTGCTCGTAACAGAAGGTTATCATGCAGGAGGGCAATTCTTGGGACCAGGAAGTGCGCAAGATTGCTCCATATGACCGATATGGGATGGATTCGAAATTCGATACTGATACATTGCTGCGCGGGCAAAAGCGAGAGGCGGCGCTGGGTCCTCGAACCCTCACGCAACCCTCTTACCCCGCCGCTGCTGGTTGCCCGAAAAGCCATAGCGAGAAACTTGAAACACAGAGCAAGAGAAGTATTTGCGAAGAAGTAAATAAGCATACAATTGTTTCAGAGCGCCAGTTGCATGCATGATGTCTAGGCCCAGAGAAATAAAAGACTGAAAACCAATTTTGTGTGAAACTCGTCGCCGAGAGGGATGTGTTGAGATGAGGAGCCTCGGAAGAACGAAGAAGTCCGCCTCCATGCACACCCAAGCAGATCTATCTTGTACTACTTCTCTCATTTCCCATGTAGGAGGCGACCGTCGTCACCAAAGGAAAATCGTGAGCAGCCTTCGTTTCGCCACGGGAATCGCCAATCCAAAAGTCATCCTTTCCGGTACCATGAACACCGAGAAGAAACATACAGCCGCCGCCGGTTGAAAATGCAGGTCGAAACAGAGCTCGGAGAAGCAGAAACCATCCCATGCTTCCTTGGCAGGAAATGCAAAGCTCCTCCATAGGAAAGTCGTTAAAAGTTGCGGTCTTTATGGACGAAACAGGGGAGGTGGGGACTTTTGACGCATTTATTGTTGGAAGTTGTTCGCGTTCGCATCCGCTGCTGAAACGTCAGCCGGCCGTAACAAGAAACGTTCGCGAGGTTAATGACCTTGCTGGTACATCTGCGGGTTCGAGCCGTATGGCGACTGAGGATAACTGCTGCTGTTACTATTTGGACTGTTGTAGGCATTGCTAGAGGGAGTCGCATACTGCGCCATGCCTTCGGCAAGACCAGGGCTCTGCGTGCCATACTGGGGAGCTGACGTGTTGCCAGACGCAGCAGGCTGGTACCCAATTGGGGGCAGTTGAGGGTGACCAGGCGCTTGCCCAGGCACCCCGACAGCTTGTCGCATCTGACCATAGACTGGGCCTTCGGCACCGTTATCGTGGGCGCGGTTCTGATCGGCGGCGCGATGTCTCTCTTCTTCAGCCTTGCGCGCAGCTTCCTCCTCCTTCTTCTTGGCCTTCCATTCTTTGCGGATCTCTTTGAATTCTGAAGTGAAGTTAGTGACCTATAATACATGGTATTATGAGGCGTGCCAAGATAGTAAGGCAAGGGTTGACAGTGGCTAGCTTCCGTCCATCTGAAGCTATCCGTCCCAGCGGGAACACCATCAAAATAGGCGCAGCACCAACACCGATCGTAAGTGCTAGCCTAGCGCGCCTTGCAAGGACCAAATACGAGGCGAACGGAGAATAAATGAAAAAGTCGGTATACCTTCTGGCGTGCGCTTCGCACCGTGCGATTGCATCGTGACGTGCGCGTTCAGATGATTCAAAGTGCCATAAGCTTTCTCGCAGCCATTCCAGCCGCATTTGTACATGCGCTCGATTTCTTCGTATCGTCGCCGCGGTCGCTTGTGCTGCTGCGCACCTGGAATTGGGACAAATGAGTACACTGTAGACAATGGATGACCGCCCTACAGGACAAGGTTAGCAATGCGCCATTTCTTCTGAGAACATCAAAGCAAACAGCCACGTTCACGATTTCAGATCGCGATGGCGGAAATGCCGTCGGAGAGCACAAATAGTAGTAGTAGTAGTAGTAGTAGTAGTCACATACCGTTGGAGGGCGCTGGACTGGAGATACCATGGCTGGCGCAGGCGGACCAGATGTCGAAGGATGGCCGTAGGGCATTCCGTGCTGAGGGTACTGCCCGGCCCATTCTGGTCGCGAGGCATACATTGGGGTAGTGGGATGGCCTGGGTAATGCTGCATGTCGTGGTGCGGGGTGTACGGCGAGTACTGTTGGTGTTGCGGGTAGGTGGGGCTCGTCGCCGCCGCGATCGATGGATCTATAGGTACATCCGAGTCAGACTTGAGTTGTTGTGGTTGATGGTCATTGTTCTGGCCATCTTGCAGAGGCATTGACGGACTTTGTGGTTGCGCCATACCTCCAGCTGCTGCACCTTGCGCGCCGGGCTGGTATGGACGTTGAATGTACTCCGGAAAAGACCCTGAGCGGGCAGAGGACGGGGTGATGGTGTATTCGGAGGTGGGAGTGGCCGACGAAGAGAAGTTGGAAGCTCGCGGATCTTGTCCTTGAGGATATTGCGCAGCAGATGCTTGATCTGCAGAGGTACCCTCAGAAGGCGGTTCAGGGAAGGTTGGGTAGGGCGAGTTCAAACCTGTCTGCGGATAGTCCGTTTGTCTTCCGTCCATAGACTGTAATGCCGATTCCTCGAAGCGGGAGTTGCACCTCAGCTCAGTGGGCTTAGGTCGGTTGCGCGCTGGCGAAGATGGGGAATGGCGGCAGAGATATGACGGTTTGTCAACCGTCGGCGGGTGATTTGCCGCGGTCACAGCAAAGACAGGCAGCTAGGACAGAGAGAGGAGACGGATGGGGCCAAGAGCGGTGCACAGCCAGGGAACCGGAGAATGGAAATGTTGACAGGACACGATAGCGTGGACCTTAACGCGGATGATTTGCAGACGGTCTGTTTTCCAGAGCGCCCAGGTGGAGGGGACGAGCGGTTCGGCAGATTCGCGCCGTCGAAGATAACGCACAGAAGACGCAAGCTCGAGGCCGAGCGGGCAGGGGCAGCGCAAAGGTATTAGTGGGCGGAGGGCTGCTCGAATCGTGGAGAGCCTCGCGCGGCGCAGAAGGAGGTGCAACGCAGAGGGAGCACGAGTAGTGCTAGCGGTGAATGAGGTCGCGCTGGGGGGATGGCTTGAGGGGCAGGAGTGGGTTTGGGAGGATGCAGCTAGTGGAAGCGCGGTCGAAGTAGCTTGAAGTGGGTGGCGTGCGGTGCCCTGGAAGAGTGTGGCACCAATGGGAGTGATGGGAGGGGAGCGCCGCTTGCCCAGGCTGACTTAGCACACTCGATGAAGTAATGGGTGGCCGGTGTGCAGAGCCTGACGACGACGGTGAAAAATGGACCGGGGGTTGATGCGATCGGTTGAGCCGAGCCGCGCTGATGGGAAAGGCTGCTGTTCTGGGACCGCGCTAGGGGAGGGCCTAAGACGCGGTCGGGCTGGCGTTGAGACAGGGCCGAGGGCGCTGGGTGGGACTGGCCTCGAAGGGGACGGGCGCACTCTGGGTGAGACGGCGCGGGGAGCGATGGGGATGTCGACTGGCACTAGTCGAGCAGAGCCGGGTTGTGGAGGGTTGTGGAGGGTGCCCACGGTGGGTGTTCCGCGCAGGCGGCCACAGAAGAGGCGGGCTCGCTCGCGCTGCAGGCGGTGCGTGGCTCCGCGCGCTGCTGGGGCCAGAATTAAAGTCGGCCCGTTGTCGGTGGGTGGTGAGCTTTGGGTTTCACGCTCTCCAGCGGCTCCACTCCTGCTTCCCAAAACCTCAACTGCGCCGAGCGTGCCGAGCGATCAGCCTCTCGTCCGGCCGCTGGCCGCTTTTCCGCTCGCGACGTGTGGGCACGCAGGGCAGCCTCGCAGAGCGTTGCAGTGCTGCGCGAGGTCCGCGGAGCTGCTGCGGGCGATCTCGCGTGCCGTGACCGCGCAGCTGGCCGGCGAATGCGGTCTGGGACGTCTGGGACAGGCCCTGCGCAGAGGGTGCGAGAAAGTGCGGTGGGCAGATTTGCACGGGCGCGCGGTGGTGTGGGCGTCGCCTCGCTGCGTCGCACGTGTAGCACCGCGGACGCGAGATGGGGGAGCAGAGCAGCAGTGCTGGCGTCGGGGCCTAGCACAGCAGAGAGCGGACGGCGGTGGTGGTGGTGAGCAGGGCAGAGATTCGCGATGCAGGCTAGGGACGAAGTCGGGAAGGCGTGAGGGTGGCGAGGAAAGAGAGGCCGCTAAGGCCGCCCGAGGTAAAATACATAGCGCAGCCCCGGCAGGCCCCGGCGCGCTGACTAAGCCGGCCGCGCTGCCCTTCGCTCGCCGCGCCGCACGCAGTCGCCCGGCGAGATCTGCTGGCCGGTGCTGCCTCTGCGCGCCCCGCTGGACGTGCGACGAGAGCCCCAGCGCACTTACAGCAGACGACACAGCGCCCTGGAGTGCAGCTTCGCGATGCTGAGGCTGAGACTAGCCCGCGCGCTAGAATCGGGCAGGGTACAGGGCCACTGGCGCGAGGCTACGCTCGTTAGGAAGGCACGATGTAAACAACACCACACGTCGTCTCACCGTCCGCCTCTCCCTTCACCACCACACGCAGCGACATCACCAGCAGGCCGCCGCGACGAGCCCGCAGAGAGTCGGTCGGAGATAGCGAGCCCGCCCCGAGCGAAACGCGGACCAATATTGGACACGGCACGCGGCACACTCCACAGGAGCGGCAATGAACGCCGCGTTGCGCGAGAATGCGAACGCGACCTGAGTGGCCAGTGCCGAACCTCGCGCGAAAAGCAGCACCGTGGCCCCGCAGAGAGTTCGCCGTGCAATCTCTTGCGGGCTGGCATTCATCAGGATCAGGCATCATCAACTGCGCTCGCAGCTGGACCGCACAGGATGTTGCCTTCGGAGGCAATTGTTCACCGAGACGGCCGCCGCTCAACCGTTCTGTTCTGCTCCTCACCGCCCGCCTTCTGACGCGTCCGACGGGCTGCTGCTCACAATGAGTCGTCAACTGACACGGCAGGCTCGCCCGGCAAAAGGGCCTGCGTTGCAGAGCGCCTTCGCCGCGTTTGCCTGCCTCTCTGCATGGGCGGGGCGCGCTCTGAAGAGGACTCACTGGCCTCGCCTGTCCTTCCTTGCACCTGGTCGTCATCAATATTGTCGTTTCAGCCTCGCGCTTTTTTCCCTCTTGATCATATCTGATCTCGGCCGCTGTTGGCTATTTTCCGCTTCCAACATAATATCATAATACTTTTTTCGATATTATACCGGCAAGCCACCGTGTCAGCAGACTCGATTTCGCTGCAGCCAGCCAGCCCTAATCGGCGGGCACTGCGCCGAGGGGCCTGCAGTTGCTTTTCGATGATTAATGTCGGCATGCTGGCATTGAAACGAGGAGGTGTGGCTATGATTGCGTCTCGCTGCCGTCCAGTCGCGAAAAGCGGGGCTCGCCATGCCCTCGTGTCTTTCATTCTGCGGCATCCCCATCAGCATCTGAAATGTCAATTTCCCTTTGAGACCTCCTCCTCGTTTGATTTGTCGGGTTCGCACCCGAGCTCGCATCCGACAGCTCCGGCGCCCACCCAGTTGTTGGAACTCTCTGTGGCCCGAAGAACCACGGCTCGTCCATGCATTGTGAGACATGGATGCCGGCATGAGTACGTACAATATTGAACTTGAGCGTGATATACGGGTTGGAGGGTCACTGAGTCGACTCGCATATGCAGCTGTACTGTTCGAGTACCGCTCTGCTCTCGGAAATAACACGTCCTTTTATCGGAATCGCATCAAGACTGCTTGAGTTCAGCGACGTTAAGACAAACTATTCCGCCAAAGACGCTAGCGATCATGATTTGAATTTCTCAAAATCTCTGGAAAAAAGAGCCCGGATCGCAGCCGCCGACCCAAAACGCGATACTCAGTCTAACCGCATTCGATGGGAATGGGATTTGATCCCTATCCCAGCTCCCCGAGACCCTTCTCCTTTTTTCTTCGTCGTCTTCCAGGAGACATTATCGATCCACATAGAGTACGCGGCCGTCCTGTATACATCGCCGCGCCTTCTGATTGGCGCCTTAATGCTGAGATGCCGCTACTTATGACGCACTCCGTCATTACTGCGCGGGTAGCCGGGGCGGAACGAACGAATGATCAGGACGCGAGCACGAGCATCCGAGCGGGTCCGTCACTTCAAGAGCTCTGTTAATGTCAGCTCTCTTATCATACTCAAACCAGCAACTACAGACGAGCATAAAGAACATCGTTCCAAAGGAGCACCAAGACTTGCGCAAAAAGGTGATTGCAGGCGACCAGGCGCTCAAAAACACGATATGATTCGAGCAAATTGAAACTGTATGCGTCAAGCAGCTCCTCACCACTCTTGGCAGTCCTGCAAACAAGGCCTCCCGCAAGAGCGCCTCTGGGCCGTCCGTGAGGCCGCGATTCTCAAGTTTCGTCACCGCCATGCTGTGTACTGATTTCAGGCCCGCGTCGTATGAGAGACCCAGGAGCGAGATCTTCGTTAAAGCTGTCGAATGAAACCCAAAGAGCCGTTGACGCCAATATTAGCCACAGCCACTGCGGCTAACGATAGCACGGCCCTTTATCCAGGAACGACTCTCGACAGAGCGGGTGACACTGACAAGGGCGACCCCCTGCCCCAAGTGCTAAGTGGGTCCTTGTGGCTTCTCCAAGCCTTCGGCCATATTGGGGTCAGAATTTGGCCGAGCGGCCTCACGTGGCAGAGACGTGCAGGATGGAACCTTGTGGCTGCGATCTTAGATGGGCAAAGTTGTCCTAGCTTACTCTGACCCATGTCCACCACGCTTCCGGAGAGCCGGGTTTGGCATCCCGTGGGAGAGCGGGCGATACGCGCCTTACGGTGGTCGATTTGAGGCCCGGAGAGCGAGGCCAGCGTCGCCGTTGTGTCGGAAGTAACATGACTGCATGCTAACCCTGCACATTCCGATGGATTTGTTCAAACGGGGTATCGATGACAGCTCGCGTTGAATATGCGCCCGCCTGCATGAGCATCACGCGAGGAGCTGATTCCTGCACGGGCGACCTTCCCGTTGCACGAACAGCTGACGACGACGCCTGCAGGAGTGCCCTCAATAATCTCAGCTCTGCCCAGGGTTCTGTACGAACGGCACATGGGTGTTTTTCCTCCACTAGAAGGCCACTAGAAGCCTGAGGCGTTGAGCGTTGGAGATCATATGTGATGGGCCCCGAATTATTTGGAGCTCGCGTAAAGGTTGCAGGTCGAACCGAGAGCAAATTTCAGTGTCCGCGATGCAGACACGGGCGTAAAGTCATGAGGCATTTGCTTCTCGCAGCCTTCCTCTCGGATTTCGTTTTAAGGGCAAAATTGCGGCAGCCGGTCCCGTGATCATTTCAACAACTCTCTCGCCAACACTGCGAGAGGCGTCTGTTCCAAAAGGAGAAAAGACAACAAGGTGAACAGTTCCATCAACATGTCATCCACACTGGGACCAGACTGCAATGCTATGCCAAACCATGGAATTCAAAACCCGTCCCGAATTTCCTCGTGCCTTCAGCAACCTCGTCGCATTCGCATTATGATGTAACTGCGCATGTATACATCCACTCCCACGCCTACAGCATTGGCAAATCGCCGATCCTCTAGGCCAGTTCAAACCAGAGGACCGGCGGCAATCAGATCACCAAGATGCTCAGAGTCTGGTACACTATCGCGTTCGACCTTTGATCGCTGCCACCACAACCACGGTTGAAACTTCCAATCACCAACTCACCATATCTTTCTCCATGCATGACAGTTCCCTACGAGCATTGCCAAGAGGGCTGTCCAGCTCCAGAACGACCGTAGAATGACCGACTGCAGTCTTCTCAGGGATAACCGTGTCTCTGTTGATGCAGAGTCTGGCCTTCCACTCCACAGTCCCACATGCACTGGCGCAACCAAACTAACCACTCCCGGCATTCTTGACTTCATCCCCACCTCTCGTGAGTGGAAAAACCCCCTCAGTTGGTGGCATGAGATTTTGCGGACATCAGCGGATGGGGAGCGCGCACTTCTCCTCACCCACGGCGAAGTGGTGCCGGGCGAGTCAGAAGCAAAAGCGCAGTGGAAATTGGAAGCCGCGCGCTTCTAGACCGCATGATGTGGATTTGCTTCTCGCGCCCCGTTTCTCCATGCAAGTGTTGCGTTGCAAGTGACGGTGTCGATCCAAACTTCACACTGGAGCACAGGACCGCCACCCCCCGGCCGGCTGCTCCTGTATCTCTGAAGCAGACCGCCTACGGGAGCTTCTTCCCTCCCGCAAGGCCGACGACATCGTGAAAGCCGGTCTCTGGGACCACTGAAGCTTGGTTTGACTCCGGCTTCTGGCCGAAGTTGGCCCACGGTCTCGGCGGGCCTAACTCTTCCGACTGAGTGAACTGTATCCGCCTAGCCTGAACCTAGCATCATCAAACTCTGTGCTGCACTAACGCGTCTCTTGCTTGCCTTTCCGCGTCCCATTGATTCACAAACCCCGCTCGCTCCTGCATATCGATATCTATGAGACTGTGACTCGCGAGGAAGACCGCGTACGGGGCGATGGTGATCTCCTTCCGTATGCTTTCGAATCCGAATCCGAGCGACATCTACGTTTACCCTCCGAAACTCTACCCCAATATCGATGCTCCACCAGGCGAGGAGCCCGCAACACTGGGTGACCATAGCATACAGAGGGCGTGGGGTTCCTGGAGTAGAAACGCTCGGCATACACTCAGGAGGCGCTGCCCGGAGGCAGAGGATAGGAAGACTGAGGTATCGTAGACCCAGGAGGTTCCTGGGTTCCCGAGCTGTCCTTCTGGCTTGCCACTCCGGTGTCAAGACGCCGCAAGAGAGCCTCTGCTTTCAGCCCTCCCTTGCCTCGCGCTGCCTACGTGCAGAGCCTCTGCAAAGGGTCGTTCGAACCGCGGCAACCACCAAACGTACGCAAAGCGGCCACACATACCCGGATGAGAGATGCGTGTGAACGCTCACAAAGCAGCACTTGCTCATATGGCGCAACAGATTGCGCCGAAGCGTCAGTGATGGTAACCTCCCGACCGATTGACCGTGCTGCAGGACGTCCACTTCCGCTCCATCTCTCATTTTCGCGTCGTGTCCGCCCCGAAACCCCAACAACTCGCTCACGAGACCCACACACAACTGAGACTTCGTAATTGCTGAAGGTATGGGATATCGACGGACGGTCACTCTTGCCCCTGTGTGCCTTGGTCAGCGAGGGAAGTGGCGCTGTAGAGCAAGTACACGCGACAGCGACTCACTACGACCATCCGGAACGCCGCGTTGCGCCCATGGTTGGCCTGTCACTCTCAACTCTTTTCTTCTGGGTCCACCGTCTGTCAGCCATACTGAGGAAGATTCTTCTCGCCCCTGGGTGAGCTGGAAAACTGCGCAAGTTGAGACTGGTCAGCCTTGGCTCTATCGCGCTGTCGGACCTTCTCTTTTCTCGAAATCAGCCATGGTACCACCAAGTTTTACGATATGTCCTCACTCACGAGATAGCAGACACGTCAGAGTTGAGAAGCCATCGTCACGATACCAGATTCCCCCCTACGCGTCGTCGCCACGCATTTCCTCTCCCCCGGCACCGACCGAATATGATCCCTCAACATGCCGAACAACGAAACATAGCCCAGCCGCATGGGCGCCGTTACGGAAGCACCGCCGATTCACGAGACCCGTTACGATCCTCCGACGCCGACGTCGGATACGCCTCCTCAGCCCGGCGCGTCTCCATACCCGCGCGAGCCCTTCGCCGCCACGAAGCATCACAAGCCAGAGGCCCGCAGAATCATTCGCACCCTCATACTTACCCCGATTCCGGGGCTGCCCTGTAGCGCGCCACTTCCAACACTGCTGCATGTGTTTCGAACTGAGCCTTCAACGCGCCACAACACGCAAGCCTAAGCGTACATACGTGTCCTCATCGCCAGAATCAGAGTAGGGTTTGGTTAGGGAATAGGCATCAAACACTGGCATCATGTGCCATTCGGTGTGTTTGCCTCCTGCGCTTCAGAAGGGCGAGATCATACCACTCCACGACACGTGGATGGACCACCCCGCTCGAGGGCAAAATCCGTTGTACGAGCGGGCTAAGAGTTGTAGAGCTGACGGCAATATGTACGCGACCTGCGCGTCTTGAGAATACTGAGGTGGAAACTCCGTCCCATTGATCCCTTTCCTGTTCAAGCTGACTCGACCCAGCATTTCGTCAAACCCACGTTTCCTGCAGAATAGCTCAGCCTTTATGACACCCCAGCCTCGATGGTGGCGAAGGAAGCTCTTCTGAAGGTCGCTATATCTGTCGCTATATCTGCCGCTTTAGCGCGTCACGGCCCCCCTAGATTCCTATCCGAATACCATAAGCAAAGAAATACTGGAGATGCGTGAGCATTCTAGGGTGGAACCACATGGGGTGAAACAACTCAACAGTGCGATTCCTTGCTCGCGCGGCTACTGTTGCGGTCGAGCATTCCATCCTTGAAGCCGTTGCTATCTACTTAGCTCGAGGGCACGCCTACTTGCCCGACCGTGATGCACGGTAAACGTACTCTTCCAATAGCAAGCATCACACACTTCAACAAACAAACAAACAAACAGTAAGTGAGCAAAGATAGCGACCCTGTGGAGACTTCGTGGGCTGTGACGCAAAAAGCACATACAGTGCAGCATTGCCCTAACTATGATGCGTGCCGTCCAGAAGCCCTCGACGAGAAACGAGCACATAGATCAAATCAGATGCATAGTCAACTCGACCACATACATAGCCAGCATCAAACGCAATACCTACATAATCTAAATTATCCCATTCATACACGTACGCCTTTGTTCCACATGTCGCGTTTCTTTCCCCTCGCATCTCTCGTTTTACGCCTCGTTTCGACTCCATCGTGCCGTGACGGTCAGAACGGAAATACACACATACACATACATTATACTTCCGTAAAGCTGAAGCATGCATCACTGGTAGTACGTGTGTTAGATACGTTGGTTCGAACCACCCGCCGTCTAGCCTTAGACATAGAAGGAAGATCCACGACGAGGGTCGTCCGCGGCACCACCTATCTCTATAGAATCTGAGGCATTTATTCTCCGAGACTTACATCCCACATACACAGATACATACACTTAGTAGGACGAAACCCCCTGTCACAGAGCAATCGTATCGATATCAGCAGCTCTCAAGTTTCAACATCACTACGGTACGTAGGAAGGACGATAACCGCAGCTAAGCAAGATTCTGCATACTTAAACTACTTATCTATAAACTTGCTTTCAACGCCCCTTCCTGCCTTCTATAGGGGGAGATAAGATGCGGAGAACTAAATACTCTTTTCTTTCCTTTCCTTTCCCACCCATGCAGTGCTACTAACCTCCCAGTTACCTGGCCAGACCAAACCAGATCTATAACCCACTCCGCCTGCCGTGCTTTTCAACACAGCCCTTGTCCCTTGTCCAAAATTTGCGGCTGAGCTTTACAAATCAGCAGCCCTGAATATATAGCTAGTAAGGTATGCCCCATCCATATATCCATTCAACTAACCAAATATCGCCGTATATACCACCGTATCAGAGAACATGAGCTGGTAAAACGCAGTCAATCAGTCAGTCCCGCCACATAAAGCTTAAAACACCACGACTACTTCGTCCCTAGCATAAACAAGCTAAACTAAGTCCACTCACTCAACGTGCACATATATGCCTACCTTTGGATAGCATTCCTTGCCTTCGTGTATCGCTCGCTCGCTCGCTTCGCGCAACAGAACAGACAGATAGACAGATAGGCAGACAGACGAACGTAACCGTCTATTCCGCCTACATACACATATCCACAGCTTTTATCCCATCCCTTCCCATCCCTTCTTTTCCTTCCCCTACCGCAACACTACCTAGCTCCGCCTCCGCCGCCCTCGCAATTTCTCTCCGTCCGTCTCTCTATTAGTCCCCTTCCCACACTCTCACATGTAATAAATAGTATCCCTTCTTTCCACCTCAGCTCTTCTCAACTCTTCAATCCTCAATTCTTCAAGCTCGAACTTCCAGACCAGTTTCCAGCGTAAGTATGTACATCTCCTTCTCCTTCTCCCAGCACAACGCCGACCTACCTACCCACCAGCCTGCCTAACTCTTACCCACAACGACGCACACATTCGCGGCACACGCACAACTCAGTTTCGGAAGTAAGGACGACGGTGTGCGCTTCTGGTATATAGTGTGTGAGAGAGAGAGAGAGAGAGAGAGAGAGAGACTTGAAATGTTCTTTAGCAACTGAATTTCTTGGACATGAGAGTGTAGCGCTACTGCGGTGGAAGTGCTCTGGACTCTGAGTATATCGGCATACTGTTACCTACCATAGAAGAAAGTAGCTGGGCACCAAGAAAGCACTACTAAGGAGCGAGCGAATTCTAGCACGCCGACTCTGCCGACCAGGAGAGATGCCCCTCCTCAAAGATATCACCCGGGGCCACGGCACCCTGCCTTTTCTTTTAGATAGAGTGCGACAACCCTACCTGCACTGAACAACCGGGACAGTCTACTGCACACTGCTACACTGCGGTTTACTTAACATATCACCACTAGTACAAGGAACAAAGGCATCATCAAATACTATGAGAGTGAATTCTATATCCCATTACGCGACAAACTTTTCATCGAGAGTAACGCCACCATCTCCGAGATGCAATACGGCCAGTAGCCCCTCATACAGCGAGGAGACCGGCGAGAAAGCCACGACTGGGTGGCTTAGGCGAAAGTGAAGGAAATGCCAGTCTAATGAGGAGCTTGATCGACCCCGCGCATAATGACTCATGTGATTCCTCCAGGGGGTATCAGCATCCAATGGAGAGATCTTCCACCGAGGTCGAATGAAAACGAAATGGACCGAACGTCTATGTCAATACGCCGAAAGTATGAAGCTGTCTCTTGCTGGTGTCGAGATGGTCCGATATGGTCGACGAGGGACAACAGATGTGCCTCATCGGTCAACATAATCACCAGCGGTTGTTGCGGATCGGGGCATTGTTGCTTCCGGTCCAGGCTGCATTTGGAGTCAGCACGAGTCCTTAGTAGATGTCCAGATTCGGGGTATCTTACCGCCTCCTCCGCGGCCGCGGCCACGACCACCACCCCAGCGGCCACCGCCACCTCCACCGCCACCATACCGGGCCATCTCGTGCAAGCGAGGATCAATCTGCTGCTTGGACTCTGTGAGCACGGAGACGAGATCACGAGCCTGCTTCGAGTCTAGAAGAGTTAGCGTGAGCCTTAGACAATGGTGGAATTGGGACTTACTCTCAGTCGTGAAGAACGTGATGGCGGTACCTTTGGCACCAGCACGACCGGTTCGCCCAATGCGATGAACATAGTCCTCCGAGTTGTTCGGGTAGTCATAGTTCAGCACATGGGTGATGTTACGAACATCTTGAAAGAGAAAGGTTAGCATAATGGTAAGTAGGGCGAGCAAAAGACGACCAAGAAATGGTCGCGTGAAGCTGCAGTATGTTGCATGCAACCGTCTCTGTGCGCTACGATATTGTCATGGCATCCCGGTCCAGTGGGGAAGGCTGTGTATATCTCCTGGCCAGGAAACCTTGGAAGAGACTGCGACTTGCGTAAGTCCGAACTCTCAGCTTGCCTCAGAAGTACCTCGACGATACCTGAAACAAAAAGCAGCGAAGCGAACTTCACCGGCATGTCCAAGGAAGCCTGGTTATCAGATTCGAGAAACGTAAAGCCCTGGACGATGTCATGGAGAGAGTAGCAGCGAGCGCACGAGACGACCTAAGCAGAGCACCTAACAGATCACGCATAGTAATAAAGAGGGGGAAGGCGAAGGGAAGGGGGCGGCGGGGGTTTATAGTCATACCAATACCACGGGAGGCCACATCGGTGGCAACCATGATGGGGCTCTTGCCGGTCTTGAACTCGTTCAAGACCCAATCGCGCTCGTTCTGTTGCTTGTCGCCGTGAATGGCTGGGCACACGTTAGCTAGGCTTATTGCATCAAAGCAGGGACGACTTACACAGCGCTGGCCAACCGTCTTGGCGAAGGAATCGGGTGATCTCGTCTGCGACACGCTTGGTACCTGTGAAGATCAAAACCTTGTTGTTCTTGTCGTCCATGATGGTCTCGAGATGCTTAGACATCCTGTCACGTTTCTCGAACTCTGTCACGACCTCTACGACCTGCTGGATGCGGTGGTTGGCAGAGAGATCCATGGAGCCGATGTTGACCTGGATGAAGTCGTGCTGGTAGTCAGAAGCGAGCTGACGAACCTCCTTCGGCCAGGTAGCAGACCACATGCATGTCTGACGGTCTGGTCGAATCTGGCCGATGATCTTGCGAATCTGCGGCTCGAAACCCATGTCAAGCATACGATCGGCTTCATCGAGCACTAAGTAGGTGACACGGCGCAGGTTAGTCTTACCAGCCTCAAGCATGTCGATAAGACGGCCTGGAGTGGCAATGCAGACTTCGACACCGCGAGCGAGGTCGCGGATCTGGGGACCCTTGGGCACGCCACCGTAGACGCAGGTGTTTCGGATGCGAGAGGACTTGCCGAACTTGCTGATCTCCTGTTGGATCTGGACGGCCAACTCACGCGTTGGTGCAAGGATCAAGACGATAGGACCGTCACCGGGAGCGAGCAGAGGCTGTGCGTTGATGTGGACGATGGCGGGGAGACAGTAGGTTAGCGTCTTTCCGGATCCGGTCTCTGCGATGCCGACGACATCGCGACCAGACAGAGCCATCGGCCAGCCCTGCGACTGAATAGCCGTCGGCCTCGCAAATCCTTGTGCCTTGACTTCGTTCATGACGTAGGTCGGGAATCCGGCCTCATCGAAACTGGTAACGGGCTTAGGTACGTTCTTGCCCTGGATGGTGATCTGGTGCTCTCGTCGGAAGGCGTCGACCTCGGCTGGGGTGCGCGCGGCGACTGCGGGATCCTCCTTGTAGAATGACTTCTCGAACTTAGGCATAGTGTCGAGATCTGCATTCTCTGTTAGCTGTTTCGTTGCGTGATGCGATGTGGGATACCCACCCCAGGTCTGCGTCTTCAGGCTCTGGCCGAGGTTGGACATCCTGTCACCTCCACCGCCATAGCCGCCACCACCTCCTCCATATCCATTGCTGTGGCCGCCGGCGCCGCCACTGTATCCGTTTGAGTAACCGTTGCTACCGCCATACCTATTTGGTTGTTAGTACGCTGTCATGAAGAGAAGAACGAGCGGTAGGGGGATTCTACGCGGTTGCAGCGAGCACATTCGCCGCCGCCAGACATGCTGTGTCGAGCAGCGTCGCGACACTCGCCCTGTGCGCAGAATCGATGAGCAAAGAAAATTGCAGTGTGGATGGGGCCGCCGATAACCAAGCGACTAGTGCTGTCCCGTGGGGATGCGATCTCATACCCATACGAAGCGTACTGGTTTGAGTAGTCATAGTTGTAGGTGGTGCCGCCATATCCATCGTTTCTGCCATCGTACCCGTTCGAATAGCTGCCTCCGCCGTGGCGGGAGGAGCCGTAACCGCCGCCGTAAGACATGGTGGTTGAGTTTTCAGTAGGGACTGGTCGGAAAGAACAAAGTACGCGGGCGAGGGAGCGTGTGTGTCGTTTTGTGGCCGCGAGGGCGTGTATTATACGTAGAAGAGCGACTAGAACGTGTCGCCGGTGAGGTGGCGACGAAAATAGAGAGAAGAAAGGAAGTTGATGGTGTTGTGGTGAGGGAGGGAGGGAGGAGAGGAAGAAAAGAGGCGGCCGGTGCCTTTGCCTCGCCCTTCGCGCTTGCAATTTTTAATTCACGCTAAGCCGCTAACCCCGATTCGTCGCACAAGCCTTCCGGCTGCCGTTCCCTCCTCGGAACGTCAAACAAACACCACAAAGACGCACGCTAAATATTCCGCCTTTGTTCCGGCGGCTGTTGTATCCAGGTACATCATAGACCTGCTTCATCAAAGTATATTACCTCTGCTGCGACCCGGCGCGGATGCCCATGTCCCAGAATCCCCTTTCCATCTGTGGCGAATCAGCGTTTGTGCATTTGTGCATGTGGCCATGGAGCGAACTCGGGCTTCACTTACGTTCGTCGCGTGAATGAATATTTGCGCCAGTTCCTCGACCCTTGATACGGACTGCTTTGCAGCATGCCTTTCAATAAGTTCTGTCTGATCAGCGCGTCCACGTCTGACGCTGGCACTGCCTCGACCTACCTGAGCCGTTCTTCATCGCCTCGCAGTAATCTTGCGCCACATAGTTCTCGATCCATTTCCAGTATTTGCTTCCTTCCCTGACCGTTTTCGGGTCGTCGTACAGGCGGCGAGCGATGATACCATAGCCAATAAGGCAGGGCAATAACGCTACTTGCAGTGCGAGCCAGTCCTCGGATTGGCCAATGTCCAGAACGTATCTTCGGGTCCCATCAATAAAGAGTCGTTTTCTGCTGACGGGTTTTCTACCTTGTGTATGCTGTGCATGCTGAAAACGGTTAGTCAAAGCGCCATGGAGCATTTTGCGGAGGGGAATTTACCCTGATCTTCTTCCTGATTCTCTATATCCGCCGGGGAGAGACCATACTCTTTGCAGAAGTCGATATGTAGTTTGATCTCTTCTTGTAGAATCACGACTTGTCGCGCAGACTATTTGATGTTAGGAGAGCTTACAGCGCAAACCCAACCAAAGAAGCCACCCACTCGGCCAATATCCACTAGCGACTTCGATTTGTACGCTGCTAGCGCATTTGCTCGCGCGAAGTGTATCTGCCGTTTATTAGTATGACCCTCTACTTAACATGGCGTGACCGACCAGGAACAGATAATCCTGTATCAGATAGTGCTTGAAGTTCTCGTCCGGAAGCGTTCCGTTAGCCATGCGCTGAACGAATTGATGTTGGGTATACTCCTTCCATGGCTCTTGGACATCCCCACGCTCGAGCAGATACTTGATGAACCCACCTCTACTGGAAGTCAGTTCGAAGTTCTTCAATTAGCACGGCATAGCTTACGGGCCAAATGGCAGGGTATACGTAGAATGGAAGTGGTTGATCGGACCATTTCCTTTGCCGAGGTCGCTACTAGTCTTAATGCCCACCTCTACGTAGAGGTTTGCTCTCTTGACGGCGTTGATGACATCCATGCCAGAAGCGAGGTGGCATGCAATTGCAGCTAGCAAAGCGTCAGTCTGCTTCCGGAAGCAAAGGCGAAGAGCAACTCACAAGCCAATGAACAGCCTGTCCCATGCGTATTTTTCGACGTCAGATAGTCTGTCTCCATGAATGTAGCCTTTCCGTCCCCATATAGCACATTGAGCACGACATCTCGGTCTGCTTCGTCTTTCGATACTAGCCGGCCCTTTGTCAATGGCAGGTGGCCTCCTTTGAGGAGCACATATTTGGGACCTAGCTCTTGGATGGACTTGGCCATGCTCACGATGTCGTCCACATTCTCCGGCTCTTGGAACGATATGCCTGCAGTCTTGAGAAGTAGTTTTGCCTCTGGCAGGTTTGGCGTGAGAACCATCGTTAATGGCAGTAGCTGCTGGATCAGCGTATCCACAGCCTGTTCAGGCAAAAGCTGGGAGCCACTTGTAGATACCATGACCTGACCGGCCGGTAAATGTCCGTCTCGCGTATTTCTTTGGGTTCACATACCGGGTCTACAACGGAAGTGCTAATGTTGTGTCTGCGGAAGGCGTCGGCAACAACACCAATGGCATCTGCCGACGCAAGCATGCCTCAGAATGGTGTTAGCAACAGCACACAGGCACCATTTAGATGGCGGGCTCACCAGTTTTGACCACATCGACGCCAATATCGTCAATGCAGGCATCGATCTGCTTCCGAAGAAACGGAGGTGGCGTGTGGTGGATGTCGTACACTCCCAACGTATTCTGAGCTGTTAGGGCCGTGGTAGCTGTCATCGCATAACATCCATGAGCAGCAATGACTTTCTGGTCCGCTTCTAGGCCGCTAGTTGTTAGATGTCAGTAATTCCACCCCAAATTGTGGGCAAGGCAAGGATGCATACGCTCCGCCGGAGCTATCGGAGCCGGCAATGACCAGTATTCTCCTTGCAGACATCGAGTACTGTGAAGAATGAAATGGGAATGGTTGAAATGTTGTTAGTCTGAGAAAGGTTCTTGCTTCAGCCCCACTAAGCGGGGACAAGCGAGGCCCAACGTCATCACGGTGATGACACTGCATTGCATGTTGCAGAGGAGCGCATCGTGTGGCGACCCGTAATGTGAGGTGCCTAGCTTTTCGCTGCTGTTCATGGTGCAGTAAAATCCCGAGAAAATTAAGTCTACCCAAGGTAGAGGACACCGTGGCCATACTGAGAGAGCCGGATTCGTACATATCGCTCTTTCGGCATTTAAGGCCGCATACAAGGTGACTTTCTAAGGAAGCAGCCCCCTTCTTTTCCCTAAGCATTGGAAGCCTTCGCCTCTCGTTGGCCTTTGCTCAATCTGATTCTCCTTCAAACTCTGAGACATTTGGATCTGCGGGGGTTTGTGTCAGCTTGTTGACTCCCAGTTTGACATACGTGGGCGTCATACCTCTCCACGGTGTGTATTCCAACGTTCCTCCCACTTTCCTAGCCAAACTCTCCCTAACCAAGCCTACCTCTTCGTCAGGAAGTAGAGTGTCAGGGTCAGCCATATCAATCATGACGCGAATACCCTGATTTCCCGGTCCAAGGCGGGAAACAAACTCGAGAAGCCCATCAGTCGTGAACTTGGAAATGCCCGCAAGTGCAACGCTCTTAAGATTGCCGAGGTTTCCCACGAACTCGAGGACCCTATCGTTGAGCTCCAGACCGTTGACATAAAGCTCTTCTAACAGGTTGAGGTTGTTGATGACGGCAATCAAGTGGTCTTCGTGGAAGACCTCTTGGAGAAGGAGCCTGAGGACCCTCAGCTGCGTTAACTGTTTCAGCGAATCGACAATAGTGTCGACATCATCCCGAAACATCCCATCCGTATCGCCACTGAGTGACAGGAAAGTGAGCGAGTCCTTCTGGTGGATGAGAGCTTGATGGAATCGCCGGCTGTCTTTTAGGACGTAAGAGTCGATCTCGAGTGTCCGCAGGTGGATGTTATGCTCCAACAGCAGTGGCGTTACAATTGACGACGCAGATAGAACTTTTGTGAAACTGAGGCGTTGGAGATTTTCGCATTTCCGCAGCCAAGCGATCATCTCCAAGAAGACGTCGTTTTGGGTCTCTTCAAGGACGATGCTTCCGTGCACGTCTTCGATTCGTAGAGCCTCAAGTGCTGTGCATCCAGCAAGCAGCGATAGATGCGGCATAGACTCATTGGAGACACAGATCCTGAGCTCCTTTAGAGACTCGCCGTGGGCGTTCAAGGCGAGAAACGTCTCAGCGCCAGCCCCGATGTCGCTGAGGGTAGTTATCGCCTTTAAAGAGTTTGGTCTCATGGCTCCGATGAATTTTGCAAACTTGTGATCGCGCTCTTGACCGAACCTGCAGGGGTTAGCCGAGCAGATGATGCCTTCGATTTCCGACTAACCAGCTGAAGATCATGAGCGAATTGAAGGTCGGACAGTGCTGGTATATGCATGCAGAGACGAGCTCGTCTTCGAGAGTACTTCCATCCCAGAGTTCCAACACCTGGAGGCGGGGAAGCCTTGGTACCCATCGGACTAGAGCGCGTGAGAGGACTATCTGTGGTTAGCAAGGAGCCCTCCCCGAGCAATGGATAATTTACTTTTTCCGCTAATCACCTCCAGAGTCGGCGTATGTTGGGTAACAACTATAAGGAAGTCAGTGACTGCGCATTGATGATTGGTGAGAAGGAGGGATGTTGAAGGGGCTCAGATAGACGGCATGCTCTGAATAAGGTGGAGCGTGGGGCCACCACCTACTTTCTCCAATAGCATCGATGATGGCTGTAACGTTCAATCGATCGAATTTCCTTCCGTTTTGACGTGTGATCGTGTCTGCTTTGTAGAACTGCGCCAAAGGGCCGGAGAAGAATTGCCTGTGCGATCATTAGCATCGACGTGTTCCGTGTCGCAAACGAACGGAGCTTACTTAGAGATTTTGACTTTGAATTGATCGTCGTCGAGGAGATTGTCCAGATCCCTAAAGTCAAGAGCCCGAATATACCGGCAGTACGGAAATAGCGCCGCATCTAAGCTGGAGTTGATAATCGACTTCCACAAGATGGACCATTTCTGGACCATCAAGAGCTTGGTGGCCATCGGAACTGCTTCATCTTCTCCTCCGCCGTGAACCGGCGCTCTATGATGAGATCTAAATCACGCGTCAGATGCCCCATTTATTCCCAGAAAGCTGTATCATACAGCGTTTGGATGCGCTCGAGACGTACCGATACAAATGGGTTAATGCGGGCACCGCGAGAGCTCGGCTGGCGCAGGCGCAGTTGAACAGCGTGTCAAACTGTTCCTGCTCCGCCAGCTGTTCGCATAGGAGATGCAGGATATCGTCTGGTAGCGCGGGAGCCATATTTGATAAATGCAGATGATGGAGTGTTGTTGGTTCGCACACTTGCCCGGCGGACGTTGTGACGTCTTCGCGCTAGCGCGTTTTCGGCGCGACGCGCGAAAGCACCTGCCACGACGATGAATGCACAACTTTGTTCCCCGCAATGCTGCCAACACAAAGTCGATAGCATGGGATACTCCCAATCATGACCGAAAATGGTCATTCTCAACTTCACCCTCACGCCCGAAGCGGCATCCAAAATCCATGACCTGCTTGTCTGCCTCGGAAAGTTCAGCGACACGGTCGCCATCGAGGCGCGACGGGATAAAGTAGGTCTGACATTCCCTTTACCGCGTCCATTTCTCACTCGTCCCTCATAGTTCGCTTTCACCGCGCTCAATTCTTCAAAGTCCGCATATGCCGCGTTGACACTGGACGGCAAACATTTCTTCTCCAGCTATGAGTGCATTCCGAGCCATGGAGGTCCAGACGGCCGCTTCACTTGCAGCATGTACACGAAGGCCCTGCTTTCCGTATTCAAGGGGCGACTGTACGATCCACTGGGGAGAGACGGCGCGATCGATCGTTGCGAAGTCACAGTACAGGAGCGAGCTGACGAGACGCAATGCCGCTTCATCGTCAAGATGGTGTGCAACCAGGGAGTCATCAAAACGTACAAGTTGACCTATGAGGCTGTCGAAGTTATGCATGCACTATTCGACCGGAATGTCGCAAAGAATAGATGGAGCATGCATGCCAGCGCGATGAAGGAGTACACGGAGTATTTTGGTACGAAGACGGAGATGCTGGATATATTTGCGGGAGAGGACGGGCGAGCTGTCTTCAAGAGCTACACCGAGAAGATATCGAACGGCAAGGAAATTCTAAAGCATCCTCTCGTGACGGCTGTGGCGGTCAACACATCCGACTTCGAAGAATTCAACGTCCAGCCTGGCCTACATATTATCATCAGCGTCAAGGACTTCAAGGCCATTGTCGCGCACGCGGATACGCTCAAAACCAGCTTGAAAGCCTTCTACTCGCATCCTACTCGACCTCTGCAATTCAGCTACGGATGCGACGGCCTCCTCTGCGAGTTCACGCTCATGACCTCCGGAGAATACAACGGCGCGACCATGACACCAACACCGGCACCGCAAATTGCTAGCAGAGCAAACTCTCGCGCACAATCCGCTGCGACCGAGAACCGCAGTGTACGCTCCGAGATGCCTCCCCCGGTTGAGCCAGCTTCGCGACGCTCAGAAAGACGCCGCATTTCGGGTCAGAAGAGGGCGGCCTCACCAAAACCACAAGCGGACCACGAGAGCCTGTTCGTCAATCAAGAGGAAGAAGATGCCCGGTGGGAGCCGGTGGATTATACTAATGAGGAGGAGACACTAGGCTGGGATGCGAGTGCGGACCGTGACGCCGCGAACTTCCCCACCTTCCGGGACACGGGGAGCTTCTCAAGGCAGGAGACGACGGATAGTAATGAGGGGATAGCACCGAGCCAGCGGGTGTCGCAAATCAAGGGTTTGTGGTAGACAGAGATGAGACTGGAGTAGAAGAATCAGTGCCGGAGAACATGGCGAGCGAAACTTACGATGCAATGCAAAAACTGCAATACATGCAGTCTTCATTCCGTTTCTAGCTCCGGTACCTCCTCCTCCACTTCGCTAAGCACGAAGCTCGTGCAAAAGCCAGCGCCAACGAACCTAATGGTTCCAGGTATCTCAATGTCATTCCAAAACCCTGTCACCATATCATTCCGCACCCTGTCCCCCAATGGCTTCAGATCCCCGCAGTTCCCATGCTTCCCCCAACCCCAACTGATCAGCTTACCCTCCCTCGTGACAGCAAGCACATGCTCACTTCCCACCGCGATTCTATCAATCGGCGGCAAGCCCTCCGGAATCAGTTTCCACATGTTTTCCTTCCCCCAAGCTATCAAGCTGCCGTCTTCGAAGAGCACGAAGATGGCGTGCCAGGTTGCGCCAATATCTTTCCAGTTCTTGATGGACGATGGCATCGAGGAACAGAGGTTGTGTTTGTCTCGGCCGAGGAGGTAGTGGTGTCCTGTAGAGGGCGAAGAAGCGAGGTATGTGAACTCTTTGCCGCAGACTACTTTGACGGGTGGGAAGGGGACGGCCTCGTCGATGCCTGTGGGTCGCCTTATCTTGAGTTGTGTGGATAGCTTTGGACCAAGCTGATCAAGCCGTGACTTTCCCCAGCCCCAGACTGAGCCGTCCGAAAGTATGGCGACGTAGTGCCATCCGCCTGCTGCGAGGTCGATAACACGACCTGGCAGCTCTTGTCTGACAGATTCCTTGCTTAGTCCCACGGTAGTAGTAATATCTCCAAGCCCTAGTTCACCCCAATGACTTGCCCCTTCCGTGTACAATGTACTCGCTGCGCTCTCGGCGCCGCCCACAGGATTAACGACAGCCGCGGAAGATTCGCAAGTAGCTGCGCAAAACGACACGCCGTGATACAAGTAATTGAACTTCTCGACCCTCGGCGTCTCCGTGTTCAGAGATCCAAGTTGGCCTTTTCGGCCATCTCCCACGCCGTAGACTCTACCATGAGCCGTGAGAAAGAGGGTGTGGTTGTCACCGCCGCGGATTGCTTGGAGCCCGCCCGCCCAGGATGGAGCTATGGTGGGAGTGTAGACGATTTCTGCCGCGGGGATGCCGAGTTGACCTTCTCCGTTGCTTCCGAAGACGTATAACCTAGTAGGCATCCTGTGGGTTTACCGATAGTGTGCTCTTCGTGGTTTTTCTTTGGTGTCGTCCCATCGTTGGTGGAGAAGGTCGGTGGAAGAACGACGCCGCGATTTGGGGGACGTTCACATCGGCTCAATACACTGGACCCCTCCAGGTTTCCATACACGCAATTCTGGAACTGCTTTCGCGTTTCGATGAGAGCCTCAAGTGGTAGGCTGACATAATCTAGAGAGCGGCGACCGCGCTCGGACCACTTCCCTTGCCACAAGCGGCTAAGCGCGCCCACAACGAAATTCAGACTCCAACTTCGAACGTCCACTATATCGCCGACGACCTGCAAATACCTACGCCCGACCTCCCTCGACGCACGCACTTCCCAGTCGCCCAACATGGCTACTCAGAGCGTGCAATGCTTCGGCAAGAAGAAGACCGCGACTGGTACGCCCTCCGCTCTGCCGCGAAAGAGACTCAACCACAATGCTAACATAATGCTGCAGCCGTCGCCCACTGCAAGGTACAACATCCGATGCCACGACCGAACGCACGAGAAACAATATACTGAGTAGAGATATTTCAGGCCGGCAAAGGACTTATCAAAGTCAACGGAAAGCCGCTCGCGCTCGTGCAGCCCGAGCTCCTGCGCTTCAAGGTCTACGAGCCCATCCTGATCCTCGGCGTTGACAAGTTCGGTACGCACACACCACACCATCCACAGCCCTTCTGCCCCGGAAGTCACTGCTGATACAATTCCCACAGCCGACGTCGACATCCGCGTGCGCGTCTCCGGCGGAGGTCACACGTCGCAAATCTACGCCATCCGCCAAGCCATCGCCAAATCCATCATCGCCTACTACCAGAAATACGTCGACGAGCACTCCAAGAACCAGCTGAAGCAGGCCCTCGTCCAGTACGATCGCACACTGCTCGTCGCCGACAACAGGCGGTGCGAGCCCAAGAAGTTCGGCGGTCCCGGTGCGCGCGCAAGGTACCAGAAATCGTACCGTTAAAGGATACTGGGAAACATGGTGGTGGGAGGCATGGAGCGGTGTTCATCGTGGGCTCTTTTACTATCTGGTCTATGGGTCTCATTTCGATCGGTCGACGTGCGGGCCTGAACAAGCGACTCGGATCTTGTGACGATAAAAATGAATACGCTGGTTGCAGGCACAGCAGAGTGGGCTTGTGACAAGATCAAAAGCTTTCGTTGGGCCATGTTGTGATGCTAGGAGACGGACGGATATCCGCCATCTTTTCCATGACCTAACCGCTGAACCCATGCTGCTCCATCGCTAACCGGCATTACAAAAATACATTGGGAAGAGTCAAGCCTCGCTGCTGAATGATGTATCTCTATGATAAGTCCTCCATTGACAAGTCTCAGTCCTCCCTTCCGTCCAGGGATTTAGCATCTAGCCGCTTGCTCAACCATCGCTCCCACTGCTTCTGAAGGCAGCACACAGCGCTGCGTACTGATGCGTCAGGTCTAGGACATGTTGCGGCAGACTCGTCCCTTGAATGATGCTGCGGATCTTGACGGCGCCCTCCTCTTCGATCATCTTGCGAATCGTGTACAGCAGCGACGGCGAAAACTAAACTTATCAGCAACAACATTAACATGGAACAAGAGAAGACATACTTCAGAGTACCACCGATACTGCCACGTAACCAGCCTGATCAACGCCCCGCACACATCCCTCACATTGTGCCTTGTATCGTTCAACTTGAGCACGCCCCGCATCGCCTTCGGGCTGAATTTCATCTGCATGCAATTCTCATACGCCTCAATGGCCTCATCAAGATGATGCAGACGCTCTGCCAGCTCGCCCAGAATCTCCCACTCCTCGGCGCTCTTCTTGTACAAGAGTTGCTGCTGGCGGTACTGCGCCATCTCGGTGCGCCAGATGGTGTAGACACGCAGGTCCTCGTACAGCACCATGAAGAGGTTGTCGAGCCAGCGCTCGCAGAGGCGCTTGTTCTGGAAGTGCGTGTAGTTTTGCTGGTGGTGGGCGCTGTTTTCCACGTCGTCGCTGCCGGCTTTGACGACTTCGGAGGCGACGGTGTGGCCGGGCTTTTCTATCGAGGATTCTTGGGCGGCGGCGACGGCTGCGGCTGCGCTCGAGGATTCGCCATTGGGGGGATCTTCTGAGTCAGAGGTTTCTTCGACGTCGCCATGCTGCTCTCCATTGGTTTGTGGGGTTGGGCTTGGGGAGCGGAGGGCGGTGGTGCTGGCGGTTCGTGATTGGGGTTGCTGGGACATGGTCTGCTTTTCGTGGCGGTATTCTTCCTCCATGACGAAAACTTGGCTGCGTATTCGAAGGAGCTGGTCCCAGCCGATCTTCTTCGTGATCTCAGTAAGAAGCATGTACGCCTTCAGAAACGTGCCCTTGAATCCGGCGGCGTGTAGTTTTCGAAGCGTTGGGTGCACGAGCTCAACATCGTCCACATTGCTGTCCTCAATCTCATCGCAGATGGCCTCTGGCATCATTGGGAGGAACACTCTCTGCGGCTCTGGCATCCGCGGCGCATCCTTATCCTGGTAAGTGAACATGGGACAGGAATTCAGCGTCAACAGCGCAAGGTCCCACTGCTCGAGGCCAACATAGATCTCCGCCAACCTTGCCCAGGTGCCAAACTCGCTTGGGGCTGATACCACGCTCCTCTTCGCAATCTCTAGTGCAAGGTCACTGCGTCCCTTCTTGTTGCAGAAATCGGCCTGGCAGTCCAGTAATGAGTAGTCCATGGGCAGCTCCTGGATTGCCTCATGTAGCAGCTGGACGGCTTTGACCTCCTCGTCGGCTTCGATATAGACACGCGCAAGTAAAGATGAAATTTCCGGATCCCGCGTTCGCAGCTTCTCGAAGAGGTTGATACCTGAGGCGTACCGTCCTGTTGTGTGGATGTAATCCAGCAGCCCAGTTGTGAGATGATTCGAGACGAGATTCGGCACCTGAATCTCAGGATCAGACCCTAGCTGCCAGCCATTGAAAAATAAGCGCTCCGCCGCGTCCAAGAACTTGTGTTCGCTCTCGGTGCTGGTGATGGGGTTGAACCTCCGCACTCCCACAATCTTCTTGATCGTGTCGCCTGAACCATCATCGGCATATGAGTATGCGCGCAGGACGCTGCACAGATACGTCTCCAGCCACAGCTCGTCGGTCGCTACCCGCTTGTCTCCGCGCTCATCTATGCAGTAGCTCTCCACAGTTCCAGGGATGTAGACCTGCACGCGCATATCCAGCCGCGAGAAGGCATTGTAGCAGCAGTATAGACCGGAGACGACTTTGTGTTGCTTGTCGTGGGGAGAGTAGGTCAGGGTGTTTATATATGCGGCGAGGCTAGCGGAGGACGACGCATCTATCCCGCTAACGTGGTGGTAGACGCCAATTTGCTTCGTCGTCGACTTGACCGGTTGCTTGATGAGGTGGACAAGATCTGGCGGGCCGAGTTCTCGAAGGGTTTGTAGCGATTCGGAGCGTGCCTCAATGGCCGACTGGAGCTCTTCTTCGTAGATCCTGCGTGTTCCCGATCAGCTGGCTGACCAAACGGAAAGATGTAGTGGTTCCAATTGCAAGGAACGAGGGATATTTAAGAGTGCTTGACATATATTTGTATATTCGACTTGCGCATCGACTTGACGGGGCTCGAAGCTTGGGGACGTGGAGGCATACTCAGGAACAGCTGGAGTCATCACCATGGCGCCGGTGGTGCCTGGCGGCGCGGGAAATCCACAGTAGCGAGCGGAACGCTATAATGACATGTGTATGTGAGCGGCACTGCAGCGATCTGGTCAGCGGAGGGGTTCGTGGGATATGGGCCGGGTTGTGTGGTCTGTGGCAGCTGGAAAGCAAACCGCTGCGGCGTCTCGGAGGACCCGCGCCTGCCTTGGCACGCCAGCGGCCCTAGCTTTCACGTCGACGCCCACGACGCGACTCTCGACTCTCGTTACTGCACCGCGCACAATATAGCGGGAGGCTCTTGCTGCTGCCTGTTGCCACAATATGCCCCCTACCTGTTGTCTGTAATCTCCAATTCGCCCAACACGACCGCTCCAACTCTGCACAGCTATCGCGCTCAGCATGGTACGTTTCACGCTTCACAGTGCCGCAACGCAACCTTTGCAACCTTCGCAGCTTTAGGTAGGATTTTCAAGCTAACGCCCATGCAGTCGACGTGGAAGGCGCTCAACCTCGAATCGGATAACGAGGAAGAAGACGAGATCGACGATACCAAAGAGATCCAGATCGAGGAAGCTCTGAAGCTCTACCAGACAGCGCTCAAGTTCCACTCCGAGGGGCCCCAATCGTTCGAAAAGACCGCCGAAGCGTACAAAGCTCTCTTCGAGTCCGAAATATTCAAATACCCCGAATCGCTCTCCGAATACAAGCGCCATGAGCTGTTCGGCGACACCTTGGTGTTTGACAGCATCCTCCAGGATGACCTCGAAGCGGGCCCCGTTCAGGCCGTGGGCGCGAACGAGAGCGCCCCGAATACGCTGCCGCAGATCCTACACCTCTCGTACAAGAACCATGGTCAGTTCATGCTCGAGACGATGCAGCACTGGGTCCGCCAGCACGGCGCTGTGTCGCAACAGCAGGGGTCAGGACACATACTCAGCGTGTTGACGTACTTTGCCGAAGCGCTGGACAAGGAGGACACAGACCTGGATCTATGGATACGGACGGCTTCAGTTGCGGCAATGCTAGGCAGCCAGCGCATCACCAGGTTCTGTCTCGAAGCTGTGCTCGACGGGGACGACGAGCTGTACGATAACCTGTTCCGCCTTCCTGGCCTGGAAGACGGTTTCGCGGGGCAACAATTGCAAGAGCTCATAGCTAGGCTTGAGGACAACCTCTCCTTGATGCAGGCACCACTGTCCACCATGAAGCGGAAGAAACTTTCCGAGGTCCTCAAGAAACGCCTCAATCCCTATCCATTCGCGCCTCTGCCAGGCGAGGTCGATCGGCCCGCAGCCTTGCCGATTCTTTGCAAACAGCCTGAGCGTGCTATCTTAACCCCCACGAAGTGGGACTGGGCTGGTGTTGGAGAAGCAATTCTTCGACACTACATGGCAGAGCAAAGCGGTCTTCTGGACAGAGTCCCTCCCGGATCCGGTATCACCATCCAGATGCCACTGGACGCAAGCTCTAGCCCAGTTGCGATCCAGGAACCCGAAAGCGCGCCGATGGCCGAAGAGGCTGTCGCATCGCAAGAAGAAACGCCCAAGGCACAGACCGAAGATGCGGTCCCCCCTATACCTGAACCTGAAGCAACCCCCCCAAAGGATGGCGAGGACACCGTTATGGAAGATCAAGACAAGACTACAGCTAAAGCTGAAGATCCCCGGTCGGCAACTCCCCTGGAGCTTGCACCTGCTCCATCTCGCAAACGCTCGTCAGATTCTGCCGGCTTACCAGAGACTGCTGAAGGTGGCCGCGCTCGCAGTAAACGCCTACGAGCTCGCGAGGTCACCGACTCAAGTGCCGGAGGCGACACCGCCGGGCAGGAGGCCGCAAAGCAGCTGGAAGATCAGCTTTGGCAATACACCCATGCTGATCAATGCCTTTGCGAGGTGATCAACGATATATTTGCGCGACTGGGTGTCGAAGGGCTAGGTTCGCCGAAGGCATTGCGCGATCTTGTTACCAACCCATCAGGAGCTTCAGCGACAGACAGTATCGACAAGGCCGCCTGCGATATGTATGCCGCGTTACAAAACACAGGACCAAAGATTGCTCCAGTTCTGCTCAGCGGGGAGCCTGTGGACCTGGGCGGCGCATCACGAGAGGCCGGATTGAATGCTTTCCTGGGTTATGCCAAATCCAGCATCGCACAGGCCTGCGTTAAGCCAACCTTGCAGAGCGAAAAGCTCACTAGCTTTGCGCGTAACATAAATGACGCTTGGCTCTCAACCAAAGACGTCGCCTTTGCGTGGCTCGAAGTTCTTTTGTCGCCCGGTTCAGTCCCAGTTCCTGGTCATTCTAACGAGGGCAGCAAGTCTAGCTATATGCGGTACCGATGGACCGAAGACCTGAAACGTCATCTGGTGCAAGTCATAGTTAATATCGATGACTTTATCTATGAGCGTATGGTCGACCGCATCGGCGGGCTCGATACAAGGATCCTCAAGGCTACAGAACAGTCTAAAGAGTACCAACTGTCTGGTTTCGATGCCTCACAGGTCGAAATAGTCGAAACACTGTTCGAGCTGCACCTCGATATTTACTCCCTGATCAAACACCCACACAGCGGGGTGGACGTGGTCACACAGACCGTTCAAAATGACCGCCTAGAGAGATGGGCTGCTCTAGCCCGAGAAGCAATGCAGCTGCGGTCGAGCTGCGATGCGAATATCGGCCTGGACGAGCTGACTCTCCGCCACATTTGGGCTTCCGTTTTCCAAATGAGCGTCAGCGACGACGTTCTCCCAGAGCATGTCATCTATGCTATGGAGGAACTTAAAGGGATCTTCCAGTCATTAGATGGCCGTACGATCGAGGTGCAGAACAATGCAGTCATGCCAGAACTATCCGTTACTGCCGTCGACCGCGAGCTCGTTCGAATCAGCATGAAAGACTTCTTCCTCAAGGTATTTGACACTGATGAGAAAGATCCTGTAGCGGTCATCGAAAGCTTGGAACCGATTCTAGAGCCCGTGCAAGAATCTGAGTTGACGGTAGAGAAGGAAGCGAATGGTCATGCTGAAGAGAATGCCGGTTCACGAAGTCCATCAACGGTTGGAAACACCGATCAAACAGCCGAATTCCAAGTCTCAAGACCATCGCCGACACAGGAAATGAGGAAATTTTTGGACTCGGCTTCCTTTAACCTGCGACTGTCACTTTGGCAGCGTTTACGGGAAGCATACGAGGCCATCGAGTATGCTCCGAAAGTCTTGTCCTGCTACTTGCGGAGCATCGAAACCCTCGTCGGAGAATTCAAGACACCCACTTACCAAGAATGCTCGATCCCAGAACGCCACGTCAAGCTGATGAGCCGACTCCGCATCGTCGATGAGGTGGTTGTTAAGATTCTTCAGATCATTAGGGACGAAAAGGATGCCTTCGATTGCCTCTCGTATGAGCATATGCAGTCATCAATGTCGGCTATTTCGCAGCTACTGAGGATCATGTCTGCAACGAATTTTCTCCAAGACCTGACGCACATTGGACAGCTTACCATCCCCAGGATCGAAGGTATGCCGCCTGCAACATTCGTGAACATGACGAACAGGTTGCATGATATGCAGCTTCGGCTCTGGATTCTCCAATATCACCTGCTGAAAGAAGGGATGTCGCAAACCGTCGAAGCGTTCCCGATACCTTCGGATGACGCATTCGAATACCTCAGGCATGTTCATCACGCAACCGGTGTGCGTGGCTTCTGCCACTTAGCCGGACGAACGTTTCTGAGACTTGCGAAAGATGAGGTCCTACGTTTCGACGACGTTACTGAACCTAGCAATCGCGATATCGAGTTCTCGCAGTTGTTGTACGATCTTTACGGACTGAAAACGTTCATCGATCCTCTTGAATGCCAGGAATTTGGTTCGTCGCCGGACATTCTTGACAAGAAGACCGCGACAAACCTACTACCATTCGTTCAGTCTCAAGCTGAGAAAATGAGCATCAAGGAACTCCCCAAGCACGACTTAAAAGTCACTATCGACAAGGTACATGGAGCGTTGGGACGCCCGAAAACGACCGAGGACATATCTCTCAACCGAAGAATTCTGACGACGTACTTCAAGTCCCCAGTCAATCCGATATCTCTGTTCAATTGCCTTAAAGGTGTTGGATCACTCGCCACGAGGCATATCCCTGCTGAAGCCGCGCTTCCCGCCTCGAAAGGATGGTATTTCTTAATGGGGAACATCGCCCTCAACAAGTTCAGGTCCCTGAAGAAAATGACCCAACAGCCCACGGAAGACCTCAACTTTGCTCAAGCCTTCTTCCTGCAAGATCTCGAATATTCTATCGAGCGATGGGAGACTTGGTATCGGCTAGCTCAAGCCAACGATACTCAGCTCGAAGAGGCCGTATGTTGGAATGCGGACAAGATGAACAGCAACAGCGTAGAGCTGATAAACTTTCAGCGGGCTGCCATCCACTGCTACACGATGGCCGTTGCTTGCGCTGTCCGCGACGCAAACGCGTCGCCCGAGACTAGACTTAAAGTTTCGCGAATGTACACCGACTTCGGAAATCGCATGTATGCATCGTCTAGAGAACCATTTAGCATGAATGCCTTCAACATCCGGGAAACCGAGCAGAAGTACTACAGCGGCAACATCACTCAGGTGGTTTATCAGAACGTGCCCTTCAGCCCAATGTCCGTCTACACCACCTGGAAATTTGCTAGCGTTCTGTTCAAGCGGGCAATCAAAGGCGACCCAGACAAGTGGTGGAATTATTACATGCTTGGCAAGTGCCTGTGGAAAATGTACTGCGCCAACGCCGACTTTGCCATTGCTGCTATCCACCAAGGCGAACCGGTGCCTCCAAACAATGGACCAGTTTGGGAGGAAGTGATCGATGCAGTCGTCAACGCGATCGAGACGCTACCTGAGAAGAAGGGACGGAACGGCGAACCAATACTTGAGCCCCACTACAAACTGGTCTCTATTGTGCATAAGCTATTCCAACGCAAGGCCATTGATCACGAAAAAGGCGAAGAAGTGCTGAAGCAGACCTCGTATGCGCAGAACCTTAGCGGGCCCGACAGTGCCGATGATTGGGAACGGTATATTCTTGCCGTACTTAAAGCGCTTCGATCCGCAGACAAATCAGCCTGGCACCACCGGATCATTGCTCGGGCTGCCCATGTCATTTACGACGACTCCAATGACATGATGGTTGCACATGGTGCTAAGCATGAGCTGACGCAACATATCTTCACGAAGACCATGGCTGTCCAGGTCTGGAAGCCAGAGAACGAGCGACCTGGCAGGCACTTTGTGTACACCACTCGCTACACAAAGTTTTTCATCCACCTCCTAGACCAGACAGGCGACAAGACGAGTCTCGAGGCCTTGGCGAAGCGCGTGAGGCGGAAGTCGACAGACTTTTTCGAACATTCCAAGCTATGGCAGGAGCTGTGCCTACGATACTTGAAGCTCCTGCGTCGAATGGGGAAGATTCCGGACGGGCATGAAGATACTATCTTCAAAGCCATCAATTACGACGAGTTCTCCGTCCAGGCCGCCCGTCTGGAGGCTTGGTGCCAGAATCCTTTGACCCAGCATCCCGTGCTGGACGTCTTGCGCGATGTTATCGATCTGAAGCGGCTCAACAATACCCTCATGAAAGCTCTTCTCATCGACGACCTGATTGGCGATACGTATGCCTTGCTGTACACTACTGTTGGACCAACTCTGCAGCCCCTGCCATCAGAGAAGCTGCAGCCTCAACAGCCGCAAGCTGCTTTTCTTGCTCTAGGGCAGTCGAATACCGGTCCATCGTATATACCATCGCTCATGCAGGTGCAAATGGACGGCTCTATTGATGCAAATCACAATGCATCGCCCTTCAATATCTATCATCCCAGCCAGCTGCAACCCCAGCAAGCTGACCCTGTGGTCAAACCTAGGGCCAAAACGGTCGGACGCCGAGAGATTGCACGACGAGCCGAAGCCTGCGCCCAGAAGCCCGCTGGTGCCCCTGCTCTCGCAACGACTGCGATTCCGATCCGCTCGCCTCCGACCGCCATGCATGCTACACTTGCTCTCGCTGCCCGCCCGTCGCCCGAAAAAGCGGCCAACGAGTCGAATTCTGCAACTGAGCAACTGCAGGTTCCCAACAGCGGCACTGCGACTGCTGCTGCCAGCGTCACCAACGTAGAGAGCAGCGCCCCAGGCTCGATGCACGATGACGCGGACGATGAGAGTGAGTTGAGCGAGCTAGATGAGGAAGAGGTGCAGGAGATTGGGCAGGAGGTTACGGATGCGGCTGGACATCCTTCTGTATCTTCCAGGTTTCTGTTTCCTAATTTGCACGCCGGCAAGGAGAAGGCGAGGTCGGACGATCACCAGGATGATGGCGAGGGTGACAGCGGGGCTGGGAAGGATGTGAAGACGGAGGAGTGAGGTCTGTTCTGCTTATGGAGTGTCCAACAACGGCGCGGATTTGAACAGATCTGTGTCCTTGTGTGGCATCCTTTTTCTTTGTTGTGCTTTTCCGTTAGAGAAGGACTCGACGAGTACTTGTTCGAGAGGCATCAGCATGATCGGTGTGTATATTGGCACAATGGCGTCTCGGATGCTGTCGCAGGCTGCATGGGTATGATGCGGCTCGGGATATTCAGATACCCTTCTTTCTTAGGGTCGTATTAGATGTAAAGCATGTATATTCGATATCGAGCCTCTGGGCGCTGCCATTTCCGGAAACGTGAACAAAGGGACCAAGGCGATGAAGGAGCTTCGAAGCCGAGTTTCTTCGACGAACGACGCTATCGACTCTAGACACTATGTCTACTACGCCAGAGTTCGCCTCCGCTGTCACGGATCCTTAATACTCGAGTCGCCCTTAGCTGGTGGTGTTGCGCTCAAACTTCGCGGGCGTCGCTTTGTCTTCGGCAACTACTTAGTCCGCGACTCAAAGCGCAAGCAGAAGCTCTTCGCCTCTCGCTCCACAAACTTTTTTTTTTTGGACATCCCTCGCTTCTGCCATGCGGAGAACTCTTCGGAACCTTCCCAGTTGCCATCAAGCAGGAGTGAATGCTGCAAACTGGTCTTCCCTCTCGATTGCTTCACTCATTACCTCGCGAGCATCCCGATTTCGGCTGTCTCCACCTCGATATCCAACCGTTATCTCGTCGTTACAGCCCCGCGCAAGCACTTCTGGGAGTTTCTGAGGCACGTGCGTTCACGACGACTTCCTGATTTGGGTGGCTAAGCGAATATCAGGCATGGCTTGGCGCTTGACGCAGCGACAACAAGCGGGGAATAGCTTTGGTGAAGTAGCAAGCACGCATCGGTGGACGGGAGGATATAAATCAAAGATGCTCAGCCTCTCAGACAGTACTCACCTTCAACAACCTCAGTCAACAAATCGATGCAAGTCAGTATATACATCAATGCTTTTGCCTCGTTTCTACTCCCTTCTAACCTCAGCCAAGCATGCTTTCTTCCGGCTCTGGATCCTCCCCTCCACCGCCTGGCCGCGGCTCAGGCCCTTCCTCAACTCCTCCACGAGCATCCACCACTCGCGTGCGCAACGGCGCCACTCCCCAAACCGCACTCCTCTCTCCAGGTCTCCAACGCAACCCAGACGAGGAGTTCCGGTACTACGTCAACCACCTCGGCCAGTGGTTCGAAGTCAACGCGCAGGAGGCGCGCCAGTACCGCGCGGACGGCTTCGCGGTGCACAACGTCGACACCATGGAAAGCATCGCTGAGTTCCTGAATCCCGTCCAGCCACCGAGCACGGAGGGTGCTTTTGGTGCGCAGGTGGAGGAGGCTGATCGGGCGACGGATGTTATGGAGGAGGAGCTTAATGCGCACCTCGGGCCGGGCGTGACCCACGGTAGGTTTCCACCTCGGTGCGGATGGTTCTGTTTAGTAGCAGCTGGCTGATATTGCGGTGTAGAGGAACTCCAGAAGCGGGCAGAAGCCGCTAAGAAGGCGAAGGAGAAGTCCTCTGAGCCTGAGTCTCCTCACGATAAGAAGGGTGGTCCGTCGAGTGGTATGCAGTCTCTTTTGGCATCCGCTACTGTCAAGTACCTAACCGTGCGCAGATGGCGACAAACGCGATCCGTCTGCAGGCGCTGGCGCTGCGTCTAGCAGTGGCGTGGCGGATTAGACCTGGAGTCACTCTTTCAAGACGTCTTTGACGACTTGGGATAGAAACCTAGAATCGTATACTCGGCTCGCCGGTCTTCTCTGTCTGAATGCTCGGTGCTGGATGAACTGGAAGCTCTGGATGCCCTGGATAACGGACGGGATGCCTCTAGGATTTAGGACTGGATGTCTTCTTGCTGGTATTGCCATAGGCGGACTATAGGACTTCTCCACAACAACTTACTAGCTCCCCGGAAGTTGCATGCTTCATAAGCTACTGGCTTTCCAGATGACATCGTTTCCGGATCTGGGTGGAACTGGATTTGGCTTCGAGTATCTAGCCTTTCCTCACTAGTGTTATTGGATGGACCTCTCCTCGGATAAACCCTAAATAGCCCTTTAACCCCTTCACTGTGCCGCCTCCAGTGGTTCGAGACGCTGAGGAATAATCCCAATTAGACCCAGTACGTCGTCGAGCGCCCGTGACAGTCGCCTAGGTGGATCCGAGAGACTCTCACCATGGCTGTGATGTGGAGGGGTAACGGCTACAATGTCTACGGCGGCCGGACGCTCGAGATGCTTGTTGCTGGATTGCCGGGCGGGCCGACGACGGATCCTATTGCTGGCCCGAATGTTGCGGATGCGCGGAGCGGAGGGAGATTAAGGATGCTGAGGGAGAGCTTGAGCGGAGTGGTGAGAATCTCCCGGAGGAAGATGTTATGGAGGGTGATTGGATTGCTTCCTGCTTGTTTTGGTGGTGAGTGGCTTTTACTAGATGATAGCGGTGACGATTTCGAGGACGGTGAGGATGATGACGATTAGTTGTTCTACATCCATGGAGCTGTCCGTCGCTCCTCGGTGGACAACTTCGCTAACATATTTTGGAGTTTTGGAGTTTTGGGTATAACAGGGACACGTGTGTTTTTTGGATATTAGAATCCAGGATATTGAATCCCGTGGGGATAGTTCTTGCTTTTCAGATTTTGAGATACCCGATAGACCAAGACTCCGGAATACAATCCACCTTCTCCATCTATGTTCGCGTGCGCATCAAGTAAGTAGAGGTCAGATTTTAACCCAGCAACTAGTCTTATAAGGCCCAAGGATTTGGTCAATTTGTCGAGATTCCGTCCCAAGTGCTCGTGGAGGTTGAGTTGACGTCGGAAGCGGCACCGTAATCCCCGACACGGCCACGTGCTTCATCGGGAGATTCCGAGAGCTACCGCAGCGAAGCTCAACACATCAGGTATCGCGTGCTGCACGCATATGCGCGTTTCTTAGCTCTGTGAATGATGTATGTGAAACAAGTCCCCCACAGTGACAGCAGATCCGACGGCGCTCGCCAGTCCGGGGATCCCACGCCTGTCTCACGGGAAGTGCGGCCAGGGAGCCACGCGAGCAATGACGTGCCAAATCCATCTCGACCCAGCATGACCTCCCTCACGCATCGTTATATCGCAACCTCTTCCCTACAAAGCGGCCCAACCCATCCGAAGCGGCGCGATCCACTTATGATGCTAACCGGCGTGATCCACGGTTTACCGCCACTCCCTACCCGCACCGAACCCCTCTAGCTCCGAATGCTGCTCACACCGCGAACGTATTCCCTCGCTCAAATTCCCGACTCGGGTTCGGCGCAAGCTAGATCGTCGTATTTTCTCATAACACCTTCGCGCAAAGAGAGACAGCTCGAAGAACAGCGCGCCCGGAGGATGTTGCTGCTCCACCAGACGGGGAGCGTCAAGGTGGGCGAGGTGGTTCGGTAGGAGGCCCCGAGGCGACGCGAAGAGCCCACTGCGTGAAACTAATCCTGAGGCAGGTACACGGTCACCTACACCCCCTCCGAAGACCGCATATTGCCATCGCCGCAGTTCCTGCATGTGCGCATACGAAACACGTCTGCGCTACCGCTCCGCGCTGCTTACCTCCACGGACCCTACACTATCCATGTCGCCGCATACCCTTCCACCTTCAATCCAAATAAAAAAGTCGAAGCGCCGAAGAGAGATGGAGTGCCCGAGTTTGAGCCAAACCTCAAGGCCGGAGGCTCCTGGACGGCTAGGCTGACCGTTCCAGAACACATCAGAGAAGTCGGCGGCAATCGGGAATCGAACGATGAGACGCCGAAGAGCGCAACATGGATAATAGAGGTCGCGTCGCAGATAATCTTCTCGCAGTCCGCCTCTGTGAGCTATGAGTTGCTGGTCGCGCGAGACGAGAGGTCGCTAGATTTGGGCTTCACGGCCATCACCGGAAACTCCCATGGCGCCCCTGGGCAGGTTCAAGACCACCAGCAGGGCAGGCATTCGCACACGGCAAAGCATTCTACAAATTCAAAAGGTGTCTATTCAAAAGCGATTAAGCTGGTTGTAGACGATACTACGAGCTTGTGGAATAAGCCGGAACTGCCGGAGTGGAAAGACGAAGACCGTCCAGCATCCCGGCGCAAGTCGAAAGATTCCCAACGCAACCAGCCCAAAGAGAAGGGAAAACAAAAGAAGATACACCTTGTGATTCTCACCCATGGACTGCACAGCAACCTTGGGGCGGACATGCTTTACCTTAAGGAGAGCATAGACGCGACCGCCAAGCAGGCCCGGGAGGACCGGAGGAGACGACGGCAGGAAGAGAGGCAACACAAGCAGACACATACTACCAGTGTGGACGATACCTCTACCGCACCCCTCTCAGGCGGCCAAGAGAGCCTGCCCCAAGAGGAAGAAGAGGATGACGAAGAAGAGATTGTTGTCCGTGGTTTCGATAAGAACGTGATACGAACAGAACGCGGCATCCAATACCTCGGAAAGAGACTGGCGAAACACGTCCTGGAATTGACCTATCCGGACCAGCCTTACCTCCCAATCAAGAAAAAGAAGTTCACAGCACTTTCGCCAACCGCCAAGGACAAGTCAGATGTAGGCCTTCCTTCGCATTCTGGTAGTAGCATTCATCACCAGCACCATGCACACGAGCAAAAGCGAGCATACAAATTCACGAGCATTAGCTTTATTGGTCATTCTCTTGGCGGGCTTGTTCAAACATACGCCATTGCATATATACACAAGCATTCTCCACAATTCTTCGAGAACATCAAGCCTGTCAACTTCATAACTATGGCATCTCCATTTCTCGGGCTGAGCAACGAGAACCCGATGTATATCAAGTTCGCTCTTGACTTTGGCTTAGTGGGAAGAACCGGGCAAGATCTCGGCCTCACATGGCGAGCTCCTACGATTGCAAGGAACGGATGGAGCGCGATGGTCAGTGGATTTGGGCAATCTCAGAATCAGCATAGGCAGGACGACGCCGGATCCAAACCTCTTCTCCGAATCTTGCCGACCGGACCGGCCCACGTCGTGCTGCGGATGTTCAGGAATCGGACCGTATACTCTAACGTCGTCAACGACGGAATTGTACCGCTGCGCACCAGCTGCTTGCTGTTCCTTGACTGGAGAGGTCTGGGCAGGGTCGAGAAGGCAAGGAGGGAGAATGGCCTCATCGGGACTGTTGCTGCGTGGGGTTGGGGTCAAATGACGGGCCAGAATGCGTCGCCTAATCCATCGAGAGTGGGATTCTCGGACGAGGAGAACGGAGGCGACTCTCCGCCTCCATTTAATGGTGATGATACCGCAGTTCCTCTGCCAGGCGCAGATGTCACAAACCAAGATGATGAAGCTCAAGCCGCTGCGGAACCCAGTGCCAATCAGTGGTTAGACGGCGAGAGGCGCGACTCCGCCGGCCGCCCGGCATCCCCCAATACGAACCAGTCGACAAATACCCTAAGCACGCTGTGGAACTACATCCGGCCCTCTGGTAAGCATACCGCGAAAGACAAGAAGATGTTCAAAAGAAGCCAGACAATTGCGATGGAGCAGGAGGAGGCCCATGGCGGCGGCTCGACCGAGGCCTCATCTTCGAACAGCTCTGATCAGCCAACGAAGAGGCCTCCGGCGACTCGCGGTGACTCCATAGTCAACGACCCAAACAACCTGTCTGCTCCACCGAAGACGACAATATTCGAATCTGCCGGCGACCTTCTTAGTCCTCCTGTTCCACCGAGCCACTGGATCATTGATCCATCTACACGGGCGCGCACAATCTTCCATGACCGTATCTATCACCCCGAAGATATCCCACCACCGCCAGTCAAGAAGAAGGGCACTGGCCGTTCCTTCTCTAGCGAGAGCACCGGATCACAACACTCAGAACGTAGTACCGAAGAGAGCGGTATGCGCGTTGAGGAAAAGATTGCTAGGGCTTACCACAAGGACCTCTCTTGGCGGAAGGTGTTGGTCCGCCTTGAGCCCGATGCACACAACAATATCGTGGTCCGACGCATGTTCGCGAATGCTTATGGATGGCCAGTTATCAAGCATTTGTGCGATACTCACTTCGCGGACACATATGCAGCTACGACACGCGACGAGCTTGAGCCAGCGAACGACCGGGCAAAGGGTGTCGAGGTTCCGGTCTCTGAAGAAGGGGAGCATGTCAAAGGCCAAACGAACATCCAGCCACCTGTCGAGCGCACAGACAGTGAGCTTCGAGAGGTGGCGGATGAGCTTCCACCACTTAAACAACGCAGCCAACATCATCGCCGGCTCCATACTGCTGATTCTATGGGAAGCAAAGGCTCGTCGACGTGGGACGACTTGTACTTTGAAGGCACGTCGGATGAGGAAGACGACGAGCAGGACGATCGCAATGCTATCCAGCGGTTCTTACAGCTACCAACACCGAAGAGTAAGCCTAGCTCACCGACGACGCCTCGGACCCCTGAAGGGCACGGCACGAGCGAAGCAGAGATTGCTGATTTTCTCTCTGCATCACCTAAGGGTGTGGAGTTCCACCGTGGACTGGGTGCATCGCCCGGCAAGTCCAATTCTACTCGCGAGCCGGACTCTCTTGAGTCTATGGGTGGGATGGTTCTTGGAAGAGGACGACAAGGTGCGAGCCCGCCGCAAACTCCGTCGGCGAATATCAGTGGGGTTGGTCTGAGGAGGTCGCTGGAAGTGACTACGCCGTCATCTCAGGAGCCCGGGCGGGCGAGGAGCGGGAGTGGAGGTGTGTCGGAACAGGTAGCACGCGGCTTTTCGAAGGATCACAAGTAGGAGAGGCACGGCGCCGCTAGATTTACTGGCTTTGAATGATCGAGTCTTGGAAAACACCAAGTGTGTGACATGGTCCGGGCGTATCTGGAGCATCTTGAGCAGGTCGTCTGAAGCAGGTTTGTCACGAGACCGCCTCTTCACGGCACAGGTCGGACTTTCGCTTTATACCCACCTCGGCAAACTTTATCGGTTTGTTTCTCAATTGCATCTACTCCGCGCTTCGTCCTTCCACGCTTCCAAGGTTCCCCAACCGTGCTTCTGTCTGTACTGTTCTGTTCGCCCGGGCAGGATCTGCCACGTCCGCCTGTTTCATTCTCTGGGTCCCGCGCGCCTTCCAGTTGAGTATGTCCCCGTCTCCCCTTCACTCCAGCGCTTCATCTCCAACTCACGCCCGGAATTTCGTCATGTCGTCATGGCTCGTCCCAGAGTCTCCTTCACCGTCGCTGCGACGACGACGCGCGCCTGTTCCGCGTTTGCTTTGGCTCCTCGACTTCAATTTCTGCCTCGCTGCAACCTTTTCCCATCGCCAACCTTCTCGCTCTGTTGCTGGCAATCGTTTTGTCAGCACAGCTTTCAGTCTCGCCGAGACTCTCTTTGGCGCTCATCTGCTTGCTGTTTTGCTCTTCTTCGCGCTCCATCCGCCTCGATTGATGTTTCTTCTCGGGCAAAATGGCTAACCAGAAATCCCCGCGTAGGCCTAAGTCACCGAATGGCGGGAAGACGCGGAACAAGTTGATTCGTCGCTCGTTGTTTACGCGCAGCAGCACGACGCCAAACATGGATTCGGAGACCCCCAGGTATGTGAATCGATGTGGGGCTGCTGAACCGCTCTCTCACAAAGTTCCCAGTACTCGGACAGTTACTTATGCGAACCTCCACCACTGCGCTCTCGCCGGTAGCGGCATCTTCGCAGCCACAGCTCCTGCCATGGCACCACCCACCCCCTCGGCTGCGGCGACTCCGACGAACGCGACGCCCACGCCTCCGACCGCTCCAGCCTCGCCTGCCACACCGACGACGCCGGCTGAAGGCAAGAAGAAGAGACAGGGCTTGTTTGCGGCGAAGACAAAGCAGCGCCTGGACAACTCTCCCGGTTTCCTCGCTGGCGAAGCATCGCCTGTTCGTCCGCGTACACCTAAGGTACCGAAAGTACTCGGAGTGCCACTGGATATCTTCGGCAGTGCGGGCAAAGAGGATACAGACGGAGACAGGGACCCGGAAACCTCCCTCAGTGAAGATGAGCCAGACCTCAGCCAGTTTCTGCAGAGTGACGGCAGCGAGGATGAGGGACGTTCGGGCCGGCCAGGCTCATCGGTGCAACGCCCTTCTCTGCGCAAGCGCGCTTCCGATTCGTTTCTGACATCTTTCAAGGGCAAGAACGCGAAAGCCACTGCCGGCATACAGTCCAAGTTCAGAGAGGAAGGCCTCGAGCCAGATCCACCGGCTTCGAGTAAGAAGGGCAGCATGAAGGCATTCCGCATGCTGAACTTCATACCATCCTTCAGTCCGCGCGGTAAGAGCTCTCGTCAGGTTGCTGATCCTGAATATCGTGACTCGGACGAAGACGAAGACATCGATGTCCCGTACAGCAGTGGTCTCCAGACGCAGGGTCGTTCCCAGATTCAGCGTAGGCCCGCACAGCGTAGGCGTCGCAAGAAGAAAGGACCAAAACCATTGGCCAAGGTATGTACTATCTTGTCCTGTTTTCAACTGCGTGCAGCTGTTACGGAAGTTCTTCGGCGCATGTCGAGAATACTAGAGGCCAGAAGCTTGATTCTCCTATCCTGTTTCGATACCCTTGCTAATATGTACCGCTACGTCCGCAGATGTCGACTATCACAGAGGTCTCGTTCAGCGAATCCGGCTCAGTCGTCAGCGATGATAGAGATGATGACGAGCTGGAGCTCATCAGCCCCTACAAAAACAAGCGAGCTTCACGAAGTGTTCCGTCGATGTTCTCGAGGTCGATGACCACGTCAGTGTTGCCGCGATCGCCTTCGCCGTACGATTTCAAAGACGACGACCTCTCTCCGGATGAGCTTCCCTCCGCGGATGAATTTCCCTGGGACGAGCCCGGAGGACAACAGGATCTGTCTCACGTTCAGGGTATATTCGGCAAGGTCCCTGACTACAACCGCACGCCAGGAACTCGCCGCGCCAGGCTCCAGGTGCGCAGCCCATTGCAAGAAGTCGAGCATCGCCTATTGGATGAGGCCGAGGAAATGTTGGAGTCCCTAGAAATTCAGCCCAGGACGGAGGAACAGGATGTGGAGAAGCGACGGAGCCTCCTGCAAGAACGCCGCAAGAGCTTGTTGGTCGACGAAGAGAGGATGCGCCTCGATGCTGAGAATCTACTCTTGCGAGAGGACCACATCAAGATGAAGCAGGACTTCAGGGGTTTCCAAGCTCGCAGCATCATACAGGAAGAGCCCGTGCCTGTTGGTCCGGAGTTCGATCACGAAGCAGAAGAACCCGAAGCAGAGGACCACGAAGTTGATGAAGATGAGACCGATAGTGCATCTCACTGCAGCATATCCTCCTCCATCGACTTGGATGAAGAGCCTGTCGTCTGTATGGCCAACGTAGTGAGCGTCACAAGGGTCTCGCCTGGGATGGTCAAGCTTGTTGACATACCACCTCGGAAACAGGAGGTCAATGCAGCCCCGATGGCTAAGCCTACTACCAGCGAAAGGCAAGGCATCTATTCGTTCAGAGGGAGTGACCTTCTGGGCTTTCCTACCGAGGAAGGAGAGAAGGGCGACGTTCGTGCAAAACGGCTCACTATTACGACCACCTCCCGAACCACCTCCCGCAGTCACTCGAACCCTTTCGACTTGGAACAGGTCCCTAATCAGAGGCGAGCCTCAACCGCGATCGCAGACCGCTCCGAAGACGAGTGGAGACAGGTCAATCATGAGCAGCTTGAGCCCTTTCCTCCTTACGTCGATGGCTACTACGGAAGATTCCCCAAGCCCGAGAAGCCTAAGCTATCCCAAGAGGAATCGAGGCTCATGGTCCAGGACTGGCTGAGCACATACGATAGCGCCGAGCAGCAGCGACCACTTTCCGTGCAGTTTGACCCTGCTGTCATGGCCGAGCGTCAGATCCCACCTCCACCTCTCCCGAAAGAAGACGTCATCCCGAAGACCCCGAAAAACCACTGCATCATCGTCGGTCACAAGTTCCGCCCCATCGACCTTAACAAGGTGCCGGATGACGCGACCGTAGGTGATCTGGAGGTCCGACCATACCTTGAGACGCATACGGGGCGGAGGGAGCACGTCTATGTGCCGGTGATGTGCGACAAGTGTGGTGCCGATGTCAAAGAGAACTTCTGGGAGTGCGAGAGGCCGTCTTGCCATTTGGCGCTGTGCTGGGACTGCCACCTGGAGCAGCAGTTTGAGGCTTGGAGCAACTAGAGGGCGGAGACTGGCGGGTAAGCTTCCATCACCGCGACCTCAATATATTGGATCCTCACGCTAATACTCTTTAGACGTACGAGTACAAACGGCACGATTTGGATTGCTTCACGACGAATAACATCACGGGTTTGGGAGGCGTTTGCGGCATTGGCGAACACGGCGGACAATTTCCTTGGAGATACCCGCATGAGAGCAGAACTCTGAGTTCTCTCTGTTCTTGCTTGCCCTTTTTCAGAGTCTATTTGGACTGGTGGTTCCAGGTTTCTACCCACTTGCTTGGTTGGTGCTCCAGCGCTGCGCTACGTTGGGCGGGAGAAGCTACTTGACGGGACTGCGATTGTACTATAATATTCGAAACGGCTGATGGATGCCGCGAACCTGGGCTTATTAGTCTGGGCGGAGAGAGAGTAATGGAATGGAGATGATTGATTAGAGAAGATTGTGCCTTTCTTTGATGTTAAAAACGCAGGACGAACGCCTAATGCTCATTGATTGCTCCAGACTCCCACACTTAAAAACGCAGCTGATGTCGCCGACCGGCTCGTTGTGCTATGGAGGAGTATTTGAACGCCGCTAAAGTCCCGAGCAGAAAAGTGACATGACTATTAGCAGCTAGCTAGCAGTCTTCCTATCCCTACCCCGATCCCTATCCCTAGGAGTCTCGCTTACTACCTCCCTCCCTCCCGAAACCCTTACTAAGAGTATATACCATAGTACAGTATGCCAGAATGCAATCCAATCCAATCCATGCTCTCACTCAGTCAGACTAGACTAGGTTATCTCATCTGCCTTACTCGTATTTCTTTCTTTCTTTCTCGAGCTATTTCGATTTTGCTCTTGTGCTTGCTCTCCCTCCCTCCCACCTGTACCACACCGTCCGTCCAGCTCAGCTCAGCCTCAGCCTCAGTTAGTCTCTTTCTTGACCTTCGTCTCCATCTCCACCTCCATATCCATATCCATCTCCATCTTGATACTTGTCGGCATCTCCTGCACCCCGCGATCCTCCTGCTGGGCAACCAGCGGCGGCCGTCGCGGCAATGGCTTTGTGGGTAATGGCGACGCGGGGCGTTTCTGGGGTATTTGTACGACGGGAGCTGGTCGTCCCGCTGCTGCTGCTGCTGCTGCGGGAGCGGGATGCGTCTTGCGCCTCGAGGGGGGTAGGTCTGGAGCGGGTGCTGGGTATTGCGGCTTGTAAGGCGCGACGGCAGTGGTGCTGGGCGGAGGGAACGGGAACTGGAACTGGGGCTGGAACGCGCCTTTGCTGGGGGTGGGAAGAGCTGGTGCGATCGACGGCGGGGCTACGGGCGCTGGCGTAGCCCTGGGGGTCGTGGACTCGCTCCTACTAGCCGGCGGAGCAGAGACGACCGGCACTCCCACAGGCGTCGGCGTGCGGACCGCCCCAGAAGCAGAACCGTCTCTGGCCGGAGCCGACGACCCATCAATCCGTCCCTCTCCCTCAGTAGCCGGCGCCGACGTGGTAACGAAATACCCCTGCACCGGCAGCAATTTCCTCCCTCCCTGCAGCCCGAAGATAAACTCGCGCCTTAGATCCGGAAACGCGTTGAACAGATCATTCCAGACGTCGTTGAGCGCGGGCGACTTGGACACGATATTCGTCGCAGCGCTCCAGTGCACGACGAGCACGTCGAGGGCTAGCCTCTTCAGCTCGGATGGCTGCGCCGCCGACGTTGACGTCTTCGTCCAGATGTAGGATATGATGGGTGGGCTGAGCGCGTAGGCGCGGCCGAGGGAGTTGTAGATGTGGAGGATGGCGTGGTTCTGGAAGGAGGGCGCGTGGAGGAAGGCGCCGAGGGTCCAGGCGAGGATGGAGGGCGGGATTGTTGCGTTGCTAGAACTGGAGCTGCTGGGGGAGGAGGCGTGGCGCAGGTCGTTGCTGGTCGGGTAGCTGCCGGTGTAGATGAATTTTACGAAGAGGCCGAAGATTGGGGGGTCGATGCTGGGGAGGTGGATTTGCGGGGCGTATGGGGAGATGTAGGAGCTGGTTGTGGTGGCAGTGGAAGTGATAGTGGCAGTGTTTATGCTGGCGGTTGAAGCGGGGGAGGCTGAGGTTCCACTGTGAGAGCTGAAGCTGGTGGATCCAGAGGTTGTGGTGAAGCGGGCGATCTCGTTGCGGAAGTAGGTTGAGTGGACGGAGAGGAGGGCGCGGGGGAGGTGGTAGGATAGGGGTGTAGAGGTGGCTGTTTTGGGGCCGATGAGGAGTTCGACCGAGGGTCCTTGGAGCCTAGGGGCTGTTAGAAAGGAGGGTCGAGGGGAGCGAGGGAGCGAAAACTCGCATCTCGAGGAACATGTCTTTTGACTCGTGCCCGGGGCTCGGGGCTGGTGTCGCCATCGGAGGGTCGAGAATCTTAATTGCAGTGCTGAAGAGGAGAGGTAAGGGTTGTAAGAGGCTTGTCTCGAGCTAGCTGGATTCAAAGATGAAGAGTATGTGATGGGGAGAATGATCGAGAAAGGAGGATATATAGGATAGGAGAGACGCGGGGAAGCGGGGGCTGGCGCCTAGTCCACTTTCACGGAGTACCTTCACCTCGAGAGCGAGAGCTACGTCATGGGATAGAAGGTGAGAGACGTCGAGTAACTAGTCTAATCATGGGAATCTGTAAACACGATTAAGGATGAGCAGGTGATTTGGTAGACCGCCTATTGCAGTCTTGTAGTAAATTTGGCTAGTTCTTGTCGTGACGTCGTGTCAAAATCTCGAGGGTTACGATGGTCGGATAGAGGGTTAGCTGTATACTATTGCCGGCTTCGTGGTCAATCTCTTCCCAGCGGCGCGCAACTACATCGATGATGAATTTGCGTGACTTCGACTCCGGTGTGTGTTCTGCAGGCGGAACCCGACGTCCATGGGAACGATGCCGAAGGAAGGTTGGCCAGCGGCGATATACATGATGCAGTCCTAGAACTTGAGGGATGAGCGTGTCGCCGAGGACCTATACTTTGAACGTGTCGGAGGATCCGGCGAGTCTGAGGGCATGGCCAAGAAGTAGAGCCGCTATATGAAGACGCGGAAGGCTCAGGACCACAGTCTAGGAAAATACCCTTACCCTCGACGCCACCTTTAGAAGGTTAATTGTAAGCCGTGCGGAAGGTTCAGAGTTGTATATCCCTCTCCTACATATATGATACAGACTGCCTCCGACAGGCGTAGTGAATGTACGTTGGTTCGAGAATGTCTGTGCTGAGGTGGTGAATATTTGCCATCATAAATAGAAGCGGGTGAAAGCTTACTGTGTGCTGGTACGGCCCATCAAATTCATGTGCCCATACTCCGCGCAGCTGCTTTATCCCGAGAATGACTCAAGCCGCTTGAAACACAGCGTCTTGCCCTTCTCCTTACATTTGAACACAATTAGGTCCCCATCGTGCGGTACCTTTTCGTAGAATTCGACATCGTCGGCAGGTAGTTTCCCCTCACAGAAGAAACAGTCGAGGCCGTAGTGGTTGATCGCACCTCTACACTGCCGAGTTGCGATACGGCGAACTTCCAAATGCCATGCCCGAGCCTCGAACTTAGCAAACTCGGAATCAGGGATGCTTTCCCACAGCGCGCTTCTCTCTGTCCAGTCCCTGACCGACACACCCGCTCCCCTCGTTCCGCCCACAAGATGCCTCGCGAGTCGCTCCAGTTCCTGTTGCGTCTTCAGATATAGATCCGCACACATGCGCAACGGTAGTTCGTCCGTGTCATAATCATGGAAGAAGGGCGTATTACCCATGAAATTGTCGTAATCGAGGCCGGGCAGAGGGACATTTTCGGTGGGATAATCGTCAAAAATGGGCGTTTCGAGCACGAAATGAACGCGATCCAGGTTCGTTCCTAGCCTTTCCAGATATGATAAGTCGATATGCGACTGTCGAGCAAAGAGCATGGTGCTGTGTATGTCCATCGGCGGCACGAAGCTCAAGGACAACTCCCTGAGCGCGTTTTTCCCGAGGCAAAGGTGTTCTACGATAGCTTCCAAAGATAGGTTTTTCTGTTGGTCGGGCAGGTCAATCGCCGGAGTGGCATCGAACTCCGGGACGTGGACGGCCCAGGTAGTCCCAGGCGACTTCGGCTTTTCAACGTTCACCCACTTCTCAGCACCAGCGCCGTCATGGGAATTATCAACTCTGGTGAGGGCATTGGTGAGAGTCCCGTCGCCTTTCAGATCCGCCACTGCCGCGAAAAGAACATGGTGCAACTTTGCACGAGAGCCGATCTCGCGAATGCGGTAAAGCGACAGTAACCGAAAGGTAGACGAAGGAGAATCCACTCCGCAGTGCTCGTTCTCATGCTTCCAATAGTGTGTGCATCGAGCTTTGCGGTAGAACTGCCGCATTCCTTCAGCGAGGATCTGTTTAGCGGTAAAGAGCCAAACTGGAAGCAAGTGCTCAGGATCGCCGTCGTTGTCTGTTTCTCCATACTCGACGCGGAACTTGCACGCTCCTTCGACGCATCCCGATATTATCACGCCTTCCCAGAGGTCGTCATAGATGAGCTCCCGCAGCTCGGTGGGGATTCTGAAAAGCGGAGATGCAGCAGTAGCGCGAGGCGACGGAGTGATTTCTTCGAAAAAGAGATGAGGAGGATCTGGAAGTGCAGCTTCGGAATCTCTGTAGCACGCCATTGACGCCCTATCGTGTAGATGGGTCTGCTATCCAATGTAGCTGTTGGGAGGTAGGAGGTGGGGGTAGGTGGGACGGGGTCTGGAGTTCTAAGGTGCAAGCCACGTCTCAGCCACAATTGGGTGGCTTCCACCCCGCTCTACCGCCCGCTAGCTAGGTGCTTCCCGACAACCCGGTACCAGGATGTCAAACAATCAGGCGGCGAGGCCGATACCTGGAGACGGCAAGGTTTCATATCTCTAACCAAAGAAGATCGAGACTATCTTCGTTGGATAATACGATAGACGAACTATTCGTGGGCTCCTCATCTTTCCCAAAGACCTCTTAGCAACTCTCAGGACATGTTGAACAACATCGCAACGTCATTTATTCCCTCAGCGAGTATCATTCCGAAACATATTTCTCTGCGCTCTTTTCGCCGACGTACTATTATGCACACAGCCAAGATAGTCCGCGAACTCAGTTCTAGCCTCCAAGACGCGCTCTATCGCCTCCATTCCAAGCGGCGCACCTTGCCTTGACGCCAGCTGGCGCGCGGCGAGGACGATGGCCTGGATATCCCAGCCGTTCAAGTCTTCCTTGATCAGTTCCTCGAACCGTTCGCATTCGCGCAGATCGAGACTGATGCCCTGTTCAAGGAAGGCCTGGGCCTTGTCCAGGACCATGCGCAGGATGCGCTGACGCTCGTCGCCCGACAAGGGCTTGTAGCGCACCATGTAGTCGATGCGGGAGAAGACGGCCTCGTCGAGCAGGCCGACGCGGCACGTGGTCAGGAACAGGACGCCGCTGTGCTTCTCGATGGCCTGGATGGTCGTGGTGAAGGTCGCCACGAGGTCGCTCGGCTCGCCGTGTTTGCGTTCGGCCAGGAAGGAGTCCACGTCCTCAAGCAGCAGGATGGCCCCCCATCGCTCTGCCAGCTGAAAACTCTGGTTGAGCCTCTGCTCAAAGTCGGCGATGCTACCGCCCACGCCTACAGAGCCGAGGAGGATGGGGCGCCTGATCTTTTCCGCAATGCTTGTGACTGTAAAGGTCTTTCCGGTGCCGGGGCCGCCGTGGAGGAGAATGGTGAGACCGCTTCTTGCGCGGTTGCCAGGGTCGCTGCTAGATGGCTTCTGGGTTTCTGTTTGCGACTGTACTAGTTCGGACATGGTCTTTTTCTGGCTTTCCGGCAGGATCAGTTGGTCGAACAAGCCGTCTTGGAAGATAACGTCATGGACCTCATCGATGTTTACTGTTTCTGGATAGTATTAGCATTTTCCTTTAGCCCTCTACCCCCAGGAAACAAAGCCTGGCTTTCTTCGGTCTGTAAGATGCCTGACTGGATTGATAATCTGGCGACTTACTCCATTTCCCATCGCCGAGCACATATGAATCTATCGTTGGTGGACAGATCATCAATATCCGAGGTTTCAACCTGTGTTGCGAGACAACTGGGAACTCGTCTTCGAGTTCTTGGGCAGATGGAGGCTTGAGTGGCCTGGCACTTTGGTCGATAACAATTCGAATGGGTTCCTAGATGTGTGAACGATGCTAGTTAGCAAATACCGAACTGCAGAGAAACTCTTGGAGCGACATTACCCTGTTCTCCACAACCTGGCGATAGTATATGCCGCTGCCCAACTCCCAGTACCGTCGCCCACGTGCAATCAGTTTCGAGCGATACTCAGGTTCGTCATCTAGGTACCCAGATGGAATATATTTCAAGCTGGTAATGGCTCTCTCGCCCGGAAACTGCGAAATCAAGAACTCGTGATAGCGTTTCGTGAAGTACCTGCCGTTGTGATCAATAGACCAGGCGCGGATCTGAAGTGCGCCGTACGTGCCGTTCGAGCGTTCTTCCATGCCGCTGAGCCGATCCACGATTAATGCCTGGAGCTGGCCGTCATTGGACGTGTAAATGATGGAGTTCTCGGGGTAGATCATGTACAGCTGCGAGAAACCCAGCGACCGGCACCTCCGCTCCTGGATCTCGATGAGCTTGTGAGGCACCAGGGGCAGTTCGTCCTGGATGATGGCGAGGGACAGCCTCCGCCGTGGCGCAGCACCGGGCGAACGCGACGCGACCACGAGCGCCCGTTGGTCTTCGGTCGAGCTGGGCAAATCGGACGTGAGGCTTGAGGTGAGCAGAATCTTAATCAACATCGCTCGCTCCTTAACGAGGGCGTCGAGATTCTGGAGAACGAGTTCTCTCTCACTGAAGCCTTCCGGAGTGTTGGCGTCTTGGAGGTAATCGATGCCGTCGATAATGATAAAGGTGCAATCAGCGCGGACTTCTCGGACGCATTCGAGGAAGAGCGTCCAAAGCTTCATGATGTCGTCGGTCTGGTTGCGGGTGATGGACGGGATGCGGCCGCGGAAAACCCTGGGCCGCTGCTTGAGGATCTGGAGCACGAGGGCCTGCACCAGGGTCCGGTAATTGTTTGTCTTGAACGACGGATTGTCACCACAAAAGTGGCGGAGGATGAGGACCTGTTCGAAGTTGCTCTCGCCGAAGAGGAGAAGCGGCACGACGAACAGGGAGTTGAAGTCGCATCGGCCGATGACCCCGTTCCCGTTGATCCACAGCAGCTGTGAGGTGTCGGACTCGATCCAGCCCATGATTTTGTCGGCCCGCAGGAGATTAAGATTCTTGGTCTTGTGAGGACGCATCTCCGGGAGCTGTTCGATCTTGCGTTGGTGTTCCTTCGAGTCTTGGTTGAATTCTCGAAGCTCGACGAATACTTCCCGGAGCAATCGGTCGAGATTATCTTCGTTGTCAAGATATGAATCATGATCCTCTACGTGAACCCCTTGTAGTTAGCATCGATCGCAGGCCTCGAGATTTTGTTCGCCGGCTTCGTACCTTGCTTACTCTCATTACTCTCATCGTTGTTATCGACAACTCTCGCAATGGTAGGCTGATCCAAGCCTTCGGCCACACGCTGATGAAAGAAAGCAGACATCTGCTTGACATCGCCCTTGCTCTCCATATGGACTAGGATCATTTCTAGCAGCTGGTTTCCCCGGTTAATCGCCATCAATGTCTGGTCTAGACCGTCCAAGATTCGGTCTAGCTTGCCGCAAGCCTCGTCCACCTTCTTGTTTATCATCTCGGACTCTTTCAATCGATCTATTTATATTTAGTTGGATGACAACCGAACAGTGGCAGATGCTCACATTCATGCTCGATCAGCAGACGCCACTGCTCTGCAGCATTATCAGCGCTGAGAATGCTGTCCTTCAGTTGCTGCAATGGCTGCTCCGATAAAGAGTACAGATTATACCATACCCGTCCTAGGAAGTAAGTATGAGTGGCTGGGTTTACAAAGACATGCGGGTCTTCTCACCCCAAATCCGCTGGCATCGTTGCTCCTCGACCATGGCTACAAAACTGAGTATGGCCTCGTAGCTCGAACAGAGCCGGTCCTCGAGCTCCATCACGTCCGGCACATCCTGGTCGCGGTAATGAGCTTCGATGTTAGCGTACCGATGAAGGATGCCAGCAAGGAAAGCCGCGGCGTCAAATATGGAGCTCAGCCTGTCCTGGTCATTTTGAGCAAACTGCAGACCGAGAGATATAACAGTCCATGCAGACGACGCTGAGGGAAGGTAAGCACGTGAAAACAAACCAGGCTGAATACGTACAGTATCCCGTGGGGTCAAACTTGACCCCGGAGTCTATGATGGCCTTGGCTCGCAGGGCAAACTTGAGTATCTCCTTGCCGTTCTCACGCACATTAAATAGAACTTGACCATCGCGATCCTTGATTTTCAATCCGCTGTTCCTGTACTCCTCAAAAGACGCTTCAATGCTCGTAACGACCCCTTGGATGGCGTCTGTGACGCAGGGCTGAACTTGCCCGTTTCTGTCGAAACGGAGTTTCAGCGCCGACTTCTTCTCGTCGTCAAGGTTGTCTAGCGCTTCTTGCCAGAGATCACGTAGAACCTTGCCGTTCTCGTTGGGATTAGTCTCCTGGTTGGTTGGGCTGACAGCACCAGATCCCTGCGTCGAGACAGCCAAGTCTTGCTGCGTCGTTGTCGGAAAAGGTGTAGATTTATGTGTATGAGGCTGCGCAGCCGAGTTCTTGGCCGCTTTCGACTTGCGGGAGAACTTCCACAACTGAGCCATTTTCCTACCCACAATCAGCAAAGTTCAGGGTGTGCCGTAACGGGTGCCGTGGGTGGATATTACGTTCGCTAGCGGAAGAGAGAAGACTGCGGAAGCTGAGCACGACTAGCAGAAGAGGGCCGACATAAGTTAGCGGTGAGTGCTCGCTCTGATTGGGTTGTGATTCGGCGAAACAAAGTTATACATAATTGGTGCCCGCTTTCTACTGCTAGCCTAGCTATCTTTATTAGCTATAAAGTTCGGTTTAGACATCGTCGAGTCTCTTTTAATCCATTCTCTTTCTCTCTTACCTACTAGTACTAGTAGCAAAACCGGTCCTGAATGGATCTGGCGTTTCCATTCATCCTCTGTATTCTTTTCCCCCCTTGCCATTAATGCAATGCATCTCCGACTGTATTGTAGAACGACCAAGCACAAGAATGGACTTATACAGAGGAGTTTCGCATTTTCAAGCGCCTCATAGCAGCGCGCCTCGCAATGCAATGCAATGCAGACAAGGCAAAGCAAATGCGACTCAGCCGGCCGGCCGATATATGGTATCTAGCTCTCTTTCTCTCCTCACCTTTCCCCGCCTCCGCTCGGATGCACTTTACATCCTTCTAAATATCCCAAGCACAATACCAAAAAGCGCCTTCTAAATGCCCCAAGTCCTGCGAAGGACGATGCTCCGCAAAAGAAATTCATATCATGCATAGTTCACCTCTTATATCCTCCCGCCACCGCGGAAGTAATCCGCCGACCCGTCGCGCTCAGGCTGATACGGCGTATACCCCTGGGTCGGCGTCTGACTCCCCATGGGCGCCGCACCGCCCAGCAACCCCCTGTCATCGGGGATCTGGTATGGAGTCACCCCCGAAGAGTTGCTGGGCATGCGACCAAATGCTCCTCGATCGGGGCTCGGGCTGTACTCGCGCAGGTTCGACGGCGTGCTGTGGTACCCGGCGGGGTACGTGACGCCGTTCTCATCCGGCGAGATGGTGCGCTCCGAGTCGCGGCTCGACGAGCGGCCCCGCTCGCTGCCGAACATTGACGCCGGTGTGCCAGGGCGACTGCCGCCCTGGCTACCATATAGCGAGCCCTCGCCGCCGTGTTCGGCGCTGAACTCAGGCCGGTCCTTGTAGTTCTCAAAGTCCATGTTGTTCTCCGAGACGAATTCGAACGGTCCGGCGGCTCCTGCTGCTTTCCCTGGGTTCTCCTTGCTCATGCGCTTCATCGAATACACGTCGCTGAAGCCGGCTGTGGCACCCACATCACCATCGAGGCGGCCACGGTACAGCTCGCTCAGGAGGTGCTTGCTCTTCTCGTGGACCATCGGCACAGTGAGCTTCTGGTACAGCGCCGGATGACCGAAACGAACGGCGACACGATCACGCCTGCGGGCCTCCTTGTCGATCGGAGGAGGCGCCTCAACGCCCTTGGGAGTTTCGCCCTTGGTGTAGTACTTCATGGAGTGGTCGAAGGCGTTCTTGCAGTAGAACTTGAAGCCCAGGAGCAAGAGAGGGAGAGGGACCATGGCGCCAAGCATCATATACCTTTGATCGCCGCGAGCGCCGACCATGAGGGCGATGATGCAGTTAGCGAGGAATGTGCCGACAAGGAAGCGGTTGAAGAGGACGCGCCAGAAGAGCCCTCCTGACTCGTTCTTGGTGCAGAACACGTACCTATACAAGGTTAGCGGGTAGATTTAGACGGCGGAGCGTTACGAATACTCACATCAGGAGGTACTTCTTCATCGAGGAATCGATGGTGAAGTAAAAGGCCGTTACAACAAGACAGATTGGCTGTAAAGCACCGAAGCAGAGAGCCACAGTCGAGTAGAAAAGGAAATAGTTGTAGTAACTTGCATAATCGAACGGCGGAGGAGCCGTTCGCTTGATCAGCTCTCGGGGCGTTGGGTTCAGGAACTTGCGGGAGAAGGAGCCCCACGCAAGGTTGACAACCTGCGATAGGTCGATGGCGGCACCCAGGTTACGCTGGATCAGCCACGTCACCCAGAAAGGCGAGATATTGCACAGGGCAATCATGATGTTGACGAAGGGGTGGATGTCCTCGACAACTTGGATGAACGATTTGCCGCCAGCTTTGGCCGTGCCCACGGCCGCACTGACGAGCCTAAAGACGGCTGCAAAGAGCGAGAAGACGAAGAGGTTGTTGAAGACGAAGAAGGAATAGAGCTGGTGAATGACGTGCCTTTCTCGGGATGTCTTGGTCTGGTCGCCCGCTTGCACGGAGAGTCGGCGGAAGATGATGGGGAGGAAGTAGTAGAAGAGCGAGGTAAGTGCAGGCGCAGCAATACCTTGCACGACAGCCCACGTCTTCGGATTCTTGGCCATCTCATCCGCAAATGATGGCCAAAGGAGGGCAATGTTGCTGAGCTGGGCTAGGAATACCGCAATCAGGGCGTTGGGAATGAAGTACAGCACGGTCAGGAGCGTGATCCATAAGTTGTTGATGAAGCGCCTCCACCGTCTCGACTTCGGATCTAATGGCAGGTTCTTCCAGATAACGTCTTTTGGCTTAGGAGCTAGCCGCACCGTAGTGCCCTTGGGATGCTTGCTGCGCGCTGCAAAGGCCACAGTGTGCGCGGACTCGATAGTTTCGTAGCTTGCAAAACCGTAGGGCATTGCGTCTCGCTTGTCCACCGTCTCACGCGCGGCCTTGATCTGCTCCTCCAAGCGCTGGATTCTGGCAGTGAGATAGTTGATGGCGTCCACCTTCTCGTTTTTGTTCGTGAATTCCGGATCCTTCTTCGACGGCTTGCACAGCGGGCGCTCGGCGGGGAGCTTGTTGGGGTTCTTGAGGTATTTAGACAGAACCTGCTCGAGCTCAACGACAGCTTGCTCGTGTTGTTCGATCAGATCGGGGATATCCTTGACGTTCCTGCCGATGGACGCCCGCGGGACTTCGGGCGTGGTTCGTAGGCTATCCGTTATTTCGACAAGGCCATGGTCGGTCCGCAAGTTTCTAGAGACATCGGTAATCTACCATCGTCAGCACGGAAACAATGTGCAGATTCCACCAGTCTTCGCAAGGAAGAACTTACCATCAGGGTCCGAGAGTACAGGCTGCTTTGGTACTCTGGACTCTCCATATACGTTCTCCGTAGCTGATGTATCGCACGGTATGTCCACCACAAGAAGCCGCAAACAATGATGTCGAAGACGTAGGCTACCGCCACGAAGGCCCAATACGCGCTCCCGATCAGCACATCTCTCGGCGTCATGAGGAAGATGGCGTTCGTCTTAGCGTCCTGTCCAAAATTCTGCGACTTGGTCACATTGACGGGGATGACGATGGCGCATCCAGCGATGGCGAGCACGGTGAACATGTTCCTGCACATGCGAGCCACGCGTAGGAAGACGGTAGCATCCATTCCAATCTTTTCAACATATTCGGGCTCGTTGGTCTTGAAGACTGGATTGTACCAGGCCCAGAGGCTCTTGCCCATGGGCGGCGGCCGGTGTTTCTCATCGGCATGGCGGAGCTTCGGAGCGTACACGATCTGGTTGAAGGGCCGGAGGATGCAGAAGGCGAGGAAAACGACGGCGGTGACGGCCATCGAAGTGCCCAAGGCGACGAGAATCGAGTCTTGCGCGACCTGCGACCTGTTAGCGGAACCCTGTGCGAGTCAAGAGTGCGCATACCTGACTGCCGAAGGGGTCGGCCATGAGCTTGAGCAGCTTGTCCTCCACGCTCTCCTCCTCCCGTGGCAGCATCATTCCCGACGAACTTGAAGCCATTGTGAAAAATGCGAAGGTGCAAAGCAGCGAGTGTGTCGGTCAAAGGGCGGTCGAAGCTGTGTGACCTATGTACTTCAACGAGGGGTGTCAAGATCGGAGCATGTGCGTCTCCCTAGAAGCTCGCTGTCTAGTCAATAGCACAGCGGCTCCACACCCTCAGCGTCGTGGGAAAAAAGTATTACAAAGGGGTAGAAAGAACAATCAATGAAAGAAGCGCACAACAAAGCGGAGGCCAGGCGTGCTTTGAGCGAGAGTGTTGAGATAAAGAGAGCGCGAGAAAGGTGCAGAGGATTGTCCAGATTGGCGACTCTTCCCAACGCAACGCCCCATGACGGCGCATCCCTGCCGAGCGAGCCAGGGCGGCGGCGGTTCCCATTGGCGGCCGGGTCGCGCCTGCTTGACGCCGTTGCGCCAAGGGGAGAAAGTATTTTTGGCCTGGCATCCGGCCGCGACCCTGGGGTGCGACTCCACCTCGCACTCCACCACCGCGTGGCGATCGCTCCCTGAAAGGTCGCATCCGCACTTCACACCTGTCAACCCTCTCTCTCTCTCTCAAAGAGCACACAACACAACGCCTTAGTCACTCCTCTCAGCCCACCAGCACCTCGGACAAGCCAGCCCTGCGTTGAAACGCGCCATGTGCTCTGGCGCCAAAACATCCACGCCTGGAGATTATCATCATGCGCGCGTCATGATTGGCCTCGGGCGTCAAGAAAAGCCTCGAAACGGCGTTTCAGGTACACCTCGGAGTGGGTGGTGCTCTAATTTGCTGACGACGACGCGCGCTTGCTGAGGGAACTAATAACTGTCTACATATCCACCACCGGACGGAGGTTAGGACGGTACTCCGTCCAGTCTTACGGCAACTGGGCATAGATACTGTGTATGCGCGACGTTGACGGCCCCGATTCGAAGCGCTGAACTATTATTTATTGACGTGTGGATTGTTGTATTTTTAAAGATGTGTTGTTGCAAATGCACGCGTCCCTGCGCTGTAGCACCGGGAGAGTGCAGCGGTCCTCGTGCCGTACTTCCACGGTTGTGATCTGGTCACGACGAGCCTCTCTGATGCGCAACACACGTGAGAGGCACCTATTTCTATTTTGCGTGTTGCACATATTTGAGACCGGAGTAGCAACTCTGTCAGCAGAAGGGAGCGAACGATCTGCTCTCTTGTATTCGGCGGCGACACCTGGCACATCCTTTGCATCTTGCTTAACACGGGCTGATTAGATTCGCGGAGGCTTATTGAAACGCTGCTCGATAGCATATGCACCGAGCGAATCTCGCGGCCATAATTCGGCTGAATAGTGACTGAACCCGAACTTTTATCTATCGTAAGTCGTCCAATCATCACGTCTACTAAACCTGTCCCCATATGAACCAGGGTCCTTTTCATGCTCCTCCAGCATTCTTCACGAGCTCTGCAACCTTCCGAGCGAGGTCCTCCGCCTCTGCCTTCGTCGCAGCCTCAGCATACACCCGCACTGCATCCTCCGTTCCACTTGCGCGAGCAAACGATCGTCCCTGACGGACCTTCTGCACCTCCTTATCGATCTGTGCCTGCAGCCCTTCAGGACTGACCAAGCGTCGCTCCGCATCCGTCGTCTTGAAGATCTTCCTGTCATTGACGATGACCTTCAACAGACGATTTGGCAAGTCCGTGTACGTCGACAGCCACTCCTGCGGTCCCCAATTCTTGTGCGCCAAGACGACTTCGACAAGGAGCATGTCGGAAAGAGCGTCTCCCACGGACTGGTTGATCAAGTCAATGCATGCGTGCACCACGTCCAACGCCTCCTTCTGGCCGGGCGACTTGGGCTCGTATTTTGCGATCGTCTCGAGCGTATCATCCGAAAAGATGACAGTTCCGTGCCCATTGGCCTCGAAATACACGCCGACGTCGAGCTTTTCAGCTGCGTGGTGGAGATGTTTTACTCCCGTCGGCGTGCAGTCCACCTTGAGCTTCAGGTGTTGCTCGACGTATTGCGTAGCGGCACCATTGGCATATGCCGTCTGGACGACTCCAATCTTGATAGAATCTGCCAACCCAGCTTGCCGGATCTGATCGCCGAGGAATGAAGCTACGAGAGTTGCGATGCGGTCTCCATCCAGAAGTCGGAATACGTTGTTCATGTCCTTGAAGTAGTACACGACCCGGTCGGCGTCGCCGTCAAGCGAGCAGCATCTGTCGCCGGCGCCGGCTTTGGAGGAGGGAGGAGCTCTTTGGTTCGTCTTGACATAGTCCGCACCGCACTGATAGATATGGTCAGCACGACTGTTCTCAGTCTGACTGATAAATGCCGCCTCACCTCCACGTTCAGGCTTTCTGGCTTGATGACGTTGTCATTGATTACGAATATTTCCAGTGCTTCCTCCTTGGGTGGAAGGTGCTTGATGAGTTCCGTCAGCTTCGGGCCACCCACACCATTGGCGCAATCGACGGTCAAGCTTCCGGAGGGCTTCTTCCCCTTCAGAGCAACCTTGAAGGCATGGCTAAACTTCTCGTAGTAACCATTCTCCGTGGGTGTACCATACGCGTCCTTAGTATCCTCTGTGTTGAGACACCGAACCATGTAGTGGAGCTGCGGGGTGGTTAAGAAGCCGTAGTCCTTGACTTCAGCACCAGCGGCTTTCAAGCCGTCCATGACGCAGCCGAGAAGCCTGGCTCCCGAGGCTCTTGTGTCCCTGGCTACAACGACGCGAGCGGGAGTTTCGAGATCGATACGGTATTGTGCGGCGATATCGTGGTAGAATTTGGAGACGTGCTCTGCACTGACTTTGTTCGCCATGTCTGTGCTGATGACCTCCCACTCTTCCTGGATATTTGATTAGAGGCTTTTCGGCGGCCAGCACCTGGAAGCGCTGACAACAGGGTAGTGACGTACTTGCAGCATGTTTCCCTGCAAGCGAATTAGCGCCGATGCCTGAAGCCAGCAAAGTATGAACGCACCAAAGGCTCGACGAGCTTCACGCCATTGTCCTCTGGCGGGTTGTGCGACGCCGTGATCATAACCCCTATCCATTTGCCCTTCAACGAGCGGGATCTAAGGGCTGCAACGAGACCGACGCGTGTGAGGACCGAGTCAAGGACGTCGCTATTTGGTCAGCCCTGGCTCGGGGTGTGGTGCGGCGGGGTTGATGCTGCAGTCTCGGGGGAAGTCTTACGCTTTCGTACGGAACTATGCGGCAATTAGCTCAGTCTTGACCTCCGCAACATCCTAGAAGACTCACGCCAGCCGTGCCGTACGTATAGATCAGACCCTCAGGCGCCGGGTGCTTCTGAACAGCCTCAACGATTGGGCCGGACATGTTGAACGAGAGCCCGTGGAAATAGAAATTGGAGGTTTGATGCAGAGAGAAAGACAAGGCAAGTAGAAGTAAGTGTCGAAGAAAGTGTGTACGAGAAGGGAGAAATCTGAGAAATCGATCAGCTCGCGAGCGGGGATGAAGCGTAGTTGTATGTACCTGCGCGCGGCAGAGCCTCAACCCCTCCAATGACGCCACAGTCTGACGTACCTGGTTCAGCTGCTGCGGGACCTCAGCTGTGCTTGCTTTTTCATCAGCGTCGCCAACTTCACGAACGCAATGAAAGGTGCTCGCGAACTGCGGCTTTCCAAAGTTGCTTGAATCCAAGAGGAGCTCGATAATGTCAGGGGTTACACCTTCATCACACCGCCGCCTGCGCCTTCCTGCGGGGTCTGACCGCCTCTGCCAAGCATCACATCAAGCATTACCGTGCCGTGCCCCTCAGCCAGGAACGCCAGGAACCTGGTGGACCTGGATGCATTTCGCTCTATCCGCTTGTCGCGGAATTTACCGGTGCATATATATAAGTTGCGGAAACTGCATGTAGGATCTCCTCCTCACAATAATACGCTTATCCACAATTCAACAATTAATCACAGCAAAATTGACAGTTGCACTGGAGAAGTGACCTCTTTTGGGAGGTGACTCCCGTTGAGAAGATGGTACAGATAAACTACCTAGAGCTATCTAACTCCAGGTAATGCACCTACGTAAGCCATGCCAAAGGAAAGCATTGGGAACACTGAGGGATATTGGAACACGTGATGCATAACGCAGACACCTGAGCAACTCGGGCCCCTAGAAGCCTTGGGGACCCAGACCGGGGAACGGCCTAGCACCACCGAATCCGCCTACAGGCACACTGTGGCCCGGAACGGGACTACCGATCTCGCCCAGTGTGGGCGGTGGACCACCAGCGTCGACGAACTTGATGTGGGAAAGCCGCCCAGGAGACGCCTCTTTGTACTCGAGAGATCCTCCACCGTTCTGGCCGTCGCCGATGATGTCGCAAGCCTCCTTGATCTCTTGAGGCGACACTGAAGGCTCAGACGGAGCGCGGGCCGACTCGATATGAGCGTGGACATCTCCGGCATCCACGTAGCCGTCCGTACCTGGCTGCCGCATCGCCAGCATCTTGCAAGTCGAGCACACTATTCGACGAAGCCACACCAGCCGCTGTTCACTCGACCCGCGTTGCTCGTTTGCTCGCTGTGCGCCCATCATGGAGAAGGGGTTGCTGAATATGCTGGAAGTCGGCGAGTTACCCCACCCCGATCCACCTGGAATAGGGAACGGCATTGGCGGTGTTCCCCAGACGCTCGCGTTGCTTGAACCTCCGAAAGGCCCTTGCAAATCTGGCCTAGGTTGACCTGGGGCGTCCGGAAAGCCAAAACCCAGGGGAGCGCCTCTCAGAGAGCCGTGCTGCTGCAAACTCGTTCGGCGCGCGGCCTCCGGAAATCCGGGCATGTCTTCCTCGTCGTCTAGTAGAGCCTTACTGCCGAGGTGCTTCGCAAGCTCATCGACATCCGCACCTTGGGCCTTGTTTTCTTCGCCAGGTTTAACACTGGAAGGGCGCTGGATGGGTGCGGGTCGCTGAATAGGCTGGGCTGGGGGTGCCGCAATCGGACTGTCCGCATTTGGCTTTTCGAATGATCCAGAGGCTTGTCGTGAGTGAGTCGGTATTCCCATGCCACCAAATCCAGGCATCTGATTCGGTACTCCAAACCCGGGCATCGGTCCAAAACCAGGAGGCGGCCCTTCCATAGGAAATCCGCGTCCCATTGGCATAGCATTCGGCGCATGCATTCCTGGCGGGGGAAACGGGCGGAAGTTTTGGGCTCCAGGCTGAGGGGGAAACATGGGCATGTTGCGGCTAGGCCCCATCATACCAGGCATCATCGAGCCCTGACCATGATATCCGTTGAGTCCCGGTGGCATATTGCCCATACCCATCCCCAGAGGCACTGGCATTCCTGGCGGAGGTCCCATTGGCGGCATTGGAGACGTAGGCTGAGCACTAGGTACAGGCGTTGCTTGCTGCGATGTCTGGGGCTTCGTCAAAATTGACTTGGGCACAACTGGGTTCTGCCCCTGCGACGCCGGAGACATTGATTTGCTCGTGCCTGGAGCAACCTGTGAGGTCTTTGGAGAAGATCCGTGTGAACCCTGCTGCGAGCTCTGGCGAGGTCGACTAGGCGTAGGCGCCTTCGGAACGGCCGGGGTTACGTGAGGGGAAGGGAACCCCGTCGACGAAGACTGTTTAAGCAGCTGGGGTGGTAGAGCTACGGCAACTGGTTGTGATGCCTTCCTCACAGGTGTAGCGGCATTCTGGGCAGTGGCAGTGACCTGCTCTTCTTTCCGAATGCGCTCCTTTTCTGTCTTGGTCTTGGCTTCGCGCTCCCGACGCTCCTTGTCTTCTTGAGCCTTCTTCTCGCGAGCGTCCTTTTCCCTTGCTTCACGTTCCTCGCGTTCTTTTCGCTTGGCCTCTTCTCTAGCCTTCTTCTCTAGAAGCTTGTGCTCGCGGGCCTTCCTCTCGGCTTCTTGCTGTCGCTCACGCTCCTCTTGCTGTCGCTTGAGGCGCTCGGCTTCCTTGCGCTGCCTCTCTTCCTCCTGGGCTTTGCGCTCGGTCTCCTTTTTCTTCCGTTGCTCCTCTTTCTTTTTCCGCTGTTCCTCCAGACGCTTCTCCTCAGCAGCCTTAACTTCAGCTTCTTTAGCGGCCTGTTCAGCTTCCTTGCGCGCCTTCTCTTCTGCCTTAGCCTGCTTCTGCTTCTCTTTCTTCTCCTTGCGCTTTTGGGCCTCCTTCGCCTTTTTGGCCTCCTTCTGCTCCTTCTTATCATCCTCCTCTGCTAGCTCCTCGAGGAGTCTCTGCTGGCGTTCGGCAGCCACTTTCTCTCGGTACGCTTGGAGAACCCTCTGTTCGAACATTCGGGCCGCAAATATCTGGAACATTCGCCTGCCCTCCTCCATTCGCTGCTCCTCTGTCATGGTGTCCTGCATCCCATTAGCGGACCATTTACTTGCTTTCAGATGTACGCACATCCTCATCCTCCTCATCCTCTTCGTAATCCCCATCCTCGTACCCTTCTTCATCGTCCTCCTCGTCGTCGTATTCCTCGTCTTCGGGCGGCCCGCCGTGGCTATGGGTATTGTGAGACCTGTACATGCTGGGATGGGCTGCGTATTGAGCTTCTTCCTCGCGTTGCATTCTACGCTCGGCGAGCTGCTCCATCATCTCGATGAACTTCTTCCCGTCGTTCTTTAGTAGATCGTCGGCGACCGTCAGGATTCCACCTGAAGAATGTTAGCCTCCCCGATCGTCAGCTTCAAAGCGGACCCAATACCTTTGACTTGCAGACTGCTGCCAAACTGCAGGAAATCCGCTGTTTCGGGCGGTGGTAAGCTTCGCTCATCGTCGCTGTAGTCTTCTTCGGATGATATCTCACTATTCGAGAAGTCTTGATCTCCCTCCTCTTCATCGCCTTGAGAGAGGTCGTCGGTATCGTCATAATGACCGGGCGGGGGGTGTGTGGTCATGATGGATCGGGGATGGGGTGCACTGGAACCATGTCGGTAATTAGCACGGCTAAGGATGGTACCAACGTCATGCTGGTGGTGCGCATACTGCTCGAGTTCCTCATAATATGCATCATATAGCACTTCTAGCTCCTCCTCGATTGCCGTCCGCTTCCGTCCGCATACCGAGCAGCTGCACGAGTGCTTCTGCTGTTCCTTCATCTTCCGCAGGACCGCTTCCTTTTCTATCTTGACTAGCGACTTGCGCTCGTCCTCGCTGAGGGACAACCAGAACTCGCGTATGCGCTCCCGCTCCTCCTGGGTCGTGGTGTTCCATATGCGGTCCTTCTTTGAATTCGCTCTGTGCGACGTCAAGACCGAGGTCTGCGGCGGGAGGTGCTGGCGCGGAGCGGCAGACGGGTGATATGCCGGTTGGGGAGCTGTAGGGGGGCCGCTCTTTTTCTTCTTGGACTTCTTTCCCAAACCACTCGCCACCGGAGCCGGGGCATAACCAGGCTGGTAGTGGCCATTCGCGGCATAGTCCTGTTCATACTGCTCCCCCTCCTCGTCCGAGTAGAACTCTCCCTCGTCGTCATAGCCGGGCTCGTCGAACTCGGGATCTACATATTGCGGTGCTGGCTGGCGAGACTGAGGCGGGTGGTGCGCCGCGGAAGTTTGAGCCGGAGGGGGAAGGCCGTTGTTCGGGGCCACTGCGTGTTGCTTTTGCGCCTCGGCGGCCTTCTTCGCAGCCTCCTTCTCTCGTCGCTTTTGTTTCTTGCGGTTGACGCCGCCGGGAGCGGGAGCATGCGAGACTGAGACGCCGTTCGGGGGAGCCGTTGATGTGGCCGGGCCTTTCGTGCCTTGAGCCATGGGATCGAGCAGCGGGGGCGGGGTTCCTGCTGGAGAGCAATGTCAGAGACTCTTTCTGCTCAAAGCCTTAGGTTAATCGCAGCTCGAACGGTTGGGATCGGGAGAGTCGTCCGGATGAGCGAAGGTGGACGTTGAGCCCCCGCCTTCGTCGTCGACACGTACGTTTTTGGGTGAGGTTTCAGAGCAATCCCTGCACGCTGACTGCAGCGACTGCGGGAGTGAAGGGGTATAACGGAAGGCGCTCGACCGTGTTCATCCACAGCTGCAAGCTCGTCTTGGGGTGTTGAAGGCGGCGGTAGAGACCGACCGAAATGTCGCGCTACGTCTAGCGCCGAAATTTGCTTGGCGGACGGTGCGACCAGGCGTGCCCGGGCAAGCAGCACAGCCCTCGGCCAGCGCTCCGTACCCGTTTCTCTTCACCACGCCGGAGACTGGCGCGCTTCTACTATTTGAGCCTCCTGCGGATCGCCCGTGCGTGCATCCCCCGAACCTGATCGCTATCCGCCATTATTAAAGCCGCCGCGCCGCCCGTCTCGCGCCGCAACCTCCATCCTACGCCTTCCACCCGCTTCCACAGCCCCTCGTCACCGCAAACCACGCGCTCCTCTCTCGCTCCTCTCTCGCTCTAGTCTTCCCTGACCTGCGTCTGCGGGATTGTCCCAGCGACCGATTTCTCTTCGGCCCATCGACTCTTCGACCTTCGACCCTCGACCCTTCGCATCTCTGCCCTCGGAGGCGAGCCGTACGACCTCAATTCAGACAGTCCTCGTCGACATCACGCGGCAGTTGCAATTGCGTTTGAGGGCTTACACCGCACTTGGAGGGCGCTTTCCCCTTCTGAGAGCAGCGAGAGTGGAAGCCACGAAGCAACGTGCGAGCTGAGCCAACGACTCCTGCCAGTCCTGTCAATTCGTTCCCCTGTTTCCGCGGTCGCCGTATTCCCCTCGACACGATGGCACAAAATGGCGAGCCTGTGATGCGCAGGTATGTAGGCGTTTCATCATCTGATATCAGTTCACTGCCCTTAAGCGGAGCTTGAGCGCTGCAGATCACGGTCTGCTACCCCTCCGCTCCTTCCCTTTTTTGCTTCGTATCCCAATTGTTCCGTTTTCACCTTCTTTTTGTCTACGTCTTTCTACGTATGTCTATTCTCTCAAATCTCTCAAATTCTTTATCATCCCCAGAGATCGTCCGCAGCAATTATTGGGAACTGCAGCAACCCCGGGCCCTACGCGATAACCTGCATTGGTGTTCCCGATCCGATGACACCCTTGTCTAAAAATAGGCACCCAGCATGGCTCCCATGTCTGCATTTTATCGTCCCACATTGACTTTGGCTACTTCTGTCGACATCTTTCCTTGAATCCACCCTTTTTCGCAATTGTTCCTGTTTCAGCTGCCAGCTTCACCCCGACCGACCTTTCGGCTGTCTGAAACAGCTCGGTCGTACTGCAGTATTTGGTACGACATGCTGATTCGAGCTACACCAGGAAACTAGTCATTATTGGCGACGGAGCTTGCGGAAAGACCAGTCTTTTGAGCGTCTTCACCCTCGGATATTTCCCTACAGTGGGTCCCCTGCGCCTCAGCACCATCATGAATATAGCATTCTAACTGACCATATAGCGTTACGTGCCGACGGTCTTCGAGAATTACGTCACGGACTGCAGAGTAGACGGAAAGTCGGTGCAGTTAGCGCTTTGGGATACGGCCGGCCAAGAGGACTATGAGCGACTCAGGCCGCTCGCCTATTCCAAGGCCCATGTGATCCTGATAGGCTTCTCGGTCGATTCTCCGGATTCGCTCGAGAACGTCAAGCACAAGTGGGCTGAAGAGGCCCGAGAACGATGTCCAGGTATCCCGATCATATTGGTTGGCCTCAAGAAGGATCTCCGCGACGATCCCCTCGCCCAGGAAGAAATGCGGAAGAAGTCCCTCAAGTTCACCACCCCGAAAGCTGGAAGCGATATGAAGGAGATGATCGGCGCAAGAAAGTACCTCGAATGCTCCTCGCTAACGGGTGACGGTGTCGACGACGTGTTTGAGGCTGCGACTCGCGCCGCCCTTCTGTCCGTGGACAAGAAAGAGGGAGGCGGCTGCTGCGTCATTCTATGAAGCGACCTTATCATCGATTGTAATTTTGCATTGGGCGGTGTTTTCTGGGCGCTTGTTGCTTCACTCCGGACTGCTTCACCTCGCTAGTCATTGCTAAGCGTCGGCTTCCCTCAGTCAGCTCGTCTCTCGGCATAGCCATTTTCGAATTCTCGTTCCGACATCGTGTCTTGCGGAAAAGTGTTGGGAGTGGGGGAACCTTGCGCTTCTGGTTCTAATGGACATATTTGAAGGGGGCTGCATGGGCTTTTTGAGGTACGATATTGGATGGTCTAATGACGATGATGATTGTCATCTTCCGCTCATTGATAGCTTGTATTCTTCTTCGGTTAGAAGGATTGTTGGATCCGGTTCAGGGGATCTGTTGGGCTCCAGGTGGTCGGCTTGAGCATATAGTATGCCTGCTTGGAGCGTTAATATTGAACGATACCGTTTTGGAGAATCCACGCCGCCGTCTGCATTTGCCGAGTTCCTCTCTTGCCTACCTAAATACCCAGCAGCATCCATATCTTACAGTAACCACGAAGCACTCTTTCCAGACACAATATAATACACCTATTCAACAGCCCCTACCCCTTCAACTCCTCGTCCACGCATGATTCCACCCCTCCCGCCCCGGAAAATCCGTCTGCACCCGCGCATACTCCACCGGCACACTCCCCCAAACCCCCCTCTTCAGCATCGCCGCGCGATACAAGCGTCCGACCTCCCTGCCCCGCACGCCCAACCGGCCTGCATCCGGCCCCTGCCCGCCGGCCTCCGCCTCGCTCACCCGGTTGCCATTGTTATCTAGTAGACGTAGGTGCTCGCACGCTGCCCGCATGCTGTTGTACTGCCGCTCCAGCTCTAGCTCCTCCGCGCGCCGCCGCTTGCGCAGGAAGAGCAGCCATGCGCGGTGGATCGTCCAGTGGCGCAGGGCGCGCGTGCGCGAGAAGTGCAGGGGTCGCGGGGTCAGCGGGTGTGTGAGGTGGTAGCGGATTGCGGCTAGGAGGGGGTATAGTTAGCTGGGGCTTTCTGTGCCGTTACGGAGGGGAAGGAGGGGAGGGAGATGGATGGGGGTGGTCGGGAGGTAGACGTACTGATGCGTGGATCTGTGGCGTTTTTCGCGCTGCGGTTGCGCTTGAGGAGGCGGGCTGTTGTGGAGAAGGGGGAGCGTGTAGTTGTTGTGGTTGCGGGTGTTGGTCTTATGGTTCTTCGAGTTGTGGGAGCAAAGCTTCTTTGCAAGGCATTGTTGGATAGCTGGGCGATGCGGGAGGTTACGGGCCGGAATGCTGGCCGGATGGAGGAGAGATTCATTTTTAGAGACGTAGGGGGCGTCAATTGCGGTTTTGGTTGATGGGTTGGGAGCTGAAGAGCTTGAGATTTCGCGGTTGTCCGCGGGTTTCGCCGTGTCATGTGATAAGCTAGTCGGATCGGGATAGGTCGCGGGACACTTCGGTTCTAAGGTTTTGTGCATCACCTAAACTTCCCTTGAAACCAATGTCATTTTTTCTTGAAATAGTCGTTCTCCTTTCTTAGAATGAACCTATACTCGCTATGTCTATCCCGCCCTCTCAATAGATCCGTCATTCCTGTTGCCTCTGGTCGACATTACAATATCAAACAACCCTAGTGACACCCTCGTCGGCGCGTCTCACGGCACCTTCGCTCTCAACACGCTGTGTGCATGCGCTAGCTTTCAACATATATGGACAGTACCTCGGCGCTTGTGGCTCTACTCTCCGCTGCGCTCTACCAACTCATCTGACGAGAGAAGGCCGCAGTGACTAAGCAGCACGACCTGCTGCTGAGGGCCATTTCTATTGCGAAGCAAGAGCACAAATCCTTTAACTGGGCCGTCTTAGCACTTCAGACATCGGCTCCGCCGTAAAGAGAGCCTATCAGGAGTGGAAGAATACGAAGCTACGACTGGAAGAGGCATTCAAGGCCTTCCCCAAGCATCAAAATGTGAATAGATTCCGTCATTGGACCGGGACCTCAAATCCTCGCCGCTTGATACACAACGGATCTTGGAGGAGTGGACAACAAGCACCGAATCTTCAGAGAAAATCGAACACGGGGACATTGGATTTTCGACCGGCCGACGTTTGGATTTTCAAGAATGGCCCCTGCACTGTGGGGTATTCGAGCAAACTTCCTTGACTACCTAACATCTCTTTGCGGTTGAGAGAGAGACACTGCTGCTTTTCAGGACATCATTCTGTCTGCCGGCTACCTTTATAATACTGGTCTTCGGAATGGTCTTCTCAATCCTAATACGATGGGCAGACCTAGAATACCTGATCGAGAAACACGCGGAGTTGTTGATCGCTGTAGGAGCACGTCCAAAGACTCTTGACGAGTGTACCAACCGGTTTTCTCATGCGGCTGGATGCTGATTGTCCGATCTTATGAAATAACCACCTTCGCGACCAACACAGGCGAATGTGGACAATGGTATCCCGCACGAGGGTTGCCGTCGCGGGATGCCAGGCTTCTTTACATGGGTACAGCAACACTGTCGCCTAGAGGGGTTGTGCGTCTGTGTACTATGAAAGCGTAAGGCTACCCAGCTTTTTTCTATGTCGATATATGCCACTTATCTCTTCGGCTCTCTTTGAGTGCGGCTCGATGCGCCATCAAGGTGATGAGAGACAGCGGTATGAGCATGGTCGAAATCAGTTTCTTCTCTGTCAAATCTGGATCAGCATAGGATTGTTGAATGAGGCCGTTGACGTTACGGGTCGGTGGAGTGAAAGCAGCCTCCCGAATTGCGCTCGGACCCACGACTCCTCCGATGCTGTTCCGCGAATGTTTGCTACTGATTAAAGGTAGCGCTTACCATCCAATTCTCCTGCTTCATCATTCGAGACCTCAACCTCGAATGTCAGTTAACACCCACCCCTCTCAAACGTGCCTTCCATCCTCGAGGTCACAGCTAGCAATCACAACTGCCTCGTCGACAAGATGGCGCCAATTTCGTTCCTCGTTGACAAATACCGCCGATATAAGAAAGATACAGACGAGTTTGTGCAATGGCTCGCCGAAACCGCCACCAAAGCTGCTTCCGTCGATCACCTCTTCGTCGACGCGTCACCCGAAGGCGTAAACACTGCTCCCGGTCGGCTCAAGGGAAAGGCTAGGATCCAAGCTAAGCAACAGAGCAAGCAGCAGAATTCTGCCTCTTTTCGAGTACCGCTGAAGTCTTTCCAAGAATTGGCCGACTCGATCGTCTCTGCCAAGGTCGCTGTGCCCGCCAATATCTTCATCATTCTCCGCGACTGTATTTCGGCCAGGAAGGAATGCGCGGCTTTCTATGGGGCCCACAGCGACAAGCAGGACCAGAAGATGCAGCAGGATAACGAGGCCCACCAATATTTCATCAGCGTCCTAGAAGGCCTCCGCCAGACCCTGCAGCCAATGCGCGTCAAGCAGCAACAGCAGAAGAACAGGACCACACACTCAACCGAAACGGACGGCAAGGCCGAGGAGAGCTTCTCTAACATGTTCGAACATCTTGAATTAGAAGAAGCAGACGACAATAATCCTAGCTGCTTCCCGGCCCCAACCGCAACCGACATTGGGAAGCGCCCTTCCAAGATCTACCGAATGGAGCCATCAGATGAGGATATCTCTTTCGCAATCTATTGCTTTCTCAAGGACTGCACCGATGTCCGACAATTTGTCGACCGTACCTGGCGCGAATACAAAGAGCGACGCATTCCTTTGACGGTGGCTGCGACAACAATGAACTCAGCTATAGAGATCTTCCGACGATTAAATGAGACATTTCTCGAAGACTATCCCAACTTTGACGATCATGAGAAGATTGTTGCTTTCCTATGCCGCGACAAATTGAGGGCTATGAAGCAAGACTCGGGCAATGCAAGGAGAGACAGGCTTGGAGAACACGATATCGTTGACGATGGAATGTCGCTTTTGAGAATGACGTGCGCTTCTACCATGATCATCCTTTTCAAACGTGTCCTGCTGCGGCCCTTGCGTCCGGGCGAATCTCTTGTCTATAACAAAGATAGACGAACCGCAATAGGCGAGGCACCAATGATCCTCCGGGTCTTCACTTTCATGCTAGACATGATCTACGACAAAAGATGGAGGACAGACTATGTTTGGAGGCTCGATCTACTTCTTGCAGCCCTCGAAGCAGCAAGAGAGTCCGGCAAGGCTCTTACCTGGGCCGTTTTTGCTGTGCAAACCTTCCTTGATATGCACGCCCAGCTTGGACGAGTAGCGGAAACCGCCTTCGATGAGCTGCATAAGACTGGAGCCTGGATCAAGACATCCCTCGAACACAACTACAAGGTGGGGAAGGCAGGTAAGTGGAACTTCCATGAACCTGGCCATACTGCCATCCTAGACCTCATACACAGAACGACCGAGGAGGATTATATGACCAGTGGTCTCCAAGCGCCCGAGTTCTTCCGAGAGGCCCTTACCGCTTGGGGATCACATTTCATGTTTAGGCACCATCCGATGATATGTGGCCTGATCCTGCAGGACCTCATCATGTTGCTCCATGACCGCGGCATAGAGCACGACTCCCACCACGGCTCCGTCCTTGGTACCATCCACCTCTACAACGCTGCTTTGCAGCTCGGCTTCTTACCGCCTTCAGCCACGTGGGCTGACCTGGAATACGTCATAGCGAAGATAGGCGAGCGCGCTCTCTTTGTTGGTGAGCGACCTCGTACGTTAAGGGATTGTTATATTCGCTTAGCACTCGTGATGGGTATTAGCATCAGCAACTTCACCGGCGCACATACCCACAAGAAGGGGGGGTTGAAATACGCCAAGAAGGGGCGGAATCTCGAATACTTTTCCCAATGTGTGAAACTAATTCGCGGCTCGAATCTCAAAGCGGACCAGACGGGGATGATTAAGGAAGTGAGCCGAGCGCTCGGCGAACCTGTCGCTATGTTCGAGACACTAGTAGCGGCACACCTCGATGCCCAAGCCGGAAACAATACCGCTAGGAAGAGCCGTCCTACTCTGACGCCTCTACAGACCTTGTCGGTCTTCAAAGATGCCATGGAAGCAGACGCCCAGGTGCTATGGTTCGACATGGTTAGCCTAGTGGATCGATGCACTGAGTTTCTCCGAAGCATTCAACCGGTCATCTTGGGCCACGTCAGGGAATCTAAACTCATGTCTGCGTGCCTGGTGTGTCTGGATCCTCGTCTAACACCGGACGTCATCAAAGCAACATCCGCCCCGGTTTGGGTCCATATGGCGAGGCTCATCCAGAAGGAAGGAAACGCTGAATTGCTTAAGGCACAAGAGCGCATTGATCTGTCTCATGTACTATACACGGGACGCAAAGAGACGGACTAGGAAGCAGTTCAGCGCTTGTCGGTAAGAGACCATCGCGCTTAAATGGAAAGTTCCTGGCCTCAGGATAGTCACAGTTAGTGGCATGGTAATATCTGCGTCTTGCTAGTAGACCCTAGCCTAGTCACCACGATGATGGGTCCTTTGTCCTATTGATCTACCAATACCAGGGAATTCGGCTCTTCCATAGCCAAGCAAGTGTGTTGCTCTCTCGAAATGTGAGTTCTATTAGCCTTCGCATCTACTCCACCAATCTCTTCTAGGCTCTCCAATCTTCTAGAAGCTGCATTACTAAGTAGGTAGAATGATCTTTTCTCTCTTGGACTTTCCGTTCTTATTATGTGCCACACTTGTGTAAGAATACACGAATATTGCAAAGGCAAGCATGCCATTTTCTTCCGAGGTTCACTGTGGGTCGTCGTGCGCGAGGGAGGCGCTGATGGCTAACTGATATAGTGTTTTCTCTCAAAGGGAAGGAGCGAGATGGCACAGCTCGCATTCTCTTTCTGCTATGTGATTGATACCTTGGACTTCTCACCGACGTCTCCGAGTCCCGCTCTTACCCCGCCTTGCGGTGAAGGAGATGGACTCGCAATTTGCTGCTTGTTGGCGGGCCGACTGCTGTTGTGGCGGTCTTGCTCGCCTTCACCTCGATTCCCCTCCTTCAACTCTTCCCTCGTCTGTTTTGCTACACCGACTTCAGCTTTCCTCTCCTCTCCTCTTTTTTGCGTCAGTCTCTATATCAATCCTACTCGTCGACATCCTGGCATCGCTGGCCCAGACACACCACGGTGCGCGCAAAGATGGGGCTGTCACCGCTTTTGGTGGATACGTATCGGAGGTACAAGAAAGGAACGGAGGCTTTTGTGCAGTGGCTAGCTGCTACGGCGAGGCGCACCGGCGCGGTCGAGAGTGTCTTCAACACAGGGCCGCAGGTAACTAATGGGTCAACTGGGGGCAGATTGAAGGGCAAGGCGAGGAAAGATGCGAAGAAACAAGGCGCAAAACCAGCCGCCAAAATATACCAGGTCCCACTCCAGGCTTTCACCAAATTGGTGGACTCGATTGCAAACGACAACGCCCTTGAGGTACCGTCATACATGTTCGCCATTCTACGTGATGTTATTGCGGCCCGGAAGCAGTGCGCCGCTTGGTTTGTTGCGAACCAGACCGATGTCGACGAGACCGTTATCGCGCATAATGAGGGACATCAGTACTTCATTTCCGTTCTGGAAAAGGTCTTGGAGACTCTGCGACCTAAGGAGCTGAGGAAGGCAACGGAGACACACCAAGAGGGAACTACGAGCAAACGATCCGAAAACCTCTACACATGCTTGGAGGTAGAAGAATCCATCGAGGAGGACTGGGCGGCACCAGACTTCAAGCCCAAGGAGTCTAAACACGGGTCAGCCGCATACACTCTGGAGACTTCCCAGGAGGACATTTCCTTCGCCATCTACTGCTTTCTGAAGGACGCGACCGACATCCGCATCTTCGTTCGGCGCACATGGCGCGAGTTCAAGCGAGGGGAGATCTCTCTTGTCACCACTGCCCTCACGATGAATGCAGCTATCAAGAGGATCGAGATGTTGAACGACGAGTTTCTTGAAACGTTCGCCCAATTCTGCAACCATGGAGACATCGTAAAATTTATTTACGACGGGTACTGTAGCTCGCCGCTCGACAGCTTGTTCATTGACGGAAGCGATATCCCGTTCAGCTATGAGGCTGATGGGCAAAAGCTTCTTCCACAAACTATGCTTTGCTCTCATACGACAGAGCTGGTGTACAAGTTCCTTGTCAACACCAATGAGCCCCAGTATAAACCGGACCCATCGCTTCGACTGTCAAGAGACGAAGTTATCCTCGCAAAGTGCCTTTCACTGCTTGTCCACCTTGCCAAAGCTCCTAGTACTGGGGCTACCATGGACGAAGTAAGCCGAGCTGCCGCCTATCTCTTCCATGGACCTACCGCCCCGACCTGGGCAGTGTTTGCTATCCAGATTTTCTGGGACACACGCAGGGAGCTAGGTAATAAGGTCCACCTTGGCGCGGATATTCTTAAACAGCATGGAACCTGGGTCTCTGGTGCCTTTGACGAGTACTTCGACTTGAAAGACGCGGACAAGATTGGAGTGTGGCACCAGAAGAACCGTAAGATTATGCTGGGTCTGAAGCAGAACATTGAACAGCTGGCGCTTCAAGACTTTGCACAATTTGCGGTTTACAAACTAGTCCCGAAACACAAGCGCGAGCAGTACGACTTCGGAGAGTATTTCCTTTTGCGCAATCACCCTGCCATGTGCGGACTGCTTACGAGTATCCTATTGGGCGACCTCCACATGATTGGCACCAATATGGCCGGAGACCAAGGCATGATCATGACCGCGGCGCATCTCTACAATGCTGCACATCAGTCTGGGCTACTGCCTCGGGATACCAAATGGGTCGATATGGACTGGGTTATTGAACAGCAAGGAAGCAACTGGATATTCGTGGGAAAGCGACCAGAGCGAGGCCTCGAGTTCAAGACGCACTTCCAGCTCGCCTTCGGTTTGGGCATCGAGCGGTTATCCCGAGACTTCGACCCGAAGCATGCACAGATCAAGAAAGGAAAAAACCGCAGGTTGCGATTCCATGCTAGGCATGTAGAAGTCACAGTGGAGCGACAGCCAGCCACGGCGAGACTTCAGGGGTATACCAGGGCTGAGGCGGAGATCGCTTCGCTGACTGAACTCGTGGTTGCGGACTACCTTGGCGCCGAAGACAAGGCCAAAGAAGGCAGAGATGCGAAACTAGCATCTAAGCAGCCAAAGCGAAGGAATCTTACCTCTATCCAGACGCTGTCCACGTTCAAGAAGGCGCTGAAGAAAGACGAGTTCGCGCTCCACTTCAACGTAATGGCTCTCTACCTCCGATGCATCCATCTCCTCCGCCGCATCCAAGAGCACTGCCTCACGCATGCCCCCTTGGATTACCCTTGGGAGGCCTTTCACGAAGGCCTGGACATGAATCACGTCATCAACTGTATGATGCTGGACTTGGCTGGTGCTCGTCGGCTTCACGGTTCCATGTTCCCGGCCGCGGTCAAGTTCTTGCGGGAGGTCATTGAGAAGGAGGGAGATACCGAGTACGCTCAAGCTACGGCGCGATGCGAGATGAAGCCGAACGGCGGCGATACGAAGGTAGATGAGATTGAGCCCAGCTTCGAGAATCCGCCTGAGGATAGTATGCCCCTGCTTACGCGTGGCATGTTTTGGATGGTCGTCGTTCGGGATGAGAATGGAGACTGTCGGATGCCCTTTGGAGGGTGATAAGCGAACATGCAGGCGTGGGTAAGGAAAGGTTGGACGTTTTCATGATCCAGGATGTCTCAACCTAGGTAGTGGTATAGCTAGGCGAAGCCGGAGACTCTACACACCCTTGCGCACGGTTTGGGCTCGATGTTCTTTTCTGTGGTGGGTTGTTACTGGAGGGGATAACTAGGGAATGGGCTCAAAAAAGGCGCAGAAAATGGCTCAAAGTGGCCCTATGAATCAATGTAGATTCTAGAAGGGTGTCTGCGGAAATCTCCTTCGTGACTGGGGTATGCGCCCCATAATGGTGTTTAAGCTCAGGCCGGGGGGAGCCGAAACCCAAACTAACCCGCGTATAATGTAAGCCGGATCCCGTTTTCTGCTGCTCTACAACTTGATATCGAAGCTCGTCCCACACCCACAACTACTCGTCGCCCCCGGAATCCCCGTGACCTTGAACTGACTCCCGATCAACTCCATCGTATAGTCCACCGTGCTCCCATTCAGCAGCTCCAAGCTGCTCTCATCAATCACCACCTTCGCGCCCTTGTCGCCCTCAAACACGGTGTCTTCTTCCGTCGCGGGCGACGTGGACAGGTCGGTTAAAGACATCAGGTACTGGAAGCCGTGGCAGCCGCCGCTTTCGATGGTTATGCGCAGCGCGAGGTTCGGGTTCTGGTCCGTGGAGGCGATGGCGGCGAGGCGGCTTGCGGCGCGCGGGGAGAGCGATATGCGCAACGGTTCGCCGGAGGGGGTGGTTCGGGGGTTGAGGATGGGGTGTGCGGGTTGCGGGTCGGAGGGCGTGGATGTTGCGGAGGGTGTGGCGAGGGCGCGTCGCGGTATAGATTGGGAGTTGGATATGGTTGCGAAGGGCGTCTTGATCGTAGATGTTGGCCGTCTGGATACGCTTCGGATGGAGGGCGCCAGGAAGTCGAGATATAGCGGTTGAGATGTGGCGGCGGCTTTGCTGTATGCCCTCGCCGGGCGCCAGAAGACGGGCGCAGGTTTGATCCCGCCGCGGGTCGTTGCTCGCCGCGCTGCCCTCAGGCATGATGCGCACATTGTCGATGGAGACGCCATTTCCGCAGCCCTCGAGTGTCGTGATGGCAAAGGTTGAAGTCTGAAGCTACAGTATGACGATGGCCGGCCGCGTGAAAGTCAAAACGGCAGTGATACCCGCTGACCAATCACGCGCATCCTTGCCCGATAGGATCTAGAACGCCTTGGCATCCCGTGGACCCCGCGATAGCCCCGCTTCCAGGCTTGTTTCAAAACGCGCGATCGTGTTTCAGAGCCTCGACGCTTTCACATGGCCCTTTCATAGCTTCTTTCACCCACCCTGCACCCCCGGAGGCCGCTGCAATGCCGCAGACGAAGAACCTCTTCGCGGATTTCGCGGATGCCGAGTTCTGCGCGGAGGAATTTGCGAGGAAGGAGGACCAGAAGGATGCGCTGAGCCAATTGCGGAACGAGTTCGTGATCCCAACAAAAGGCGACTTGCGCAACACGCGATATGGACACCTTCCGAAGGCGGAGACGGGGGCCACAGATGGTGCTGCAGGTGCGGATGACGACGAGGAGTCGATATACCTGTGTGGAAATTCTCTGGGGCTCCAACCACGCCGGACGCGGGAGTACATCAATCGTTACCTGGACACGTGGGCGTCGAAAGGGGTGTACGGCCACTTCAAGCCCCTAGAAGGCGGACACCCGCCGTGGATGCACCTGGACGATGCGGTCAAGGAGCAGACGGCGAAGATTGTGGGAGCGCTGCCCAGCGAGGTGGTGGTCATGGAGACGTTGACGGCGAATCTCCATCTCCTCATGTCGAGCTTCTATAGGCCGACAAAGGACCGCTACAAGATCATCATTGAAGGCAAGGCCTTTCCTAGCGACCATGTAAGCTCCCTGTCATGTCATGTTGCCCATGCATAGCTGCTAACGTTGAAAGTACGCGGCTCAATCTCAGCTTGCGCACCACAGCCTCCCTCCTTCCGCCCTTATCACCATCGAACCGCCCTCTCCCTCCTCACCCTACCTCACTACCGAAAGCATCCTGTCCCTCATCTCGCAGGATGCTGCCTCTATCGCTCTTGTTCTCCTCCCCGGAATCCAATTCTACTCCGGCCAGTTCTTCGACATCGAACTCATAACACGCCACTGCCACTCGCTGGGCATCATAGTAGGTTGGGACCTCGCACACGCGGTTGGTAACGTGCCACTGAAGCTGCACGACTGGAACGTCGATTTTGCGGCTTGGTGCAACTACAAGTACATGAACGGTGGGCCGGGAGTAATAGGCGGCTTGTTCGTGCACGACATGCATGGCAAGGTCGAGCAAGTGCCCACGGTATCCGGCATCGACACCCCAGTGGACGGCGACGCAAAACACGACAACGATACGCAACTCGTCTACCGTCCGCGCCTCAGCGGCTGGTGGGGCAGCGACAAGAGCAGCAGGTTCCGCATGGAGAACAAATTCGTCCCCATCCCCGGCGCAAGCGGCTTCCAGCTCAGCAACCCGAGCGCACTAGACATGACCGCCGTCATGGCAAGCCTAGACGTCTTCGCCCTCACCTCCATGGACGCCCTCCGCCAGCGCAGCCTGCGCCTCACAGCCTACCTCGAAGAACGCCTGCGCCGATACGACGCCGGCGCCGGCAACCCGCCACCGTACAAAATCATCACGCCGCTGAACCCGGCTGAGCGCGGGGCCCAGCTCAGCGTGCTTCTGAACCCCGGGTTGCTGGATAACGTCCTGCACTACCTCGAGGAGCGCGGCGTTGTCGTCGACGAGCGCAAGCCAGACGTCCTGCGCGTCGCCCCCGCTCCGCTGTACAATTCCTTCGGCGATGTCCACCGCTTCATCACCATCTTCCACGAGGCGTGCAAGCAGGCCGTTGCTCTCGCCGAGGGGGCCAAAGGCGAGAACGGGGTTGCTGGTGCGGGCTAGCCCCTTCCCCACTGGAGGACGAGTTTTGCATTTTGGAATGCTGGCTTCCTGAGACATTTTGTCACATCTGGGCGGGTATCTGTGTATGATTCTAACTCCCCCACCACCCCTACCCCTAATCTCTCTCTCTCCTACAGCTCTTCTTCTTCTTCTTCCCCACACACAACGGACGGCATGCATGCATATACCCCAGCAACGACGGAATGTGAGGACCCAGCTAGATCAAAGTAACAAGGGACAGAAAGGGAGGGGGGCTGCTTAATCATCCATCCATCCATCCATCCATCCGTCATCTTTTCCGCTAGAAGGGAATTCTTTGTACGAATATAATATTGTGTATAGGAAGTATTCTTTTTTTTGTTACTCAAGAAGTGGATTGCATTACTGGCTAAGCCAACAACAGCTCGTGATGTGAAAAGGCAGGCGAAAGCTATCCAGAAAGCCTCCCGCCGCGTACCGGTACACCGATGAGATGGGATGAAATGCCACAACGCCCTTTCCCCTGGTATCCAAAACTTACTGCTTGCCAGCAGCAAAAGAAAACAAACTATCCATCTGCACCCACTGCCGCCCATTCCGCTCGAGCCAGCGCTCCACAACGCCCCTCCACGTACCAAACCGCTCGCGATTAAGCTCCGCCAGCACCTTAATCTTCTCTTTCTTCTCTGCCTCCATCTTCATCCCCTCTATCCCAGCCGACCCACCCACCCCTCCCACCGCCCTATCGACATCAAACAGCGCCGCAAAATACAGCAGCTGGTTCCACACGTCCTTCTCGCCGCACACCCAGCTCATCTTGCCGAGACAGTCTTTCGCCAGGCCCTTGGGGCCGAGGCAGCGCGTGCCGTACACGCTGATGCTGCGCGCGGGGGTGCTCGAGCTGTGGTACGCGCAGCCGGGCTCGGAGCACGTCAGGGCGCCGGCGTAGTATGTGCTGAGTGTTTGGCGGATAGCGGACTCGAGCTGCGCGACGACGGAGAGGGTAGGCAGGATGGCTGCGCATGCGGGGTTCGGGCACTGGATGCCGTTGTGCGATATGTGCGACGCAGAGGAGGAGAGGCCGTGGAAGGCGAAGGCGGCGTGGCAGGCGCGGCAGCGCAGCCAGAGCGGGGTGCAGGCCTGGAAGCGCACGGCGTCTGGGATCTGGGACTCGAGGGGCGTGATCTCGACGTCCTGCGTGGCGGCGCCGGCGCCCGAGACGGAGCTGACGCGGTATTTTGACGTGTCGAGGCCGAGGCAGGCGGCGAGCAGGGTGATGTTAGTGCCGCTGATGGGGGCGCAGAGACGCTCGACGGGCGGCAGGATCTGCTTGTGCAGGTAGTAGTCGATGTCGGGCTTTAGTTCGCTGTCCTGTTTCAGCACCTCGTCGACCGGGTAGGCGTTCTTGGCTGCGCTTTCGGCGCTCCCAGAGCTCTCGCCCGTGATGATGAAGCTCATGACGTCCTTGGCCTTGACGTGCTTCCCCTTTGCCATGAGGCGGAGCGCAACCTGGACGCTGGGCATCGAGTTGCCGTTCGGGTAGTCCTTGGGGTTCTTGCCGAGCTGCGTGTAGATGGTGTATTTGCGGGTGGGGATGGAGAAGGCGCGCATGGAGGTGGCGAGGGAGCGGAGATGATCGTGGATTTTTTGCACCACGGTTTCGGCGTCCTCGCCGCTGAGGAGGAAGTTGAGGAGTTCGCTGGGGGAGGATTAGCTTCGGCGCGATGGGAGGGAGAGAGGGTGCTTACGTGGATGTTTCTTTGGAGAGGGCGCAGTATTCTCTGCGGCGCATGTCGAGGCCCTTGACTTCGAGCTTCTCGATGTACTTTCCGTCGACTGGGACCATGTTGATGGCGGCGTACTTCTTCTTTGCGTGGAGCAAGATGCGGCGGAACACGTTGTCGATGTCGATCTCCAGCAGCCTGTAGCTGTCGTTTACATCTTTCTTGAACTCGTTACCGAGCTTCAGCGCGTCTTGGATATTGTCGACATTCGTATTGATCATGACCGAGTCAGTGTCGCCGTAAATGACACGCAGCATCTTCTCTTCGGCCATGTCCTTGGTTCGACGAAGAATCTCACGGCCCTTGTAAGTCGTGAGCATGGCGAGGGGTCGGGCGTAGAAGCGGGACTTGGTGTATCCGAGACAGCCGTACATAGAGTTGGCGGTGAGCTTCAGGGCGAGCTGCTTGATGTCCCAGGTGGCTAGCTGATCAGGAGTTGCGGTGGGGTCCTTCATGAGCTTCTTGACCTCTCGCCGGCGCGAGACAAGGGTAGCGATAAGACGAGGAAGGATGCCCTGCTCTTGTGATGCGTCTGGGACCTCTGGGACCTTTTCCTCTTCCTCGGACTGACATTATGTTAGTGCAACTCTTCCAGCACTGAGATTTGAAGGACTTACGATATCCGATCGTTCAACAGTCGTAAAGCAAATGTTGAACTCCTGGATAATGCTGGGATACAACGAGTTGAAGTCCATGACTAGGATGAACTTGTCATACAAGCCCTTTTCAGGTTCGAAGACGAGACCGCCCTTGTACTTATCCTTTTTCTTCGCCTCACCTTCTTCGCCTTCGGGGACCTCTTCCTCGACCTTTGCCTTACCTTTGCCCCACTGCTTGTCCGGGCAAATGTACTTGTTCTTGTGGAACTCGTGGAGCAGAATGTACTCGTTCCGCTCAGCGCGGGTACCACTCAGAGTACGAGCCCAGGAGTTACCGGCAAGGTTGGTCAGAACCTTCGTGAGAGGGAGCATCTGGACCTTGATGGAGATGGCGGCGATGAAGTACGCATCAGCTTGACAATGCTTCACGTAGTTCATCAGGCCGTCCTTGGTCTTCGCCCAGGTCTTCAGAGCTTGCTCATTGTCGAGCTCCTGTCGATGCTTGTTCAGGACAAGCTGGGCCATCTCCTCCAGACTCCAAGACTGGCACTTGGTCATGAGCGACTTTCCGAGGTCGTTGGCCAAATCGCACAGCAAGCGTCCAGCAGCCAACTGCCTTTCGGCGAAGAAGCTGCCTCCACCTTTGCCCATGTTCTTTGGCCACTCACTTCGTCTGAGACGTCCAATGCGATGCCAGCCGGGGGTCTTCTTCTCGCGCATGCGGTTGAGCAGGACACTGTAGTCGACATCGTCTAGGCGATGTCCGACGAGTACGTCGGGGTCGTGGCGCTGGAACATAGCCATGAACAAGCTGAGCAGGTCCTGCTCGGTCTTCTTGAGTGTGATGCTACCCTTCTGCTTCTCGGCGTCGATCTTGAATCCAGTCGGATAAGCATCGCCGTTTGGCCGCATGATGGTGAAACTCTTACAAGGGAGCTCGTCCGCCGGAGTGGTGTCGGTCAGGGAGAAGTTGTCGTATACCATAGCACTCGCTACGAGAATTTCTTGCTTGTTATCCTTGGCGTTGAATGTAGTACGCAGAGAGATGCTCATGAGCGTAAGAGGTGGGGCATCCAAGTTGTCTGAGTTTCCGAGCACAGTGACGTTATTCGGTCTCTCGACTTGAAGTTCCAACTTGCACCAGGATGCATTGGTGACCTTGTTGAAATCCGCTCCTTCGATCTTGAGCCAGCAAGGGCCCATGACGTTCTTCCACAGCACAAACTGTTCGAAAAGCGAGGTGTTGGTGCCGAAGACGTGCGAAAACGTCTCTCCGGTCAAATCGGCAGAAAGGGGCATCTTGTCGTATCCGTAAAGAAGCTTAAGGTAGTCGGCTTCTTTTGGTATGTCCGGCATCTCGAACGCATACTTCCTCGTGCAGGGCTTGATCTTGTGCATGGTAACGCGGTGCTTGGTCATGATGGAATCGACCTCCTCATACACATCGCTCATCTCGACCTCCTCATCCGTCTGATGTCCCTTCCTCTGGCGGTGTTCCCGTGGAAGAAAGTAAAGTTTGCGGAGGATGTTGTCGACCTTGACGAAGCAACTTGCGTAGTTGCCCGTGTTCTTGTCTTTAACCTTGCCGAAAAGACATAGACTGCCGTTGATTTCAGCATAGTCAAACCAGAACATACGTATGCTGCCGTCCTCTTCTAGAGCAGCTTCGGGCTTCAGCTTGCCGACGCTGGTGGTGATGGCCGGGGCAGGGCTGCTCATGACGTTGAGCTTGCTCGTCACCTCGTTCCAGGAGGACGCATCGACCGCAGCAGCCGTCGAAGGGCCTGACGGAGAAGAGCTCGCTGGTGTTGGATAGTCCGTCTTCTTGATCTTAGACACCGGTCGCTTTCCAGCCATGTTGACGCTCGCTGAAGCGATGCTAGCATGTCCGATCGGCTGGGCCACCTCCATAAGGTCGTCCTCTTCCTCCTCGACCTTAACGACAGGCTGTGACTTCCGCTCTACGGCCTTCGCCACTGGCGATGATTGTAGTAGAGGATCGCTCATGGGGATGTCGTCATCTGCAGCTATGGGAAGCGGATCGTCGTCATACGCGTTCTCCGCCGGGGGTGTGTCGGGCATGTACGCGTCAGAGCCATTACGCTGTCTCTTCGCGGCGCTGGAGCGGTTCTCAGATACCGGCGGGGAGAGGACGCGGGTCTTTCTGCGTGCTTCGGACTTGACTGGTCGCATGCGGGGGGCAGGGCGTGCGAGGTTCGTGTTGATCTCGCCGAGCAAGTCGTCCATAAAGTCTTTATCTGCAGCGGTAGCGACCGGCTATAGATTGTCAGCACAAATTGAGCCGTGATGCAGGTACATGTCGGCCCGTACCTTTGGCTTTGGTGCCGTCGCAGCAGTCTTCGCGCTGAAGTACTTGCTGATGCCGTTGTCGATCTTCCTCTGCTTCTCGTCGTCTTGCTCACGCTTCCTCTTGGCTGTGACGCGTTAGAATAGACAACTCAGCTGTACGTGTGCTGCATACCAGGTTTGCCCTTTGCTGGGCGCTCCTCTTCCTCGCTGTCCGTGGCAGCATAGCGGTACCCATTGTGGTCGCCATCCCACTCTTCTCTGCCGTCGTCGACGTATCCCTCGCCGTTGTCGTCGACAATGAAGTCGTCCTCCTCCAGACGACTCCGCACAACCTTCTTGTAGCCTTCCTCGTCGACCTCGTCGTACAATTGCTCTTCTTCGGCGACCTCGTAGGTGGAAAGACGCGTCTTGCCGGCAGCGCGCAATGCTCGCAGCTCTGCTAGCTTGGCTGCGCGAGACATGGTGCATTGAATAAAAGAAGAAGCTCAAGCGTGGAATCGAGGCACAAGAAGTTCGAACGAGGAGCTTAAGAAGGTGTCATGGGCGTGGCGTGTTAGTGAGGAAAGAACGCGAGGTACTCGACGCGCACGCGAAAGTCGCGTTAAGTGGATTGGGAGCTTGGACCATCCTGCGACGCTCGGACCGCCGCGCTAGCCCAAGCGAACCTGCCGAGTTAGGCAACTTCTCATATCCATCGATGACAGTATTGTGATTTCGGCCCCCGCTTCACCTTCATCCTCACCTTCACCGTTTTCACTTCGTGTCACTTGTCATCCCACCGTGCATCGCCCAAGATGATGGAATCGAAGGACCCTCTCGTCTGGATCGATTGCGAAGTAGTAGTCCTCATCACGGTAAATTGGGCCCGGCTGATCTTTGCAGATGACGGGACTGGATCCCGAGAGCGACACCATCATGTCCATTGCCTGCTTCGTCACCGACTGCCACCTCAATCTCGTCGACGAAGACGGCTTCGAGGTTATCATTCACCACAGCAAGGAAGCTCTTGACCGTATGGGAGAGTGGTGCACCAAACACCACGGCGAATCCGGGCTGACCCAGGCCTGCCTCGACTCGAAAACAACACCACAGGAGGCAGCCGAAGGCCTTCTCCAGTACATCCAGAAGCATGTGCCAACGCGCCGGACCGCGTTGCTGGCTGGCAACTCCGTTCATGCGGACCAAACTTTCCTGGTGAAGCCGCCATACAAGGCTGTCACCGACTATCTCCATTACCGGATTCTGGACGTCAGTAGTCTCAAGGAGGCTGCGCGACGATGGGCGCCAGCGGATGTTCTGAAGAACATGCCGAAGAAGAAGATGTTACATGAGGCGCGAGCCGACATCCTCGAAAGCATAGAGGAAGCTAGGTTCTACCGCGAGACGTTCTTCATAGGAAGTTCTTGATGCGACCCATCCGTTGGCCGCCAGTCAGACAAGATGGATGTGGACATGGGGGCCACCTAAGGAGAGTTATAGTCACCCGCTCAGCTCTACTTTATTCGAGGGCAATTTAGCGACGCGGCATCAAATTCATGCCTGAACCTCTGATAAGCAAGGCTGAAGTGCGTATTGAGGCTTTCAGGAGTGGTCGCAAAGACATCCAATGGGAGAGAAGGTGGCGTCCGAGCACCAACGCGATTATTGTCTCCCCTCCCACTCATGCTCAGCCTGCATTTAGTAGTGCGGGCTGACCGAGCATGCTCAAGTACACCTCAAAGCCTTGCAGTGTTGGCCTGACACATTTCCTCAGCCTTGTCTGGTTTTGAGCTTTCAGATATCGGCCGTCAGGATGTGCGCAGCATACAGCTTCGCAACCTTCGTCATCGCTTTTTCCGCCCTCACCTACGCGAGCGGCGCGGTGCAAGTGCAATACGTCTCATATCCAAGGGTGGTAGAGCCGAGCAAGACTTAGACGTTGGAATGGCGCCCAGCTGATGACGCAGTCGGTCCTACAGACTTTATCGTCGAGATTGTCTGCTGACGTTTTGACGAAGCCTGTTACGATCAAGATTCGCAAAGGCAATCCGATTATCTTTGAGACCATCGCTACGTTGACGAGTAAGTGTGAGTTCCCGGAGAGCCTCACTGTCTGACCCGACGCAGCTTCTGCTACCGGTATGACTTTTGTGTGGACAGTCGATTCTTTCCTACAAAATGGGGACGACAACTTGCTAGAAATATACCAAGATGCAGTTAACCCGAACTACAGCTCGCTCATTACGCTCACTAGTGGGACTAAACCCTCAGACACGCCTTCGCCTTCGACACCAAGTCCTTCGCAAACTCCATCCCCACTGCCCACGTCACGTTGCGGCACCGTTACCTCAGCTTCAGCAGCAGACATTTCGTCGATTACTTCTCCTACGACAACGAGCTCAGCAGCAAGCACATCAACATCAGGGGGTTTGACAACAGGCGCAGAGGCTGGTATAGGTGTTGGAGCCTCAATTGCAGGCTTAGCCTTAGCACTTGGTGCGTTCTTTCTTGGCATAGCCGTTAGAAAGAAGAACAAGGCATCGCTCGATACCGAGTCAGGCAGCGGCATTGGTAAACCGGAGCTGGATGGAAAAGAGATACACAGGCACGAGGTCACTGCCGAACTTGATGGCGATTCTGCTGCAGTCCATGAGCTAAATAGTTCAATTGGAACCGAGACGAGACGGAAACCGGAAGAGTTGGTGGATCAACAACGTCAAGCGGTCCCCGTTGTTGGGAGGAGCGAACTGGATAGCGCATCAAATGAGCGAACCCCTCCCGAACATGCAGAGCTGAGTGGGGATGCAGTCAGCGCAGAGATCGACTCGCGACCTGTAGTTCCTCCGCCGCAGGATCTTCCCACCACCGAAAAGGAAGGGAGGAGTGCGGTATCGCCCTTGAAGGAGGGCATTCCTCCTGAGATTGACCGACGGAATACCTATGATGACCCCCAATTGACTCAGAGCCCTTGGGCTCAGGATACGGCCGATTCACAGAACCAGTAACCCTAAAGGTCGTAGGAAGAACTCCGGTACTATCAGACTGCCGCACTTCTCTCCAACTGTTGTCTCACTAACATCCATATGGAGTCCTACTTCTCGGGCAAGAAGGGCGCATTCCTGATAGTATATCTGATCGATGCTTTGTCGTTGCAGCCGGCTTCATCACCATCAGGCCGCCTCATCGACCCTTGCTCCGAAATCTGACCCCAGCGGTTATAGCTCGAGAGAACAGAATGCGACACAGCACGGTTCTCAATCGGCGTTGCGTACAGACAATGGTGATCTTGTCTCCTCGCTAGCCCAGTAGAGGACTACGGCAAGGTGGATGGGGGACCAAATGTCACCGACGCGTTGACAGCTTTCGGCGTAGATACGAGGAAGGCGAATGAGGGAGGGAAGAGCTTTGTTTTCCGCTACAGGCACACCAAGGAGACGAAGCATGGTGAGGTGACGTATTTCGTAAGCTTCATCTGCATACTTCTCCACGTGCAAGTCATCCTAACGATCATACAGCCCACAAACGCCCACTTCCACACGATCGTCAATGCCGACGACGGCGTACTCATCGCCTGGTACAAATACAGCCCCAAATACAGCCCCAAATACAAAGGCGCCGAGCAAAACCCTCCCGTCACCGTCCTCCCCAAACTAAAGAACTGGTGCGACATCGCCTTCCTAGCCTTCAAGCACCACGCCACAACCCGCAATACCGATATCTTCAAGCTCCGCTACATCTTCAGTGCGCCAATCCACAACGCCTTGCGCTTATCAACCGCGCCCTCGACGCTACTCTTCCTGACAAATGTGCAGACTATACTTGGACGGATAGAGAGGAAATAGGGCCGGAAACGAATGAGTATAATGCGCTGGTTGCTAGTCAGAATGGAAGGGGTGCCGCGCTGATGCTTAGTTCGCATAAGAAGGCTTCTGGGGAGACGAAGATGGTGGAGAGTGTGGCGGTTTGGTGTACGTTTACGCATGGGATGCCTGAGGTTAATATGCTGTTTACGGTCAGTGAGAAGAATTGGGAAGAAAAGAAGGATCTAGTGGAGGAGGGTCCGGATGACGACGGCCCGGATGACGAAGACCGGCATGTTGGCGACAAAGTGAGGAGGAGGGTTCATCGATCCAAGATGGTATCGAGGAACGAGCACTAAGGAGCTCCAGATGGCCGTCAGTTAGGCCACTGGTGTAGACAGCCCGCTACCGAATTGCGGTTTCAAGAACATCGTGCTCTCACTGTACTGCCACACAAGGCTATGCCGCGACCCCATCATAGTCACACGCCTGGCTCGAGAACTCAAGAACCAATTACGGAGCGTTCCAAACGAAAGTGGCGCCTCTTCGCTTCCTCTTGCTCTAACAGAGAGCGGCGTCTTCAGCTATTTCTTGGCCTCCCTCTTAAGAACCCCACAATTCCACGCTTCGCCTTGCGCGCTTTCCAGCTTACCAAAAAGCGAGTTATCCGCTCCAAGCCATCGACGTCGCGCGAACTATTGACCTCGCATCGCCTAACACAATACCTACCATGTCCGAGCGCACACAAGTAGATCCGGGATTCAATATCTGGCCCTTTCCCCCGTCATCTACATCGGTCACAATCACCACCACCACCGCATCCGGACACGCACCAACAACTTCGACCGTGCCGTCCGTCTCTCCACCACCGTCGACGACCCCCGATGCGCCCTCGGCGACCGCATCATCTAGTCCACCTCCCGCTTTTTCCCGCAGTCTGTCCACCGGCGCGAAAGCGGGTATAGGCGTGGGAGCTGTGCTTGCAGTCCTCCTTATCGCTGTCGCGGCTTTCCTGCTCGGTCTTCGCTTTCGACGGACCCGGAAGAAAGACCGGGAGACTGCACCATCGTGGGAGGGCAAAGCTGAGCTTGATGGGAGCAGCAGTGGACAGTGGATCGCGAGTAGCGTAGGAATACCACCGCCGCTGGAACTCCAGGCGAACGAGCGGAGGGCGGAACTCGCAGCTCGCGAGTCTAGTAAGGGTGGAAGAGCGCGGGAGGAGGGGATAGCTGGTGGTGCTGGATAGGATAGGATAGTTGTGTTTAGTGAGGGTGGGATTTTAGGCTCTTTCTCGCCCTCGTATAAATACGTCGCCGCTTCCCACATTTTCTTCTACTACTACTGCTCTTCTTGCCCAGCGAGTGCTCTAAAAATCAATTACCTCCTAGACTATGTGCTTGGGAGCTGGAGTCTAAAAACTCGATTTAACGATAGCATGGTCGGCGGAGGTCTAAAAACCGGACCATTGCGCACTCATGTGTGTGTGGGTTTGGGCTTTTGTCCAAAAGAGATGGATGGAGGTTTATGTTCTTTTTCGGATTCTGGGTCTCTCAGATGCACGAGCGTGATCACGAGCTTGAACGTTTGACCAGGCGATGAGTGGGAGGGAGGATGGAAGAAGCTTCCCTAGGTTCGTACTTTACTTTGGAGCTTCCTTTCCTTCTCCTCACTATACTTCCTCCGCAGTATCCCGTCTCAGCACTAAAACACGAGATTAGCATTGATGTCGTCTATTTGACTGGTTAGATCTAAAACGAAACGAGCGATGCAAAATGTGCTCTGGTCGGGGGGTCTAAAACTGCAGAATAAGATCCTCCACGGCTTCTTGGAAGCGGACTCGCAGCTGATGTCCCTGATCAGAATGAAAAAGGCAAGCAAGAAAAGAAAACCTACGTCTTCCCCGCACTGTGCTGCGCTGCGATCAATGTCCTGCGGTGTCGTGAGTCGCGGCCGGTGAAGATCGGGCTGCTCCGCAGCGTTGGGTATATAAATCATCTTTTCTTTTACCTGCATGGTCGTTTCCTCACAACTACCACTTCGCGCACTGGACGACTAAAATGCAACGCAATTGCAGTCAATGTGCGGAGTTCTGCGCTGGGCGTGAAAAGCGCACATATGCAGATTTAAACTGTATCTGTATGCCGCTTTTCCAAAGCAGAGCAACCTACTTGCATGGAGACTTGAAGAGCGGAACTAAAACTTGCAGTTTTTCATGTAATGTTCTGCGTGCTTGGGAGATGGAAGTTGTGCTGCAGTTCGCGGATGGCTGGGAGAGAATGGTACTAAAAGAACAGTGAGCTGGATGTATGGGAGAGTGCTCGCAGCCATATGGGAATCTTTGGAATTTCGAAATGAAAAAGCGTAGCTTCCGATGCGGTTCTGTCGAAAAAACTACTCATAATTCGCTACATGATCTTGCCCTGTTTTGCACCTTCGTTAGCAAAGGAAGCATGGTAGGCCTTAAGTGAACTCCGCAAGCTAATTCGATTTCCTAGGGCGACCCGCCACAATGGACAACGATGAAATGAGCAGGGAGAGCACGCTGGGTCGTAGGGGTCCACGGCTCCATCCAAGACTGGAGACTATTCTGTGCGTTCGGAGTGGGCCCCGATATGGCAGGCCAGGGACATGCGCCTGAACCTGAAACTGAACTTGAAGTAGGCGGGCAAGGGACGCATCGGCCGCAAGCCTCCTTACATAAAGAGAGTCGGGCCGTCGGACTACGTGGCAACTGCGACTGAGACTGCGGCAGAAGCAGGCAGTGACGGTGCGATATTGCTAGCGTTAGGTGCTGGGTCAGATGAATGAGACGGGAAAGCATGTGTACGACTCAAAGATGGAAGTAGGTGCAGGAAACGATAATAATTGATCCATGCGATCATTCTACATAACCAGAGCGGAGCTGCATAATAGAGCTTCTTACAAGGCAAGCTGAAGAAACGCCCTGCCTACTAACGACTCTTCCATGACCCCATCAAAACACGTCTGTCCATCTACACACTCTCCACCCTCTCCTCCTTGGTCTTCTCGACCGTCAGCCCCGCGCCTTCAGCATCATGTCTAAACTCCTCCTCCTGCAGCCTCAGCCGCTGCATCATCTCGCCATGCGCGCCCCGTATAGGCCTAATAGCAAACAGCTCATCCATGTGCTCGAGCGGAATCGACTTCGTCTCAGGGATGAGGAAGTAGACGAACGGAATGCTCAGGATCATCAGGCTGGCGAAGAAGAAATACACGCCGTAGCCCATGGTGAGGAACATCTGCGGGGTGAAGCGCGAGATGATGAAGTTCCAGAACCAGTTGTTCGCGGCGGCGGACGCCTGGCCGAGCGAGCGCGTGTTCTGCGAGAACATCTCCGAGTTGATGACCCAGGGCGTGCCGTTCCAGGACGGCGTGTAGAAGGCTGTCCAGAGGTAGAAGAAGAAGATAGCTGCGATGCCGCCTGAGGACAGCTTCGCGTTGGGGTCGCTGGCTTTCGAGTCGGCGTTCGACACTTTGATGTATGCGCCGATGAACCACATGCAGAAGGAGCCTCCTGCGGCGCCAATCATGAGGAGCTTGGTGCGGCCCAGGCGGTCGATGAGCCAGAGGAGCCAGATGATAGTTACGGTGGTCTTGACGACGCCGAAGATGCCGGTTGTGAGGAAGCCCGTTGAAGTTCCGGTGATCCCGAGTGACTTGAAAACAGTCGGACTATAGTAGTTGATGGCATTTATCCCGCTGCCGTTCTGCCAAAGGAACAGCATGCCGCCGAGGAAGAAGCGCCAGAGCACCTTGGGCTGCTTGAGCGCGAGGAAGGGCTTCCAGAAGCCGGGACCGATGTGGATGCGATCGTGCTCAATCTGAGCGTCGATGGCTGCGACTTCTTCGACGATATAGAGGTCATTGGGTGGGAGGTTGCGGATCCAGCAGAGATTTTGCATGGCTTGCTCGCGCTTACCTTTGCTGAAGAGCCAGCGCGGTGACTCTTTCATCCAGATCGCACCGATGAGGAGGCCGCCGGCGGGGATCAGCTGCACCGCGAAGGGGATGATCCATTGTTTGTGGGAGGGTGCCATCGTCTCTTGTAGCCCGTAGTTGATCCAGCTATTGCAAGTGTTAATACGCAACGCACTGCGTGTGGAGATAAATGCCAGAGAAACTCACAATCCAACTAGCCCACCAATTTGCCAGCCAAGCTCGTAAATACCGACCAATCGACCTCGCACCGCAGGTGGCGCTAGCTCAGAGATATAGATAGGCACCATATTCGACGCACCACCTACTCCCAAGCCAGCCAACACACGACCACCGATGATGAGACCCAACCCTCGCTCCGTATTCGCGCCTAGCATCATCCCAGCCCCGAGGATGAAGACGAGAACCCAGATCAGGAGAGACTTTCTCCTCCCCAGGTAGTAGCTGGATGCGTATGCGCCGAAGGACCCAAAGAAGGCGCCTGCCTGGTAGACCGACACGATATTCGCCTTAGTGAGAGCGAGCTTGTCCGGATCCATCTCATCGAGCCGGAACTCGTCGACGAAAGATGGCAACGCGAGTGTGGTGCCAATGAACGCGGAGTCGTAACCGATCATACATGACGCCCAAGAGGCGACGGCAGCAGCGGTGTAGACACGCCAGTTGTAGACAGCCTTGGGCGTTGGCCTATCCTCGACGAAGGCGAGGATACCCATTCTGATAGTGTCGTTGAGTTGTGGTATCCGATGTGAAGGCGTTCAACGCGCAATGAGACGAATGAAAATAGGAATTGAGGTCTGAAGAATGGCAAGAGTGTAGAGGGTGATGCAGTGCAGCCAGGGGTCGCGACGCAGCTCCACCTAAATACCTACCCCAGAACCAGGACAGTGTCTGGCAGCCCTGCGGAGAAGTTTCCTTCATGGCCCCATGGGGAAGAATCCCAGGTTTCGTCACGGAGCACAATTCTTCATCCATGCAGGCTAGATCGTAGCGCCTTTGACCTGGAAAAACTCTTTTCTTCGCGCCGATGAAACGCCGCGGTCAAGCGGGGAAACAACGTGCTGATTGCCTGTCCAGACTGACCTTGCGGGGATGGATCTGCGTCCGTTGCTGTCGGCACCGGGGAGAATTGAGCGTAGAGGCGTGGAGGACACAGGGGCGGAAGAGATATCTTCCAGGCGTGGCGTCGCTGATTGGTCCTTCCACCATCCGGCTCAATCTAGTCAGCCCACGTCGGCCCGATGGACGTTTTCCGCTTTGCATGACTCGCGCCGGGTCAATGTGGGAGAATGTTCAACGCTGTTCTATCCGCTCGGGCCGGAAAAGCGCTGGAGTAGTCCTCCGAAGAGAAAAAATAGTTCTGGACGTCCGATCTAGTCAGTGGCGATCTCAAAGCCCTGCCATTTATACCATTCCTGGATGGCAATATCAGCCCACGTCCCTCCACCATCAGCGGTCCATCTCATCATCGATTGCTCGGCGTCCAATATGGAACCACATACGGCTGCTCAAGAGATACCATTGATTGATGCGGTTGAGCGACATGGCTACCTCTTCGGCCACCCGATCGCGCATTCCCTCTCCCCTCTCTTCCACCAAACCGTATACGATGGACTAGGCCTAAAGTGGTCGCAGTTCCTACTAGACTCGTTGGATATGAAGCTCTTCCTGAGACTGCGAGAGGATCCAAGATTTTATGGTCTGTCTCTCTACCAACACACTCTCGAGCCATCCGCTAACGTCTGTTCAGGCGCCTCCGTAACCATGCCTCACAAGCTCGCCATCCTGAAGCACCTTGATGGCCTCACACCAGAAGCCGCGGCCGTAGGCGCCGTAAACACACTTTTCGTCCGAGAAGACTCTCAGACAGGAAAGCGTCTGTACATGGGCACCAACACGGATGTGGTTGGTATACGAGATTCATTCTACCAGAATATTCCGGATCCCGACTCCTGTTTCCACGAACGGCCAGCACTGATAATAGGAGGAGGTGGAGCGGCGAGGAGCGCTGTGTACGCGCTGCGGATGTGGATGAAAGCCAGTAGGATATACCTCGTCAACCGTGACCGAGCCGAAGTTAAAGCCGTAATCGACGAGTGTACGGCACGAGGCTATGGCGATTCCCTGGTCGACGTAGCCACCGTCGAGCAAGCACAGCAGCTAGAGGGCGTAGGCGCAATCGTCGCATGCGTCCCGAACTTCACTCCCCAAACCGCTGAGGAGATGGAGGCCCGTCGAGTGCTCGAATGCTTCTTGCAGAAGCCGCACAAGGGAGCCATACTAGAGATGTGCTATCATCCGTCTCCGTGGACTGAGATTGCTGATATTGGTCGGCGAGAGGGATGGAGCATCATTTTGGGGACCGAGGCGATGATATATCAGGGATTGGAGCAAGATAAGTATTGGACCGGGAGGGAAATACATGAGATGCCGGTGAAGAAAGTGCACGGGGTGATAGCGGCGAGGTTGAGCGAGGCGAGGTTGTAGATTATATTCTGACACTGTAATATAAGCCATGAATTGCCTCAGGTTGCTTTTCCGAAACCGAAGTGATATGTGTTGCGATGCTGACGCGATGCAGGTGCCCTTGTGCACCGTGCCTCAGCCTGCGTCAAATAATGCTGGATCAAGTTGGGTAGGGCCGTTGTTGCCTTGAGGCATGAATGTCGTCGAAGCCATCGGAAGGTACTGGCTGAGATCTGCGGCGAGGAAATCCGCCATGCTTGCATCAGGTGCGAAGCCTAAATTTTGCATGAATTGGGGCTGATTGTCTACTATCTCCGCACCGTCCAGAGAGGCTAGCTCATCGAAGAAGCTCTCGATGTCGCGAGACGTAGTTGATTTGTGCTGATACAATGAGGGCGAGAAAAAGTCCCTTCGCAAAGGGTCAAAGTTGGGGGTTCGCGGATCTTCGGAACGTTGGTTTGTTATTGTAGTGTTCATATCCGGCAGGAGATCGTTAAGGAGTGAGGAGGTTCCTCGCGGTCGGTGGTTGATACCCGATTGGTTCCTGGCTGGTGCGTACGGGGAGTCGAAAGGCACTTGAAGAGATTCAGGAGTAGGGATCGGATTTTCAACAACCGAGGGTCGGGCCTGAGCATTCGTGGGGACCGGAGTAGCTCCAAGAGCTTCGCGTGAAGTTGAGGACCACGTACTGCTAATTCCTAAACGAATACTTTCAAGGCGGAATTGTAGTGTCGCCTCAAGCGCCAGGTACATACTGCTCCTCTGTAAGCTTTGTAGGAAGCAGTGAGAAACTGGCGGTAATGCGGCGACTCCAAACTGATCTGAGTACCTCTCCAGCAGGTCGAGGATCTGCGTAAGCACTGGCTGTGATGGGGACAATGCAAAGCAGGTGTAGAGATGGCTCAGCTGTAGTAATACAGCGGGAGGGTTCAGCGGCGTGTGCTTGCGCTCATCGCGGATGTATTCAAGCGTTGGCGGTAACGAAGCCTTCCAGGAATTCAATTGCCCAAGAACTTGCTCTGAAGGAAGTCCAGTGTCGGCTGGCTGCTCAGACGAACTCAGCATATCAGTAATCTCCAGGAGCCTATTGAAGCTACTCAGGCTGAGCAACGGTGTCCTAGAACCGTGCGACAGGGAGGGATGGAGTGGGCTACTCCATGGTTGCCATTCCTCGAGTCCGTCTTCTTCTATCGGTCCAAATCGTCGGAGATCGAATACCTCAAGGTATCGGCGGCGATGTAGTTGGGAAGATAGTAGGTTATCTAGCAAGAAACAGGCGCCAAGAAGATGTTTCCACCGAGAACCAACCGGTTGCGGTGACTGTTCGAGCGCCAACAGGGTCCGGGAGGCAGAGCCAACAAGCAGCCAAGCAGCTTCGAAGTTTGCTCGGCCGAGCTGCACTATTGCAAGGTTGACCATCGCTTTGACGTGTCCGACGCCTAGTAATCCCCTCTCGTCTGGAATCAAGCTTCGAGCAACACTATACAAACTCTCAGATTCCGTTGCCACCGCAGTTTCTGGACACTCAGGCCTCGATTGATGCGAAGCTACGGCAAGTATACTCCAAAGTTCAGCGTGGTCGCCGGAGTTTGGCATTGCTGAAGACAAGACAAGGCCTATCTCTGGATAGGAATACGATAATTTGAGGGTATCCGGTCTTTCGCAAATGGGTAGCCAAGATTGGGTGAAGGCGAAGTAGATATCGAGGAGGCGCCAGCTGTTCGGAGGCAAAGACATAGTTGTGGTCGTATCGGTATCGTGTGGGCTGAAGGCGTCCAGGGGGACTTTCCTAGCTGGGATGAAAGGGGGTTGGACTGACCCCGATGGCCTCGCGTCTTCTTGTGGGGCGAGGCTAGGAAGGTGATTGTGAAGGCTTAGGTCGTCCGACTCGCTATCACTATCCTCATGTGCAACGTCAGGTGAAGTTATCTGCTGCCCTGAGAGCAACTTGTCCACATCTTTGCAGAACCGACTCCGTCTCCAGGCCTTGTGGAGCTTGTTGGACTCCTTGGTGTCACGGCCAAGTAGCACCGAGCGTTCCTGGGCGAGCTTCTGGTTGAGAAGGGCTTCGCAGCCGGTGTTCTGGAATAGCCAAGTCAAGGCAAGCTCCAAAGTGCGAATGTAGCCTGAAGCACCTCAGCCTCAGCATTACGCTGCCCGAGAATATTAGAGCCCTACCTGGCTGGATGCCCCTCTTCTTAGGAGGTGACGTATACGTGCATGGCCGTTTGCACGATGTGCAGGTCTGACATATGGGTTGCCCTCCGTCACACTTTTCCCGCGCAGTCCGGCACTGATCGCAGGCCCTAGAGACTCGAGTACGCTTCGCCGGCCTGCTCTCTTCGCCGGAGTTGGCCGGCCCAGTCCCGCGTTTGTTCTGGCTTTGTGAAGGCATAGTATCGTAGTCGGTAGGCGATGTTGATGCTGTTAGCAGCAGGCTTGCTGTCGACGGAAAGCACCTCCTGGCTGACTCCTGGCTGACTTGATGGGATCACCCAGAGTCCATGCGGTGGTTGTCAGTTACTAGCCAGGAGTTTGCCCGACAAATCGGATCCTGAACAGCTGCGTTTCTTCGTCCCAACCCGCCGGTTTTCTTGCTGCGAGGCTGCGTCTGAACCGGCGCATTGGGTTCGCTGAAGGACGGCTACTGACTGGAGTCGAGTGACGGGGGGAATCCCCATCAGGACATGCCTTCGCAGTCGTACATCGATTCGTTAGGGCGATTTTCGCGCAGCGCTGCCTTGAAGTTTGTGGACTTTTGGTAATGTCATAATGCTGAGAGGTTCATCGCGAAGTGGAGAGGAGTGGATCGAAAAGGGATTAGCGTGTTTTGAGTGAGGGGTAAGTTTTTATCCGAGGACATTCTCCATGCATCCACCTTGACACCTCTCTTTTGCTATGGCTTTTGGTAGCTAGAAGTGCTTCGAGCTGCGATTAGCTCCCTAGTATTCACTAGACTGATTGGCCCGCCCACCTTTCTCGACTCACGAACCCAATCCGCCCATTGTCGCAAATGTCACGAACGTCTTCTGTATGCCTCTGAGGGACGTGCTGGGGACAGAGAGGAACCTCCACCATGGCCTCGGTAGCAGTAGGAACGAAGAGGTCTTTCTCGGCCATGAGCGGTGACATGGCTAGCAGCGAAGCGTGGACTCGTTCTCGAACACCGCCGTCTTTCCAACCCTCCAGCGGATCTCGTGCAAGGCAGGGCAATGGCATAGACGCAAACTGTAAGCGCTCTTTGCCATGCGAGGACTCCTCGACCACAGCTAATGCTCCATAGGCTCTTTGAACTCCAGCGCTCGATCTACCCCGCGAACCACACCGGCACCTGCGTCCGCGCCCTCCGAATATCGCCGTATCTTCGACCCCGATGCCTCCGTCGTACTGATAGGGATACGGGGAACAGGAAAGTCCACATTGGCCGTCATGGCGTCCATGGCATGTCGGAGGCGAGTCGTAGACGTGGAGAGCTCCTTCCAAGAGGCAACGGGCTTCTCAACGGCCAAATACCGGAAACAGTTCGGAGCGTCGAACCACAATCTGCGGCAAGAGGAACTCCTCAGCAACATACTCAACACCTACAACGAAGGCACCATAATCGTTTGCAACGGAAGTTCGCTAGAACGGAGTGGGCAGCTCCTCCTTCGGGACTTTTCCAAGACCCATCCTGTTATCCACATCGTACGCGACCTTTCTAGCGTGCACAAGTATCTGGAGATCCCCGATTTGTCGAAGCTGCAAGATATCGTGGCTTTTACTACACCGATATTCCGACAATGCTCAAATTACGAGTTCTACAATGTATCAGAGACTCAGGCTGCCCACTCCGTTGTGCCTGCGAACCAGCCATCAGTCCCGGCATTCCTTACCCTTAAACGCGCCGAGCGGACCTTTCTGAAATTTCTGTCGTTGATCATGTCTTCGGGAAACTCTCGTGGAGCTGCGTCTAACGCAACTTCGACAATCGAGCCTGGATTTCCCCTCTCAGAGGTTCCCGTGGAACTGAGAAAGTATACCTGCGCTGTCCAAGTTCCACTCGAAGAGCTCGTCTCACAAGAGGCCGATATTGAGGCGCTAGAGTTTGGGGCCGACGCGTTCGAAGTGGTGGTTGAGCCCGTGGAAATCGACCCAGACTTGGACCGACTCACAGCTGAAAGAGCGGAGCGTATCAGCAGGGCCATATCTAGAGTCCGGCAAAGCACGGTTGTTCCTATTATTTACCATGTAACACCGGCTTCAGACCAACGCGCCGCAACATCCTATTCTGAGCACGTACGGCATGGCCTTCGCTTGGCTCCCCACTTCGCTACCGTCGACCTCTCCCTAGACGAGGAATCTATCCTTGACATCATTCGATCCAGAGGCTCGACCAAAATCATTGGACACCTGCATGCGCCAGTTGACTGGTACGACACATTCTGGCTCGAAAAGTACGACGCTGCAATACGCTTAGGTTGCAGCGCAGTTCGCTTCACACGTCCAGCCAAGTTCATGGACGACAATGCTGCCATCCAGAGCTTCCGCAACAAGGTTTACGAGAAGAATAAGACTATCCCTCTGATATGCTTCAATACTGGACGAGCGGGTCGTCGCTCCGCCTGCTTCAACCAGGTCCTCACCAGCGTGATCCCAGAATCACAAAGGGACTGTTCGTCCTTCCCGACACGAGTCGAACAGAACCCCGAGACTTCTTGGCTCACGGTGCAAGAGGCTACACATATCCTTTATGCCTCCTTCACATACGACCCCATGAAATTCTACATCATCGGCGCCAGTGCCGGTTATAGCCTGTCGCCCGCCATGCACAATGCTGCCTACAAGGCTTGCGGTATGCCACACCATTTTGACAGACTCCAGACGTCGACCATAAATACGTTACAAGAGCTTATCCAAGACCCCACCTTCGGTGGAACCGCGGTTAGCCAGCCGTTCAAGCTTGAAGTCATATCGTTGACGCATTCACTGAGCAAGCACGCACGAGCCATAGGGGCAGTGAATACACTAATACCCGTGCGTCATCTCAATGGAGATGGCAGCATTCCGAGCGACCTCGAACTGTTTCAGGAGCGTAACCAATCGGGACCGATCAAAGCACTCTATGGAGACAACACCGACTGGATCGGCATACGATCATGTATTCGAAGAGGCCTCTCCCCGGCCAACGCTGTACGCCCAACGACTTGCGGCCTAGTCGTCGGCTCAGGAGGTATGGCTCGCGCAGCAGTGTATGCCATGCTGCAGCTGGGAGTTAGGAATATTGTCATCTTCAACCGAACTTATGCGAACGCGGAGAAGCTCGTTGCGCACTTCGATCGCTTAGTCTCTACAAGCTCAAGCACGGGGCTTTTGCCACCAGTGCACCAAGTATCACATCCAACGTTCCGGATCCTTCAGTCGCGTGACGACCCATGGCCGGCTGAGCTCCGTCCGCCAACCATCATACTTTCCTGTATCCCAACTCATCCAGTTGGTGATTTGCCCGCGCCAAACTTCACGCTTCCGACACAATGGATGCAGAGTCCTACCGGAGGCGTGGTCATCGAGCTTGCTTATCGAACACTGAATACTCCATTGATGAGGCAGATCCGAGAAGGAGCTTCCCGCGCATGGGTATGCCTTGATGGTCTGGATCTCTTGCCTGAGCAGGGGTTTGCGCAGTTTGAGTTGTTCACGGGAAAGAGAGCGCCGCGGCGGGTGATGCGCGAAGAGGTACTACGGGCATGGAGAGACGAGCACGGGGAAGGTGACCCGGACATGGTCCAAACGAGGCTGGAGGCAATTGATGAGCAGGAACCATGATGTGGAGTGGTTTATCCAATGAAAATGAGATATATTTCAGTGCATGTATGAATGACGCCTCGATGATGATGGTTGGTCACGTGGGGCAGAGAATAGTGAACGTATACTGGCTCACAGGGCAGTTATCGAGGTAACACGGATGGTGACTACGTGAAAGCAGCATGTATCCATCCAATTTCTATTGCGATGGACGGTGAAGGTGAGACATAGCTTGCTACTAGGTTGGCATCCCTGTGCAGATCAGTTCCTGAAACGCACGAGCCATCCAAAATGCGGACCTCAGCGAGACGCGCATGAACACAACAGAGTTACCAGAGATCAATTCACCCCCTTACAACCGTTACTGTACATATACGATAGCCCCTTCCCAGATCAGCGCGACTATGAACCCGCCTCAGACCCCGACGACACGCAGATGAGTACGCGCCGGACACTCCAGCCACTCTCCCCGCTTTCGGTCAACATCGCCGGCGCCAACTACAATCACTACATCACCAAATCGGGGGCCGATGGGCTCTTCATCATGGACCAGCGGGCGCAGGATGACACGCGGGATCTGGGAGACGTTGTATCTCTAACATCCCTAGAGAACGACGCGGATGATTTCGATAGGCTGATGATCCAGAACGCACGCGACGAGCGCCGCTTGAACGACGCGCTGCAGGGCAAAGTCCAGCCCTTCCGCAAGGCGCGAACGCATCCGCGCGTCGGCGTTACGCTGGAGAACCTGGAACGGCACAATGCGAGGAATAACGCGGCGTTGGGGGCGAATGCGCATGTCAAGTTCGAGAGCCCGCCGAGCAGCAGTGGGAGTGTGCGGTCGGATCCCGCGATACAGGTGCCGGCGGGATGGGGACGGAAGGCTAGGGTTAAGAGGCATTGGATGCGAACTATCACGTCAGACGACGAGCAGACGCCCGGGGCGCGGGGAGAGGGCATCGAACGGCCCGCCGAAGATGACGAGAAGACTCCCCGCCGCGCGGACAGCCCTGCCGATGCAGACGTACCGCGCCCATCTATCGAAGACAGCCCGCTTTCACACAAGAGCTCGCGCCACGGCACGCCCTCCTCGTCGCGTCAGCAAAGAATAGAAGACTGGGACTTCGATCTGAACGAGGCGTCCATAATCGCTTCGACACCGTACATACCACGGAACACGGCGCTGGACGACATACGGCAGAGGGAGATTGAGAGCCTCAGAGAACAGGGCGTCACAACGAATCGGCTGGGCAAGATAAGAAAAAGCTCGCCGGAGGAACTGCGGCGCCCGCGCTCTTCGTCTGCGCGGTCCACACTGAGCCAGCCAAACGGCACTTCAACAGAGCAGGAAACACAAGGAGCTGGGTCATCGGAGCTGCGGTTGCGCAAGAGGACAAATTCCTGGCAGACCATTGACAAGTCGCAGGTAGTGAACGGAGAGGGGGTTGAGAATTCACCCATTATTGTCTATAAGAAGAGCTCAGAGACCGTCGGCGCGGTAGATCCCGGTCTCCTCGCTAGCGCGCAGTCCAATTCGAAACGCCCTTCTCACCACAGAAGAGAGGATTCACAAGATCTGTTGCGGAGGTTGGCAAGGGTGTCGAGCCAGACGCCTAGTCCTGGTAGAGTTACGACAGGGCGACCTCAGACTGCGCCCGCGAGACAACCCGATAGCTCTTCGCAGACGATGGTTACGGAGAGGTCGCCGACACCACCCGGTGCCAAAAACGAAGCTTGTCCAGAAGAGGCTGCAAGAGAGTCGACCGCGCAGACCGATGCTATCGTTCCTGAAGGCCAGCCCCAGCAGGACCAAAATAGCGGGGATTCACAACAACACACTCGTGCTCCTGAATCTACACAGGCACAGCGGACGGACGACATTGATGCAACACCAATGCCAGTAGAGCAGTCGATATTAAACCCCAAGACACCAGTGGTAACTGGTGCTTGGGTAGATACGCCCCGTCCCGCCACCGTGCATCGACCCACAGAGCAACCTCGACCTTCTTCCCAGTCACCCAAGAAAGGCAGCCCAAGAAAGTCTCCAGAAAAGAGACCAACTCTTCCCGAGGAAGAAACCCCAGAGCCCCTAGCCCCCGAGACGACCCGGCCCACGCTCCCCAGATCAGCGCTAGAAGCAATCGTCGAGGAAGCCAAAGCTAACGGCAAGAGGCGCCCCGACGACTTTGGAGATTCTACCATCAACTCCCTAGAAGATCTCCTCGCACCTGTCGCCGACGAAACAGGCGACATGGACGAAGACACCCTCCAAGGCCTGCAACTCCCCACACGTACCCCCCGCAACGAAGCCGAGCGTCAGCGCCAGCAGGAACTCCTGCACCTACATCGCATGAACGAGCGGCTCCGCGCAGCGCGCACCAGCATCCGTGATGCTTCCCGCGGTATGAAGAGAGTGGAAAACCGCGTAGAGCATGTGGAAGATATGGTTACGGAGGGAGGCGAAAGAATAAGGATAATTTACAAAGAGTGTCCATGTATGGCTAATGGCGGGCATCAGTGCCTGGAATTTTCAATGTGGAGGTGGTTCAAGAGCTTGTTTTACGACGAGCGGTTAAAGCCGCGCAGACGGGGCTGGGGCCTCACGATGCTCAGCATCTGCCTGATCGCGTTCTTCACGTGGTTTGTGGCGGAGAACGCGGCCTGGTATGCAACTCCCCCTAATTTCACCCACTCATTTCAGAAAGCAGCAGCTAAGAAAGAACAGCGAAGCTTGGTGCCACCACCTCTACGCAAAGTCCTACAAAGGCTACGGCGTCACCTACGATGCGCCCGAGTTTCCCTTCGTCATTCCCACGATGACGTACCGTGCGTTTATTAAGCCGTGGTGGATACCGCTCTTTGGGTTTCTTGCTTGGGGCTGGAGAACGCTGGCTGGGTGCTTGGTTGGAGGGGAAGAGACGGTACAGGGAGGAACTGCGCGAGCGACCGCGACGCGGGTTGCGACAAAGATGTGGGAGGCGAGGAGGGCGTGGGAGGCGGAAGGCGGTGGTGAGCGGGTGCTGGGTATGGGCGCGGATGAGGTTGTGAGATGAGGCTGAATTTTGCGGCTTTCGCGTTGTTTGTTGGTTTATGAGTGGGAGACATATTCTGTTTTTCCATCTGAGGATTTTAGCGTGGTGTTTTTGGGGTGCTGCTTGGAGTCCAGTACACGAAACGCATCTGGGATTTGCGTGCATGCTTGCTTGCTTGTATTACTAGGTACTACTACGAAGCTGATCTGGGTTGGATACAACGATGTAACGTCTGAGCGAGCGCCTCTTTGCCCGTCTTTGGCTTGCATGGAAAAATGGAGATCGTTTCGCTCTTCCCAGGGCCTTGTCGCCTTTCCGCCAACCGCCAACTCAACCTACCCAACCAGCGCATAGTCTACTGATCCCCACGCTGATGCAGTGCAGTGCGTTAGTTTGTGCTGGATGCGGTAGCGATCTATCAAGGTATGTGTGTCTCCTGACCTGCGATGCAGGTGTACATGGCGGAGGGAAACAGGTTATTCCCTATACCCGCTACGCCCATTCCAAGGTTGCTAGATGCATCTGCAGGTAAAGAGAGGGACTAGGGAGAAATACCCAGCCACACATAGATACTCTTGTCAGCACAGCATCAGGCCACGCGTGAGCCCTACCTCGCGATCTCCATGGTACATCTACGCCTCGACCATTTCCCGATTCGCTTCGTCGCGCCGTACCGAGCCCGTACCAAGGCAGGTCAAGACCTCGAAAAGGACGACGACTTCTGCTTGGCTAACGTCTCGGGATTCGGCACCGCACCGGACAGTAAAAGCGACCAACCATGCTATGTGGGAAGGGAAATCTTCAGGCTTTTCTGCATCACGATTCATGCTCTCCCTGCGGAGTCCATCCAGCGTGTAAGGTGATCGTGCCCCGCTTTCTTCACCCTCTACAGGGCGATTGGTGTTTCGATCTTCGACAAGCATGGACGATTCGGTCATCGCGGTGGCTAGGTATGTGGGCCGCGTACACAGTGTCTTGGAGACGGCCGCGTTGGTTGGATCGAGTGCGTGTGCCAAGCCGTATAGGGCTGTTTACCCCACACAAAGCCACGCCTGAGCGGATCGACCGGGATCTTTCTGCGGACCTCACCTCTTCTTCGCCAACAGCCCAAGGACACTTTTCGCAGCGTGGGTGGCTCAATTGGTGAGGAGGGCGGCTGGGATGCTTGGGCGAGAGCTTTGGATGCTGTGGTGAGGTTTAGGAGGGTTAGGCGGGCGTTGGCTGAGCGGAATATACTGGGTATGTAACCCGTCCATCCAACAGCACCCGTCAATGACATAGCCACACACTCCAGAAGCTCGCGATCCGCTTTCTAAATGGTGCGAGAGACGTTAGCCTCCTTGGGCGCCACGATGCCAAACCGCTGCCCAGTTCCTCGAGCTCTTCTCTTAAGTCATCATCCCACTTGGCTCGGCGCTGGACCGCTTGGCTCCTTTCAGTCACTTCCTCATAGGCTGGGATGCGGGAAATGGCCACTGCCGCAGGTGCGGCGTGCTGGGCTCATTGGCTGAGGCAGAGGAATCGTGGAGCAGGGGCGGTGCTCGAGGGGGACGAGTGGCTTTGTTACGTCTTGGGAAGGGAGGTGTGCAGATTTGTACAGGTCGAGGCTACGTATTTTATGGGATAGCTTCCCCTCTTTATATCGTCATCCGGAGTGGATTGCCGTGTCCTCACTTTCTGCTCTTCCTTCTCTTTCCTCTCCCGAGCTGCCCCAATTGAACTGCTCGTCACTGGCATTATGCATTTCAAACACCTCTCCCTCCTCGCCCTCGCGGGCTACGCCCTCGCCCAAGACTCCAGCACCCCCCAATCCCTCAATGCCACCCTCTCCGGCAACGACCAGCTGTCAAACTTAACCTCCTTCCTCGCGCTGCAACCGCAGCTCCTTGACACCCTCTCCAACGCGCAGAACATCACCATCCTCGCGCCGTCCAACAATGCATTCAGCGCGTTCCTCAATTCATCTGCGGGCTCGCAGTTGGCTGATGACCCGGGCCTCGTCGCCGCTCTGCTGTCGTACCACGTCCTCAACGGCACGTACACGTCGAGCATGATCTCGAACACGAGCACTTTCGTCCCGACGCTGTTGACGAACGAGTCGTATGCGAATGTCACGGGCGGCCAGGTGGTCGAGGCGATTATGATTGGCAACGAGACGGTCTTCTACTCGGGCCTGCTGCAGAATGCCACCGTTTCGCAAGCTGTACGCACTCCTCCTTTCGCTAACTTCCACCGCCGCTATAGAAAAAGAATCTAGACCACATGCTAAAGCACAAGCAGGACCAAAACTTCACCGGCGGCGTCCTCCACATCATCGACTCCGTCCTCACGCTCCCCACCGACATCCTCAGCACCGCCTCCGCCGCGAACCTGACCGCCCTGCGCGGCGCCATCAACGCGACCAACCTGATCGACACGGTGAACTACACGCCCGACGTGACCATCTTCGCCCCCACCAACGAGGCCTTCCAGAGCATCGGGTCCGCGCTGGAGAACCTCAGCGAGTCGGACCTCGCGAACGTGCTGGCGTACCACGTCGTCAACGGCACGGTGGGCTACAGCACGGACCTGGTGAACGGGACGAGTTTGCAGACGGCGAACGGGGCGAATCTGACGGTTACGGTGGAGAACGGGACGGTTTTTGTTAATGCGGCGAGGGTTGTGACGCCGAATGTGCTGGTTGCTAATGGCGTCGTGCATGTTATTGATAAGTAAGCATCTCTCTTCCCCTGCTAACCCATCCCAACCCAACCCAACCCATACTTAACCCTCTTCCTTCCACACAATACTCACACCCACCAGCGTCCTCAACCCAAGCAACACCAGCCTCGCCGCCCCGGACGCCACAACCGGCGCGCCGGGCTTCACCGCCTCCCCCGGCACAGAGGTGCCCTTCACCTCGGGCCAGCCGACGCCGACCACGCAGATTAATCCTACGTCTGAGGGGCCCGGCCCCGCGGAGACGGCGGCGAGCAGCAGTTCCACGGGCGCGGCGGCCGCGCCGATGAGGACGGGGGCGGTGGGGGTGGGCGCGCTTTTGGGGGCCGGGGCGGCGGTGTGGTTTCTCTAGATAGGTTTTTGTATGGGGGGTGTTTGGGGTTGATGATGGGAGCAGGAGAGAAGAGGAGGGGGAAAGGTGATGTTGGGGTGGAGAAGAGTGCGTGCATGTGTATGCATGAATGAATGCAAGACCAGAAAGAAGAAATGGGAGAGTAGAAGAAGGCGGTTTGTTGGCTGGGGTTGTAAAACAAGAGCGAGCAATGGGTGAGTAGCGTTAACTAACTAACTAGTCAGTTCGGCGGGGAAGAAAGTTTAATTTGTAGATACCTACCACACATCCATCATTCACGATACTTGCAGTACATCTTTTTGCGTGCGGACATATTCTAATACTACCTTTGGTGCACGGCCCCTCACCCCAATTACCTAGATCAGGTCAGGTATCAGGCTTATCAATGGGGTATTTAACTTCTAGTATACCTATACATATACATCTGCACGTGAGAGGAGTCCGCACCAATCCCAACTCCCCAACTCCCCACACCACGATACTTTAGTCTACATAACAATAATAAACAAACTCTCTTTTCCAAGCCTATTTCATTCCGTAGGTAGGAATTGCCATGCCATGCCATGCCCTACCCATAGGCCATACCCCAAAAGCCCATGTGGGGAAGCCCTACCTACTCCACCATTCATTATTTGCCGACCACCGTTCCCCGCCGACGCTACATGGGTCGAATCCTCACTGTGTGTATATGAATGATCGACTTCCCAGAGCGGCTAAACACGAAAAATCCGGGGTAATGCATCCATGGATATTCTTCCGCAAACAATCGCGATTCTTTCTAGAAGGGCTGGGTTGTCAATTGCCCCGCAAAACTATGCGACCTGCGTGGCAATTAATTCAAGGAAGGAAAGAAATGGCCCGCATCGTATCGCATCGCGTGTATATGTGCAAGGACATTCCCCATTTGCCTGCCGTGCAGAATTTTGCAGGACGGGACAGGACAGGAAGAGTGTAGTGTGCGTTGAGCGCGCACCACGCCTCCTCGGCAAAAAGACGACACCATGAAAGCATCCATACACTTCGCCATCAGCGCCCTAGCAGCCCTCACAGCCGGGCAAACTCCCTCCCCCCCACCCTGCGACCGCCCCTGCCTCGAGACCCTCGTCTCCGACTACCTCACCGCGCTCATCGCCCACGACCCGTCGCGCCTCCCCCTCGCTCCAGACGTCAAGTATGTCGAGAACAGCCAGATCGTGCCCCTCGGCACCGGCGAGTGGCACGTCGCGACCTCGCTCGGACGATACCGGCATATCTTCTCCGACCCAGAGAACGGGCAAGTCGGCGCGATAACGACGCTGACGGAGAACGGCGTCGGCATCATCTACGTGGTGCGGCTGAAACGAGAGGCGGCCAGCGGGCTGATCAGCGAGATCGAGAGCCAGATCACGCGCGACGCGGGCGGGTTCGCGCTGTACGAGAACATGAGCGTGCCGGAGAGCGTGTGGCTGCAGCCCGTAGCTGTGGAAGATCGCATCCCGCGCGCGAAGCTGATATCGCAGACGGACAAGTACTACGCGGGCATGGAGCGCAACGACCCGCGCGGCAACTACTCGTTCTTCGATAGGGACTGCAATCGCCTGGAGGACGGGCTGCAGACGACGAACCAGAAGAATAATGCGAGCTACGGGCACTCCAACGACACGGCCTTTGCGTCGCTCGGCTGCGAGGCGCAGTTCCAGACGGGCTTCCTGGGCTTCGTGACGAGAGTCCGGGATCGGCGGTACGCGGTCGTGGATGAGGAGAGGCAGGCGGTCCTTGCGATGACTATCTTCGATCATAATGGCACGGTGAGGGAGCTGCCCAGCGTAAACGGCACGTCCAACCCCATACCACCGTACTTCGACGTCCCGCGCACGCTGGCGGCCAGCGAGGCATTTCGCCTGAGGGGAGAGGAAGGCAAGCTCTGGCGGATCGAGATGACGCTCACCGAGGTGCCGTACGGGCAGCGCACCGCCTTCGACGCCGGGGAGACGCACGACCTGTCCGGACGGGGGACCAACCGCTCTACCTCCGCGCCGTGCGACCGCGCCTGTCTGGACACCCTCCTGGACAACGTGCTCGCCGCGATGCTCCGCAACGACACCACCTCGCTGCCGCTCGCGAAAGGCGTCCGCTACTCCGAAAACGGCCAGTTCCTCGCCCTCGGCGACGGCCTCTGGGAGACCCTGCAACACGCCGCCAAGCCAGGCGTCGACGACTACGCTGCGCGCTTCGCGGACCCGAGCACCCAAACCGCAGGCTACTGGGGCCTCACGCGCGAGCAAAGCACGCCCGGCGTGCTCGCGCTGCGCATCACCCTCGCTAACGGGCAGATCAGCGAAATCGAAGCCCTCAGCGTGCGCGCAGAAGGTACAGGCGCCCGCGGCGGAACAGTGACCCTGATGCGGCCACCGCTCCCTGTAGAATGGGTGGGCGACTCGCTCGGCGCGCTCGACGCAGTCTTCAAGACGAACAGCACAGGGGGCGCTGTGATCCCGCCCTCTGTGGTCCTAACAGCGTACTTCAACGGCCTGGAGCAGCACTCCAGCGCTGACGTGCCCTTCACGCCGTCGTGCACGCGGCGCGACATGGGGCGGCAGCTGCGAATGGCGTGCGGCGCGCAGATGGACGGGCAGGGCACGACGCCGAACGGGCTTTTCAACAGTACGGGCGTGGTGCGGGATCGGCGTGTCTTGGTTGCGGATGCGAGTAAGGGCGTCGCGATGGTGGTTGCTATGGTGGATTACCCGGCTAGGGTGTCGGGCACTGTGCCGCGGACGCAAATGGTGCCTAGCACGTATATGATTCCGCAGCTGATCAAGATGGACAATGGGACGATATCCCGCGTGGAGGGGATGATCAAGTGGATGCCGTTTGGGTACACGTCGGCGTGGGCGGAGGGGAAGAGTAATTCGACTAGGTTGAGGCTGCATTAGAGTTAGCTGAGCATACGCGAGCGAAGTATCGCCTCACTTACGGAAAGAAATTGGATTACCGTCTCGTGTTCCTCAAGGGCCCTATAAGGCACTACCCCACCCGATCAGAAGACTGCCCTGGGGCTTCATTCGACAACATCTCATTCTTCCAAATAATACGTATCTACTAGTTTAGTCAAGCTATTCGCTATGCCCATCAACTCCTCGCGAGCTAATTGTACAAGGAGCTGGCCCCATGAGGGAGCAAAAGTCAAGATCCTCCACCTACTCTTCCGCACACCTTGCTCCCCACAGCTTCATCATTCTAGACTACTTCGCCGTCGTGACCACGCCTTCGTACTCGCGGCTTGAGATGTAATCCAAAGTGCGCTGGAAATGCCGCCTAGGGTTCTCAAGGGAAGCAGCGTTTTCGTTGGATTGCAGGTTGGAGTGGATCAGTTCGATCAGCCCGTTAAGGTATTTCGTGGTCACCTGTTCAATGTCAGCGGCGCCTTCTCTAAGCAGAGTGCGGGATTCCTTACAGCTTCGTTCTCCTGGTCAAAGTAATACACATAGCGGTTCAGAATCTCGACGAAGAGCTCTACTGACACCGCAGCGTCCATGCAGGCATCCGCTACACGAAGAGCACGCTGCAGACATTCGAGCACACGCTTGCCGTCCCGGTAAAGCTATGCAAGTCAGCACACACGTCTGCATGCGAAAAGGACGTAGAGACTCACATTCTTCGGGTCTTCGTCTCCTAGATTTCGGATCTCAGTTGCCCACCACAGGTGACTAGCTAGGTACACCGCCCGGCATTGGTCGGGCTTTTTGAGCAGCTTGCTTCCGTGTAATGCGCACTTCGTGATTAAGGTATCGTAGTTCTCCTTGCCGAAATTCCTCGTCGTGTGCAGAGCGCTCGCGATGACGCATACAGCCTGGAACTGGGCTCGGGAATCGCTGATAGCCTCTTCGTATATCGTGAAGGCCTGTGCGAAAAACTCGTAGGCAACTTCTTCGAATCCGTTCTGGTCCGCAACCTGGCCACAGCCAATAAAAAGGCGCAGAGAAAGATCTGCGGAACCGCCAACCCGTGCATAGAGTGTAGATATCGTGCTATGCATGAATTTGTAGAGAGCAGACGACTGAGAAGACCAGTTATCCTCATAGTGCTCACGGGCTTTGTAACGTCGTGCGAGCTTCAACGAAGCTGTGATAATCGCGGGCGAGGTATACTTGACGCGTTCATTGCCCTCGCCAAAGGCTTTCCGCGCCGTTTGGAGAAGCTGCACAATATTAGAGACAGTCATACTAGCAATATCCAGTCCGTACCTTGAATTGTGTGTCGTTGTCCGGTCCATGGATGAGATGCACCATCCGGGCTAACCACCCTTGTTCTTCTATCGTCTCGTCGGTTTCCATGGCCCTCCTCTGAATCGGGCCACCGGGGTAGCCGGTCGCTTGCTGTATTCCTTCCTTGATCAGGACTTTGAGAATCTCCAGCACACTTTCAAGATTCTCCACGGAAGTGATATGAGTCTGATTTCTAAGCAGACTGCGTGCTACTTCGCCTGCTACGGCTCTCCGGGTTGGATATGGTTGATTGTGCAGTAGAGGAACAAAGCTCGGCAATGCTGTTGCGGTAAAAAGGGAGGTGTAGGCTTTAATTGGGGCGAGGAGTAGGCTGAGGATCTGGCTTTGACATGTCTGTGAATGCAGATCGGCGCTGTTCGCATATTCGGTGGCCTTCTGGTTCGCAAAAGCTAATACTTGGTCCACGTAGTCGAGTCGTTCTGGGTATATGTTCCTGCTCTCGTCAGCACAATCCATGATTTATGAAACGTCCACTCTCACAAAGCAAGATTCGCTAGCGAAACAAGCAGTCCGATGGTGTCCTGGATCGTTAACCGTTGCATTTTCACGAGCGTCGCTACTTGCTCGTGGAAGATCTCGAATAGCTTCACGTTCTTAGGGATACCGCGTGATTTCTCCATGTCATCGTCGCCATCGGCTTCAGCTGTTTCGGTCGCTGGTGTAGCTGCAGCCGTCGTTGACGATGCCAACGGCGCTTCTTCCGCACCGGGTTGAGCTTCGGACGCGTTCCCGTTCGGCTGCGCAGCCGATGGTTCCGGCTCGGAGGGCTTCTGCTCCTTCCGTATCCTCAATTGCTCCATGAGGTTTGTTATTGCCTCCTCTTCAGTCTTCTTGCGCTGCTCAAGGCTTTCTGACTCGGACTCTCGTTGTGCGTATGCCGATAAACGATCCATCAAGCCAACGACTATAGCCTTGACGTTCACATGCGGGTTTAATCGTGCGACCGCGGAGAGGAATTGGTCAAGGGTGTGCAGGTGGAACTCGTCGGGGAAAACCTGGGTGACCACTGTTCACGAAGTTAGCCAGAAATGTGCAGAAGTGAGATGCTTGACATGCCTTCCAGCAGATACTCCTGCGCAAGGACATCCCGGCACTGGACAATCTGCTCCAGCAGCGGGTTCAAGATCTTCTTGTAGTTCTCCAAATCCACAAGCTGGCTCAACCGGACCAGATTGCTGCCTACCAGAAGCTGCAGCTCCTGTCGCTCCTTGGTCCGCTGTTCCCGCTCTCTCGAGTGTCCCTGATGCTGTAGCCGCACCCACAGCTTGTTCATTTCGACGAAATTGGTAAGGATGAAGCTGATGGAGTCCTGCAGGTTCCCCTCCGGTCCATCGCCGTCGCCGGTGGGTAGATGGTCTCGCGCCTGGCCGGCGAGATAATAGCGGAGGAACAGTCCGCGAATGGGGTGCTGGACTCCGCGACTCATCTCCATCATATCCTTCATTATCTCCTTGACCGGCGCATCCTCAATGGCCATGTAGACAGTGCCGACGGTGACCATGAGGTAGAGACGCGGTATAATATTCCCGGCATACTGGACGAGCTCGTAGAGATCGGCGAGGTGGTTTACAGGGTGGTTGTCGCGGAGGTAGACGGCGAGATGGCGGAGGGCATCGAAAACGGCCATGTAGAGCTCGTAGTACTGCTTGGGGCCTAGGCTGCTCGTCCGCAGCTCCGAGACTAGAGTAGAGCTGCGCAATTATAATATCAGCTTATCTGAACCAGCTGTGATTATTCCTACTGCGGGTAGAGCTCCCATACCTGCATTTTAGGGCATCCATCAACTTGCCAGGCGTCTCGAGGCACCGTCGCATGAGCATCGTCTGCTGGCGCACGACGGCCAGGGCATCCTCGAGCAGACGCGCCTGGTCCTCGACTGGAGGCGGCGACGCCATTGTGCGTTGAATGAGCGGCGGTTCCGGGGTGCAGCGAGTGGATGGGGTAGCGTTGGTGTGAGGCTGCCGTCCGCCATTACGCTTGCCTTGGCGACTGACAGGGGTGTAGCTCCGAGCTCCGGGCTTCGTCTTCGTTCACTTGCAATTCAGGACTCACAGAGAGAAGAAAGGGCCCATATGGAGTTAATGGTATGATGATCTTTTGTACATAAGTCTTCAATCTAATTGCGACTCTCCATCAAGCCGTGCAACGCAAGACGCCGTCCCAATGCAGCCGTTGCCGTGCCATATCTATCCAGAAGTCATGCTGAATGTGGTTTCGCATGATCCATATCCTCCATTAATCATTACAGTAGTCCAATCAAGCCTGCTCAGCGCAAAATATGTTCAAGAAGTCAATCTGCAAACGTCCCCTCGTCGCGCCGCATCCAAGCAGCGCGCCTTCCGTGCGTCTGATTGTACGATAGAGCCGCGTCCTCCAGTATCGGCAGCGATGGAGAGGCAGATGCAGCTACCGTTGAGGTCGAAATGGTCGAAGATGCCACAGCGGCTGCCCAGAACGTCTTGACCACATAGCTTGTATGCCACATGCCGTTATCGTAGTACTCTGTCGGCGCAGCTGTTTCCGTGATGACGATCGTTACAATGCTAGGCGCAGGAGTCGCGACCGGCCGTTCGGACGAACTGGGTTTCGGTTGGGGAGTGGTCGCCGGCGACGAACTTGTTGCTCTCGTAGGGCCGCTTGAACGTTCGGAGCCGGTCGGCGCAGGCGTTGGGTGGAGCGTCGCAGTCGCAGTGTCTGTCGGCGTCGAAGCAGCGTCTGTGACTTTGATGGTCTTCGTCTTGTCCTCGGTTACTGTCGTGGTTTCTGCAGGTGGAGGAGTGGAAGAGCCGCCATCCACGTTGACGATGGCGTACGACTTTGCGCGGGGAATAATTTCTCGAGGTTGCAGTGCACCTTCGAGCGGCAGTCCCGCAGATAGAGTCGAGAGCAGGAACGTAAGGTAGAGCGTGTTGAAAAGCATGTTAAAGCGTGGTCAAAGAGGGTCTAGAAGCCGTAGGTGTAGATTGAGAGAGCGTGGTTGCTGTGCGACGAGCACTGGCCGAGATAGGTGAAGAGCAGCTCGAATAATCGGCGGTTCCCGCATTATAAAGGTCATGATGGCGAGATGCGGTTTCACAATTGCGATGGCAGGAAAGTTGATGGCTGGTGTTGACATTTCCACGAGGCTGGGTGGCCCGTGCATCGGATGATCACCCACTACGCCTTAGCGCGAACCGTACCCAAACCGCTGCCCACAACATCGTCACAATCCATTATTCCAACGAGTCGGCATAAGTTGTACCTCGCCTTCTTTTCTAGCTTGGAAACGCCTTCTACGTCATTAAAGCTCTTGAACCCTTGTCGCTTTCTTTAGGAGCATACGCACGCTGTGACTGTGGCGTGTTCATTTCGAACCCATCGGAGACCACGTGGAATTCTTGGTTTGATCTGTACTATCCGCACGGCGAGTGTGCTCGAAAGACGGCTGTCTCATTCCTCCCCGAGCTTGGACCTCCCAATTCCAACGTTTCTACCGCACATGGGATAACTACCTGCACGCCCAAATAACCTCCTTCACCCAACCGGAAAACCAGCGCGCCAGGTGCTCGATCTTCGTGCGGTCAACCGATCAACCCATCAACGCTTCCGCGATCGTGGATTAGTGTGTGCCCTAGAGCTTAGATCTTCCAATCACAATACTTCTATCGCACTATCCGGAACCTACTGTGGCGGATACATAATAGCACCAGCCAGGAGACTTAGATAAGTTCGCGGTAGCTGCCTGTGTTTAAGCACTTGCCTCCGATGCAGAGGAATGTCAGCCTTCTCCTGCAGCGACTGTTCGTCTCGCCCCGTGGTGCTTGGTAAGCACTCGCCAATAAGGCCTCCATTCTTGGCGGGGTCATTCACTGCGCAGATGTTCATTGCGGCGATGTCGTCCGTGAAATGCCGCCCAATCGTGTACGCATTGCTGAGCGAACGGCGGTTTCGGAGGAGTTAGCCTTCCACATCGAAGACGTTAGGTCATCGCTGACTCAACGTCTTGAGCTCGACCAGGCCCAACGGTGGACACACTCCGGAGGAAGATAGGCCGGAGTGACGGTGAAATGGCAAGGAAAGAACCTAAGGAACCGGCCTAACGGATGTCTTCGCGTCGCTTGGGCGAGGCATGATTCGATTCCAATCTTGAAGGTCGATCTCGAAGTTGAGTACGTCGTATTCCCTCCAGCTTGTAGATCTGAAAGACCCGAGATCCATTGCCGGGGTTTCTGTTCGATGCCTGGCGCGGAGGAGGTTGCTGAAGAATGTGGTGAAGCGGCGGTGGGGGAGTTGGAGTCTTCTAGTAGGGATTTCCCGTGTTCGTCTGAGTATATGGAGGGTGGGGCGCGGGTAGTTACGGCAAGGGGAAGGTTGTTGTCCAACCGGACGGTGATTCCAGTCTATATATGCTAGAAAGAGTCTAGTCCGCGTGACGTCATTGGTGGGCTGCGACCGACCGGACAAATCTCGGAGGCACGGCGAGCCAGTCCCGGGACTAATCACGTGCGACGAAGTAACCTTAGAAGACACCATGTTCCATCACACGCCTGATCAAGATGCGTTCACTCAATGGTATCTGCCTCCGGGCCCGCAGTTGCTCTGGCACTGCGTCCATGACCTGCCGCAACGGTAGCAGAATTCGGCGCGGCATCGACACGTCATGTGCAGGCACCCATCCCTCCGCTCCACCATGTTCCCGCACTGAGGACACGGCTTCCACCCCGTCACCGCCGCGAGCGCGCGTACTTGCTCTGTGGCCTGGTCCGCCGTGCAGCCGCGTCCCGCGTGGCCTCGTGTCCGACAATGTCTACAGGTGTCTGTCTGGCACTGGGTACAGCGCGCCGAATCGGGCCCGTGGTAGTTCGCAGGTGGTATGAATGCACCGCACACCGTGTTGGCGCAGTATGTCGGGTTTGGCGTCGTCTGCTCGAGCGCCAGCAGCTCATAGCGCGCTCGGAAGTCCTCGCTCACCACGTCCGCCGCCAGCGCGACGGGAACGTTTTGCTGGCAGCACTGGAAGAGGGACCGCGACGCGAAAGACGCCTCAAAACCTGCTCCTAGACATGCTCGGCAGTACCAGTGCTGGCATGGCGTCTGGGCCATAACCCCGACGTCATTCTCCTCCATACAGACCACGCAGGTCCGCAGCCGTTCTCTCCTCAGTCGCTCGGCTTCTTCGGCTGCTCTTCGCCGCGCCTCTTCTGCCGCTGCCTGCTCCTCTCGTCGCCGTTGCTCTGCTGCCTCTTGTTCGCGGCGTATTCTCTCTCTTTCCTGCCTCTGGCGTTCCTCCCACTCAGCAGCCCGGGCTCGTTGCTCCGCCAGACGTTCATCGTGGATTCGTTGCTGCTCTTGTCGCTGCTGCTCAGCCTGGCGGGTGGCTTCCGCTTGGGCCTGCCGTCTACTTTCGTTCCGATGCTCTCTTGCGACGTTCGCGGCCAGGAAAGCTTCGCCTTGCCATAGTTCTTGCTCCACCTGCGCTCGATGGAGATTCTCGCCTAGGATCGCCAGATACTGCGCAGACAACTGAATGCCGCGCTCCGAGGCAGCAGCGGATGATGTATGTGACAGCCATTCTGGACCCGTGGGACGAGGCTGAGCGCGTCGGGTATATCGTCGCAAAGGGCCGGGCTGCATGGGATCGAAGGCGTCTCTCACAGTCCTCCATGGGACCGCGATCGCTCATAACACTCACGGCTCCGTTCAGCCGGACTGCAACAGCTGAAGTGTACGAGGCGCTTTCTTCCCCCCGCGTGCGGTTTATGCCTAGCAGGCGGACCGAGCTACTGCACGCCTCTCCCCAAGTGTCGTGCCTCAGGCACGCAAGACAACAGATCGTGCTTCACTTTTCCCGGCCTAGCAGGGGTGTCGATAACACCTGTTGGGATATGACTGGTTCTCACTCGTTCCCCGCCGACGAGGAGGGCCCAAAGCACGAGGCTGAGGATGGGGGTCGTCCGGGTGGCGCTATCAATGGCCAATCCCATTTCAGCCTATCGCGAGAAAATTATAATTCCGCTGCATCTCGAGAATTTGGCGCCCAAGGGGGCGCCTAGTTAGGTTGCCTTTTTCGATGGACCGGCGTTCCGATCCTCAGCCTGACACGCCTCACTCTGCCTCCAGATGTGCAAAGCCTTCCCCAGGTTTGCACCTCGCTAGTCTTAGAAGCGATACGGCTACGAACTGCTGGGCACAAACCGCTTTGAACTTCATTATCGAACATAATGGCTACGATCTTCTCTGTCAATGGCGAGGACGGAGCAACTTTAGCAAGAAGTAGTGGCATCCGGCTCGTGCAGGGAGACTCACAAGCTCTAGTCTTGCGGAATCAGGAGCTAGCAACACGAAACGGACAACCGGGACGTAATGCTCCACAAGCTCTTCGCGGTGGCCCTGGCGGCACCCTGGCGGTCCAACTTTCCGAGTCGAACCTCTCTCAGGGAGCGATCCGAGTTGAGCGCGTCGAATACCGCTCAGCCCAACACCCTCCTCAGAATGCGGAAGTTCCTGTCGGCAGAGACCTAAATCTCACCGCTATCGGCGGTACAGGAGAATCTGGCCACAACGGTGGAGATGGTCAGCGAGGACAAGACGGCGTGGATGGCACTGGTGCCACCAAGGCCTCGGATGCGACAAATGGAACCAACGGTGGCCGTGGTGGCGACGCTGGCCGAGGATCGAGTGGTGGTGACGGAGGACCCGGAGGAGCGATCCATATCATCGTGCATGAGAACAACACCCACCTGCTTATGGCGGTCTCGTGCGATGTGCGAGGCGGCCAAGGTGGCATTCCTGGGGAGCATGGTGAACCAGGGGCTGGCGGGAGCGGGGGTAAAGGAGGTCAAGGTTGGAAATGGGATGAAATCGTTGGGTACACTCCATACTGCACCGACAGCTGCATCAAGAGCACCGATCATGCTTCGAACTCGACCACACTGGCCAGAATGGGAACGAACCTCAATGCAGCGGGCTCGCATCTCAACGCAAGCAGCAGAGCTCTAATAGCGCGTACGGGAGCACTTACGGTCTCGGGGAACAACCTACAAAACATGATTGCACAAACCGCTATCAGGTACAACGCAACGAGGCAGCCACGTAGGGGCGAAGGCTACTGCAAGTGTGGGGGAGGAACCGGCAGCTGTGCAGGTTGTGGCGTGAAACCTGTTATCAAATGGTTCCAACGCCAGCCGGGACTAGATGGAAAAGAAGGTGAAAAGGGCACAAGCATTACCACACCTCTTGCAGCGGGCCAGCAGGGTGAAGGGGGGACAGTCAGTATTGCAGTAATCAGCGGCGATGGTTCTACCCAGGCCTACTCCGCTCCTTGGTCCTTGGAACTTGTCGACTTCGAAGTGGAAGATGAAAATGGAGACGGCGTTTTCGAACCCGGCGAACACGTCTTCATTCGAAGGATCAAAGTCCGGAACGTCGGCGGCATGCCCTCACCCACCTGCCGAATTCCTGTGACACTGGCCAATGATTCGGAGTGGTTTGGATCTGTCCCAGCGCACCAAGGTGGCCTCGCCTACCTCCCGACGAGCGTCCCGGCTGGCGAAAGCGCCTCAACAGAGGGCTCCATCAAAGTACGCATCAAGGAGAGGACGCGTGGAAACAGCAAGCCAGCATCGCTCGCAACGCGTTTTCTGGCGAAGGACACATTGAACATCAGAGCAGACATGCCCTGGCTTGATAGGCGAATGCCGTCTTTCGATTTCACAAAGGAGATTGAGATTAGCTATCCCTGCGGGCTGGGTGGCTTCGAATTCCTGAGTACAATTGCGCAAGGTGCCGTCAGCAGAGTTCAGTACAAGGTATGTCATAGCGCTCAGCGCATCGCACTCACGTCAGCTAATTTTCTCGCAGGTGCAAAACTTGAGCACTTGTCCGCTGGGTGAGCGCGGCGCTACCGTTCCGGTACGCGCGGTCGAGGTTCGCGCGACCTTTCCCGCCGACTATGGTCGACTCATTGGAGAGGAAGAAGAAGAGGAAGGAGTAGAGGTCATTCGAGCGGTCCCGTGCACTCGACCCAAAGATTCGCTTTCGCTTCAGCAGCAGTTTCGCATCTTATCGTCCGCCCGGAGCCACACGCATTTCCCAATAACGTTCGAACTGTACCTTGAGAGCCCCAATCAGGATGCAACTAGCGAGACGCTCGAGACAATATTAGTCGAGCGGCACACAGTCCGTCTTCAGGTCACGAACACGTATGTTCATACACCTAATGCAAAGGTCCTCTTAATCACGAACCCGAAAACGACCGAACGACAGTCGCAAGCAATTCAGCACTTTATCAGGAACACTCTTCGGATGGAGATGGACTTGTGCAATGCCCACCAGAACGGTGGCCTGCTCCGTAGCGCCGAAGATGTCTTCGCCGAACCATACCCCATCACGGCCCCATATCGAGAGAAGACAATTATTGTTCTTGACGATACCTTCGAGTTTTTCGGCACTGGAGACAGAACCGTAAGTCAGCTATTCGACCCGCGGTGGCTCTCCGAGATCTCCAGAAGTGGGACTTCAAGCTCATTTATCGGTTGCGATCACGAAAATGCCTTTGACATGATCGTACGAGCGGCGGTCTTGCCACTGCCACTCAAGTTAGAAGAGGCGGTGAAGCAACTCAAGAAAGCGCGTACGTTCTCCTCGCCCCATGAATTGGTCGATTCTATCAAACAGGAAAAGCAATTTGGCTCTGCTCGACCGGAACTGTCGGCGATACCTCTCAAACAACAGAAATGGTACCGCTTTGGGCGAGATAAGAGCGACAAACAGGCCAAGGCACTAGCAACGGCTTTGCGCAATCACCTTCCCAACGAACGCTTTCTCGTTACTTGCATGGGCCAGAAGCAGCGAGTTCCTAATCGTAATTCGACATCGGCTACAGACACATCAGACGAGCAAATGCGTTCCAATGATGGCCTTTTAGTCGTGCTTACAGGATTGGATCATCATCGGCCTGTCTGGTCCACCGAATCGTCCGTTTCTCTTATGGCTGTCAGCGACGACAGCCCTAACCGTGCCCGCCTCGATGACTTTGGCAAGTACAACATAATCTCCGCTCTGCCAGTTCATGAAAGGATTTCACTGCTCTGGAAGAACCCATACTCTGGTAACTTTATCCCCGAAGCAATGACGCTTTCCGTTGTCCGTGATCTGTTCCAACAGATGACTGGCCTCATGGACTCAGCGTACAAGAGGCTGGTCTGTCTTGACGAGAATGATATCGAAGCCATCCAAGCATTTCTCAAGGTCCATCTACCGTACCTGGGGCATATCTTGAACACACCAGAGGCCAAGCAAGCTGTGTCTGCCCCCGAGCCAGTCCTGGAAGTCTTGCGGTGGACACTTGCATTCACTGCTTCTATGAAACGCCACAGGAGGCTCGACGGGCTGATACGAGTGATAGTCAAGCATCGACCCAGTACAAGGAATCTTAATGTCGTAGCATTGAGCTTCGACTCCGCGATGCGCCCGTCTAATGCACTCATCCAACGCATTGCGCAGCTGACGAGAACCCCTGAGAACTACTTCACCAAAGGACAAAGATCTGCAAGCCAGGTGGTACCACGGACGCGACACTGCACACCTAGAGAGTGGGACTCTTTGGTACGCAGCGCCAGAGAGTGGAGGGATAGGGTTCAGGACGATATGGACTATGCGCAGAAGGAGCTGGGACGCATGTTGGTGGACTTTACGCCGCCGGAAGCCGCAGAGTTGTCGACAGGGCAGTGAAGAAAGTAACGCAGAGCTAGCATATCAGATCTGAGATCTTTACATACCTTCGCATCGCTTCCTCAATACGGAGTCTTCGGTTTATTCGCATGAGAGAATGGTTGTCCGTTCGCAGAGATGTGGCGCAGCAGAACGATGAGTTTCCTAAAGCGGCAAGGTGAGCCGCATTTTTCGTCCGGCCCGTTCAGCGGTTATCCTCCGACCCTCCAGGCACCAACAGTCCGAGGACAATATTCAGGACTTTTCTCGTTGCAAGACTCGCATATAAAGGAGCGTGCGAATTTTATGTTTTGACCCGACTATCTCTAAACTGTTTCCTTTTCACACCACTGCATCTTCCTTACATTCACAAGTCAACCTCCCTCCATACTCGCAAGCGTCATCAGCCCAACCATGCCCTGCCACACTACCTTCGCTTCATTCAACCCCGATAGCGACATCCCGGATCTCTCCGAGAAAGTCATTTTGATCACAGGAGGTACTGCCGGCCTAGGCACAGAGACCATCCTCCAACTAGCGAAGCACAATCCCGCGCGCATCATCTTCACCGGCAGAAATGCAGCCGCAGCCGAAGCGGTCATCCAGTCCGTCAAATCAACACCATCAAAAACAGAACTCACCTTCATACCCTGCGACTTCACCAGTCTGGACAACGTACGCGATGCCGGCAAGGAAATCCTAGCGCGCAACACACGACTAGACATCCTAGTGTGCAACGCCGGCGTCATGGCATTACCCAAGGGCCTCACTAAAGACGGCTACGAGATCCAATTCGGCATCAACCACATCGCGCACGCGCTGCTCATCCAGACCGTCCTCCCGCTGCTTCTGCAAACCGCCAACGAACCCAACGCAGACGTCCGCATCATCAGCCTCTCCTCGCTCGGCTTCACCCTTGCCACCACCATCGACTTCCCTCTGCTCAAAATAGAGCACGACATGGGCGCCCTCGGCGCCCTCAAGCGCTACGGCCAGACCAAGCTAGCAAACCTGCTCTACGCGCAGCAGCTCGCGAAGCGCTATCCGCAGATCACGTCCGTCGCGGTGCATCCCGGGGTTGTCAACACGGAGTTGGGGAGGGGCTTGAGTGCGTTTTACAAGTATTTTGTGCAGATTTTTACGGTCGGGCAGATGATTAGCGTGCAGGATGGCGCGAAGAACCAGCTCTGGGCTGCGACGACAGACAAGGCGCAGCTGGTGAGTGGTGCGTTTTATGAGCCGGTGGGGAGTAAGGGGAGGAGTACGAAGGCGAGTCAGGATGAGGAGTTGGCAGACAGGCTGTGGGAGTGGACGGAGGAGCAGGTGAAGCCGTTTCTTTGAGAGGGGCATGGTGATATTTTGTATGCTTGGGATCGAGCAGCAATTCATTTCGACGGAGCTGGGTCGATACATTCTCGCTTACCGTTCACTTCGTACGATATTTTCTCGAGACCATTTGTGTCATCGAAGGGCCTTCTGTTGTATACCTAGGTAATTTCTATTCTATCCAAGTCTCGAGTCTCAGCTCGCAGCTCGCACCTCAACAGCCTCCATTTCGCTACTTTTAGCACCCACACCCTCCCCCCCACCTAACGTGCGCCCCTAGGTGGAGAGACGCACGCCGTCGCGAGATGAACGAGTTCACGGTTAAGACCTCTCGAGTCTCCCACTTGCAAATCTATAGATACATGCTCGATACATCCACCTATTTCTCCTCCAGGAAACTAGTCTGCACCAAGAGCTACTGTAGTGTTAGTCATACTGTTTGTTGTTTTGTTCGCGCTATTAATCGTCGCTTTAGCTGCTAGCCCCTGCTTAATCGCGACTGTAGGAGTCTATTCCCAGATAATATTACCGCTTCACGTGACCAGGGGTCACACATATAGCTATATTTCTCGTATCCTCAATCAACCAACTGAGTTCTCAACTTGCTACTTCCCTGAAAGAGTCTCTTCTCAAAGTTTAGAGTGCTAGGTGGAAAGTTCTATCAAGAGATAATATGGCTGCTTCAGGCGTGAGGAACATGCATTCTGGGAGTTTCGGGAGGCGACGCGTGGCATGGCGTACATTGGCGCGCCGAGCTTCTTATAATAACTGTAGCGCATAGCGGAAGCGTTCTAGAAGTGTCTATAACCGCGTGTCCAATTTCTTTGCCTGTCGCTGCTGCCTGGAATTACTTCGGAGAAGAAAAGAGGAATGCACAGGCCGGACCGAAATTTAGGTCCGCTTAAAGGCTTAGCGTCGTGGAATGTAGCTTAGCGCCGTGGGCTTAGCGCCGTGGAGTCCCGTCTAGGGTTTTTCCAAACCTAATCGATTCTCATCGCCTTTCTCTCCCGTACAGAATTGCACCGCTAGCCCTTCATATAACAGCGACTAGTCAGACTGTCGTCGCTCTCTATGCTCGCTAGATTTCGTACCGTGACTGAGTGAGCTGTGCATACCGCCATTGCACAACCTTTCTCCGCTCCCAGACCCTTCCGTGCCGCAATCGGGCGACCCTGCCACTCCGACAAAAGGCAGCGGAATTCGCAGAACTTGCCAGTACCATGAGACCAGAAATTAGAGAGGCGCTTGATAAGTTAAAGGACATGTGATTTTCACCTCTCGCCACAACACACAAAAGAGCGTCTCAATTGAAAAAGATTTCGCACAAAGAAAGTCACGTAAAGAGCGTCGTGATCAACAAAAAGGAAACCCCAACATAATTCAACGCTCAATACCCTGTAGCCCCGTTTTTATACGCCATGATTTCAGGGGTCCACTCTTCAATCGCGGTAGCCATCTGCTGATAGAATTGACCCAGTTGCTCGACTGTCCACGCGTCCGTACATACCGCATCAAGAGCGTTTTCCAGCGGTTGCTTTGCAGCATCGGGCTGTAAGGGCACTGTTTGGAGTTTGTACCCGTTGATCTTCAAAAACATGTCTGCCGCTACAAGCGCTGTGCGCTTATTTCCATCCTGGAAGGCGTGGGTTTTAATGATCTTGTCGGAGAGGCTTGCTGCAAGCTGGAACACGTTCTGTTGGTTGGTGTAGTTCTTGATACTCATGAGCGACTGCATCGCTGATTCCAACTTAGACGGCTGAGTGGGTTTGGCGCTCGTGATGAAGGAGTTGTGAAGACGTATAACCTGAGAGGCGGTCAGGGAGCGGAACTTCACGACGTCGGAGGCCATTGTCGAGAGGGTTCGCTGGCTTGAGTTTCGGTGGCGGAGCGTCCTGTGTAGTTTACACACCCGTTAGCGTATTGGCACTAAGTAGCTTCTACATGCGAGTGCTTACTATCGGTGGTTTTAGGACACACAGCGTGACAATGCCGGGGCTAGGATGGGTAGCTTATTGTTGAGGGAATAGATGCCGGCGCTTTTATAAGTCTATTCGCCGCCGCGGATGCGCTCCGGCCTGATGTCGAGCGGTTATTTGGACCGCAGTCTGTCTCGTATGCGAAACGTGCAGCAGCTTTGACGTTTCACAGCTCATCTGAAGATGCGCATTGGATAATTAAACGTTGTCAAAGCATACCCTGCAAGAGTCTGACGAGTTCTATGGCTTTGCTAGTCGCTCAACCATAGATAATGCGTTACGGATGCGCGCGCTAACGGCATATAATCATATTGATTGGGCGGGCGACGATAGATGTACAGCCCCGTCCCGATGCAGACGCATTACAAACAGGGTTCGGAATCGAAAAATATCTTATTAGTTAATACTGTTCTATGAAAAGCTGCAAGAGAACGGCCCGCCGAATGCAGTTCTGGGACAGCATAGCAGCCACAGGCGTGGGGACTCAAGGTGGATTGAATTGATAGCCATGGTTTTCAGGAATACATTGGACAATCAGGATAAGCGGGCAAGTCGTAAGTTGATCACGAGTTTTACACGACGTATCTCATGTTTAAAAGTACATTTACGAGGATGAACGCATTCCGCATTTCAATATCACAGCGCGCAACAGATGAGGAGTCAATCGCTGGTAAAACGGCCGATACAGAGTGGTGACGAAGTAAGGTATTGAGGAATGACCAAATTGACTTTGATGTGGTGAAGGGTTGGATTGCCGCATGTACAACTGAACGTGGCAGCAAATGCAATGGACATGAAAACGGCAGATCGCGCGCTAGGAGGTTGATTGATGTAGAGAAGAGCTGCATAGTAGACGGATCTACCGTCAAGGAATACTTGTCGCTGAGTTATGTCTGGGGCATGGCTGCCCAATTCATGCTCACCAAAGACGTGGTTGAAGATTCAACAAACGAGGACTTCTTTCGGTCCTTGGGCACTAAGATCCCTCAAAGCATACGAGATGCTATGCAAGTCTGCCGGAACATAGGAGTGCGTCATCTGTGGGTCGATGCCCTTTGCATTGTTCAAGATGATGACGAAGACAAGAAAGATCAGATTGGTTTGATGGATGAGATTTACGGGCACGCACTGGCCGTTCTGATTGTCGTAGCTGGAGATGATGCAGGCTACGGCATACCGGGAATGGGCGAGAAGAAGCGAGCACTTGCGTCTTACCAGGAGACTGTGGACGGCAAAGTGCTCATGACATCGCTCTCTACCACGACGTTCTCCGCAAAACGGTCACAATGGAACACCAGAGCATGGACATATCAAGAATACCTCCTCGGTAACCGGCTCCTGGTATTCACTGATACGTATGTCTTTTTCAAATGCTCCAAATCCATGTTCCGAGACGATGCAGTGCTTCCTGCTCTTGGGCCACTCCCATCCATACCAACACAGTCGGATGACAAGTGGATTTTGTTCACCCTGAAAGGCCTTTCAGAAGATACAGATCCAAAAAAAGTCTGGAAAGACTATTACGACGGCTTGCTTGCATTCTACCTCCGTCGCAATATGAAATTCGACTCGGATGCGCTGCCTGCCTTCTCCGGTGTACTCAAAGTGCTCTCCAAAACGCTCGGCCCGTTTCATTTTGGTCTTCCGAAGAAGTACTTTGGTCGCTCATTGCTCTGGACCGATCCTCATTATGGCGTCTTCAAAAGGCGGGCACATTTTCCAAGCTGGTCGTGGGCAGGTTGGAAGTGGACCTTCGAGTATTTCAACGTGGAACAAAGCGCAGTCGGCGCATATGGATACAAGATGCCCGAGGAAACCGTACCAATACAGTTCTTTGTGTTGAATGACGATGGCAAGCTCACGCCTTTTTTTCTTGAGGAGCCTGAGGAACCTTCAGAGGAAAAGCCAACTGCACGCAAAACGGATGATTTGATGAATTGGATCAGGTTGGTTAATCAGCAGGTGATGTCAGAGCCGAACCTCTCTTCTGAAGAACTACAGACGAAGATGTTGGGAGATCTGATGAGGAAGCAGACCCTCAAGGAGCCAGAGCCGACAGGGAAGAGCATGGAAGAAGACAACGAGCGAGTTTCCAGATTGATGTCTCATCTTAGTCCGCCAGACAACTCTCAAGAACTTCACTACAAGGACTTGATATCCCGCCACGAACGTCCAGACCATCTTATCGCATTCTACACGAGTGTTGCAGCATTGAAAGTACCATACTCAGCGCACCAGAAAGTCAACTCTGGCGCAACACTCCCATACGATGTACAGGCCCGCAATGGCGACACGCTGTTTAGTTGCTATATCGATCCCACGTGGAGAGACAGGCAGCCAGAAAGTCTAGAATTCGTTGTGATTGGTCTGAAAGAAAGGGGCAAGTCGGTGGCATTAATGCTGCTAGAGAATGTAGATGGAATTTACTATCGAGTCAATTGGGCTTGTAAATTGTCCCAGCACCTCAGTGTCAAGAAGTAAGTGGATGAACGTCCTGTTCAAAAGTTGATCATTTAGGGCTGAGGAGAAGTGGGGAGATACATTAGTTTTAGGTGAATTGAGGAGTATTGAGACATGAGTTGATTGATTGAGAATACGAGAAATATGGCTATATATACATGACCAGGTCACGTGAAGTAGTAACCATGTGCGGCAACAATTAGACTTCCTTAGTCGATAACCTGATCACACTTCCAGCACCAGAAGTGGCCACAACCACTGCAGCGAACCGGCTCCGCTCCGCGCTGCGGCGCATTATCTTTTAGGCATTTGCAGCAGTTCCATGGTTTAGGCTTGGTCGAAAGTGTTGCCGGGGCGGGGGTGTTGGTGTGCATTGTTTTTTTTTGGTGAAATGCTTGCGGTGCGGTTATTTAGTAACTGTTTGTTTTCTTTCTTGTAGGTGGTTCTGAGTAGTGGGTGGTAGTAACTTATGGAGGGGAAAGCAATTTATAGGGGTGTGTGCGACTATCATTGTGCAAGAAAAGGAAAAGGTGTAGAGCGTGCATTGTGAATGTAGGCTTATGGTGCTATTTTAGGCCTAGTGTCTTGTCTTTCCAAAGGTTCTTTAAGACTTGTCTTTGCTTGCTACGGAACCTCTTAGACTGCACAATGCTCGTCGTGGATGAGACAAAGTATTTCGCTTGTTGTAACAAAGTCGAACATAGACATGCGTCTGTAATGAGGTTGCGTGTATCTCCCTAGTTTGATGGGCTGAACCGGAGCTTGATTCGCGCTACTATGCTTTGAAGAATAATCCGAGTCTACGTGTTTCGCTGTCGCTGCTCTATTCTTACCTCGCTGTTTCCAGCAGCAGCGTGCTTTATGCGGGCTTGGGTCGGTCTAGTTTGGATTGTCGCGTATCCCTCTTAGCATGGCATTTCACTTCATCATTCGCGTCTTGCGTGGGATGCTCCGAGCCGCTTTCCTAAAGGTTTTCCATCAATGGATTTTCCAGAAGGTGCAGTCTATGTCAATGTGTACTGGTTTTGCTAGTCATGGCTGCTTGAGAATAACAAGGGAGGACTCCCGCCCTGGACACGACCACTGTGTCAGACCACACATCTAAAGATGGAAATTTGGTTGGTCAAGCTCGGAGTGCTCTTTTGTCATCGTGAAGACCAAGTACAAGGCACCAAAGCTGTTCCGCCGTTTTGAAGAGCGAGGCTGCGAGCTACAGCACGAGGTTTACGAGTGGTGTTAGAGGCTCAGGTTTTGTGTTGCAAACTTACGCTGGTGTATTTTTTTGTGGCGGAGAGCCATGTTGAAGTGCTTTTTGAAGCTATACGCTGCCACGGATTGCAGTAACCAAGAAATCGCTTCGTGAGAGAATGACCAGCGGCACGAATGCACTCGGGTGGTTTCTTTTTCGGATCATCGGTAGCCGTTATCGAGTTTATCTATGCCTGATAGGAGTCTCTTCGATGACTGTCTCGTATATAGCATTTGCTCTCAGGACTTGATTAGTAAGTTTAACCCACCCGCAAGGTCTCAGCTTCTGAAAATGTTGCGAAACCATGCTCACCATGGAGTGAGATGATTGCTGGTCTTGGAGATGTCGCCGATCCTTTCCCAGTTCCCCGAGAAGCTCGACCAGAAGTTATTGAGCCCAGTGCCAACGCTTACGAGAACGGAAGTCCGTTGAATCCATATTGCCTGTTAGATTGAACGGTTCTTCGCCTCCCACGTGTGCCAGTGGGTCTACCAATGATGACTCGGTCGTCTTTAGGGAAGTCCTGCATGCCAACGCAGCGAGATTGGTCCAATGATGCCGGCGAACGGATTGAATCTAGGCTGATGTCACGTTCGGCGCAAGGCCTCCGGGCGCAACGGAAGCCGGATCGTCGCTGATCTCTCTGGTTGGATGCCGTACGGGCCGGATTGATGGAACACGAGCGTTACGCATTCACGTGATCTCCCGGCAGATCAACGATTGGTCATAGTGATATCGCGTTGGGGCTCGTTGGTTTTGCAGTACGTTACACTGTAATCTCGGTACTTGGGAGGGTTCGGCATTTACGTGTAATGGAGATTATTTCTAATAAACCCTGCTCGATGTCCGTTGTTGTTTAATCTCGGGAAGAGGCTTGGGACGGGGCTTTTTATATTCCCCTGCGAGCGATCCACCTACGACGAAGAGCATTATTGTCGTATCAGGAAGTTCTTTCATTTTCCAGAAACGTGGTTGCCCACTTAATTCTGCGATGCGCCTAGGGGAATGCGGGGAAACTTTATATTCACGGCGATCATTGGCCGTGCGCGCATTTGGATAAACAATGGATAAAACATTGCAACACCACAAGGCATCGACAGCGGCAAGTTTTCGAGATACGAAAGAGCCTGACCATGATGGCGCCAAGGGGCCGATGGGATACAATTGAGAGCATCTCGTCGCCTGCTTCTCAGCCCTCCCGTCGTCGCAGAATCTATCACTGACATCAATCTTTCCACCATGAAGTGGCTAACTCTCGCTGCTGCTCTCATTGCGCCCTCTGAGGCTGCCCTTCGCTTCGGATGCTCAACTCTGAGTATCCAGCGACTCGATCCGCTCGTTGAGCCTGGGAAGGTTCCCTCTTCCCATCTTCACCAGATCGTTGGTGGCAATGCTTTCAACGCGACCATGCAAGGCGATATCGGCGAGAAGGGCTCTTGCACGACGTGCACCTTCACCGAGGACTTCTCCAGTGCGTATACCCGTGAGAACTTGTCTCAGCTGCGGATTTCTTGGGGCAACACGTAGACGGAGTTCGAAGAAGCTTTGCCTCAGCCAAAGACTGGGCCACACTTACCCCCCCAATGTTTTGACACTGTGCTAACTCCATCTCTTCCTAAGACTACTGGACCGCTGTAATGTTCTTCAAACATCAGAACGGCTCGTACATGCGGGTTCCGATCATGCAAAACGCTGCGTTGCCGAATGGCATCAACGGCGGAATGACAGTCTACTACACGCAGCAAGACTTCAACTCGAACGGCAACCAGAAGATCAAGGCCTTCCCGCCGGTAAGTCTGCGATCGCATGAACGTCCGTCGCTAACAACGTCAGGGCTTCCGCATGACGGTCGGTTCCCCGACGACGGAAAATCTGAACGACGCTAAGGGCCATGTCGGTCTTCGCTTCGTCTGCTTGACCGACAAGAACACGCGCTTCCCCGAGCTCCCCGACTTCCCCACCAAGCCATGCAAAGGCGGCATCATGACTGTGCACCACTTCCCCTCGTTAGTAATCCTTCTCGGGTGATGGTGCCTATATACTGACCCTGACTAGATGCTGGGACGGCAAGAACACCGATTCGCCAAACCACCAGGACCACATGTATAACACTGCCAAGGAGGCCTTCCAGCCCGCCGGCGCGTGCCCGTCTTCCCACCCCGTCCGCATGGCACAGGTAGCCTACGAGACTCTATGGGACACGGCCAAGTTCGCCAACATGTGGCCAGCCGACAACAAGAACCCCTTCTTCCTGAGCTACGGCGACAACAACGGATACGGTACCCATGCCGACTACATGTTCGGATGGAAGGGCGACTCACTCCAGCGCGCCATGGACTCTTCCTGCATGTTCCAGGCCTGCGAGAACGGAAAGCCGCTCAAGTCTCAGGGCGTCGCACAGATGAACGCTTGTGCTGTCAAGAGTCAGGTGAAGGAGAGCATTGATGGATGTAAGTCATGATATGTATCGTGTGAGGAATGCTAGGCTAACCCGAGGTACAACAGGGCTCACCGAGATGCCTGGGATGAACATGAAGAAGAGACAGGTAGAGTTCTCCGCATAGGCAACCAAGGCTCGCTTGGCGGTTCTGAAGATGGGGATGTAATCTAGAATGCACAGCTTGGTCGGTGGGATGTGTGCTAGGGAGACGTAGCTTACTTTCGTTGGGTGTTGACCACTGTACACTCGTTTAAGCGTGTGAAGAATTGTCTAATGTACTCTGTTCACAGCTTATATGATTACTTCCTGTTCACTTCAGGACGCGTGCACTCCATTGTTTCCAATTTGCGTACTCTCGGAGCTTGGCTATCCCGATAAATTGTCCGAGGGCCGGTTGGGGTGTAGCCAATGAATAATGCCAGGAGATTCTTGTCGAGATAGCTCCTCCGTTTACGAGTTCTGTCGCCGATGCATACCTAGGTGTGGATATCGTTACGTATCTTTCGACGGATGTCTCGGATGAAGCGTCTTAGATAGATCAAGATCGCGATACGCCATGTTTTGGCAGCCTTCAGATCCGTTGGGCGCCCATGATGGCGACACCACCTCGGCCCTGGCAAGGACGAATCAGAAACCGGGTTCGTGTGAATCGGTTGCGGATGATGTGGTTCGACAACGTGAAGTGTACCATAGTGGAAGGCTGGAGGCATAGGAAGGAATCCTAGAGCTGGAGGCGATGGGTACTTGCTGACTAATCATTCAACGATCCCAACCTTAGAATACCGTCGGCAAAATGTCACGTGGAGCCAGTGTACATCTTCAACGAAACGTATAACTCTTTCGTAATAGCGATTTCTTAGTGTTTTCAACCTTGGAAGCTTTTCCCGGCGGAAACGCGACCATCCCCAATCCCACTGTTGTGGAGCGATGCACGTGACAGATCGTACGGCTGACCACTTGCACCACATGTGTGATACCTAGGGATAAATGTAAAAGTTTCTCATAAGATTCCTAGCATTATTGGACCCTATATCTAAGTCAGCATCAACAAGGGGGCCGGATTGGGCATCCCAAAACTGCAACACCCGAACCTCCCAATCACGCTCCCAAACTCTCCCTCACCATCTTTACAACCAGCTTATACGCCTCCTCTCTCCTCTCCCATTCTTTACTCCCTTCCTTGGGCCCCTTATCAAAACCGTGATGCACACCCTTCAACCTCAAATGCGCCACCTTTCTCTGTCCATCATCCAGCTTCTCCGCCAGCGAATCCGCCTCGGGCGACAACGTATCGCCCTCGCACGTGATCATCACCACCGTGGGCGCAAAATCCTCCAACTTCGCATAAGACGGGGAGACCCTAGGATCCGTCCGCATCGCCGGGTCGGGGACGTAGCAGTTGTTGAAGAGTCGCGCCATGCTCGGCGAGATTGGCTTGATCGGAGCCGGCACCTTCTTCGACTCGGGCGCGAGACTGATGTCTGTGACGGGGTAGATGGCAATTGCCGTTTTGATGGTGACTTCCACCGTTTTCCGGAGTACCGATGCCGCGACCAGCGCAAGGTTCGCGCCTGCGCTGAATCCCGAAACCGCGACGCGCGTCGTGTCGAAGCGGTCCGATTGAGAGGCCACCCATTTCAACACGTCTTCCACGTCTTCCGGTGCAGCCGGGAAGGGATGCTCCGGCGCTTTCCGGTAATCGCAGTCCAGAACAAAGACTCCAGCTTCTTTCGCAATCTGCGCGCAATACAGGGAGTCGCTCCCTAGTAGGGGCATGATGAAGCCGCTGCCGTGCCAATTTACCACGATGGGCTTTGCTAAAGCTAGTGCAGATGCTGATGATGACGAGGGCGGAACGTGAAGGTACGCCACTATTTTGCGGTTCTTGTCCCGCGAAGGGATCCGGAGCTTCTGCGCCGTAGCATTGTAGGCGGATTCGCCCAAAAGCCGGTCGCGACGGAGCGGTAAGAAGGTGAAGGGCGCCGCCAACATTCGCATGAATTTGACGATGAGGAGTCGGCGGAGATATGTTAGAAGCCCCACTTCTGACATCGTTCGAACGTCAGTCGACACCTTATCGCTACTTCTGACAAGAGAGGGAATCCTGGGTGGCTGAAGATTGCGCGCGGTCTTGAGGCGAGTGTTGACCGTGATACCCAGGCTCTTATGGGCGGGAGGATGGATGTTTATAGGTGAAAGCGGGACCGATTTCTTCGCGTTTCAAGCTCTCCTAGGGGACCCGGCACGGATTGCGGGGCTACAACGATCCGATTCAGGGTATACGGCTATACAGCCTCTCATTGGCCAAACGTGCTGACACAGCATGCTAGCTAACATGACTCTTTACGGAAATATAGTCAACGCTAACTCGACGCTTGTCGCATGCTTACTTCAACATGTTACCTAGGCAGGTAAACGAAGCATCCAATGAGGGCTAGAGCTTCCGTCTGGTGGGAAGAATCCTAATTTTCGCGGTGGAAACCTATTGGGTTAGCAGTTCGGTGCAGAGCAGCGAATGTTCAATTGGCGGGTCGTCATCCACCTCTAGGCTCTGCCTAAACCGGATACCTGAGGGAGTACGCCGGCCATAGCAAAAGGGAAATGCAGAAGCTCTCCGAAGGTCGTGGGTTGCGACTTCTTCACGAATGGCTCGCCCGTTTTCCAACCAGCGCCCAGAAGGCTGCAACGAGCCCGAGCACTGTGAACAGTGGCACTGACGCATTTTGCAGGTCATTCGGATGATATTTCAGCCAATAGACCCAGAACCCGAACGCGGGCAGAATGAGAATGACGTGATAGACGAAGAAGAAAGCGGCGGATGGTAAGTAATCCGCTTCGATTCCAAAAGCTACCGTTTCGGTAGCACTAGGGTTGGGAGTGAGTGGCCCCGCGCTGATGTGGAATGCGCCCTTCTTCCGAGGTATCCGCTTCCAATGCTGTTTGGCATGATGGGTGCAGATTTGTCGGCATTTGTGGAGAAAGCGCGGGAGTAAAGACCAGTAGCAGATGCTGTCGCATGCGGTGAGAAGGATCGAGAAGGTCTTTTCGTCGATAGGGGGAATTACAGTGGGAGGCCGCGGATGGTATTCGTAATCGTCCGTATAACCATGGTCGTCCGGGAGGGCTTCCCGAGTGCATGAAATGTGCGCTTGGATAACTTCCTCAAACTAGAGTAATCAGTCGGACCCGGTAATCCATGCGTTGATGTTCTTACCTGGACAAACCTGCAGAACCGAAAGCGGTAAGGTGAAAACCAGTCTTGGAAGAACCATCGATGCCGTTTGTGTCTTGACTTTAAGTCCTCGAAGAATGACGGATCTTTCAGCTGCGTAGTAGTCTCGATGTTCTCAATCTCGTCGAAGCCATCTATATCCTTAATACCGAAGACAATCCAAAAGTAATCCACTGGTGCATTATTTGCATTACCACCGGGTTGGTTCTGAGGGCCGGCGTTACCACTCATAGAATGATTCGGAGGTGCGGATGGCGTGCTCTGTGGTACGCTGAGCGAAGAGCTAGTGCCCGTGGTAGGGGCGGGAGTGTAACGCAAGTGAGCTTTGGAAGGCGGAGTAACCCCTGTTGACGAAGGATTCGCCAGCTTCGCCGGAAGTTTACTTGTGAATGCTTGGGATAGCAGCCGGAATGCAGTGGACCAATCCACCCGACACGACGGCACTTTGCAGCAGTTACAGTCTGGTGGATAATCGTCGGTTATATCAAGGACCTGTCTTATCGATTCTGCTTCTGCCGAGGATATCTCCTTGTACAGGGGCTGGCCGCAGAACTACGTGTACTTAGCATAAAATGCAAATACTTTCGAGTCAGAGTCCACTCACTTGCCACTCAAGGCGAGCTCGGCCCGGCGCTACGTCTGGAATCCGGGGTGCCAGTGGCCACCATTCCCATGGAGTTGCGGTGTACGCCTCGGCGATGGCCTTGAGGCTGTTCGTGAAAGACGCATCGTCCTTTGCCGAGATCTTGATTGACCGTTTTGGAGAAGTTTCGACTATTTCTCTCAAGGATAACGGTAGGGATAAGAGTCGGAGTTGGAGGACTAATGTCCGGAAGGGCATGTTCTTGCGGAGAAACTGGCAAGCTTTCTCGATGGTGGGAAACGTCAATGCCCGTAGATGATCTTTTCGCTGGCTCTCGTTGTTGCCATTGTCACCGTCACCACCTTCCTCTTCACTCTCACGGTCGGAACACGCGGCTTCTCCCAGTGCGATGTCTCGCACAACTTTTGGAGAAACATCTGACCGGATACCTCGTAGCCTACGTGGTATCGAATCTTGTGGAACATTTGACACGGCATCCAGTGTGGGATCCGGCGCTGCATGCGTGGATACAACATCGGGCAATGCGTCAAATGTGTCATCTGGTGCACCGTACGTGTTCCTCGCCCAATCTTCAAGCGATCGTTTCATAATCGGCTGAAAAGCGAGCTCTTCTAGGGGCTTCATGTCATCTTCGTCCTCTTGTTCCATTAGGGCCACGACTCGTTGCGCAATGTTCCGGCGATTCTCTCGGTTCTCAATGACCTTGACAGTGTCCTTCTCCAGGGCAGTTTTCGCTTCTTTTCTTAGTTGTAGAACGAACACTTTGAGAATCCTACGATAATTCTCAAGAAAACGCCTAGTCCCGAGCTTTGCCACTGCGTCCTCATGCAACGGTCGTAACTCTTCTAGCCCGGCGAAAAACGAACCGAATTCCCTGACGGCGAGAATTTCTTGCCCTGTTCTCTGCCTCGTAGCTTGTGAAGCGATGTCTTCTTCATTTGAGACCATAGACAAGGAGTCGGTTTCTCTTTTCGCCGCAGCCAAAGGGGTACCTCGTTCAGACGTGGTTCGTGCGTTGTGCATCTCTCCTAGGGTTGTTCCTTCCAGACTGATGTCGCCAGGCCCTGAGATGCAGAGACTTCCCGGCTGTGTACCAGCGCCGAGGGTAGCGTCCTCATTGACTCCTGCGGAGCCTTGTTCCGGAACGGTGGCCTGCTCAGTGGGCAACACAGATCGCCGGAGTTGAGAGCCCGGTTTTCGAAATGCCTTATCAATTGCCTCCTTCTCCAAATCCTCTAATGTGAAACTGTTCGCAGAATTCTCGCCATTCGAACTAGGGATCGAGAAAGTTGACCAAGTAGGGAACCCTTCGTGCATGAAATAATCTTCGAGAGTGTTTCGGTCCGCTCTCTGTTGCCAAACAACTGACCAAGGTGCGCACCCGATCGTACAACACCGCGATATTTTGTGGGGCCTTTCCGCGGCTGATATTGCTTCGTCATGGATGTCCTGCGGGATCTCCGCCCAGCATCCAATAGCGTTTACAGATGCACCCACGGAACACGGATCGATCCGTAGCGGATCTTCGTCATATTCATAGCCTATAATGCCTATAAAAGATTGCACGGGTTCGTCGGTAAAAGATTCCTTTATCTTCCTTTTAGCGGCGATTGGGCGAGGCGGGACAGTGGTAGCACAAGAATATGAGTGGCTACTTGGCGGAGATGGAAATGGAGGTTGATCAGGAGGTAGTGGTTTCGTGGTGGAGTTATAATATGACGTGTGGATTTCGAAGAATAATGAACGCGGGGGTCGGGGACGTCGGGGACGCGGAGCCAGGTACCCTACAGATTTGCTGCGACGACCCGTTCTCTCATGGTGAGCAGCCATCGAGCGACCGGGCCATTTAGGGCCTTGCTCTTCAATCCCCGTTATAACAGCTCGAAGGTAGGTCGAGAGTGGTGTCCCATTAGTCAATCCTTCTATTTCAAAGTTTTGCGCTGTCACTTGTGCATTTGAATCTACACATGTAATGTCTATTAGCGGAATTTCCGGGATTGACTGGAAGATGCTAGCTCTCTTACCTGAGGGGGTTTGTAGCGTCGCATGTTGCCCGTTGTGCAATTGCAGGAGATTATCGTAAGCCTGAAGCTGCTTCTCCAACTCCTGGAACCCCTGCTTAAGCTTCTCCACGCCCTCGGCGGTGGGCCCAGGGCTCGGTGGTATATTATATCCCAGGTCTCTGTGGATACTAGAGAGCAGTGCTTTGATGGAGGCTTCAAGATGGGAGGCTTCATACGCCAAGCCTGCTGGATCGCTACCAAATCTCTCTTCTAGTGTCCATAAATGAGCACTGATACGCTTGACCTCGTCGAGATCGACTGTCGGCTTCTGAAGGTGGGTGATTACATTCCAGACTCTTTTCAATGCAGCGGCGAGATTATCAACCGTGCAACTGAACGCGGCGGGCATTAGTGGCTGAGGCCTCTAATCCCCCTGGAAATATGGACAACGAGACTTATAGGTGGAGGTCCACTGCGAGCAGTTAGAAAAAGAGTGCAACCGTGGCATTCACCTACGAGGGACACTCATCGCTTGACACAACGCTGAGCTGATGGCGTGGGCGGGGGTTCTGCCAAGCCAGCGCTTAAGCCCCAGCAATGGCCAGCCAATCTGTGATGGAGACCTCGGCCAGCGTATCCAAGCATCGGGTGGAACCACCAGGCTGCAGAGAGTGTGACCAATGATGGAGTTCCATTCTGTGGCTTTCCCAAGGCAGCCTCGCACAACCCCATGATCCAGACGTATAGGGATCGGTTCTGAATCTGCTATCCACCTTTCAACAGAAGTTGAGTGACTCGTCGAGGGTAATGCTCTAGTTAGATCGTTTGGCTTGCTTGGAAACCGTAGGGGGTCCAGAGCGGGCTCCCATAGCGGACTAGCGGGCTCATTTCGACCTGAACTCGTGGAAACGGCGGTGACGGGGATCAATGCACCTGTAAGGACACCAAGTTGAACAAGGATGGGTGAAAGGCGTTGGGGTTCTAGTGCCTACTGCGAGCTCGGGGCTGGAAAAACTTTAACGCCGAAAGGAAAGCGAATTCCATCGCCAACGATTTCCGAGACTCACGCCACATTTCGAGCCAATGCAGCCTATATACAGGCCCGTGACTGCTTTCTCCCCATAACACAGCGCAGGATGCCGAATACCGCGAAACGGGCCACGAAGGCTCTCCCCGCCGCCGCCATCCCCGAGCCCTTCGAGCCCGCATCCGCCGCCCTTGCCCGCTTCCTCTCTACCTTCGATAAGGACAATGTCTACATAACACACATCGATAACCATCCAGCATGGTTCAAGCGGCGCATCTTCTTCGTGCCCGTGGGCATCAACGTCGTCATCGCCGCCCTGCTGCTCTGGCGAGCGTACGCTGCGTCCCCCTTCTACTGGTCGCTGCTCATGTCGCTCCTCGGCAACCGTAACGAGACGACGATATACTACACTGAGACACCGTGGGGGAAGCTGATCAAGTCGGTGGTGTGGCGAATGTTAGTATTTCTGTTCGACTGGCTCCTGTTCAGGATCGTGGGCCCGTGGCCGTGGAGCTTCTTCCTCGAGAGCCCTGGGAACCCCGTAACGTGGCGCTTCACCGTGGGATTCCGTGACGAGGAGGTATATGTGCGACAGAGCAGAGGGTGGGGCGCGAAGGATCTGCTTGGGGAGGCGGAGGGCTCGAGCGGCAAGGCAGGCGGTGACAGTCCGTTCTTCAAGACGAGGATACTGCCCGCAGTTGATATGCGGAGATTGCGGGAGAAGACGGGCTATCTACTGATGGACGGAGACTTCGATCTCGACTTCGGAGGCATGATCACGGCCACTAAGCTTCTAGATAAGAAGGAAATAACCGCAGATCTACTCCGCACAAGCGTGTTTGTGTGGGTGGGTAGCGAGGAAACTGGTCAATGGGCTGTTTGGAACTGCTGGAAGCTCGACGAAGGATCCGAGACGGAAGCGAGGCAGAAGATCATGCTGTTCAAGGACCGTCTCACGGCAATGGGCAAGGAGAGCCTCTTTTTCAAGTGGGTCGAGCTGGTGCAGTTCGAGAGCAACGCGCCTGGAGGCTTCACGTACGAGAGACAAGCCGCAACGGCGGAGAAGGCGAAGACGCTTTTCGAAGAGGAGGGCATCGACTTCGATAAGTTTATTAGGGATATAGGAGGATTGGGCGGCATGCCTGGGATGGACTGAGACCTCGCGTCAAATTTGGCGAACTCAGCGTCCTTGTGAACCCCGCCTCCCCATCAGCCCTCTCTTCGCACATGGCAGCCACCAGGGGGCGAACATTACAATTGCGCTTTCTCCTTCGGCTTTATATATCGAACTGCATATTCAATCGCCGCCTCATATCCATACACGCCCAACCCGCAAATTATCGCCTCGGCTTTATCGCTCAGATAGCTATGGTGTCGGAAAGCCTCCCTCTTATGGATGTTGCTGATATGCACTTCGACGAAAGGGATCTCCACCGCCAGGAGTGCATCTCGCAGCGCGACACTCGTATGGGTCAACGCACCGGGGTTGATCACAATCGCATCTATGTTCCCCCGCGCTTCATGGATTCGGTCAATCAGCACACCTTCGTGGTTCGATTGTATGCTTTCGAGGTATATGGATCGCGCTGAGCATTGTTTTTGGGCGGATTCGGTTACTTGGGGTAGTGTTGTGCTGCCGTAAACGGTGGGCTCCCGGGTTCCGAGGAGATTGAGGTTTGGTCCATTGATGAGGAGGATTGACTTTGCCATGATGAACGGATGAGACGAGATGAACTGGAAAATGCGTCTGAGTTGCAACACAGATCTCGTCGCTGATTTCTGTGTTGCCTGGCTATCTCTAATAGAAATTATTCGGAATGCGGAATGGGTTTCCGACGCCGCGGAATTGCGGTATTGTTGCGGAAGAACCCTTAGCCAACACCGGCAATGCACGGAACCCCACCATTACCAAAGAACAGAGGTCTCAATCGTTCGAACCTGTGCTCCTACGATTGGAATGTGAGTCCCCGTACGGGAAAGGCGCCCGTCGTCGCAGGTCTATCCTACTCACGTGCGCGGCTTACAGCGGCATATCCGATCCACTTCGCGCAACCCAACCTATCGATAAGTCACTGTGTTCTTGACACCCCACCATGTTCCCTCCATCACCATGGCGGACATTTCCGGAGAGGAACTAGATGAGATCTATGCTTTTGCTGTTAACCTCGGAGAAGAGGCGGGGAGGATGCTCATGCATGGGGCGAGAGTGAGGATGGGAGATGAGCGCGTCGCAAATGAGCAGGAGGAACATGTGCAGAAGGAAAATGCGGTGGATTTGGTTACGAAAATGGATGACGGTATGTCTGCGGCTGCACGGTGAGGATTTGTCGGGGGATTCGATTGCACGGCGAACCTACCCCCAGCGCCCAAATCGTGACGACGAGTACTACCTTGGTTGGGATCCAGCAGCTGAGACCATGCAGACGTTGAAGCTTTTATCAGGGGCCAAATCGCGAACAAGTATCCTTCGCACAAGTCAGTGTTCCCGCATACAAGGACATTCGCATCCGCTCACTTATGCTAGATTCGTCGGCGAAGAGTCCTACTCCAAAGGTGCATCGCGCGACTACCTCATCGACGACAATCCAACATGGTGTGTCGACCCGCTCGACGGTGCTTCACTCCCCTCCTTACTCCACTACCTTTCTAACCTCCCACAGGAACAGTAAATTACATCCACCTCTTCCCCCTCTTCTGCGTCTCCATCGCCTTTATCCACCACTCTAAGCCCCTCATCGGCGTCATTAATGCCCCGCTACTCAACTACTTCTTCTCGTCCTGCGCTGGGCGGGGCGCGTATCTGAACCGCACGCAACGTCTTCCCCTTATCCGCAACCCTATTCCTCCCCTTCCTGCAAACGCGCCGAGCGGATGTATCTTCTCGTGCGAGTGGGGCAAGGACAGGCGAGATGTGCCTGAGGGGAATCTGCACAAGAAAGTGGAGAGCTTTGTGAATATGGCGGCTGAAGTGGGCGCCAGAGCCGGAAGGGGCGGGATGGTGCATGGAGTGCGGAGCTTGGGGAGCGCGACGCTGGATTTGGCATTTGTGGCTATGGGCGCATTTGATATTTGGTGGGAGGGAGGCTGCTGGGAGTGGTAAGTCATTTGCGTATGTAGATTCGCCGGAGAACTTGCTGATGGGATGCTAGGGACGTCGCGGCTGGCATTGCTATCCTCCAGGAAGCAGGTGGGCTGGTTACAACTGCTAACCCACCGGGGGATTACGCGACCGCGCCGATTGAAGATGCGCGGCTGGGGAGTCGACTGTATCTTGCTATCCGGTCAGTGTCCCGAGGCTTTGCTTGGATTGAGGGCTAACCGATCATCGTAGACCAGCGGGAGCTTCGGCTACGGAAACTGGACGTCAGGCACAGGAGAGGACTGTACGGGAGGTATGGCGTAGGGTTCGCAATCTGGATTATTCACGACCTGGGGGATAAAGAGGAGTGGTTATTTCCGACGGTAATTATTCACGGAGTTGAGTTGGGTACGGATAGTTGCAGCGTCCTACTTCCGGGCACCCAATCGCGATGGCCATTCAGTATAATGACCAGGGCATCTATGCGAAAGAGTCCTCGAGGCTTTGCGCTGCTGGTTTAGAACAGGACGCGCCAACAGTGCACGCTAACACCAACTGGGCTAGGCGATTCACGCGAAAAGCGCCAACCGTGGACCTTTCTTCCTCCCCCCTCAACGCCAATTCCCGCACTCCTCAGTAATTCCAGGCATCTTACCGCTCCTTTCCTCCCCATCTCATTCCGCTCGCTAGACGAAATGCCTCAAGTAACCGAGGAAGTCCGCGGAAGAAGAACTAGGAAAGGGCGGGTAAGTGCTTTTCCGGACCCAAAGTCAACGTCATTACGCCGAGCCAGTCCTTTGGGGAACTTCCGAAGAGGGAGAACAAGTGCGATCTCTCGAGAACTCTCTTCCAGCAGTATTGCAGGTGGCGTGTGAGGATCCGCAATAGGCAGACGTTACACCGTGTCAGTATGGATGGAAGGAAGACGGAGGGATCCGAACGAACGAACGCCCGCCCTACTTGCTTATCAGACCGGAGATATCCACAACGGTATCGGCGCAAGACTCGTTCATCGTACAAGTGCATTTGTACCTCTGAAATACTGCTTCAGAGCCCTTCTTTCTACTCCTCGTCCTTTCCCTTTTACAACACTCCCTTTGCGATCAGAACTGGACTATTGCCATCATGCCTTGCCGTCCAGCAATCTCCTCCATGTCCCTCGGCCGCTGCTACGCCGGCCACTGCATCGAGCACAAGCTCTCCAGGGCAGCGGAGCACGGCATCCAAGGAATCGAACTCTTCTACGAAGACCTCGCTGATCTCGCCCACCCGCCAAATCCCCCTAACCTTCTCCGCGCCGCGGCGTACATCCGCTCGCTGTGCGCATCGTTGGGACTAGAAATCCTGTGTCTGCAGCCGTTCATGCACTACGAGGGCCTTCTAGACCGGAAGAAGCACGCAGAAAGAATAGAAGAAGTGAAATTGTGGATGGAAATTGCAAGCGTGCTGGGCACAGACATTATACAAGTCCCCTCGTCTTTCCTCGCCGAGGACCAGATATCGTCGGACATCGGCCTCATCGTCTCCGATCTGCGCGAGCTTGCAGACCTGGGGCTGCAGCAAACACCACTGATACGCTTCGCCTACGAGAGCTTGTGCTGGGGCACGTATATCGATCGCTGGGAGCAGTGCTGGGATATCGTTTCGCGCGTCGATCGACCGAACTTCGGTATCTGCCTCGATTCTTTCAACATCCTGGGGCGTATATACGCCGATCCTACATCTCCCACGGGGCGTTCTGCCAACGGCGAGCAGGAAGTCCGTGAGTCGCTGCGACGACTGGTCGAGCGTCTGCGTCTGCAGAAGGAGAAGATCTTCTTCATCCAGATCGTGGACGCCGAACTCCTCTCCACTCCCCTTCTCCCAGGCCATCCTTTCTATAAGCCAGAGCAGCCGTCGAGGATGAGTTGGAGTAGGAATTGTAGACTGTTTTATGGGGAGGAGGAGAGGGGTGCGTATCTGCCTGTGAAGGACGTCGCGCATGCTATTATCAATGCAATCGGGTACGAGGGCTGGGTGAGCATGGAGCTGTTTCATCGCGATATGGAGAGGACGGATGGGGGTGTTGTTGAGGAGTTGGCGGCGAGGGCCGCAGTAGCCTGGAGGAAGCTGGTGGAAGATGTGAAGATGGAGGGTGAGAGAAGAGCAGAAGGCGAGGGGAGACTGCATGCGGGCGAGGAGAAGGGTAGTATGGGCGAGGTGTTTGAGAGAGAGGTGGAGGTTGCGCGGCTGTAAGGATCGTTGCTTGGGATGTATGTCTTCGAGTTGAATGGTTGGTGTGCAATATTATGCCACTATCTCACTGCTTTGTGTGGGTCTGATTCTTCGCCTTGAGAGATGAAGTGAGACTATGCGCAGAAGTCCTAGTTGGGACTGGCTCTCCCCGCTAGCATAGTGCTAGATTGTACTTCCCGCCGCTGCAGTGTTGCTAAGCTCCACACAGTCAGCCCGGCAGCGTAGTTTGAAGGCACTCTGTGCACCTGCGTTTCCGGTATAAAGTCTTAGAAGGAAAGCAACTTTATCTGAGTGTTATATAAGTATTTACTTTAGATATATATCATGCATCGCCGTATCAATGTACAGGATATCGATTTATGATCCGGCCCATGCCGATTGTGCTTTCTACCCTACGCTCCACTTCTAGTGTCGGCTGTATCTATGGACATAGTCAAAAGCAACTATAAGAGCTTTCAACTGAGCGGCTGCAGCTGTGAGCGCGCAGAAATGGAACAACTGATGGCTGGCTCCGAAGAAGTCGAATCTCTCCGGGTACCATCTCTCCGGGACGCACGTTGAAAAGATGACACACCCAAGAATGTAAAAGAAGCCTTGCACAGCCGACCACCGGAGCCCCATCATTCTCTCCAGCTCACCAAAGCCATATATATAGATCCCATGCAAGATCGGAAAAATCGAAAGGAGGCCCAAGCTGACGAACAAAGTGGCTCGGAGATGCCGCCAGGCTGGCGTGTGGAACTTGGAATCGAGTGTGGCGATGATGCAGGCCATGCCCACGGCGAGGATCTGGATAAAGTATCGTCAGCTTGGAGAACGAAACATCTTAGAGGGATGACAACCATGAGCCAGTAGAAGTACAGCAGCCCAACATGCTCACGCAGTCCGTAGTAGAAACCAGACAAGCATGTCCCTTCAATGAACACCACTATCCCTAGGTAATCAAGCGTGGTGCCTAGTCGCGCGCCGGGGACCGAGTGGCTGGAGAGGAGGTGGCATAATGCAGAGAGTAAAAAGCATGTCGCGCATGAAAGGATGAAGGCCGCGAAAGCGTAGATGTCGGCTTGCGTGCTGTAAGGATAGCGGATTTCGAGATCGCGGTAGAATCCTGCTCCGATCCACAAGAAAACGATTGCACCGATCAAATGGGAGTAGATGTTGACTGTTGATGTGCGTTAGAAGCAGTTTTCTTTTCACTAGGCCAGCGCCGACTTACTAGTTTCGTTGTGGAGGTACCCGAGAGATGCGAAGGTGTCATACAAGGAGTTTGACTCCTTGCTAATGGGGCCTTAGTGAACCGGCTGAAGGATGAATGGCAATGGCATGCTACTTACCGGTATCCTCGCACAAGGAAGTGGTTGTCTCTGTGAACGTTACAGCTGGCAAGGCTTGATGGACGCACGGAAAGGTGTGCTTACCTCTGCCACGGGGCTGATTCAAGTCAAGTCAGAACTAAAGTAAGAGTTTGAGTCGGAAAAGCTGACCTATTTGGTCCCAACTCAAAGTTTTGTACACTTTTCGACGAGGCATAGTCATAGCGGCATCGACGCTTGCCAAAATATCTCTCAATGGCGCAGCCCCAACCAGCGAGGGTGCCTCAATAGCTTCATACGTGACTGTACGGAGCCCTCCCTTGCGCCGCTGTGTACCCATGCTACACAAGGCCTGAAAAGCGCCACGAGCAAAGAGGATGAAAGGGAAATGTAGTGGTGGGGAAGAAACGCAGTCCGGGGGATCTGGATTGGTGCAAAGCCTGGTGTTGGAACAAGGCTATCGGGTCTCCGAAGGTTTTATTTGGTTTGGGGGCCACCATACGAGGGACCTCTCAACACGGCGTCGGGATGGAGATGATCAGGGCGTTTCGCAAAAGAAAATAGAAATGAAGGTCGCAACTGGCAGGTCGCAAGCAGCCCTGGCAAGGATTAGCTCGGCTCGAGTGTGATGGCGACCGGTGAGGCAGCCAGCGCGGCTGGGCCCAACAAATGTAGTCCCGAGAACAAGGAACATGGAGAATAGAGGGCTACTTTGTAAGCGAATGTCCTATCTACATAAGCCCTAGATAAATCCCGGACCCTGGTGAGCTGAAAACATTCCGGCTCCGAGACGCCGGTTCTTCGGACGCGGACGTGGATCAGATTTATCGCTAAAGGCCACTCCATCCGGCGCCGCCTCAAGCACCTCGTCACCTGCTATATGCACTGCGGACCGAAAATGGGACGTGTCCTGCATTTGAGGGACGAAGGTGGGAACAAAATCGCCCAATCACCGAGTGTCGTTGTACTCTTCGCTTCACGCTTCCTGACGCGTTTCAGCGCCTCCGCCAACAAGTTTTTGCGGGGCCGACGGTCATGCTGTCCGACGCACGACGCACGACGCACGACGGGCTGTGCAACCACCTTCACTGGACGTATTTTGGCCAGAACAGGCGGTGATGCAGTTTCCAACGGAGATTTGCGTGGCACTTGTCTTCATCCCAGCTGCTCAGGGTTCTCTCCAAGAAAAAGATTTTGTCAGCGTATTTTACATTGGCCACCGCGCTTGTGCCTTGACCTGCAGATGTGCAAAAATGAGGAGATAAGGCCGCATTGCAATAGAAGCCACCGTTCTGATGGAGATGTCGCTGTGACTGAAGTCACCGTCGTGCATGTGAGCAACTTGGAGTGGCTGAAGCCACGAGCTGATGGACTGCTGCTGCGGAATGGGATTCGAAACAATGCAAGTCCTGTGTGTGCCAGGCGACGGCTGCCTAGCTGTGGGATCGAAAACTGCCACCCCTTCAGAGGTGGGTGTCATCAAGGCCCCACGAATGCTAGCCCTCTACTGAAAGCCTCTGATGGGGCGCCTTTCGAACTCTGCCTCGCTGCGTTACAGGAACTCCACAATCTGCCTTTCGTTGCGTCGAGTCGCCTTTAAAGTTATCACGGCTCCTTCTCCTTGAGCCTGAGGAAAGCGACGAGATCTGTAAAAGGACCATCATTCGTTTCCTTGCGCTCCGTAGCCATCATGGCTGCTAAGCCAATACCTCCGCCTGTCATCCATAACAATCGTGCAACATTCACGGGAGACAACCACAATGGAAACCAAATTGGCCAGTTGTACTTAGGAGGCAAGTCGAAATGTACCGGCTCTGAAACGAAGAAGCTGTTGATCTAATGCGAACCAGAGAACGATCCTTTTGGTGCGCTTCCAACGCTAGACTTCCCCAAGGATCCAGAGCAGTTTTTGCAGTCCAGAGCTGAAGGGACCTGTAAATGGTTTCTCAGTTCAGATGAATTCCTTCAATGGGAGAAAGGGTGGCAAAGGACGCTGTGGTGTCCCGGGAACGGTAATTTGGCTGAGCCTCGACACTGCGAACTCTGCTAACCATGCATCAAACACTCAGCTGGTGTAGGGAAGACATTCCTCGCGTAAGTCTCCATATTTCCAGCTCCGTGCACCTCTCATCAATGGTGGCCAGGTCACTTGCCATCAAGCACCTACAGAGTCGTTCAAATCTCGACGAAGCCCGAGTCCTCTATGTCTACTTTCGGCATGGAGTCGACGGCGAGAACCAACCCTACAAGACTTTTGGTTCGCTGTTGAGACAGTTGATGCTATCGAATGGCAAGAATCCGCCGTCCGTCAGAGCCACGACCCTGCTCGCACAATACCAGCTGAAAAATTCGAAACCCCCGCTCACAGAGCTCATCGAAACGCTGGCAGCAGAGGTGAAACAGTACAAGAAGGTTTATGTTGTCCTCGATGCCCTAGATGAGAGCTCGGGTTACAATGGAAATACCACAGAACGGGGCATAATGCAGGGAGGAATCAAGTCCTTGCAAAGGATGCCAAATGTCAACCTGATGATTACTTCCAGGTCGCATGTGGACTTTGACCAAATGCTGTTCGGGTTCCTTTCTAGCAGAAAGTCTCACGACACTTTCACTGTCGCCATGAAAGAAATCCGCGCAAACGCCGACGATTTACGCGACTACGCAACGTTCAAGATACAGACCGAGGAGGAGGATCCAGGGTCTTCATTGGCCCAGCTTCTCCGCAGGGTTGATGACCCGGTAAAGCTGAAGAGGGAGATCGTGGACGCGGTGGTCGCCGCGGCTGGGGAACTGTAAGTAGTCAGCAAGAAGGTACACGCCCTTTGATGATTTTGCTAATCGCTCCGGCCCAGGTTCCTATTGGCTGTACTTCACTTGAAGTGGATCGCAAACAAGAAAAGTAAAGAGGCGCTTCGATCTGCACTGGTCAACCTTCCGACCACCTTGTCCGACCAATACGAAGAAATGCTCAAAAGGATTGAAAAGCAAACGGACGATCCAGAAGATCGGGACATCGCAAACATGGTCTTGAATTGGATCTGTTCCGCCCCTCGCCAGATGTCCTTGATAGAGGTTCAGTACAGTCTGGCTATCGAAGCTCCGGCATGGGATGTGAACACAGAGAAACTTTATTTAGAAAGCACCCTCATCTCGCTTTGTGCTGGCTTTCTTGTGCTACGGGACGACGATAAAGTTGTTCAACGAGCCGGCCGACAGAGCGTATTGCCGGAGGACCGGATAGTCGAATTCGTTCATTCTACGGCCCAGGACCACATTCAAAAGCGACTCCAATCATACCCCGGGACAATAAGACGGATGGCGGAAGTCTGCATTGGCTACCTAGGGAATGGAAAGCTGGATCGTCCAACCTGCGAGTCAGACGACGATCTCATGGAGCGTCTGAAGCTGAACAGATTCCTGTTATATGCTGCCTGCAACTGGGGTCATCATTTACGACTGTACGAGGATCACCCTGAGTCTGAGGTGAAGAAACCAGAGCCGGGATTCCTGGCCAAGGCACTGCGTGGCCTCACGACGATGATTCTTGGATCCCCAAAACTGCCTGCACCTGAAACACCAACAGGAATGGCGCTTGATATGCTCGGGCGGGAGGAAGTGCTGCTGAATCTCAGCCAACTTATGCATATCCCAGCCTACAAGCAGTCGGGCTTCTCTCAAAGATTCCCCCAAAGGATGACAGCGCTTCACTTCGCTGCAGGGTTCGGCGTTGTAGGATTGGCTCAGCGGCTCCTCGAAATCAATTCATCCAAATTCCTGAATGTGGACGAGGAACTTCGACTTGAGAACATTGTGCCGGACGATAGCAAGGCCAACCTTGCCACTACCACCAAAGATAGCGGCGGCAAAATCAATTACATGGATGCGAAAGACACATACATGAAGACCGCAATGCACGTCGCCGCTCGAAGAGGCCACGCCAAGATTGTAGACACACTGATCGAACATGGCGCCAAGATCGAAGAAACGACCGGTGACGGCGAAACACCATTGCTCAGTGGAGCCATGAATGGAGACCTCCGGGTCGTCAAGGTCCTTCTGAGCAAAGGTGCCGATGTCCACAGAAAGAACAAGCCCGGAGGAACGGCCTTGCACTGGGCATCTCTGAACGGAAACCCTAAAGTCATAGCGGAGTTGCTCAAGTACGGCGCCAATGTCTCCGAGATTGCTGATGCAGAGGCAACGGTAAATTACGGAATTGAATCTATCGGATTCGACGCCATGGTGTGGCTGTTACTCGATAGGCTCGCATCGGCCGGACTGCAAAATCTGCTTGGTGGAACGCCGCTCCATTGGGCAGCTTTCAACGGGCGTCTCGAGGTGGTTGAACTTCTCATCGAAAATGGAGCGGACGTCCATGTCAAGAATGCCTTTGGAGGAACTCCTCTTCATGCGGCAGCGTGGAACGGGAACGAGTATGTCGTGGAGGAGCTCATCAAGAAAAACGCTTCCATCTCCGACAAGAATGCGCTGGAAGTAACGCCTTTGCGAGAAGCATGTCTAAATGGCCACGCAACAGTAGCGAATGTCTTGTTGCGGAGCGGCGCTGACGCCGGCGTGGAACCCGAGCTCATAGGTGACGCTGATGACTTCGACGACAAGGCTGACCTGGCGGAGACGATGGCGGAAAAAGGCCTTCAAATTCAGGAGGCTGATACCACTCAAGGCGAGCGGGTTTTGAAGGCTGTGGTCACGCACGTGGCGAGGGACAAACCGCTCGAAGCTTTCTTTATGCAGATGAAGCTGCAGGAAGCCATTGAGAAGCGGGATGATGCGGAAGCTTGGAGCGCCCTGAGGGAGATGACTGCCAAAGGGTTCGAGGCACTGACAACGCTTCTTTCCTCGATTGAGCAGAGCCCCCCTCACTAAGACGTCAGTGGAGGTTCTTTTCGTGTTCGTGGTGCTGCTTTTTATCTTTACGGCCGCAGGTTGTCATCTTTTCTTCGTTTCTCCTTGAACCTAGTCAGACACATCTTTATGGAAACTTCGTGATGCTTTTGAACGGTTGTGAGGTCGCAAATCGGATTTTGTGATATGTGGGCCCGGTCTATCTCCGGCTTCTACAGTGCCTGTTTACCAGCACCGGGAAGTGGTGGGTAACACTGCAGGAGGCTGAAAAGCATTTTCACACTGGAGGATTCTATTTGGCAATATGTGGAACGCCCCATAGGCTCGAAAGACGCCGATTACATCGAATACGAGCCAAAACATTCTGCAAGGTTGCCCAGCCCAGTCATGGCGTTTGAGGCATATGTATGTGTGGTCTCATGCCTTACTGCACGAGCCTCCATAAGAGATTAGAGATATGACTCCCTGTGGTTTCCTCATTGGTCATGACATCAGGACATTGCTAATCGTTATTGCGTATTCGGCATGGTGGCAATGCAAGGCAAAGGTGGCACCCGCCTGATCCATGCTTTGAAATATGGACGCGCTGTAGGAGGCCGCATCCGGCTGCGGCTGAATGATGCCCCATGCTATTGGCTCGCACTTGGCCGAAGGCCATTGACTGACTAGCGCCAGCGAGCTGTGGATGCACTATATGAATAGCTGAGCAAACAAAGAAGCCTCCTTACAATTCTCGTTCGACGGATCTCAGGCTCGCCGAATTTGTAGGCATACATCCTTACTCATCTGGCCAGCCAAGTGGTGACGAGAAAATGGGTGACTCAGCGGAAAAGCACGGGTTGCAAGACCTCACTCCCGACGGCGTTAAAGCAATTGTTGAGTATGTCATACTAGCATGTAGAAGCTGTGGGCCGAGTACTAATCTCAAACTCTAGTATCGTATTCGTGCATGGCCTTCACGGCAACAAAGAAACGACATGGACTGCAACGACGAAGGACGGGAAGGTTCTTTGGCCTCGAGATCTCCTTCCCCAGGACATCAAGGAAGCGCGCATCTTGACCTGGGGCTACGATTCGCACATTACGCATTTCTGGACGAAGACTTCCCTTGGAAATGTGGACACACATGCCAGGAACCTGTGCGCAGACTTGAGCAGTCTGCGAGAGTACACAGACACGGTAAGACCTCGGCGATGACATTTTAACTGCTACTGACAGTGGACATCCACAGACCGATCGCCCAATCATATTTGTTGCGCATTCCCTCGGAGGCATTGTCTGCGCGAATGTCAGTGTTCCGTCCGACAGATACGATTGGCACTGACTCCCTCAGACCCTTGTTCTCTCTGAGAATTCCGCGGAGCCCTACGCGAACGAGATTGCGAGCCATATCAGAGGTATCGTGTTCTTGGGAACCCCACATGAAGGCTCCAGCAAAACGAAGTGGGCAAAAGTCGGCCAGCAATTTGTCTCGCTGTTCAAAACCGTGAATAAGGAGCACATCCAAATTCTCGAACAGAATTCCATCAAGCTGGGGGCGATTGGGGGCGCATTTGAAACAGAGTTGAGGAAGCGAAGAGAGTCTAAGGAACAACGCAGCAAGATCGAGATAGTCTGCTTCTTCGAAGAAAAGGAGTCCCCCTTTGGCATCGTGAGGCTCCGTTCTCATGTCCCAGAGACAGACCTGCTAACATCTAGATAGATCGTCACGGAAGACTCAGCCCACCTCGGGAGTTACGAAACGATGTCAATTGCAGCTGATCATAGGGGAATGGCCAAATTTACGTCGAGAGCAGATCCGGGGTATACGAGAGTCCTGGGTTTTCTGAGAAGGTGGGTCGATAGTCTGATGGAGGAAGTGGCGAAGGCCGCGAAACCTGTGAGCACTATCCCTACGATGCATTGAGGATCTAAACTGCTAAATAATGGGTCAGGAATCAGCCGTGACGAACAACAAGGCGTGGTTCAATGGTCCAAATTATGGTGGCTTCATGGTGGGCCAGAGTGACGCGCCACAAAATCTTTACAATCAGGTAAGTGCCTTCCATCTTCTTGTCTTACGCAGATGGCGCGGGTTCTAACACCTTACAGTATTATGGTCAGGGGGGACCAGGACTAGGTAACCACGGGCCAGGCGGCCTCAAGCCAGGGAACTGAGCTCATTCCTCATCTTCACATCCTCCGTCATTCGTTTCCCGAAACCTCGGCGAGGTAATATTTCTGCGGTACGAATTAGCGAAGATTTGACCATACCAACAGACTATGATCTCGGTTTTTCGTTTCCATGTCGCTCATTGAGCTATCTTTCACCGCTATAAGTAGTTTGAAAGCACTCTATGCACCTATATAGAGTTAGAATGGAAGCCGCTCCCGGAACCCGCCCCGGAATCACTTGGTACCATCCATCGTCAAAAGGTAGATCCTCGCAAGCGAGAGATTGCATTTCATTAAGAGTGGCATCAGAAAGTTCGCTATCTAGTCCCAAAAGCACTTAGCTCTCCCTTCATATTGACCGCCTCACTTTATACAGCTGCCCGTTCCGTTTCTGTACCTCCACAGTTTTCCTATTCCTTATTGGATTTGCTTCTTCAAGCTGACGCTGTTGACGCTGCTCTTGCAGCTGCGCTATAAGGCCTTCGTACCTCTCTCGCTCTTGATTCCTGTGATTAAGCTCGGCGGCTAAGCGAGCAAGAAACTCAGCTTGCACGCCGTGCTGTCGTCGAGTATCGTTCAGCTGGTACTGCAAAGCTGTCGCCCTCTGTGCATGCAAATCCCTTTCGGCCTTCGCGGCGTTCAGTTCATTATCCAATCGCGCCCTTCTATCCTTGTTGTCATTAAGATCCTCTTGAGCTTGGCGCAGCTGTCGTTTGAGTTCCCTCTCCCGCTCTTCCGCTCTGTTCAATTGATCTTCAAGCTCGCGACGTCGAGCCTGGCTCTCGCGGAAAAGCACAAGCAAATTTTGATATTCCTTCGTCTTTGTAGGGTCATGAACGGCTCGTTCCTCCGCTTCTTCGACTTGATTGCGGAGGGCGTCAATCTGTCTTCCTGCCTCAACCAAATCCCTTTCTAGCACTTTCTGATCATCTTGAACTCTCTGTAGCTCATGCTCAAGCCGTTGTACCGGATCCATTGATGCTTCAATGCCCGGATCGTTGTCCTCTTCGACATCTGCCGCCACTCGTGCCTCTGTGGCGGTTTCCTTTACTGTTTCTACGCTTGCGTCCGATCGCGGTGAGGAGGGAGGGCTCGAACCTGCGGTGTGAAAGGACGTTGAACTTTCAGACCGTGCAGCTGGGATCTGTGAGCTCATTTATTGTCCACATTCTAGAGAGCCATCTTACCTTCTCCATTGCCATCAACCGCGAAAGAGTGATCGGGCCCACCTCTATCGGTCGAAGTGCTATATTCCTCGAATGCAGGAATTTTCATGGCTCCAGGGCGCGATGTGATGACTCTCTGTGGTGATGGTGGCGTGTCGGCCTCGTCGGTTGGTATTGCTCGATTAATTCCTGGCTCTGGGTCTGGAAAAGGATGTCTTCTCATCACATTTTCGGCGTCTTCAACTCGCTGCCTTGCGACGTTCCTCGCTTCTTCTTGTCGCCTTTCTTGCTCTAATTGAGCCAGCAGCTCAAAACGCTCTGAAAGACGCCTGCTCGATAGGTTGCGGGTCTCGTAATCCGGTCCCGAGGGAGTAGCCGACGACATCGAGATGGAGCGAAAGAGGATTTATTTGGCAGCCGAACTGATCCACAAGAATCTAATCATCAAAATAGAAAAGCTGTTCGACATATCGACGAGATGCTAATGCAGGCTGCCATATATCCCTGCCTTGCGAGCAAGGCAAACTACTCAAGCCCCACAGGTTTGCCTGATTGTCGACTTGTCCTGATATGATTTGCCAACATGCATGTGTGCTGCATGCAGACGCGATATGCACGTATGCACATCGTGGTTCCTCCACTTCAGCTGGCCAGTCAAAACAACTCGCTCGAAGATCCGGTCAAGGACACAGGGCGCTAGCCCTTATTCGTAACTACAAGGCGTCAGTTTTAGAAACACATTCTATGAATCTCGAATGTCTCATGAAGACTCTGCTTTCCAGCTTTCCAGAGGAACACACTTCAGCTGCATTTCTTATCACCTGGTTCCCAAATGCAATCAGCCCGTAGTGCACCACCACCTCCTCTTTGCTCTCGCGCTGCAGCCGAGCTTCTTGCCTGCTAGTGTCGCACAGGCCACACGTCTGTCTCCATTCGTAGTTATATTGCGCTGAAACCTGGGAGTGTGATCGAGCTGGAGATATGCCTAAAGAAATTACTCTTGCCCCGAAGCGCGTTCAGCGACCCCGTCCGCTCAACCCGCTCAGCGTAGCCTTTCCCATATCATATTTTACCAGCCCGCCAAATTCTAATTCCGTTAACTAACTACCACGTCCCCAAGCCAGATATCCGCCCTTGCGATTCGGACGTTCCCGCGAATACCATTAACCTGAAACAGATCCCCTTAATGTCGCCCACATCTGCACCGTCACCAGATTGTTGCCAATCCAGCCGGCCGGCAGGCATACAAGGGCAACGGTATGCCCACCTATCGGCCCTAGCGCGTACAGATTCGAGGTCGTCGTTGTCGTCGAGGGCTAATGCGTGACTTGACAAGAGGACGCACTGGCCCTTCCTGATCGAACGCAATGTAGACAAAGCCCGATGCTGTTGTTCAACCTATCCAAGCTCCAACGACGGTTTCTTCTATACTCGGGCGTACAGTGCTTGTACGAGTAAGTACACGGACCACTATCTTCCGTAGGGACTGGATCGGGCATCTTCTCTGCTGACTCGAGAACCTCGGAGATGGAGGTGCGATATAAATGCGTTGGCCAAAGGTGTTGTTCTTTCAACGACTTTAAATATGCATATGCATATTTGCTCGACCATCCACACCTGTGACAACAACTCACAGTTGAATCATTCACCCCTTCTAGAAGGATTTCTGCTAGCTGTAGCCTTGCAGAGCTTCTCGCCTCTTCTAGATGGCCTATTCATTACCCGGTTAGTTAAATACCCCGAAGAGCACACCATAATTGTTCAAATACGTACAGAATACCTTCCAGCTCATCGCAGACTCCACTTCTTCGCATGACAGAGCAAGGTACGGACCGCTGTGGGTAAGTATCATCGCTTTGGTTATCTCTTTGAACGCTTGTGCGTTCCGGAATAAATACGCCGAAGCAGCAAGGAGCATCAGATCGCTCATATCGTGCTCATCTGGACGAAGCCAGGTATGACTGGCAAACTTCAGAGCATCGACGCAATCGTACTTGTCCGCTGTAACAGCGATTTCCAGAACGTTGAGAGCAGGAAGCGTGGAAGGGATTCCTTCGTTCCGATGGTGAATGATGGCACAGATAAGCTTCATCGCTGCGGCATTGTCTTCGGGCAGCGGTAGCTCTACTGGCCCGTCTCGGCCGGTCATTTCATCGCCTTCCTTCCAGTCTGGCCCGAACATGGCGGAGAAGGGTTTTGAAGCCGCCTTGAGAAAAAGCGAATGAACACGAAGCTTCATTGCTTTCGGGCCAACGACTAGGATCACATCACCGTCCGCGGCAATCTTGACAGTCGAGCTAGGTTCCATATCTGATATCCAAGAGGACAAGTACGGCTTAACGCTTGAAGCGGCAGGGGGTAGGTTGCGGTGACGGGAGTTTTGAGCCGAAGGGTGGGACCTTGGGGTTGGGAGCGTCAGGAGAAGAGCGCGAAGGGGTGGGTTTCATGGGTGTGACACGGACTCTGGCTTAGATTACGGGGTCCGTCGATCGATCGTCGATCTGCGGGCGCTAGGGCCTAGTCTTCCCCACCATGCCATCTTTATAGTCTCGCACGCCCCGCGCCTTCGCCATCCACTTGTCCCACCGTCCCTTTTCACATCGCACCTCTTCCCCAATCTCTTATACTCTCCTCGGCATAGGCGGCCAACGCAGGCGGCTCTATCTAAGCGATCCCATCTCGAGCCAGAACGACCAGCGCTAAACCTGCCGCAAAACCAGCAGAACCTCCACCCCCGCTACTCGTAACACTTTCAAGCGCATCTCGTCCAGGAGCGCTTCCATCCTGCCCTCCGACACGCTCCGGCGTATAACGCAGTGTCGTAGAAGAAACACACCCCCGCAGAAGCTCCACGCTCATACCCATTACAAAGTGGGATGCCTTCTCGTGACGAAAGATATCGCCAAAGCCTTCTTCGAACTCGATCTCTCCGGTAACGGTTCACGCGCAAGTAGAACCTCCAAGCCGCGAGCCCGCAATCGTTCCGTTGCCCCCCCCCGCCTCCCGCTACCATCGAAGTCAAAGGGAAGAGCAAAGTCACCTTCTTGACCTTGCCCGTCGAAATCCGACTTCAAATCTACGATGAACTTCTCGTCAGCCGATTTCACCGGATACAAAACGCTTCGTGGGCAGTCGGAAACACGGATCAAAAGATGGTTCTGCTCGATATGATTCAAGCCCCGGAATATAGAACGATGGAGCCAGGCATACTGCAGACGTGCAAGCACATATACCACGAAGCGAACTCGATACTCTACTCGTAGAACGTATTCAACGTTACCGAGCCGAAAGAGATGTTTCGACTCATCGCGCAAATTGGTTTTGTGAACTTTAAGTTGATAAAGACACTACGTATCTGGATGCCACATACGGCTGAACTCTCTCCCTGGCTACAACTTCTCGATATATTAGCTGAGGAAGCAAGTGGGCTACGATGTCTTCAGCTTGGATGGGGTGCGTACGTTGGGAAAATTGGGGGGAGGGGTTTGGGTGATAACTTGGACTTTGTGCGTGCTTTAGGAAAGATCCAAGGGCTAGAGAAACTCGTTATCGAAGGGTTCTATGCGAAAAATTGGCCAGCATATTTGGAAGAGAGAATGGGTGTGCGAGTGCGCGCTATATGTGGTCGCTCTCGCGAGAAACGTGAGTTCAGAGCGAGAGACCTGAACGATGCGGAATTGGAAGTTGAGAAATCGATACGGAAGATGGATAACAGGGAGCTGCGGGAATTCAGGGAGTATCAGCAGGGAACAGAAGACTTGATTCCATAGAGCATGGACTTTTACCATCTTCGGCAACGGAGAGAGATAGGTTAGGATAGAGAATAAATGCACAGCGCACTCTCGCTCCGCATGCTTAGCACCTTACCTAGCTACGACCCTAACAGCATCTAGAGGCCGCACACTGCTCCCCTAGTATCTGGCTCCGCCGCTATCTGCAAATAGCTCGCGCCTCGTCTCTAAATTCAGCGACCTGTCGGCTCGAATCCAATTCGGTGTCGCCTTCCCTATGTGATATTGTGCCACTTCGCCGAAAGTCCGAATGACTGACTGACGACCACGTTCCTAAGCCGGATGACGGCCTCTGCGCTTGGGACGCCCCCGCCGATGCCCGATGCCCGCTGTCAACCCGAAACAGGACCCCTTGATAACGTTAGTTTGGAAGAAGGGAAGGTGCCAGCTTGGGTTGCACCGCCTGTCACCATATCGATAAGTGAGCGCTGCGGCGTGGTGAGCGTTGACAAACCTTAGGTCCTGCCTGCGAACTGAAGGACGACGAAACAAGCACGATGCGAAAGCTGTGATGCCACGGCTTTGCTGAACAAGCGCCGCAAGACATCACCGGTCACACTTGGCGTATGCGAGAACAATCAATCCAGCCCCAAAGGCACCGCCAGCGCGGTCTTTGGCGATGCAGACCTCATGTGCACCGACGAATCATTAAGCGCTGAGCCACCTTCTTCGCACTCCGGGGGAGAGCTGAGGAACCGCGTTAGTGGAACCCTCCTACGCAGCACCCAATGAGAACGCGAACCAACGATGCCATCACCATGCTGCAGCACAACATTCACAAGAGTAACGACGTACAAACTTCATGAATCAGCTGCACCCACAGCGCCATCACATCATCGCCCTACAAGAGCCCACGGTCTTCAACAACAAGACATACAACGATCCCGGCTCCGCCGACCCTGGAAGTGGACCACCCACCAACAAATGAAGCTGTTCATTCAAAACTAATTTTGCAACCACAATAGCTACAATCCCCTCTGATCAGAACTTTGTCGACTTTGGTGTCTCGCGCCATCTGCACATACTCCATCGATTCGCCTCGAAGACGAGAAGTTTTCGTCGTTAGTAATCATCGAGTGGCTCGCCCATCATCGAAACAAAGCGAATATGGGACACCCGCTTGTATCCACACATGCCACTCACAAAACCGAACTCGTGGTCATTTCGGCACTCTGGCAACGCCTTGATCTCGTCCCCAAATAGCTCTAGGTGTTCGCCGTCTCCTGCAAGCTCGTCTTGTTGCATTGCCGACTCGAACAGCATTGATCCAACTGATTCCACAGTGCCTCCTCTCTGCAGAAAAGTCCTCGACGTAGGGGGCCACTCGTTTGCATTCTGCAATGCATCGAGGACGTTGGTTGTGATTGGTAGTTTGTTGCCCCTCAGGCATGCAGCGAAGTGGTTGCATAAGTCGGCGAAACCCCCTCGCATGGACTTGTTTGTCTTCATATTTTCGCGTACGGGATGCGGAACATGACGAAGGATACTATCCTCATTCCACTTGACAAATCGGTCGCCCGACTGGAACTCGAGTTCATCGCGCAACAAATCGTGGTTAAACTCCGCCTGGCACAACAGCGCATAGCGCATTCGTGGACTCAGAAAGCCTTCAATACATTGCCCGCACGTACAACCGAAGGTAAGGCGCCGGAGTGCAATGCTCGAAAGGTTGGTCTGGCCGTTAAGAAGGCAGAGACAGGCGAGCATTTCCTCGGTAAAACCCTCGAACTGGTCTGATACTGGCACGATAGCGCTCAAGTAATTGGACCCACGTCTTGTCCTTTGGATCTCAAGTTGGGACTGAAGGGCCTCTAGCGAGGTCTCCTGCTCCCCATTTCGTGTACTGATGAGCTGTGTGTTTCGCTCCATGATCCACTTTACAGACTTCGGCTTAAGTTTGATTGCCGCAATGTGCAGCACTGTATTCCCGTCATCGTCTCTTGCTTCACAGCGTGGATCGTTGATGGGCAAGTGCTCAAACACCTGTTGAAGCTTCTCGACGCACTCATTGTCCTCCTTGGTCGCAATATCAATCAGCAACGATTCCATCGCAGGATCGCATGTTTGATTTGGGGGGATCGGAGCATCCCGGAATGCTTGCTTGACTCTTTCGAGGGCCTCGTTGTCTTCCATGGCCGCAATATCAGCCAGTAAGGATCCCATAGCAGGATAAAGCATTCGATTTGGGGGTACGGGTGGGTCGTAGTCCTCTGATGCGGAGAGACTGTGACAAGGATGGTCCACTGCGCTTGCAAGACCGAACCAACCGGATGACCCTATCCTCCTGAATCCCACAGAGCGCCAGAATGCTATTGCCACGCGCAACTCCTCGGCGAAAAACCACTTCCTCTCTTCACCTGTCAGGTTTTCCTTCAGCTTTTCGTAGTCGCGACGGATGGCGCCGGGTTTGGTCAATGCAACAAACGGCTTCGACTTTGACCGCATCTCTTCCAAAGCGGCCGCCACCATCTTTCGGCCTATGCCGCGGCGTCGATACGGCTTGTCGATGAGAATATTTTCGATCAGGAAGATGGGCCCGCTGTCAAGCTCATCCTTCCATATGCCGGACCCTTTCTTGATCGGGTGTTCCTTGAACTCGGGTCTCAGCCTTCCATATCTATCGAACAGCTCAAATGCAAGTGCCGACGTCCCCTCCGAAGGTTCTTCCATGTCGTGATAAAAATTGATACGATGGTTCTTAATGAGCAGGGCGTCGCATCGACCGATCGCATCCTCTGGGTCTGTGTGTTCGTCAAATTCTTCTTCGGAGTCGTCAGAACTTGAGTCTGAGTCTGCGTCGGAATGTGCCACCGCATCTTTGTGGGTTTGCTTGGGCTTCTGGACGAAGCCATGCACAATCTTGACCCAATCGAATTCATAGTGGTTCTTGAACTTGTTCTGGATTTGGAAATCGCCATCCTGAGGTTGTGGCACCGTTGGCTCATTAGCGTGACGTTTCGCCGGTGACTGATCCGTGTCGTTAGCGGGCGACTCCCGTCCCCGCTTAGGAGTCGGCATGCTGTGCACCTCGGAGCAATGTACGATCAATCGCTCTGTGGTTGAAGCCACATCGAGAAGGTGGAAGAAGGTGACGTGACGACTGTCGTAAGTGAAAACTAAAGGAAGGTGCTGTGCCGCACCCCTGCGCGTCCACTGCTGCTGCGGACGCTCACGTGCTGCGCTGTGTGCTCACACCCTTGTCTTGACAGGGCCACGATCCTTCTGATACTGTGACGAATTAAGCGCTGCGGCACAGGCTGCGCATACTCCCGACGCCTGAACCTAGGTCTAACTAGTTAGTGCTCCATGTCGAGGATCTCGGGCAACGTCCCCAGCGTCTTAAAGCATTCAGATTCGTCCTCTGCCCAACCCCATGTGAGAGTTTTAAAGCATGGTCTGATTTGTCCAATCCCCTGTTTACCAGCTCTCGATCCACAACTGCGCATCACGAAGCGCTGGAATATTCGCGGTGATGTGATTCGTCGAGAGCTTGCAATACTAAGCGCCGGGATCTTTGTGGCACGGTTGGCTGCACACGTCCTGACGGGTCACAATGCAAACATTTCGCAATCGAGGCTGCTGTGCCGTTTACTTCAACAAGCCACGGGACCAGGTCACCATGGTATTTGCCCTTTAGATCCTATCTGAGCTTTGGGGAGGTCTTCTGCCGGGAGCTGCAGCGGTCAGCAAACACCATGTTTCGTCTACGCCGTACGTCTGTTGCTGAATAGTCCGTGGACATATACGACACTGGGAAGTAATTTAGTGTTGAGATGACTTTGAGCGGACAAAAGGAATTCCCAACTCGATCTCGGCCTCAGGCAGAAGAAGCAGCAAAGGAATCCTTAACCAAGCGTTCATCTATCGTTAATAAGCTCACAGACGATCTCATCGCCGCAACCAAAACTAGGCTTGAGCAGGAACTCCAAGGCGATGGTTATCGGGATCTCATGGACGCATTTGATCCTGGCAAGCCAGTGGATCAGCTATGTGATCATCCCGAGTAGGCTCGTCTCGCCGGAACGGCACAGGGAGCAATGGAAGCTTCCCTACACCGCCAGCTAGACCAGGTCATCGCGAGTGATCTGCAGACCCCTGCGCAACGGGTATCTCGGATCGCACTTTATCGAGGGCAGGGAGTGGACCGAATTCAAACAATGTGTTCAGGACTACGTGCATACAGACGCCAGATCCGGCCATGCGAAAGGCTTTTTGGATGCATCGATGCAGTCTGCAATATTAGAGAAGAAGATCGAGGAACAGGAGGTGGAGGCGCAACGGAATGATGACGCAATTGAGAAGGGCGCAAAAGCCCTCTTTGATCTTGACAAAGAAAGGCAGGAGACCGTGACAAGAGCGGAATTGTTTGCTCCTGGTTGCGACTTTCCTATCTAGGTAGGCCGTATAGTCGACTGACCAATAGGCGGCAATTCCAGGCCGCGTGCGCTGGCACGATCATGCTGCAGAAGAAGGTCGTGAAGCGACGGAAACGCAAGAGTTCCGACGTAAAACCAGCGCCCATGTCTCCAGAATACCCAGGATGGAGGGAGTCGCATTGTAACTAGAGCGGGGATGATGTGAGTTGTATCAGGATTATGTACAGCCGTCGGGTTTTTGTAGAGCATCGTTTTCCGTTACGAAGATAGGGGTCCACGCCTAGATCTCACCCACGCACCCTTGTAGATCTCACACGCGTAGATCTTCGGAATAGAGGGGCGTGATAATAATGTTGGGGAATGCCGCTCATTGGTGGACGAAAGAAGAGCGACGCAGGAGTGGGAGAGGCGTCAAGGTTTCGAGGTTGGGCCACAGCGCTAAGCGGCGCTAGCCCCATTCGATGCACTACGACTGGAAATCGCCAAAGTCGCGAGGAGGTGAACGAGAACGCGTACCTGTGAACGAGTACGCGTACCTCCGGCAGAATCAGAGGGCGACACATCGCGCGCGGGTCATTCGACATGGCCCGCCGCCCAGCTACGCCTCCCTGCCATGGCGCCAAGTTCCCGAGGGCTGAGCGTTTGAAGTTCACACGGCCGCGACCTCGGGAAGTTGTACCAGCTACTAATAGCTTCGCATCGCCACCGCCGCGCACCACGGTCCACATGTCGCTGCGCTTGGACGTCTTTTCAGTTTTAGTGAAAGGGGCAACGGGCACCCGGTGCGTCATGGCGCTATATAGTACAAGACTGTCCTGCCAGCAGTCCAGGCCACTCCCAACTCACACCTCCGCCCTTCATGTCGCGACACCCTATCCCGGCCCGCGAGATCGAGCGCCTGGTCGCGGACGGCCAGCCAATCGTCATACACGAAGGATATGCCCTGGACCTGGGGGCATGGATCGACAGGCACCCTGGCGGCCGCCTTGCGATTCTGCACATGGTTGGCAGCGATGCGACTGATCAGATAAACATGTAAGTCGCGAGAGTAAGCGCGCGTAAATTCGGTCCCATCATGCCCTTCTTGGAAAAGTCAGCGACGGCGCGAGGCTACTCGGCGCGCCAAGACTGACTTCATGCCAGATACCACTCCCCCAAGGCGCTGTTGATGATGAAACAACACCGCCTGGGCCCGATTCACGAGCCGTGGACGAACCTCACACCCCCGATCCGCTCGCCAGAATTCCAACAGAAGCCCGCACATGAGAAGGGCGCGGACGTGCATACAAATGGCAGGCGGTCCAGACGGAGTGTTGACCTCGGCTCCGTGGGTGCTCTCCGATATCAGCGATATCAATACCGTGCTCTTCGGCGCGTGCGCTCCTAGATCTGGCTGACACTAGACCCAAGGCTGCCGCCGTTCTCAACAAGAAGTTGAGCACGACCGCGACATGCACGCGCAGGACATCGCCCACTGCCAGCGTAGACCCGGAGAAGCAGCCTCTCATACCCGCCTCGGATAGTGCGGCGGACAAGAAGAGCGCGCGGGAGCGATATGCGACGGCATTGGAGCACAAGGAGGTGGTTGCGGGCCTGCTCGGCAATCCCTCCGTCGACGCCGAGACGCAGCGCGCCATCATCATGGAATATCGAGCGCTGCACGAGCAGATCAAGGCCGAAGGCTTGTATAGCTGCCGCTACGTCGAGTACTTGAAGGAATCTGTCCGGTACACGCTGTTGTTCGCGACATTTCTGTACTTGCTGTACTCAAAGTGGTACCTCACGTCGGCCATAGTACTGGGCCTGTTCTGGGTACGTCTCCCCTCGCAGTCCTGTGCACCCTGGGCTCGCAGGCTAATCCCTCACAGCAACAAATTATGTTCACCGCCCATGACGCCGGCCACCGCGGGATAACTGGCAACTTCGTAGTCGATACCCTCATCGGCGCTTTCATCGCCGACTTCTGCTGCGGCCTCTCCATTGGCTGGTGGAAATCGTCGCACAACGTCCACCACCTCATCACCAACATGCCCGAGCATGACCCCGACATCCAGAACGTGCCCCTCTTCTCCACGTCGCCTACATACATGAAATCGATCTTGAGCTCCTTCTACAACTTCCAATTCGTGTGGGACGGCGTCGCAGACTTTCTCATTCCCTACCAACGCTACACGTACTACCCGGTCATGGCTCTCGCGCGCTTCAACCTTTATGCGCTATCCTGGGCTCACCTCATGTCCCCGCGCGCTGCACAATTGGGTGCCGCATGGTGGACACGCCCTGTTGAAATCGCCTTTATGGCGTGCTACTGGGCCCTCTTCGGTTACGGACTTGTATGGCTCACGCTCCCTAGCTGGCCCATTCGCATAGGCTTCGTTCTGATCTCCCACCTTGCGACTATGATCCTCCACGTTCAGATAACGCTCTCCCACTGGGGCATGCCGACGGCCGATCTCGGGCCCAACGAGTCGTTTCCCCAGCGCCAGCTCCGCACTACCATGGACGTGGACTGTCCCGCTTGGCTGGACTTTGTGCACGGCGGATTGCAATTTCAGGCTGTGCATCACTTGTTCCCGCGGGTGCCGCGGCATAACTTGCGCAGAGGGCAGGTCTTGGTGAGGCAGTTCTGTGAGAGGACACAGATCAAGTATCAGTGCTATGGGTTCGTGAAGGGCAACGAGATCGTGCTAGGCCGATTAGAAGAAGTGGCCAAGATGGTCACGACGCTGGTGGACTGCCAGCGGTATATGGCCGAGACGGGTGAGAGCGGACTGCATTGAGTACCATGAGCGGCAGCATACAGCATCCTTAGAATAGATAGAGATCGGGGCTAGACTTGAGATCCGGGCCTGCATTGGTCGATTTCCTTACACAAAATTTCAGCTTTTTGCTTTCCCTCGACTTTATTCTTTTTTCTCAGCTCTCGGCACTATCGCCATCCATGGATCCTTCCGCAGCACGTGGCTTCATCGCTTGGATGCGGGTGGCCCGTCTTGGCACAGTGCGAGACACACCGTCAGATTCCAACACTCCACGAACCAGTCTTCGATACTTACTAATGTGTTCCCGCAGCATTTCCGTACTTACACCCCGTCCCGCGCCCGAATGTGCAAAGGGGATTGGAGAAGTGGGAACGAAATGGGAAGCACGGCTGACTGAGGATGCGAATTGCCTCGTTTGGCTTGCAGGAGGTGGTCTATGGATTGTACTCGGTGCCTGCGTCGCCGAGTCGCGTGCTTTCGTGGTGGGTTTGTGTGCGCGCTGGTGGGCACTGGTGGCACTGGTGGCACTGGCAATTCCATGGCAGAAGTTGCGGATAGTTGGCCATGGCGATGCTCCGGTAGACGATGCTACTGTATCGTCATTGCTTTTCGCTCTCAGCTGAGGATGCGACGACTCTGTTGCAGTGGGAGTTGCGGCGCAGCTACAGAACCCTGTCGCGTCGTGTGCGTCGTGTCGATTCGAAGGCGACGCGCCGTCGCACAGTGCGGCATCAGTATTACAGCAGGTAACGAGTATGAGAAGCACGCGACGGGCTACAGGAGCGTACGAGAGGTCATCGCACATTGTGGGGCTGTGTTCAGGCCGGTAATCGGAGAGAACAGGTGGAAGCCGCTTAGGGCGCGAGGGACCCATTGATTATTTATCCCAACACGAAATGTATGTATCCTTCCCCTTGTCGTTTCTTGAGGATGACCTGCGCCTTTTCTAGCACTTTGGTCTCCTTGGTAATCCTGTCCCGAAACTTGGTCAAGGCTCCAAAGAGAATATACGCGATCTCGTCGCTCTGGTCCGATGCTTTCCCCCCCTTCGACGTCCATACATTTCGCAACGTGACCGATTTTTGAGTATAGAGCGCGTCCAGGGTCAAGAGTTACGATGGCATAATCTTCTCTGGAGCTTGTATCATCGACTTTAGAGTAACCGCGTTGCTACAGACCTACAAGACTTTGTTCCCCAACTCGTCGTTGCTGTGTTTGCGACGCTGATCTAGATGACAAAGGTTTCAAGAAATCAAGGACCGGCTGGGAGACTACCTCGCTGTACCTCTCGGGTATCTCCATTGTGCTAATGCATTGCGGCGTGCAGACTCTCCAGTCCGCTATCATGTCGTAGTCCACTACGAAAGAGTCGGTTGAGGTACATCTTGATTTCGGAACTCAACGACCTTTACGGCTATCCACCAGTACATCTTCGAAGTCGAGTAGCGCATTTTCTAAATGCCACATGTCCTCGCTCTTTGTGTCTCGCTCGGGACTTTTGAGACCGAAAAGGGCCCGACTAAAGACTCAGTCGAAATGGATATCCCAGATGCGCCATTCTGATCCGAGAACCGACGTCTTTGGGTGCCATGCCTCGAAATTTGGGATAGAGCTGTTTATCCGTACGCGACCCATCGGAGAACATCGATGGGCGGCTCTTGGTGAGGTTCGAGGCTTGATTCTTTGCGAGTTGTTGGACACTTTGCCGAAGCCCGGAGAAGCCGTGAATGATATCTTGATCTGTCACTTGCTGCGTACCTGCACTGCTGATCATGAGATCAAGAAATTCGGCCTTCTTTTTCTCTAGGAGAGAAATATCTTGCCAAGCATCCAATGGCTGCTGTACCCTTGCTGGCATTTTCTGTTGCTTCGGCAATATCAAGGCGACGCTTCAGGTCGGACTTCTCTATCTCCAATGCCTGGTTCGCAGCAGCCATACAGGGTTACCAATCCCAGGTGAGACCCCGGTTCCTCAAATGCACAACCACACCTTCTCTATCACACTCCGCAACGATCTTGTTGCACTGTTGCTTGTAGACATTATCCGCCTCCTGTTGAAGGTTGATCCACACGTGTTGGAGATCAGGCAGCTGCGATCTGCGTACCGCACGAAAGTGACGGAACAAGGCATCAAGAGCTTTATCATAAGGACCCATTCCATTGGACATCAACGCTAGATGCGTGACTGAAGTGGGTATCAAGTCGCGTACGAACGGGTCCAGTGAGCCGTTGAAGAGGCGCTGCAACGAGGTAGCAATGTTCCCCGTGACACCCGCGGCATTGAAGTTGCACATGACAAGTTCCTGAGGAAACTCGAACTTCTGTAGCTTCTGGAAACCACGTGTCGATGCCTTTCCGGGAAGGATAGAGCCGCGCAATTTACAGATTGCTACCTCAAGTTCGATAAGATGACTCCCGGCTTCGCGCGCTACTGTATTGATAAACTTGCAGATATCCCAGTCTGGAGGACGATCGACATGCTTTGTGCTATGCGAGTATGACAACGTCTTCAGGCGTGGTGTATGCTTGAGGAAGTCGGTTATGCCTACGTCGTCGATACAACAGCAACTGAGATGAGCTGCCTCAAGTCTGTCTGCGACATAAGGCGAACCTCCAAACGCGAGACTTCTAGGGTTTTCCCCGGTTGCGAAGAAGCCAGGACCGCTAAACGACGTCAAATGCGGTAGAGCGAGGAAGGGGTGCGCCCAACTCAAGCCAACATTTTCAGTCCCAGTTCTCGATAATGATCCACGGAAATTTGTGACTGGCCGAAGAGCGGAAGAGGAAGACAGAAAGCTGGGTTGCTTAGCCTCCTTGATAAGGACATGGAGCAGCCGAGTCGTCGCGGCATTCGGCTTCCATGAATTTGGTATGGTGAGGTTCTCGGCGTCACCGAGCAGCGTTAGGAGAAAGGCACTGCCGTGCTGCGAATAGCGCATCTCCCTGACGTCCTCCGCGAACGTAGAATAGTACTTCCTCCAGTCTAGCCGGGCTCGCCGGAGATAGGTAGAGTTGGCAAATAGTTGGACAATGACTCCTCCATCCTCAATGCTTGGGACCGACTTTGGTGGTTCACGGACACGTAGATGCGGAAGGAACTTGCTGTCCTCTACAAGGTTTGCGGTTCGAATATACCGCGCAACGATGGGGTCAGCGGCGATGAGGCTGATGAGGTCGGAAGCGGCCACCAGGCTGTCGCGCGCGTGAGCGTAGTAGCCAAAATGTCGGAAGCGGGAGCGCAGCTCGTTGTGGCGCTTGATGAATGGTGTGCATAGCGCATAGATTCTCTTGCAGGTCGTTGCCAAGTTCTCGAAGCTCCATGATAGAGAGTATTCAACGATGACGTCAAGAAGCTCGTTTGGGAGAGCCATGAGAGCCATAGTGAACTAGTTTGTCTCTTGTCGAGGTTGTTGATCGCGTTGTTCAGCGAGTACCTGATAGCAATCAAGGATGATGTGTCGGCTGACCACGCCAAGAACTCGCCTCAGCTGACGTCATTTTCAGCTGTTCCTATGACTGTGCACGTGACTTATCACTACAGTGCAACCTGGCATTCACATTCCTCCCGGAGCGAGATCGGAATACGCCTGTCACGGCACAGCCAGCCAAGCGTCCGTCCAACGCCAACACGCGCCACCTGGTATTTTTGGCTTGTTCATTATAAACTGACCGAACACTGCCTTCACAACTGTGCCTCTTATCTGGCTCCGATGCTGTTTCAATCTAACACTCTTTACATTTTAGCCCTGCCTTTACAACTGTGCCTCCTATCTGGCTTTGATGTTGTTTCAATCTAACACTCTTTACATCTTAACGCCGCCTTCAAATGGTTTCGAGCATTCCTCCCTTCACACCTTACGTTGCTTGATTAAAGACCTCAGAATATTACCTAGATAGCTGCAGCCAGCGTGGCCTTCTGGTGAGTGTCGGTAAACCCCGTTCTCCATTTTACTAGGATGTCACATTTTCTTCATGGGCACGCCTACATTTAGCAGACACCACAATGCAGAAGACTCTGAATTGTTATAGCTAACATATTAATTTAATCCGTCTTACTCATTTAGAAAAGGAAAGGAGTAAGGATTGCGTAGGTCGTGGCCAGCAACCATGAAACTTGACCGTGGTGACATTGAGTGTCAGCACATTGAAACACTTGATGATGTTTCGTGTCACACAGGTCAGGTCCAAAAAAGCGACGTGTGCAGTCTCTCGAGCATCCTCCGGCAACTTGCTGCGCCTTATGAGCGGACACGGTGGTTAATCCTAATCAACGCTCTGATGGAATTGGGAAATAGGAAGAGCTTCCCTGGTTAACCATTGTTGGGGTGGGGGGTTGCATATATATCTCTGCATGTCCCGCTTCTTGATTAATCAAAAACCGAATCCAGTCTTTTCTCTCTTCTCTAGCCGTAAACGCTTTTTGCTATTCGGTGAGCAGAGCAGCCTAGCATGCATTCCGTACTTTTTCTTTCCCTTTTGCTTACCGCAAAAGCGGCTGTATTACCGGCAATATCTCCACTCGTACTCCCCCCTGCTTGCGAAGAAGCGTATGAGGACATTGACCTGGTCGAGCTCAACGATGGACCTACTACTTCTGGAGACGCGGGCATCGGAGCAGAGTTTGAAACTCCCCGAATCCAGTTTTCAAACGATCAATGCAGCCTCGAAGATACCTTTTTAGCAAAACGCAAGACGGTTCAGGGCCGTTTTGGGGCGAACTTTGTGCTTTCAGTAGACACTTCTGTCGAACAAGGCAAGGGAAAACTCAGCGCGGAGTATGTCTTGGATGGCAGGAACATTAGAGTCGGCGATGGGAGCGCTGCAACCGCTGGCAGAGCAGCTCATGACGACTTGGTAAGTACTTCGCTAAATGGGCTCCAACCTTGACGCAATTAACGTTTGCAGGCGAGTTGGACACCTTGGAGTGAAAACCCGCCAAATCAGGTTACCATTGAGAACTACCAGCAATGTTCCGGTCCTTGGACCGTCAGGGGCCTAAATGAAAACACGAACAAAGACCAGATTCAGTGGGCTCCTCAAATCACTGCATCGATGCCTCTAGAAGCGCTATACTCCTTGATGAAAGAGAATGTACAAGGCGTAAAGGACAGCAGGAACATCCTTAATGGCGACACTGGTATCACTAGAGGCCAAAACATCCAGCTAGTCACCAAAGTTTATTTCACCAACCACCTCTCGCTAAGAGTCGATGTCGAGAAGATCAATGACGCAGTGCTTGGATTCTGTACTCTGGTCTTATCTTACGCAAAGGCTGCGAACAAGCCGGTAGATCCGAACGATCCAAACACTCAGGAGATGAGTCCTAAGTCGTGGATTCCGTTCATGCCACGAACGGAATTCGTCACGATTTACAGCGCAGTCAAGTCATTTTTTCCTGCTGACAACGAGCTCTTCGATATCTTCAACACACTCGCATGCTACAAAACAGTCTTCAAGAAAGGTAAATTTCAAGCGAGGTACGTAGGCAGCGTGGCTTTACAGCTCACTTGCCCAGCTAACAGCATATAGTATCGATAGCGACTACTGCACTGGGGCGGTCGAGAACCCTGTACCTGGTGACAGATTTGGAGGTCTGCAATACAACTATATCGGCAATTTTCCCAAACCGGGCATTCCTACCACCCTGAGTATCAAGGAATGGATTGAGGATATCGACAAAGGCAGTCCAAGCCCAGATTTGTTGACGACATTCGACAAACAGTACGATGAATCCATCGGTGGCCTTGGAACTCAGGTCGAGAAGATGTTCAGGCTGGACCGCACAGCGCCTTTATTTGAATTTCGAGACCTCGCTCCTCTGACTACCGCGGACTTCGAACAGTTCATGGGCGACGTAGACTCGTCTATTCAGACACTGCACCAAAACTTCGCCGCTCGGCCCATGAAGAAAGTGAAACGCGACGCCAGCGCTTGCCCGTTCAGTACCGCTGCCGGTTCAACTACGACGCCCCCTGCTAGTCCAACTACAACGCCCCCTGCACAGCCAAGTTGTGACGTCCAAGATATGGATCCTGGTCTCGGAATAACGTCTGAAGGCTGCATCTGTCAAGGGTCAAGCACGTGGCAAGCGCTCTCGACATCATCCGGGGCGACTTACGGCGCTCAATGTGCCTACACCGCACCTCCATCCAACAGTGCGCAAGCGACCATCACCCAGGCGCCTATGAAGCCCCAAACGAATTCTCAAGCCTGCATGGTCTGCACGCCTCAGCCCAACTTCGAAGATGACTGCACGTCGATGCCGAGCTGCACTCCACAAACAGCCTACGCCACGGCAACCGTAAACTCATCTCCCGTGCACTACGGCACACTTTCACAAGACGCGTTATTCACCGGGATAAGCACCGCGCTTAAATCAGCCTGCAGCAGCATTACCACCGGTACGACGACCGTTTCCGGAACGGCTACACCGACAGTTGCCTGCAACAAAGACAGCGATTACACGATCAACAACAAAGTGCCCTACGAAAATGACGGTGTCCTCGCGAACGATGGCACACTGAGTATAAACATCGGCTCCTACGCCGCCAGAGCCGACCAGTTGAACGCGCTCCTCGCCGTCGCGGCAAGCATGGTGACTAAATCCGCCAACTCGAGCGAGAAGAGCTGTCACACCATGCATTACGAAGAGCCGATCGTAAAGCCACGCGGGATATCCGGACGCTCGCTCTTTTTAGGGCTTCCCTCTCTCTTCGCACGAGACCATCCCGTCCCAACGTTTAGCTCGATGCGGGTATGCAACGGCCCCGCCGTAGTCGTAGCCAGTTACTGGGCGCCCGGATATCGGGATCGCATTGGCAGTGGCAATAAAGCCCCGAGTCCCGATGCCCAGTTGACTGCCACTTTGAAGTTCACTAAGGGCGCCGACGGGGATTTCTTCTGTGAGGTTGTGGCGGGGTTGGCGGGGGCTATCTTGGTCGAGGCTGCACCGGAGTTAGCTGAGCTCGATATCCTTGGGGCTGAGCAGATCCAGGCTGCTTGTGAAGAATTAAATCAGTGAGGGAGACAATATGAATTCGAGTATGAAGAGCTGGCGGCTTTTTGGCGGATGGCAATGAATCTACTCAGCGCGTGGGCAATAAGAGATACATCATCGTGGGCGATGCATTTGTTCCAGAGTACGAGATAGGACACAGAAAGCACCGGATCGACGGTCGCGGAGGAGTGGTGCACGAGATCCAGATTTGAAGAGAATTTGTCGTTTGCTACAAGCGGAATATACCTAATACGAAGTAGTGCACGACTTGGAATCAAGCTCATGGATCAGCGATGCGATCTTGATTATGAGGGGGTCGCAGAGCCAGTAGACACCGTTTGCTGCGGTTCGGATATTGTCGCGGTCCTCGTGTAAGCATGGACCCCGACACTGTAACATCACGGATAGCTTACTTATACTACCGAATGCCCTCCCACCACTCCTGCAATCTTAATGCCATGAAGAGGTATGTCGAGATCCTCAGGGTTCGAACGTCCAATGGCCTCCTACAGCGTCAGCATGATAGTGAGGTCGAGAACGCAAGTTCGCGCACAGTGTCGTTACGGTCGTTTGTAAACAGTTTCCGTCGCATAGCTAAGCGCTTAAAGGCTATCTTATATTCTGCTTATTATACTACCTTCTTCTAATTCTATAGTATAGTATTACTAGATATAGTTACTACTTTATATAACCTAGTTAACTAAGCTTTAATTAAGTTTATAATAGTAGACTTGTGTATTATTAAAGTCTAGCGCGTTCTGTAATCCGCGCATCACGCGCACGAACACGGTCTGCCGGTATTAGTGGAATAATTTACCGGCGGTCCTGTAATTCCGCGCAACGCCTGCGGGGTTCATGTACCTACGCTCTCCTTTCCCCCTCTACTTCATCAATCCTCTGCGCCGCAGCCAGCGAGGTCGCCTCCTTTCGCGTCTCGTGCCTACTCCGTTCATAGAGCAACCCGCAAGCGATAGTATTAGGTGCGCATCGGCCGATTATCCCATCTGTTGCTACGAGTGTACTAACATGTCATTGCGCGAGTTGTGTCTTCCTTTTCCTGGCTGACTAGGTTTACCAGCCGCTCGAGTGTGTTCCCTAGAACCGCCGTGGCTCCACATGGCCTCCTATGGCGCAAAATGGCCTTTTGCGATTGCATCGGCAGTACTAGCTATACTGCTTCGTACTCTTTTGCGGTTCTTCTTTCCCTCCAAAGTGGCGACATCCTTTAATTCTCATACCACGGTCGTTGTTGCTCATCCAGTTGTCACGGACCTCACCGTGTGCGTCTTTTCTCCGACAGTTCCTCCTTCCACTTGTACACTGGACCCGCATATGTGGCACCGCATTGAGAAAGAGCTCCATCTATATACAACTCGGAAGAGCGCATGGTTGTATGTAGCGCTAGCCAATGAGAAAGAGCTTGGAACTGAGGACCTGGTGGTTACGGATATCACAGTCGGCGAGCCGCCGCCGAATTCAGGCTCGGATCATTTCTGGGAGAGTCGACCTGGCGGAATCTGGGTGCTGAGAAGCAAGTTCTCCGGCAAGATTGGCCAGGCTGTGACAGAGGTGGACGTTCTCTTTGGTGTGGACGCCGTTGACCCACGACCACAATGGACGCTTATGCCATTACCGCTCCAGCTTCACGCTCAGCCAAAGGTACCAGTTGCAAAGCTAAGCGTGCTCCGCGGCAGGGCCAAGCCGAGACCAGATGCTCGGGAGGCTTTGAGAGTCAACAAGGATGGCAAATTCAAGATTCTCCAGATCTCTGACACACACATGGGCACTGGCGTCGGGCTTTGCAAAGATGCTATAGATGCCCATGGAAAGTATCTGCCAGAGAGCGAGGCTGACCCACTTACGGTAAACTTCATTGGAAAGGTCTTGGATGTCGAGAAACCAGACCTTGTGGTTTTTACTGGAGATCAGTTGCACCACGATATCCCCGACAGTCAATCCGCCCTCTTCAAGGTGGTTGCGCCCATCATCGAGCGTTCAATTCCATTCGCGGCCGTCTTTGGCAATCATGATAGTGAGGGTACCCATGCATTGTCACGTGAGTACTTCTTTCATATGGTACCCGGTACACGGTGCTAGCAGTCGATGATACACTCAGAGTGGCCGCACGCTCGCAAATGGTCTAGACTGCTTTGCTCTGCAAGGTAGTTATGCAGCTTTTTAGCTGGGTCTTGGCAATGGCAGCTGTGCATTCTTGCTGACTGGATTACAGGCACGGCACAGATGTCAATACTTCAGAATCTGCCCTTCAGCCTCTGCGAGTCAGGCCCGGAGCAAGTCGACGGCATAGGCAACTTCTTCCTTCAAGTCCTGGCTCCAGTCCCGTCACAGCGCCCGTTATCGACTTTATATTTCCTGGATTCGCACGGTCAAATACGAAGCTTGATACACAAACCCGATTACGAACCTATCAAGCAAAGCCAAGTTGATTGGTTCGTGAACGCCTCCCAAGCGCAACGAAGCGACAATAACGACAGCCGCTTTTATCTTTCTTTGGCATTCCTACACATCCCTCTCCCTGAGTTCGGAGACTGCACGCTTAGTATACGCAACGGCCACCGGAGGGAGCCGACCGAGTGCCCTAGCTTTAATTCCCACTTCTACGACGCTTTGGCCAAGGGAGGCATATCAGCATTAGGCTGCGGTCACGATCACGTGAATGACTTTTGTGCTCTGCTGCCACAACCAACGCAGCAGGATGGCAACAAAACCTGTCAACCTGGCCCTTGGCTGTGCTACGGAGGTGGCACTGGGTTCGGGGGGTATTGTTCGTTTGGCGGAAAGCGATTTTACCGACGAACGCGGGTTTGGGAACTCGACACAAATATTGGGAGCTTGAAGACTTGGAAGCGGGTCGAATATGACGAGGATAGAGTTGATGAGCTGTTGCTTGCGGAAAGTGGAGCGGTGATTGATAGCCCTGGTGAAGAAGATGAAGGCAGACGCTGTGTGATCAGTTAAAGGCACCCAGGCACTATAGGAATTTCATATCTGTGTGAAAGAGCCGTTGGTTTGAACGAATGCAGTCGCTTTGTAAGAGAACACATCTAACTAACCCTCAAGTTCATCCTTCCCTATCAACTCTTCTACTTCTCCCCGTAATACGTTGGCATCTTCCTCCTAACCCCAATCTCGAAGCCGACCTTCTAGAACATTCTTGAATTCAAGGACCCAAGAATGTTGTGATCCCCACTGGTCCACAATTATTCGTATCGCCTTTCGTCTGCTCTGCTTCTAGAGTCTTACCTCGATTACATTGACTGAGAGAAACGACTTTCATACATTCTATCCTCTCCACAATTCTCTTAGCATATACCTCACAGTTGTCCAGCAGCGAAAGGACTTTCTGGTCCATCTGCTCCGCTTCGTTATGGCGTCTCTGTCTGTTCAAATTATGCGCCAGGTTCAGCATCACTCGTGGGGTCGGGCTTTTGGGACGCCAGCTCCCTCGAGGCGAGCAAGGAGATCTCGAAGACGCTGTTCTTCTTCTTTGGGGTCAAACCTGTACACGCGCTTAGTGTAATCGAGACGAACAGACAGAGCGAGTCGACTGAGCGTTTCGAGTTCGCGCCTAAAAATATCGGTAGTGCATTCCTAGATTTGTTCCATGGCCTGGCTAAGAGACCCCGAGTTAAGTTCCCCAAGAAGCCGACATATTTGACCCTAAGAAGAGTCCTGCTTGGTGACTTTTGCGGACATTCCCTTAATAAACAAACAGAGAGAACGAGTTACTTCAGGCTGCCCCACTTGTATGAGGTGAATGAATACTTCGAGAAAGCAGGCTTGGGTTCGAGGATGCTCAGCTCGAAGGATTTGTTTAACAAGAGTATAGGCTTTGTTAAGCGCGCGGCAATACTTAAAATACAATTTTCTTTCTTTAAATATACTAAATCTTTAACGTAGATTCGTAGTATCTTATATAACGTACTTTATCAGCGAACGCCCCATATCACCGAACGCCCCAAAAATGCCAAGCCCTCACCAAATGCCACCATCTCTATCATGAAGCCCTCCACAAACGCCCAATCGACTTCAGACGAATCCTGGATACAGCTTGCGCTCCAGGCTATTCAACAGAACCCAGAGCTAAGCTTGCGGCGCGCTGCAGCTCTCTATAACGTAGGGTGGGAGAAAGTCCGCCGTCGACGCCACAGAGTCGCTCCACGACGCAAAAAGACACCTAATTTAACAAAGCTTACTGCGAACAAAGAGCAGGCGATAGTCGAGCATATACTTAACCTAGACACGCGAGGATTTACCTTCTAGCTTGCTACTATTTAAGATATAGCTAACAAGCTGCTTACTAAGTAAGATAGAAACGCTGTTAGTTAAATCTAGCTAAACTACTTTATTACGCGCTATTCTAAGCTTAAAATATAGCTTAATTACTAGTATAACTATTAGAGAGTAAAGTAAGAAGATTCTATAATTATTTAGACGTAGTTTAATCTAGTAGGTAATATAAAGGTAAAGTATAGTATTACTAATAAAGATATATATAATTTTAATAAATCTAGCTTTATAATAGAAATAATATTACCTTAGGTAGTAGTTACTAGCTCTAAGAGATAATTATATTTATAAGTAGATTTTAGTAATTATAATAGTAAGAATAGTAGATAATATATAAGTTCTACTATTTCTTATTATTATTATAATAGTTTAGCTTAGTATTTACTAGAGTTATATAACTTTATCTAGTGTCTTAGTACTTAGCTCTCTATATATAGAGAATTCTTAGAGTATTCTTCTACTTCTTATCTTTAGATAGCTAAATTTAACTTAACCTACTCTACTTATTACTCTTATTCTTATAGCTTATAGAGACTATATTACTTATAATTAACTTATCTAGCTAGGTATTCTAGAGCGTATATATAGTAGTAGAGACTATAAAGCTAGCCTTTATATTATCTAAAGGTTATTATCTCTTTAGCTAAAGATAGTAGTATAATATTAAGCTAAACTAAGTAGCCTTATAAGAAGCGTTTACTAATAGCTATACTAAGAATTAGAGCTATAA